AAAAAAAAAAAAAAAAAGACAAAAAAAAGACAGGCCACAACCCACCTACAGCCCACGCCAGCGCGCAACCTAACAACAAGTGGGTGCGGTGCGGTGCGGTTGCGCCAAAAAACCTCCGACAACTTGGCAGGGCAGATCCAGCAGGGCAGCGTGGGCAGGGCAGGTCAGCCCACCACCGCGCGCCGAAACCCAAACAGCCAGAGGAAAGAGGGGCCGCGGATGTGCAGAGTGCAGGCACGACAGAGTGGGGGAGGGGGGCTGAGGATCGGGTGATGATCTGACCTGTTTGTTTGATTGATTGCATTTGCGCCTTGCCGTGCTTGTCCTCACCAAGTCGTGCCGCCGTGCCGCCCTGGAGCCCGCGGCTGCCGGTCCGATCACGCTTGATGCCATGCCCGTACAATGCCGTGCCGTGCCATGCGACCGAGGTAAGTTGTGATTGTGATTGCGATTGTGATTGCGACGTCCCAACAACAATAACAAACTCGCCGAGCTAGGAGTAGGGGTTCTGCCTACCTAGCTAGCTAGCCATGTCTGCACCGATGTCTGCGTCAGCGTGGCTGAGAGCGTGACTGCTGAGCTCGTAAGATAGTCAGGCAAGGTACTGTAGGAGGGAAACTTGCTCATTTCGATCGTTTGCTGCCCTGTCCTGAGTCGTTTGTTGGTGGTTGAGGCACGCTGTCAAGCCCATGTTTGGAAAATTGTGTGGTTTGGAAACGTTACTTTGCTTCTGCCATGTTTCGGCGAGCCTCTAGGCCCTGCAGACGAGGTTTATGTACCAGTAGTAGTGTGCAATATCTACAGTTGAAGAAAGAAAGAACAAGAAGAAGCCACAAGGCAATATCCCATCTCTATGCGTGTTCGTCGTCTCTTCTTTTTTTGTATACACAATGGTTTACCCTGCCAGTCGCCGCCGACCCGTCTATTATTGTTTTGTTTTGTTGGTTGGTTGGTGTTTCGTGGTGATGTCGTCCCATATGTTTGTTCCGCCAACGCCTCGAAATCCCAAAGATGAGTGTAGTGTGTGTTGCTGGTCAGAATGCCTTTCCCACGGGTATCCGCTCGTGTTCGCCGCCGCCAGAAATACCCAGTTGCAACGCTATGCAGAAACGCCTCCCGAAAATACGCCAGAGTTGAAATGTCCGCCCATTGTCGTAAGACGCCGATGCTGAGAGGAATTGGTGGTGGTGGTGCGGAGGGCGACCTCCGATGACGGAGTCGGCTCCCCCTTTTTTTGAGAGGTTGGTGTGTTGGTGTGTGTTGGTGTGTTTAGTGTTGTCGATGGTGGTTTCGGATCATTTAGTTGACCATGCCCATCGAGTCGATGCGGCCCCTGCCCCAGTACATGCCCTGCTCGCGCCTTCGCCTAAGGCCCTCGAGCTCGCGCAGCTGCTCGTTCTCGCTGATGAGGCGCTCGTGCTCAGCCTCGAGGTAGCGGATGTACTCGACAGCGCCGGCCAGGACGGCAGCCTTGCTAGGCTTGGGTGCAGCAGCAGAGTAGCCGTATTCGTCATCGGAGCTGGTGCTGGAGCGACGGCGGGGTTGAGGCTGAGGCAGGGTGCGCACGGCCCGGCGCAGACGCTCAAGCTCAGTGTTCAAGCCCTCGCGGTACTTCTTCTCGACCTGGTTGTGCGGCTGGCGAGTCTTGGTCGTGGGGCGCGGTGCGGCGGCCTCGACGTCGACCTTGGAGAGGGTGTTGGTGCGGGTGCGCAGCATGCGCTTGGGCGCAGGCGGGATCTCGTCCATGCTGGGAGACTCAGGCGAGGCGCGCTTGAGAGAGCGACGCTCAGAGGAGGTGTCGATGGAGGTCATGGTGGCTGGGATGGAGAAGGGAGAGTCGGAGCCGGACAGCGAAGAGGTGGGCGAGGCGAGCTCTGGAGGAGGAGTGGTGAAGTCGAAGGTGTTGTTTGCGTAGCTGTCGGCGATGGGGTCGAAGGAGAAGTCGGTTGCGTTGCTGGTCATCTCAGGCAGCGTCGAGGCTGCGGAGTAGGGTGCTGCGAGAGGAGATGGCCAGGTGTTGGAGTGGGAGATGTTCAACGGGGCCAGACGGTCTTTTGACGACGCGCGACTGGTGGAGATGGAACGAAAGTCTGGTGATATGGCATGATTGCGAGCGTAGATGGGTGGCGTGTTCAGGTTTGATGATGTTGCGGGCGCAGGGAGCTCGACGGTGTTTGTGGGGTAGTCCAGGCAGTCGGAGTTGATCCAATCATCGAAGCTGAGGCCTGGGCCTTGGTGCTGCTCTGTTCGTGGTCAGCCCTGGATTCATTCCGCTTGCGGCGCACAGTGGCACTAACCGTATCTGGGCATGACGCTGCCCAAGGGCTCTGCGGCCATCCAAGAATTGCTCATTTCCACGAAAAAGGTGTGCAGTTGATCGGAAGAGGCGAACAGGTGGCTGGAGATGTCGAGGTGGTGTGCTGATATGCGGTGACTGTGGCTCTTGGTTGGATGATGGCCCTTGGACAACGGTATGCTGCCGTATATTTATTCTGCGCAATTTCGCCCGCCCGCTGCCTCGCGCGCAGCAGCCTGCGCCATCCCAGCCCGTTCTGGCGGAGGACGCGCCTCACCACAGTCAGGCCACTCGGGGCCTCCCGAGCGCAGGCCCAGCCCGGTCGCATCGCCAAGTTTTCTAGCGCCGCGCCAGTCCGACTCGCTTGCCTGCCCCGGTTGGGCCTGGCGCCCCCACAACTTCCCGAAACCGCGTGCAGGTCAGAAGACGGTGGCCTGACTATTTGCCAACCCTCTGACATCCTGCTAGCCGCACGCTACGCCCGTACTCCCATCTCCCACGCTTCCTTCTCATCCACGAACGAGTCACTGAAGATCGATCGCGAGACTCCTCCGGCCGTCTCCGCCGTTACAGCGAAGTCGGCACCCACGTCGTCCTGGCTGTTGTCGCAACGACCGTGTCCTCCTGTATGGGGGGGACATAGGAGTAATCCGTAGAGTAGGTATGTCAACGCAACCCCTCCTTCTATCAACATTTAAATACAATTCTCCCCTCATGGCTTGTGTAACTCGTGACGGGAGATCTTCCCAAGGGACCGGTCTCCCCGTGGCTCGTCAGACGCCACCTCCGGGTATAGCACATGGTTGATCTCACGGCTGTCAAAAGGCCCTGCATGCACGCAACCGCCACCACGCCGCCGGGAACAACCGCTACGCCCACGCCGAACATGGCAGCACAACGAACCCGAACACTCAACTAGCAGGGAAAAATTATGGTCGAACGCCTGACGCCATCGTAGACCCCATCATCTAGCCACTAGTTAGTTACCCAGTTTCAAGAGCAAGGAAGAAAAAAACAGAGGGCCCGTCGTCACAGACAAGCGCCGCGTCAAGATGACGGTCCATCCCCAAATCAGAGATCAGACATGATCGCCGCAAGGCCTTGCATCCTATGATCAGCCCATTGCCCAGTTCCTTGACGGCGGGAGTGACCGCCATCCCCACACGGGAGCTATCCCCTCTTCAGACGGTGCACATCACACCACCACCACCGTCTCGGAGCCTGCCGGCCGTTATTCGTTGCGGATCTCTCCGATCTCCCAAGAATCGTGCCACCTTGGCCATGCCCTGCGTGCTCTTGCTGCAGCCTCGTTGCGAATCCCGTCCGAGCTCCCCGTCCCTACCCGTGTGGATCACACAGGACAGGCCATGCGTGCACGCCATGCTTTGCGTCCCCGGCCGGCCGGGCCACCTCGGGGCCGCCCCGGCTTCTGTCCTCTCTCTCCCCGGCCGGCCCGTGGTTTGATTCATCCACCCGTGCCTCGTTGCCTCGGCCACGGTCCCCCGTCTCGGAGATTCCCATTCCTCGCCCACCCATATGCCATGCCGACCGGTCAAGCGCGCCGGCGGCATCCTTCAAGCCCGACCGGTCAGGGGCTTCCAGAGCGCCTGGCGCCTCGGCATGTTCCTCACCACGCCGACGGCGCGGCATCCCACGGCAAGCCACGGGTCTTGTGCGTCTACTACTAGCAGCAGCACCAGCACGGCCTCATCGGTACCTTGGGCCAGTTTGCGGGGATGACCCCAACGAACGGCCTTGACCGGTCGAGACACCTGGCGTGGCGGAAACGAAAAGAACGGCAAAGAAACAAAAACACCAGCTAGTCTGCTCCCTCTAACGACGCCTCTGCGGTTCCTGCCGCTGCTGCTGCCCCAAGCGAAACTTCCTGACCGGTTGGCAGTTGGGACAGCTGGCGCGCTGGGGATTTGGAATAGCAAGCTAGCTAACTATCTAACTAGCTAGCCGTGATGACTGATGTATGGCTTTCATTTCACCATCTAATCCCTACCCAACGCCTCCACGGTTCCTGCCATGGCGTCCCTACCAAAACTCCTTGACCGGTAGGAACAAACTAGCAGCGAAAAATTCGAAACCACTAAGTTCGCCGACGGCATCGCTATCTCCAACTCCAACGACGCGTTCCAGCCCCTCAAACCCATCAAGAGTCCCTGACCGGTGTGAACAGCTGGCACCGAGAACAGAAAAATTCGAAAACACTAACCACTACGCCCGACGGCATCGCTATCGCCTTCTCCAGCGCCGCCTTCCAACTCCAGAACCCCGTCCACAGTCCCTGACCGGTTTCGCCACCCCAGAGAACCTGCGTCTCTCAATCCTTTCGTGTCTGAACGAACGAAGCCTTTGGCGTTCCAGCCGAAGCTTGGACGTTGCGTAGGAACGCCGGGTTTGTGCTTTTTTGCCAGCGCAGCGCACTCCCAACTCCTTGGTGCGGATTTGGTGAAATGAACGTGTTTGCTTTGTTTGCTTTGCTTTGCTTTTTGTGGACGTGGGTGGTTGGCTAAGTGAGGAGGACGTGCATATGTAGTTGTGATAGTCGCCCCGAGCCCTTGGTTTCTTGGGTGATTTTTCCTTGCTGGCTACCTATCTATCTATTCGTACTTCCATCTATCTCCTACAAATACAGAAAAGCACTTTTTTGCTACTTACCTACCTACCTACCTACCTAACACGATACGATACGCTACGTCGACGTCGACGCCATGAGCAAAAAGGGTATATACGTCCATCCATCCATCTCTTCTGCAAGCAAACAGCAAACACAACTTTTAGCCTAACAGCAACCGTCTGTCCCTTTCCCTCTGTTTTCTCTTCTGCAGCCCTCACGCCTCAGGCATGTACTGCACGTAATCCCACACGGCGCTGAGCTCGCCGCCCCCGGCCCCAATCTCAACCCCCGGTCCCGCATCCACGATGCCCGCGCGCCGATCCAGCTCCGCCTGCGCCCACGCGTCCTCGTCCTCCTCGCCCATGACGCCCGCCTCCATCCCCATCCCCCACTGTCCATGTCCATGGCCGTGACCATGACCATGACCATGCCCATGCCCAGCGCCCTCCCACTCCCACTCCCACTCCCCCTCCGCATCCACCTCCACCTCCTCGGCCCCACCAATCCAGAACCGCCCCCCCTCAAACGCCGCGCGCTCCGTCATGGCCTCTGCGACGTCGCGCGCGCTCAGCCCGTGCGCAGCCCCCAGGTGGAACTCGAGGTCGAAGTCGCGGTGGAAACGGTGCGCGCAGTCGGCGAAGATGCACGCGATGGCGCGGCCGGATTCCTCGGCGTAGCCTGCGCCCGTCAGGCGCGAGGCGAGGCTGACGGGGCCGTCCTTGCGCGTGCGGCGCGGGCGCGTCGTCGTCGTTGCTGTCTCTGTCTCAGGTGCGCTGTCATTGTGTTGCAGGGACTTGGCCTTCAGCTTGGCCTTGCGCGTGCCCTCGAGGCCGAGGTGCTGCGTGCGGATGTGCTCCTCGAGATTGCCCTTTGTGGCGAAGCCGCGGCCGCAGGCGCCCGCCCCCGTCCATGCCCGGATGTAGTCCTTGGTGCTGGAGGCGGGGTCGAAGTCGCCACACACGAAGCGCCGCACCCCATTGTGCGCGGCCTGGATGTGCACGTTCAGGTTGCCTTGTTTGGTGAAGCCCTGGCCGCAGCCGGCGTGCGGGCACACGTACTTGCGCCGCGCTTCGAGCGGGACCCCGCTGTGCGCCAGGTCGATGTGCGCTTGTAGCTGCTTGTGCGTCGAGCATGTGAGGCCGCAGTGCGCGCACGTCGGCGGGTGCACCGATTTGATGTGTGCTTGGAGCAGCGCGTACGTCGCGAAGCCCGGGGCCTCGGCCAGCGTCGTCGGCGTCTGCCCGTCTTCTGCTACTGAGGCCGCTTCCGCGTCTGCCCCCGGCGCGCACTGTGTGCAGAAGTAGCGCGCGCCGCCGTGGACGCGGCCCTCGTGCGCGCGCAGGCTCGACGCCGTCTCGTACGCCTGCGTGCACTGCTTGCCCGTGTCCTCGTCGACGTGGGAGCACTGGTACGGGCGCCGGCCCAGGTGCGCCGACAGCACGTGCTTCTGCAGCGTCGAGTGCTTGCGGAACGTCTCGCTGCAGGGCGGGTAGTCGGTGCAGTGGAACTTGCTCTCGTGGGCCTCCTGGTGCCTGCGCAGGCGCGTCGCGGTGCCGAATCTCTTGCCGCAGCCGGGCCAGTCGCACGCGTGGTCGCGCTGCTGGTCGTGCTCGTCCTTGATGTGCCGGTTCAGGTGCGTCTGGCGGTTGAAGGCCTTGTTGCAGCCGGCAAAGGTGCACGCGTATGGTCGCTCGCCGGTGTGTGAGCGTAGGTGCTCCTCCAGTCGGCACGGGCGATTGAACGCTTTGCCGCAGTTGGGGTAGGTGCAGTGGTAGCATTTGACGCGGCTGCGGTTGGGGTCGACGGAGAAGGGCGTGAGCGGCGTGTCCGGCACGACCGTGTTCTGCTCGGAGGCGGCGTCAGAGTCGTGTGGCGTCGGCAGCTGCTGGCGGGCCTTCTTGGCAGCTGGTCCATCGGACTCAACAGAGGCAGGCCTCTTGCGGACGTCGGCCATGACGGCGATGTTAGTGTTGTTGGTCGATGGCTGCCGTTGGAAAATAATGTGGAGTGTGTCGAGGGCGGTGAACGGATTGGGAATGGTGCCGGGAAGCCGAGCCTGCGGCATTAGCTTCGTTAACACCGACGACCGCTTCAAGCGAAAGCTTCTCTCTATCATCCCTTCGAATCCTGTCGCTCCCTCAAGCCCATCGCGCTACTCGAAAATGCTAAAGCATTGAGCAGAGGCTGCTCACTCTTCTGCAACGAACGAAGAGCATGGAGAAAGAGTGATGGAATCAGAACGCTGGTGGTAATGAACGTCGTTTTTCTATCTACCTAGAATGAATGTTTCCAAGATTCAACATGTAAAAGAGCGAGTGTATCAACGTCTATCTAATCCAGGGAATGAGCGACAGTATCAAATGTCCCAAGAATGCAAAAACCAAAAACGAGAGACGTCAAACTTCTTCAGGGCCTACAAAGGAAATGTCCGTCATCCAACACTCAGTCGTCCTAGACCCAGAACATCTTGTCGTCAAGAGAGGGGTGCCAGGGGTTCTTCCGGCTACCGCTCTGATCGTTGTAGTCGGTGTGACTCATCAGTTCATTAGCGATTCTCGTGTGCCAATGCTCGATGGTTTCGTGGGCCGTCGATGGAGGGATCGTGTACGATCGATACAACAGCCAGTCACGGATATACGCCCGACCACGCTCGCACAGCTTGTCAGCGAGGTACGCGGGCGCGCAGTACGAGATGCCCTTGGTAGCTATGCCGTACACGTAGCAGAGGTTGTGGGTGACTTCCACGAGCTGCTTCTCCTTCAGCTCCATGTCGTTGCGCAGGAGGAAGTAGTGCGCGGGGCGAGCGGTGCCTTGGAGGGCGGCGTGCGCCTGCAGAAAGAAGTCGTAGCAGTAAGGGTGCGTAATCACCGAGTCGACAACCAGACCCGGCCTCGTGTTATTCGTTCGGTCCTTGTCTCTCTCGTTCTTAGGGTAGAACCTCGTGTGGTGCCGCTTCCCGACCACGAGGCACGTTATCTTGACCGTTTCCTCGGTGTTGTCTTTCTTTACGGTCCCTCTCTTGGCAGTGTCTTCCCTGTGAATGTCTTCCCAGGCATCACGGATGGCTTTGATCTCATTTTTGCGAACGTCTTGGTATTGGACCTCGCTGACACCATCGCGGTAAAAGATGATGTTTCTGGGTAGGCGGTTGCTATTCTTACCCTTGTAGATCTGAAGCAGCTCGGTCACCATAGCATGCATGCCAGCGATGATTTCGCTTTTCGAGCGCTGCAGTCGCATAGAGCCGGCATAGTTGATGAAATGTTTGTCGAAGCTCCCTACGACCGCCGCGACGGACGGGCAACCTTGCACAGCACCGCGTGCAGGGTGCGTGACGTCTGCGCCGAGAACCATAGTGTCCTCAGAGGGGAAGGAACCGGAGCTCTTGCGATCAACGTCGTGTGGTCGTCCGCCGGTCTTGAGGCTATATTTCAAAGCCAGATTGGAAAGTCGCTGACCATTTGTCAATTGGGAGGGCGTGCCCTTAGTGCAGATAGTCAACAGACCCTTCGCGTCGCAGGCCTTCTTGACGGCGGCGTAGATGTCATTATCGTCTCCCTTGGGCAGTAGAACGAGCGTGACAGCTGCTTGCTTCATGTATGTTTCAAACCTTTTCACCAGGGCGACGGCCGATTCATTGAAACTTCCCCCCCTGTTGATAGACACAGTGCCTGGCTTGGAAGCACGTCCCGCGCCCACAGTGATGCCATGTGCCTTGAGTGTGTCCACAAGGTTGGATGCCAGAGTTTTGATGTCCTCAAAACGCCAGTGTGGATAACACAAATCAAGTATGAAGATTCCTGGGAGGTGGGAAGACTGCACAAATTGGTGAGCAACCTCATTTCCTCGCCCTTGAACAAGATTCCAGCTTGCAGATCGTATGTTAAGTGACTGATTTCTGCCATAGTTGAGTTTCGGTTGGGGAAGGAAGTGCGCTGGGACATTGATGAGCTTGTCGTCTACGTCAAAAGAAATGTCTTCTTTCTATATAGCAAAGCAATCAGTCAATATTCATGCCACTCGACGAACATAAGGGCATTAGTGGCTACATACCAAATTGAATGGCTTGTTCTTCGCCGAGAGTTTACGTTGCACCTTCGTGGGGTCGTCTACAATACCAAGGTGTACGAGGCCTTCCGAGAGAATCAGATAGGCGTTTTCTGCTGGTCTACGCAGCGCCGCTCTCAACATATCCCTGGTCAACATCGATGGCAGCACAGATGTAAAGGGTTGCGGGTACACAATTTCTAGTAGCTGGGCCGGAATCCAGCACTCGCAGCCTGGTTTGGCCACGCCTACATTTACGCATTGAGAATCACCCCTTCTCAGAGGCGCGCCTTGTTCCCCTTCGTAGAGTCAGTTACCAGACAGAAGAAAGAAGAGAACTTTACTTACTGAAGTAGTCGAACACGTTGGTAATTTTTCCATCCTTTTTGAATGTCTGATTCTCTGGGAGGTCTCCGAAGCCGGCGATGACCCTTCGTCTGTTAACCTCGGCGTTGGGATCGTCGCCGGGATCGTCGCCATCGCCAGTCCAAGGCCTATTGTAGGTAATTCGCACAGTGACACCCTTCAGTATGCGCTTTGCAACATCGCGAGTGAGATTGCAGTCTCTTTTTGCCCTTTCCAGAAACTCGGAGACAAGGATGGGCTTGAAAAACACGCTGGTTGACGTGTTGATATTGATAAGCATCTTGCTCATACCGGGGCGCAGCGAGGAAAAGTATCCTCTGACGGCGAGTAGCGGTGAAGACCCCAAGTTTGTGTATCCGTGGTTCAGGAAGAAGCGGTTGGCGCCCACCTGCGTGGTTGAATCCGTCGAGAGACTCATATACCTGGAGACGATTGCGTTGAGCGCTCGCAACTTCTGAGCTACTCCGGTGGAGTTGGTCTGATTTGCCGTGTTGTTGGTATTGTCCGGGCGGTGGATTAGACCTCGTACACCGTCCGCAAAGCTGTGTATCTGTTGGAGTTTGAAAATGACATCGGAAATTACAGCTCTCTTGCCGCTTTGCTTGCGGTACTCGAAGTCTCGGAGAGTGAGCTCTGTTCCTTTGAAGAGCTCACTGACAGACCATACGTAACTGAAGTCAGTAGCCCAGTCATCCTTACCACTGAGAGGGTAAGATTCCCTCAGTCCTTCAAAGACCTGGCGGAGCTCGCTGCGGCGCTTGATTTCCTTCGTTTTGGGTGCGTCTTCTCCTTGCGTCTTGATTTTAACCAACCCAATCTCAATTTTGTACTCATGAAGTTGTGGAGGCACACTGCGAACCCAAACGTAATTTGTCGTAACTTCGGTTTCGTTTTGGAAGCCAAACTCTTTACGCCTACTTTTGGACTCTATGTCAGCTTCTGGAGCATTCTTTTCGTAGTTGACTTTGGCGTCTAGCTCCTTCATTGAATGCGTCTGATTTCTGTGAATGGATTTGTTCTCCGCATTCGCAAAAACAGCCTTGGGCATTTCAAATTTTGGGGGAGGAAACGTCATCCGTTGCGGCTTGTTGACCGGCTTTGTCTGCATAGTGTCCGACATTGCGACCTGTGCAGTGTTGCTTTGCGAAATTGACTTCGCAGGGACGTCCCGATCGGCGTCAGTAGAAATTTTCGCCTGAGGCGATGACGCAGGTTTCATAGGGTTGCCCCACGGAGACTTCTCCGAAACGGCATCAGGCGTAGCAGGAGGAGGAACTTTCTGCTGATCTTCCGGCTGAGGGGTTTCGTCAGTTGGCTGCTCCTGGGCTGGAGGAGGAGGAGCAGGCTGGACAGCGGCGTTTCCGGCTTGAGCGGGTGTGGAACCAGATCGAGGCTGCGCTCTAAGTTGTGTGTTAAGGATGGGTTTGCCCGTTTTGTCGTCTTTGCATTTGTCAGCCTCGATGTTGATCCATGGGCGGCTCTTATCCTTGTCGTGCCACTCGTTCTCTTTTTCGCGTTTTTCCTCTATCTTCGCAGCTGGCCAGAACTTTTTGAGCAGGATGGTTTTGGCAGTGCACTTGTCCGTTGGGTGTCTAGCACCACATCTTCCGCACCTATCGTCGTCCATGGTGTTGAAGAGCAAGGTTGACTCGTAGAATCGTTGAAAGTGGTTGTAAGTGTCGAAATTGATGGTAAGCGTGGAAAAGTGATAGCAAGCTGTTGCTCAAGAGAATCTGGATGGAGACTGGATACACCAACACGAGAGCCGCATTATTATACGTGGAAAAAACCCCTTGTTGGCTCTCCGTTGAGTGTGTTTGCGTCTTTCAAACAACAAACGCTTGTCGCGCATGTATATCAAGACATTTGGATGCCGTGCGGTTTTGGTTGTTGCACAAACAGTTGTTGTGTCATGGAAGAAGACATTGAAAGAAATCGACCAGAAAAACGGAGGGGCAAACAAATGAAGGCAAATCCATAATGGAAACAAATAGAATTAGGTAAATCTGAAACAACACAAAAGTATAGTCGCATTAACTGCGATTGCGTAGGTTAACCTAGCTGCTTTGTCAATCTGTCTCGGTTGAGTGCAGCTCTCCTAACACGTCACATGACGTTCAAAGAAGCAGCAAAGCTTGCAACCAGCGAAGCAATGAAGGTAGCTTCATCGCGAGTACCTTAAGTTTTGCGACTGAGACTTATCCGCTATCTTCATGGCCTCGGTAAGAAGATCGTCTCGTCTTGCAACTGACTCCATAAAGCCGATGTGATCAATGGCGTCCGACTTCGCTGCGTGAGGTGTCGCAAGATGATAATATACAAAGATGGCTCGAAATTTCCTAGGTTTAGGTTCAAGATGATTCGTTTGAAGCTCTGACGTTGAGCAACAGAATGTTCTACTGCATAGATGGTAATCAGCTTACCAATGATGTCGACATCTCTGCATGAAAATTGTGCTTTGCCATCGGCTCGTCTTGTGATCAGACAAAGATGGGAATGACTGGCTGTATGGAGTAACATCCGTCACCGTCTTGCGAGATGGTGATGCTTGTACGGAGAGGTAGCAGAGACCTAGTTAAGATGTTTGTAGTATGTGCGTGCTCTAAGACCTTTTTACTTCTCTTCAGGATTTGAGCCTGTAGCTAGACAAGGAGTAGTTCGTAGGGACTGCTTATATCATTCCCTGTCTCGCTAGATGATGAACCGCGGTTAACGGTGACGGACGTCAGTGTCGTGATTAGAGTTGATGTCGGCAGCTGATAGCGTAAGCTCGGCATCAGGGCATCCAAGGCGGCAGGCACGTGGCAGCCACGGCGGCACGGCGGCATAACCCGCACCCGGTCCCGACGCCTCTCACTCTCCGAAATCCGATTAATTCCGTCTCCAAGGTTACGCTGTAACATTTTTGCTTGATGCCGTGTTCTTGCTTCTGACTTCAGGATGCATTTTGAGTGTGAGCTCGAGTAGGACAGGCGGTACGGTTCCATGCCGGCCACCTATGTATGTACTAACTCCGGCCTCACTCGAAGATGTAATCCGTAATCCCCGTACAATGGTCAACGCTTTGGATTATCAATCAAATCCACGCCATCGAGTATCGGAAGTCCTAGCTCGCCACGCCGGTCTGGTTGCTATCTAGACGTATATAACCAACCTCTCCGCTCTTCCAAGGTGTCTGAATCCGCATAACAACCGTTCTTTTTCAAAAGTTCAACACAAAATTTCATTGATTTTTCCTCATTAAAAAGCTTTATACCAATTTAGTTTCCTGTTCCACTCAAAAACGTCCAAAATGGCCTCCAACAGCAAGCTCTTCACACCCTTCAAGGTGGGAGCCTCCAACCTGGAGCACAGGATCGCAATGGCTCCTTTGACCCGCTTCCGCGCCGACGACTCTCACGTCCCCACCGATATGATGGCCGAGTACTACAGCCAAAGAGCCGTTATTCCCGGAACCCTCCTGATCTCCGAGGCCGCTCCCATCTCCAAGCGGGCCGGTGGTTATGCCAACGTCCCCGGCCTCTACACCGAGGAGCAGCTCGCCGGGTGGAAGAAGGTTACTGACGCCGTTCATGCCAAGGGTTCAAAAATCTGGGCTCAGTTGTGGGCGCTTGGCCGTACTGCCAACCCTCAAGTCCAGGAGGCAGAGGGTCTGAAGGATGCTTTAGTTAGCTCCAGCCCTGTTCCCATGAGCGACAACTCCCCTACGCCTAGGGCGCTCACGGAGGAAGAGATCAAAAGCTACATCCAGGACTACGCTCAGGCCGCAAAGAACGCGGTTGAAAAGGCTGGCTTTGATGGCGTTGAGATTCACGGTGCCAACGGTTACCTCATTGACCAATTCACCCAGGATACCTGCAACAAGAGGACGGATTCCTGGGGAGGCAGCGTGGAGAACAGGGCGCGTTTCGGTCTCGAGGTCGCTAAGGCCGTCACGGCCGCGATTGGTGCCGACAAGACCGGTATTCGTCTTAGCCCGTGGTCTTCGTTCCAGTCCATGAGGATGGAGGACCCCGTTCCTCAGTTCACCTACATCATCAAGGGTTTGAAGGAGCTTGACCTTGCCTACCTTCACCTGGTCGAGTCCCGTGTCGGTGGCAATGCCGACGTTGAGGCTTCCGAGCGCCTGGATTTCGCTCTCGAGGCGTGGGGCAAGGAGAAGGCCGCGTGGATTGCCGGTGGTCTCCGCCCCGCCTCGGCGCAGGAGACGGTCGACAAGCAGTACCATGACTACAACGTTGGTGTGGTTTTCGGCCGTTACTTCATCTCGACGCCCGACCTTGTGTACCGGGTAAAGAACGGAATCGAGCTGGAGCCGTACAACCGCGACACGTTTTACAACGCAAAGAGCCCGGTGGGCTACGTCGACTACCCCTTCTCGAAGGAGTTTCAGAGTGAGACGGGAGGACAATAGAGGCCTCGGGCGATAGGTACAATTGCTTTTTTGGCGTTAGATCAGACTAGAGAATCTAGACTCATGAATTGATGATCTATTTCCGGCATGTTCATTGGCGCAATCTCGTGTTCCTCAAGCCATGTGTCCTCATCCCTGGAGGCGGGCCACGTGCCTCACGGGTCGATGGGAGAGGGCAGTGGATGATATATGTAGACGACTTCGGGACGCCTAAAGGGCCTGTACAAGGTCCCTGTCGCCGTCTTTATAGCGCAAATGCAGCGTTGGCGGGCGCGGGGCGTCCTGACCCAAGGGCTAGCGAGTCGATGGAAATTGTAGAGTTAGGATGCATGCCAATCGTGGTCAGCGCGCGGCAGGGGACCCGTCCCTTTTGGCGCTAGCGCTGATGAGAGAGCAGCTAGATGCATGGATGGCTGAGGCGCGTCTCTGCAGCGCGCCGTTGATACTGCTCCTGAAACACCCTTTGCACTACCGCCTCCGCCTACGCGGCATCTTTGTTTTGCCTCGTTTGGTCCCGTCCTCCCCGTCGCTCGCTATTTTCGCTTTCCGTACGTACCGGTAATCGCTCGCCGCCTCTCGCTCCCTCCGCATCGCTCTCCCGAGCCCCGAGCTCCTCACAAGCTACCTCAGCCAGACCGTCGCCGCAACATCACACCAGCTCGCCGCGACTCCTCTTTCCCACCGCCCGCGTCGCGCGTACTATGCGATTCTTCCCCCGCCATCCCATATAGCGCTCGGCGACACACTGCGCCATGCCTTGGCGCCCGCTCCCGCGGATTGCCTTCGCAATCTGCACTTATCCCTTCCAACCTTCGTCCCCGGCCGACCTTCCGCTCGAAATTGGAGATGAGCTGTACATAATAGAGCAGGGAGGCAAGGATGGGTCGTGGTACAGAGGCTATCTGGTTGCGCCGCCGTCGCTGCTGGCGGGCCTGACTTCGGTCAAGGGCCAAACCTTGGAGGCGCGCGTCTTCTCGGGCATCTTCCCTCGCTGTTGCGTCGAGGTGCGCGAGGTCCTTGGCGAGGGGAAGTCTCACGGCCAGGCGAGTGACCCAAAGGACTACTTTCAGGGACTAGATCTTGGCCAGGGGACCGACCTGGACCACACGGGGAACGGCATCCTCACACCCACCGAGAGCACCGGACGATCGCGAGAAAACACCGGAAACCTCGGTCTGGTACTCGCCCCGAACCAGAAATCTGACAGAAGACAGAGCAAACTGCTACGACATGCCTCCCAACGGACCGCTGGCTCGGAGCACTCCAGAGGGCTCTCGCTTCCGCTCTCGCCTGTATCCGTCATGTCGCGAGACCCGAATGCGCCGAAACCGCCCGCGCCTGTTCCGATGCTGAAAATAGGAGACGAAACCCCTACCTCTATATTGGAGCCATTGGTCGACGAGATTGCTTCTTGCTTGCGTGAATGGCACTCCACGAAACTCCACGAGCTTCTGCTTGCGAGACGTTATGGCACGGTGGATAAAATGACCATGTTGGTGCAGAAGTTGGATTCCGCCCGGAGGCAACTGCTGCACAAGATCTTGACGAAGAAGGAGTTAGAGAGAGTGCGCGAGACAACCGTATGGGACCTCGTTAGCGGTAACAAAATGCTCTCTGGTGAGGTCATTGTGCGAAACCCTTCGCAGAAGGGTCGGATCATGACTTCTGAGGATTCTGCAATCGAGATCACTCGTCTGCAGTCCATGATGAGTTTGCTAGACGAACGTCCTCAACAGCCCATCGACGAGCATATCCTACACCACATCGCGGTTACGGTCAGACATTTCTCAGGAGAAATCAGACAGCCGACAACACTTTGTTTGCATCTTGTTTCTAAGGCCCAAGGATCCGCAGCAACACCATTGTCCGAGGTATTTTCGGTGGACCTGGGTAACCCAGAAGCGGCAGTGGCTGCTGTCGCGGAAGAGAAGATGAAGACTTTGTTCACAGACCTGAGCTCGGTGGACGTAGGAGAAGGGTCTGGTGCCGGTGCAAGTCTTTACCTTGTTTTTAGGGTCCTCACCAATGAGCCAGTACGAACTGCGGCAACACCGATGCCACCAGTTACCCCGTCGCGCGAGGGCACTCCTAGCCCTGGATCTAATGGTCTCCACTCGTCCAACAGCGTCAAGGGCGGGAGGCGGAGCCTTATGTGGGGCCAGAGAGTACGGAAAGCTTCCGATGCTGATGGGAGGGAAGTTTCTAGCAGACAATCTAACGAGCAGCCACCGCCCACGCGCGCAACGACACCCAAGGAAGCACCGAAGGCCATCAAACGCATTATGGGTATCGGAGTACTAAGGGTAGATCCGTTGGTTAGGGGAGAGCAGGAAGCCGAGCAAGAAGTAACGGTTTGGACTTCCAATCTTCCTCTGGATGAGATGGCTGAAGAGTGTGATTGGCATGAATTGATTCCCGAAATCAGCCCCAGCGTCACCGGGAGATACAAGAAATATGCGAACATGAACCGCCTGGCCGTTCATGTCAAGGCTTTTGCGCATGCGGATGCCGAAGCCTTGATCAAGAAGACGCCGACACTCCTCCACAACGTCAATACGAGTAAGAAGATCGGATTTACGGGAGCCCCAACGAAGCCAAGGAGCGACATCTATCTCACGCTCAACGAACCGTTTTTGCCGCGCAATGCCTTGCTTTCTCACCCTAAGAATGGAGCTGTACCTCTCGGAACGAACCAAACCATGGCAAACTTGCAGCTGACGCTGGAAGTACGCAAATCAACTGGCGAACGGATCGAAAACTGCATTTTCCCTTCAGGAAATAGCATCGGCCACACTGCTTGGCGGACCACTGCAGTTGAGAGGGGCGAATACTGGAACCTGACGATTCGACTTGCGATTCCTCCGGAGGACGTGCCTGGATCTCACGTTGTCATGAGCCTAGCGGATGCCCCGGGTTTCCCCTTTGCTCTTTGCTGGATGCCACTTTGGACGGACGAGGCTTTCATCCGGGATGGCGAACATTGCCTTTGCTTGTACAAGTATGACGAGTACACATCAAGCATGATTTCTGGTCGTGGTGCCTACCTGTCGCTCCCGTGGGTCTCGAAGAAAAAGGAGGAATCGGCCGGCGCCATGGCATCATTAAGCCTTCGGACATACCTCTGCAGCACCAAGTACTCCCAGGACCCGAACCTTTTAGCAGTTTTGAAATGGCGCGACCAGGGAGCAAACGAGATCGTGGACACGCTGAAGAGGCTGCTTTTCGTTCCTGAGATTGAAATCGTCAAGCTTTTGAACGAAGTTTTCGACGCTCTTTTCGAGATCCTTGTCGAGTACGCTGGTGGAGATGAAATTGAGGATATGGTCTTCAACGCACTGGTCAACGTCCTTGGCATCGTATACGACCGGAGATTCAACCTGGGTCCTCTCGTGGACCAGTACGCCCAGAACCAGTTCAACTATCCCTTCGTGACAGCATGTCTGATCAGGAGCTTCAATCGTCTTTTGTCTAGCCCTGCAGATCCTGAGACCTCTCGTAAGCTGCGTGCCACGTTTAAGGTCGGAGTACACGTTTTCAAGTTTATTATGAATGCGCGAGAGCAGCAAAAAGAGAAGGAATCTGGCGTTGGTGTCACGAGTCGACAGACGACATTCATGAAAGACCTTCAAAACACTTTCAAGTCACTTGAGGCCCTGATGACAAACCCGGCTCCGATCCTTGTGGGAACCAAAACGCTTCTTGTACAGCATTTCCATACCTGGCTCCCCGAGCTCACGATAGTCTTGACTCCGAAGGAGGTGCTGGACCTGGCAACCAGTTTCGTCGATTCATGCGCGCAGGTTCAGGGCAAGCTCATTCTCTACAAGCTTATCCTGATCATCAACTTCTCTCAAGTCGAGGCGTTCAAAAACGCTGAAACACGACCAACTCTGCTTTCAAAGACGGTCGGTTGGCTTGCGCCTCACTGGGGCAAGACCGCTGCGGTGACTCCGCAATGGAAAGACCAAGTCCGACTGTGCTGCTCCGTCATCGCTTCTCAAGTGAATGACCTTGGCTCGGAAGCTTGCGAATACATTCCCAAGCTTGTGGATTCTTACATGGCGATACAACATACGCCTAGATCTGCAAAGCAGTCTCTATCACTCCTTTTCCCCACCTCCTATCCCTTCCCCACAAAACAAACTACTACCAGCGCCGAGTTCGACGAGGCCCTCACTGAAATCTTGGCCGTGTTGGCTGCCATTACAAACCTCCCTATTACGATCCATCCAGATTTACAAAAGGAAGAGCTTTCGCAGTTCTTGTTCGACACTCTGCAGGTCTACATCTCAAGCCTTGAAGGCGAGGCGTTCCCCAAGTCCTGGCTGAGCGTCAACATTTATCACCACAGAGCGACGATGAAAGCTCTGGAGAAGCTTTGCGGCATACTTATTGACTCTTTCTTGCCACATCCCGACGATGCCGATGACTTCAACACCGAGCTTTGGCGAGCATTTTTCGATGCCCTACTCCGACTTGTTGGCAGTGATGCGCTTGCACTCGAGACTTTCCCCGAGCAGAAGAGACGCGCTGTGTGGAAGATTGCCGGTGATGTGCGTGAGCTCGGTGCCGAGTTGTTGCGGCGCAGCTGGGAAGCCATCGGTTGGGAAACGACCCCCGAAGATCGCAAGCAGTACGGCCTCGAGAAGATGGGCGGTTACCAGGTACAATATGTGCCAGGTCTCGTCGCACCAATCGTTGAGTTGTGCTTGAGTGTGCATCAAGGCTTACGCAGTGTTGCCATCGAGGTTCTGCAGACAATGATTGTCAGCGAATGGACGCTGTCTCAGGATCTTGCTCTGATCCAGGCAGAGATGATCGACTGCCTCGATCGCCTCTTCAAGACAAAGGACCTTACAGAAAGTATCTTGCAAAAGCTCTTTATCAACGAGCTCATTGATCTTTTCGAGCCGATGGCGCAGGATCCAGATGAGCCTCTATTCAGTGCTGTCAAGGATCTTATCAACACTATTGATGAGCTGCTTGATCTGCTAGTAGCAGTCCACAGCAGGGAGGCGACCGGCGAGGTCTTCCATATCATGGACACACTGCATCTTATGGAATTCCTCAAGGACATGCAGAAGGAGGATATTTATATCCGCTATGTCCATCAGCTTGCACAAATCCAGAACGATGCCGGAAACCCAACAGAAGCAGGTCTTGCGTTGCGCCTACACGCAGAGCTGTACGATTGGGACCCGTCCAACATGGTGGTCGCCCTCGACGATCCACCATTCCCGCTGCAGACCGCGTTTGAGCGGAAGGAACAACTTTACTTTGAGATGATCCAGTACTATGAAGACGGTCTTTCATGGAACAACGCTCTAGGTGCTTACACCGAACTTGCTGCGCAATACGAACACAACGTTTTCGACTTTGCGAAGCTCGCACGTACACAACATGCCATGGCAACGGTGTATGAGAGCATCAGCAAGGGCGACCGCCAAAATCCACGTTTCTTCCGTGTCGTTTACAAGGGTTTGGGCTTCCCTGTTGCGCTCCGGGATAAGCAATTTATCTTCGAAGGCTCGTCCACAGATTCGCGTGCGACGTTCATGGACCGCATGCAACAACAGCACCCTTCGGCGCAGATCTCGTCTGGTGCTGGTGGGGATGACGTTGAGGGCCAATACTTGCAGATATACCCGGTGAGCGTACAGAAAGACCTGTTGCACCCGATCTACCAGCGTCCGAAGGTTTCGCAGTCGATTAGAGACTACTACGTCACGTCTAGGCCAACTCAATTCACTATGACCTCGAGGCGCCAGGCTAGCGAGGGCACTCTGAAGGAACAGGTTGTGAAGAGGACGGTCTACACAACCGCAGAAGCCTTCCCCACAATCCTCCGGAGAAGCGAAATAATCGGTGTGGAGGAAGTAACGCTTACCCCGCTGCAAAGCTCGATCGAACGCACTACTCGCAAGACGGCGGAGCTCGCTTCGATGGAAAAGCGTCTCTCTGGTGGAGAAGACTCGGTGGTTCAATCACTGACCGAGGCGCTGATGCTGTCTGTCGATTCCAACTCTCCGACAAGCGTTGCTCAGTATCGGGAACTTCTTCCCAAGCCTCCACCACCAGCTGGGTCGGATATTTTCGATGAGGATGAACAGGAGGCGCCACCTTTACAACCGATAGAAAACGCACTGAAGGTTGCCTTGATGGATCATGCATTGATGGTGAAGAAGTGCCTTGGCTTGGCTATTTTCTCGAGACCCGCGCAACAAGCGACCCTTGCGGATCTTTCAGCACGTAAGTTGATCAAGGAAAAAACAGACGAGAAATCACTGTAAGCTAATAGACATAGGTTTCGAGGTGACTTTCGGGCCCGAACTTGAAGCTCTCAACGCCAGCGGACAGATCCCCTTCATCAAAGCGCAGACCAACTCGTGGCTCAACGGCTCCATTCCCGACCCATCCGCCACTGCCGGTGCGCAAGACCCTCTGCAGCTCCTGAAGTCGGTGTCAAACGACCCGCTCAAAGCCGCTGCCGAAGTCCGAAGCACGCGCATCGAAAAGAACCGACTCAGTCTGACGTTCCTCAAGCGCGGCTCGGTGTCGAACATGAGCGCTATGACGGCCGACATGAAGAAGTCCTCTGCATCCTTGGCCTTGGGTCTTTCAGCCGATGAGGAGGGCAGCAGCGATGCCGATCGTCGTTCCCAAACAAGCCGCAGCCGTAGCAAGGACCCCGGCAGACGTAGGTTGAGCTTCTTACACGCGACCACCACGAACGACTCTGCTAGCTCGGCAAGGAGCATCAGCGTCGAGCGGCCCAAGACGAGCAAGAGCGATGGGCACAGCTCGAACCACGGACAAGGCGTGGCAGACAGAGTCACTGGAAACGTGAAGAAGAGGTTCAGCATGCTGAACATTGGGCGGAAGACGAGCAAAAACTCGTTTGGAGTTGGCGATTCGGTGGCAGAGGAATAATTGCTGCCTCTGACACCGATCGAGATGACGGACATTGATTGGGTAGGAACGATTGTGGAAAGCAGCGTATAGGACAGGGACCTTCGATTCTGCCGTTCTTACATTCAACAGCTTCGACAGCGCTGATTTTCTTTGTCTCGTAGGATCGTTATAATCGGTCTATTTCTCACTTTCATGCCGCAGCGGCATTTCAGTTTTCTTTTTCTCCTTTTTCATTTTCTTTTTTCAAGGTCAGGGCACAGGGTTGGTATTAGGAGGCTTGGAATAGGGGCCTGGCTGGAAAGATCAATGAGCGGTGTTGCGCATCTAAAGCACCCAGGCGGTTGTCTTTTTTTTCTGGAAGAGAAAATCTCTCCACTTCTGCAGTTTCTATGTTTTCTTCCTTCATTTCGGTCGGTCTTTATTTGCGTTCTGCATCAGACCCTTTTTTACCATTCCTGCTTATGTTGTTGGTGGAGGAGGATTGCGGTTATACCCATGCTTTTTCTTGTTCGAAAAGTTCTTGGGAGAAGCGGGTAGAGCAGAAAATACATGAAGTGGCTGTGCCTAATGCCTTGCTTGGTGCTCGTGTGCGTGAGATTATACTGGTATATTCTGTTTCTCGGCTGTACGGTAACGTCCGCCACCGCCAACCGAGATTCACCGTCTAGCGAGACAGGGAACGATACAAGCAGTCCATACCTAGGACTTAGACTTGGAGCTGGGCAAAGAGTACTTTGTAGGGATGAAACGGTCTTAGAGCAGACACATACTCCATATATCTCAATTGAATCTCTTCTTCTTCTCCGTATAAGCATCCTCGTCTCGCAATAGTGAATCTCGCTTTATGGTAACGGACTTTATATTTGCTCACCGGTGAGGTTTCAACTTGCCCTCGATCCAATTGCGCACTATCTTGTTTTAGGAAGTGATCCGCAGACGTGTCACTCCATCGTTATGTAAGTAAGCAGCAAACAAAGCAATAATACTCCGCTTTCCATTCGGCTTTAGCATCCAAGCCGTGAATTCACTACCTACCGAAGAGCCTTAGCCTGAACAGGACATTGACCAGGGCACGCTATTCCAGGCCTATCTTAACGACATCGCATCTCAACACCATGGCCCAACAACATCCGACTTCATCAACAGTCAAGACACGTATCTTGATCATCTCGGACACGCACAATGTGCATCCCGCGACATCCGACAGCGAGGCAAGGAGGCCGTTCAAGCAGCCACTGCCGAAAGCAGACGTGTTGTTGCACTGCGGGGATCTCACGATGCAAGGTCTGCTGCATGAATATGAGACCACCCTAGACATGCTAGCGGGTATCGATGCAGAACTTAAGCTTGTCATAGCCGGGAACCATGATATCAGCCTCGACAAAGAGTTTTACCATGGTCCGAGCAAGTCCGGGACTAGGAGCAATGGCAAAAGAATGCATTTAAAAAACTACGAAGAAGACATGCCCGGCAAAGCGATGGACATATGGACCGGAGCAGCCGCGAAAAAAGCAGGAGTAACGTACCTACAAGAAGGCACGCACGCCTTCACGCTGAGCAACGGAGCCAAATTCACCGTACGCCCCCTGTACCCAGCAAAAATCACGGGACCACACCCACGCAACCACAGCACATAAAGCTAACAGCGCGTCCATCAACCTAGGTCTACGCCTCGCCGTACCAGCCAGAATTCTGCAACTGGGCGTTCCCCTACGAGCGCCACGAAGACCGGTTCAACTCTCGCGAGCACTCAGCCCCCGACGCGCAGAACATCGCGACGACGCCGATGCCCGCGCAGGCCGGGGCCGTCGACATCGTGATGACTCACGGCCCGCCGCTGCGGCGCCTCGACCGCACCGCCTCCGGCCTCGACGTCGGCTGTCCCCATCTGCTGCGCGCGGTGCAGCGCGTTCGGCCGCGCCTGCACTGCTGGGGCCACATCCACGAGGCGTGGGGCGCGGAGCGCGTCACGTGGCCTGTGGATGGGGGTGAGGATGGCGAAAGCCTCCGCGCTGAGAGCGTGCCTGTGGTGTCGGAAGAGGTGCTGCAGGGAAGGGCGGCACGGCTGGATGTGAGCGAGGGTGCGGAGAGGCCCTTGAAAGTCGGCGAGGAGACGGTCATGGTTAATGCCAGTATTATGGATTTGAGCTATGCGCCAGTTAACGCGCCATGGCTAGTTGAGATGGATCTACCCGCTGTTTGATGCACAGCCCCTGCATTAGCGCGCGTGCTATCATGGTGAGCCGAAGTTGCGGGTCATGTAGGTTAGAAGATGTCACCACTTTGAGTTAGGGCTGGGAGGCTGATATCATCAAGCGACTATCGAGGCCACTTTTGACCTTGAGTTCATCATATTCTCCGCTTCTACCCTTTCGTCGAGGCAGTGCTTAACAGTGCCGCCGACTTTTGTGCTAAGAAGAGGTTGTATATATTCAATAGGGCGCCTTTGCATAGGACAGATTGCAGGCGTGGGTCACAAAACCTGTCGAACTATCCAGGGTACAAAGGGTAGGCACTAAGAGTGACCATAATCAATTGGTACCTGGACCTCAATGTTTACAAATCCCAAGAAAATTTTGGTCACTTCGAAGGTATAAGATCGTGCTTTTCTGTTCTCTTTTTCGACCTTCCCTCCAAACCAGAGCAACTCTCAATAGCTCTTTCATACCAACAATCTCCAAATGTGTTTGAGATACATTCCTCTAATTCAATTATGGGAAGCAACATTCAGGCTAGCGATATTTCAAGACGTCGGGCTACCGATGATAGAAAGCAGAGCAAGCCATCTCCCGACACACAGTCCTTGAAACCCGCACCCGGGACCATCTCTAAACCATACATTACTCCAATCCTAAAACCGAATCAAAATCTTTATCCACCGAACCCCCCTATTGTTTGCGGGAACTATCACGCCAAAGGCGTTGACTTTAGCAATAGAGAAAGCAACCAGACTCACATTCAAAGCAACAGCCAAAGCACCCAGCAAAGCGAACCCCCCAACACCGAGCACGGCGACCAAGACCTCGGCAAACCAGCCAGCAAAGCAGACGTAAACCCCATCGACAAGCAACCCAGCACAATCGACGGCGCAGCAAACCCCAAACCCGACCCATACCCCGACTTCGAGATCCCACAACCCACAAGCCAATACACGTCCTACCCCGCTGCCGACCCCAGCCTACCTAGCAACTACTACTATAACGCAGAGTACAACCACGAGCGCGCGCACATGCTCGACCCCTACGCCTACACGCTCGGCTACGCCGCGCACGCCAGCATGGCCGCCGCCACGGCCGCGCCGCCGTACACGCAAACCTACGCTTTCCCCTGGAGGCCAGGCTACGACTTCGGCCCTGAAAGCCTGAATGTTGCGCACGGCGGCGTAGGAAACTACAACGACGTCGACGACTGGCTTGCTGCATACGACGCAAGCCCCACCGCCGCTGCCGCCTCCCGCGCGAACGCAAGCACAACCACAACCACCAACGCAAACGTAAACGCACTCGCAAACGCAGCTACGCCCACACCCTCCCAGCCCAAACCCAAGCCAAAACCGGCCAGAAAGCCCCACGCGCGGCGCGCCAGAACCAGCAAAGCCACCAAAGCAAAGATGGCACGCCGCCGCACCATCAGCCCCAGCGACAGCGGTGCCACGGCAGCAGCAACAAAGACGGGGAAGCCGGGTAGAGAAGAGCCAGGCGTGGACAAAGGACACGAGTGGCTGCGGGCGCGGAAGCTGGGTCGGCAGGCAGAGAGGAGTTCCGGGGGAGTGGAAACCGGGGACTGGATATTTGTTGATGAGGATGAGAAGGCGGAGCGGGAGTGTGATGCTGAGGTTAAGGGGTTTGAGAGGGAGGAGAGCGCGTTGAGGTGGAGGTGGTTTGGGGAATAGGTTGGTTTGGCCTTGGTCTTAGACTTGGGCTTAGGCTTGACCTTCGTGCCCTGCTGGCTGGTGAGGATTGGTAGACTTGTCCTACCTGTGTTTGGCGGAGAGTGTAGGGAGTGTTCACGCACTCCTTACTATGACTCGTAGACCCTTTGCTTCTTTTGCAATTTTGTTTGAGACCTGTTCTAGTACGCTTTATAGAAATTTTAACAATACCCAATATAAAAGCCAATTCAACATGCTTAAACTCACTCTACCTGCAGTCCGCACATGCATGTCAATAATATCGATTGCTAGTCATTATTCATAACCCATCCTACGCTATAAACCCACTCTCCAGCTTTACGACGCAAACGGCCTGACTCTGTACATATCCCTCTCCTCCGGCCTGGGCGCAACCGGATGGTCCACAAACTGCGGATACAAATACCAGGCCAAATCGCGCTCTTCAGGGGGAAGTTGTTTCGCGCTCCAGCCATTGCCCAGCCACGCCATCCTGTTGCACTCAACGCCCTTCTCAAGCCCCTCCTCATCCAGATACTCGTACGTATAGTCTTCCCAGCGCGGGCTCCGCAGCGCCTCGATGCAGTGCAACGTGCTGCCAGGCCAGAGTCCCGTGATCTTGTTGTCGCGGTTGCGGTACCAGCTCTTGCAGTCATCAGTAAAGACCGTGCGAGCAAAGTACGCGTCGGCGTAGGCGCTGAAGTCGCGCACTCGTGCCGGCTGTATGCTCATCGACTTGATGTTCTCCTTTTGCAGCTTGCGGATGCACTTCGTGATGTAGTCGCCCGTGCTCTCGATCATCATCGTCAGGCTGCCGCTGCCAATTGCGCTGTTCGGCCCCAGCATCATGAAGTGGTTGGGGAAATTGTCCGTTGCGAGGCTGAGGTACGACGTCGCGCGCTTCGACCAGTGGTCCACGATCTTGATGCCGTCGCGCCCGATGACGGGGAAGGGTGGCGGCGAGCTGGTGTGGAAGCCTGTGGCGCAGACCAGGACGTCGATCTCGTGCAGGCGGCCGTCGTTGGTGCGCACTCCCTTCTCTTCGATCTTGGAGATCGGCGTCCGGATAAAATCGACGTTTGGCTCGGTGAGCGCTTCAAGGAAGCCGGGACCGGGCGTCAGGCGACGACAGCCTGGCGAGAATGAGGGGAGTATTGCATCGAAGATAGCCGGTTTGGAGGCAAGGCGCGTCCGCATGGTTTCCTCAAAGGCAACTTGTGCGGAGCGTTGCATGTGAGTTCCCCGGAGGGTAACGGCGTGAATGGAGTTGGAGTCTTCTTCTATGGCAAGCCGGAACTTGGCGTAGTAGTCTGGATCCGCAGCAAATTTGGCCTTTTGACCGTCGTTGACTTTTGGAATTGTGAGCATATGCGGGAGCAAGAGTCTGTGATACTTACTAGTGAGATCTGTCATGCCCAACTTATCCCACATCTCTTTTTGGAAAGGGGGCGAGATCCAAGTCTTGCTGCGAATGAAGCACGAAAGCTGCGATCCATCTACTTGCTGCAGCTTGGGGATAATCTGGATAGCGCTGCTTCCAGACCCAATGATTCCTATCTGTTTGTTCTTAAAGTCGAAACTTCTTCTCGTCAGCTCATCACCTTCAGTTACAATCGGACGCCATGGATTAAACTTACTCTTGATTCCATCGTGCGCTGTGCATGATCTCCCCCTTAAAAGTCCTCAGCCCCTCGATTTCTGGCCAGGCAATATCATTAAGGTTTCCTCTTGCGCTGATTAGAACGTCCGCGCTGTCCTCAAACACATCCCCAGTGGTCAAGTTCTCGACTTTGACATGCCACTTTCCCTCACGCTCGTCGTATCGACACTCCCGAATCTGGTGCGACAACTTGGTGAACCGATCTACGGAGTACTTTCTCGCAACGTGATCAAGGTAACCTCGAATTTCATGAGACGGCGAATAGAGCGAAGACCAATTGTGGTTCGGCTCGAAGGAGTATTGGTAGGAGTGCGCTACCATTAACAGTCAGTATGAGATGGTACGCTTTAGGAACAACACTTACATGGAATATCACAAGCAGCGCCCGGGTAGCGGTTTTCGTACCTGCAATACCATCAGCTTGAGGCTCTCAAAAGACTCCTATCTGGGATCTTACCAAGTGCCTCCAAAACCAGCATTCTTCTCGTAGATCACGAGATCGACGTTTTTCAACCGCTCTGGTATCCGAATACCACAGTAGATGCCCGAGTACCCAGCGCCGATCACAATGACTCTCATCTTTCGGTGGTTCTCTACAGGCTCATCATAAAGCTGGAATTCTGGGGCGTGCGAATAACCATTGGTATAGCCGTTAGTGTAACCATTGGTATGGACATTGGTTTTGCCGTTGATATGGCCGTTGGTGAAGCCTTTCAGTTGTCCCTTGAAATCGGCCTCATCGTGAATGGAGTCTCGCTTCTCATTGATGATGATGGCTTCTGGGAGAGACGGCACGGCGGACATGATGAGACAGAAGCACTTGAGCAGAGGGTATCATAAAAACAATGCAGGGAGTGAGTGGTGGGAAAGAGCAGCGCGGCGGTGCAGGACCCAGTGGGGATTGCCAACAGATATATCTCGAGCCGGCCGCATAGTGGAGTGGGCATGACCCACCGTGCGCATCTGCCGACACCAAGACGTCCCGTCCCAGCACCATCCCGGTGGCTTCCAATGGACTTAATTGAGCCGCTCTTTACATCGGGAATGATGGCCGGTAGTCGACAATCGCAGCTGAACAAGTGCCGGTTAGACGCGTTGCCCCGCAGCGCTGAGGTTCCCCACAACGCCTCCGTGTGGGGTTGGGTCGGTAGTTTGTGCAGGGTTGCCACTGTGGAATTGCCGGAACGGGATTCCACGACGTCGATGGAAGTGGGAACGGACTCGTCCCGCATCCCCGTATGACTCGTGAGGACTTCCCCGCCACGCGCCATCTTTCGACTCCCTCTGGGCCGAGGATATAACTAGACATATCCGATAATGTTGGTCAAGGATAGCCCAAGGTCGCGTGGTTTTGCTACAAGGGTGATGTACACCCCAGCAACTTGCTGCGGCATTTCAGGAGCACGCAGCAGCCAATCGAAGACATTTAGTTAGGAGAATGGCAGATAAACCCTGAGCCCCTTCATCTTTTTGTCCAGAGCGCATTCCCTTGGTGCCCCAATACTGATTCCTAAACTCAAAGTCACATGGCGACTCGACATTCCGCCAACTCCGCACTCCGCCCGTCTCATGCCCTATGCAGAACAGAACGCTGCCTGCCTCCCTAGTCCTAACAAAACAAGCCCTTAAATACGCACATAACGCCTCAAAGATTCCCGCGCCGAAGCGCCAGTCGTGCCCCGTGATAGCCTGAACAGCGGTACAAGTACACACGCTGCGAACGTGAGTTTTGGATGCATGCATCTAGAGTAATTCGCTCAACGCTGAAAATTGATAATGGCAACCTACCTACCATCAGCCCTGTGCCCCAAAGTTGCGCTACGGCCTGACTCTGACTATACTCACCTGGTTACCCAATTTGTAGGCCAACTTTTTTCCATCGGCGTCCCAGCGTAATCCATGATCCAGTTCCGTTTCTCTTGTTTCTGGCAATGTTGTGTCCCACTTTTCCTTGTTCTCCTCTCGTGGCATCCAAGTTGCTTTGCTAATCCCTGCATTTGGGTCCCAGAATGTCACCGTGTCCGTCCCCGCCGCCGCCAACAGGTAACCATCCGGACTGAAGGCGATTTCGACCACTGATCCGCTGGTAAACTTTTGCAGAGGTTCGAATGGCTTTTTGGCGTTCCAGAATTGTATGGTCCAGAAGCCAGTATCGGACGAGGTTGCTAGTAAGCGTGGATCTTCTGGGCGGTGCGAAGAGGGATTGGCGAGTGGCTGGAACTCGAGGCCGGTGATGTCTTCGCCCTCCAAACTGTGTGTCCTGACCTCGTCGTCTCCGGACAAAATGAGGCCCAATTGTGGGCGATCACCTGAGCTGCAGGCTATGATGTCGCATACCGGGTCGTAACGCAAATTTTCCCAATGTACAGACGTGGCGTACGACTTTTTGAGCGTCAGTTTGTTATCCGGGTTGATGGAGTAGGTTTCAAGGATTCCATAGCCGGCAACGACGAAGGTAGTATCGCTCATCCACTCCGCCGCGAAGACAGGCTTATCGGTCTGCCGGGTGCAAAGCGGCTCTTGTCTTAGCTCTTTCCACACACTTATACTGGAGTCCGTGTCCGTGCTGGAGACGCTGAGAACGAGATTTGCCGGTGCGTTATATCGCAAGGCGAAGACACTGCCGAGTACCGAAGTGACCAGTCGCGGCTGGAATCCTTTTGCATCTGGGCTCAGGTGGACGATTTTACCCTTGCTCATCTTTTGTCCATTGTCTGCGGTCATGTCTTCCAGAGTTCCAATGACTGCTTCGCCTGGTAAAGTCCATGCTAACGCCGTGATCGTGAAGTTGTTCAACCCGATTTCAAGGTCCTGCGACCTTGGTTCGTTTGCGGCATCCCCTTGCGTAGAGCTGGGGACCATGTACATCCGCAATAACGATTCACCTGCGGTAAGCAATATTTGGGGTTCCGTCGGATTCCACTCTGTATGGATGAGGGTTTTGTCAGGCTCGGTGATTCGTAGAAATGTCGTCTGCGGCCCTAGGTCGGCAAGCTTCTCCGTCTGTAACGCATTGCTTTCCCCTAAACTTAGGGTAGTCACCATCGGCACGTCTTCATCAACCGGCGATTCCGCATCCGACATGACAGTCTCCGACTCGTTGTGCTGGACTAACGCTCCATTGGTATCCACCTCCATGTCTCCATTTACCCGTGGTGCTCCGTGGGGCTTCTTCCTCTTCCGCGCTGGCGTTGAAGCGCCGCCGTCCGTCGTGGCTCCGTTTGCTAGCCCGTTGACATCATTTCTTCTCTCGCGTCGGTCGATGGAAGTTTTCCGGCGATGCGCCTCTCCGTTGTAACGTGCAAAGGGACGTCCGTGGTCATGGCCAAAGACGTACTGACGCGGCTCTGTGCCCTGCAGGAGTTAGACGATGCGCCTGATGGCCGCGCGGAGAAGCATGTACCTTTGAGGCGGAGGCGCGTAGTTCATCGAAACACAAGGCATCCTGCAACATGCGCACCAGCATGTGCGTGTTTACCTTTGACGCGAAGGGAAGCGATTCGGGCTCATCGTACCAGTCGTACTCGAGGTCTTTGGCAGCCTTAGCGAATCCTGTCGCAAGTCAGCAGGTGTGGGAAGCAGCATGGCTGGCGGATTGTTGTCGCGCGGGCACGAGAGGGACGCAGATGAGAACAGCGATGGTCATTGACGCACCCAGGCTCATCTGCACCCAGGCGGCAACAGTGCGCCAGTCACGGCGGCGCAGCGGAAAGCTTCGAGGCGCGGTGGAGCGTACCAGCTTCTTGCAGATACCTCCACACCAGGTAGTTGACAACGTTGGAGGACAAGTGCTCTGTCGTCATTGCGCATGGTGTCGCGCGCGCGCGGTGGGAGATAGATTGGAGATCGGATTGTGGAGCGGAGGTCAGGTCTGTTGCAGTCTTGGCGCCAAAGCTGCCGGCGCCCGGGGAACGAGGGAGGATCCGCGGGCGGAGCAGCCTGAGGCCAGAAACACCACGTCTCAGGGCCCGCGACCCGCGTCCGTCCCAAGGTCCCTTGCCATCCTCCCCCACGCCGCCTCTGTCTCCTTCTTTCTCCCGCCCGGCTGCCCTTTGTCGGCGCGTCAATCATCAAACCCCCCGCTGCGCTTCCCCGGCCGTCATGCGCATCAACGTCCCGCCTCTCACTCGAGGCTTGCTCATCACCATCGTCACCTTCACCCTCCTCAATGCTGTCTTGCGGCCCGGCTACACTGGTTGGATACAGGGCGTTGGCAAGCCCTTCCACACGGTCGGCCAGGGCGCGCCCTACCTGGCCATCATCCCCAGCACTGCGATAGTATACCCCTGGGTCTTTCTGGTGGCAACCACGGTGGAACAGAACATCTTTGGCTTGTTCATCACTGGCCTGACGGTCTTCTATGGCGGGCGCTACCTCGAGCGGGCTTGGAGCTCGGCCGAATTCGCCAAATTCATTCTTTTTGTTTCGATGATACCCAATCTCTTGACTTTCTTGCTTTATGTGGTCGCCTATGCTCTCTCCCACAACGATGAGGCCATGTACGTTGTAGCTCCTAGATCTCCATGTACCAGCTATCTAACCTCTCGGCAGGACGGCAACCGTCTCTGGCGGCATCGCAATTCAAGCCGGCTTCCTCGTCTCTTTCAAGCAGCTAGTCCCTGAACACACCGTTTCCATCTTCAAGGGCGCGATTCGCATGCGCGTCAAGCATTTCCCCGCCATCTTCCTTGTCGCCAACACAATCTCCGGCCTCCTCTTCGGCACGGAAACCGCTATGTTTCTTTCCTGGTTTGGCTTCCTCACGGCATGGACCTACTTGCGCTTCTACCGCAGGAGCCCTTCTCTGTCAGCGACCACCACCGGCGAGGACTCTTTTGTCAAGGGCGACGCATCCGACACTTTCTCGTTTGCGCATTTCTTCCCGGAGCCATTGCAGACGCCAGTGGGATTGTTGGGGGATCAGTTCTACAATGCTCTTGTAGCAGTGAAGATATGCACGCCGTTTTCTACAGAAGACATAGATGCGGGCAATGAACAAGCGATGGCGAGGACAGAGGGTGGGCTTCCCAGCCTTATGAATCCCGCCAGAAGCGGAAGGAGTGGAAGGAGAGAAGAGGCAGAGCGCCGGAGAGCCCTAGCGCTTAAAGTCTTGGACCAGAGGTTGCAAGCTGCAGCTAGGCCCCAACCTGTTTCGGCCGCACCACCATCGGGACCCTCTGTGCTGGGTGAGACAACCTTCGAACCTGAAAAGCACGATGAGATACCCTCGACTACGACAACCCCAAAGTAACTTGAAGGGTTGTGATGGGTTGTTTCTCAGCTACGGTACATCAACGGGCATTGGCGACCGTACGTGCCCACTTGTTACTCTTTCTGCTTCATTTCTTCTTTTTTGTTTTGCTAGCTTTCTATTCGGCGTAAGCGATAATACCATTGCATTGCCGTCGGTGGCGTCATAGACGAAAATCTCACTTCTTTCGTCATCCGCGAATTTTTGCATTATACTTGTTTTTTCACTTGTTCCATTGTTCATCGTCTTTGGCACCAAACAATTCTGGGCTAAACCCGTTGGGACGGATGAAGATTGAGCTCATGAAGATCCCCCTATCAAGGAGATGAGGCATCATTGCCTTACCATACAGAGGACTTTTAGGGGAGCAAAATCTACAAACCGACCATCGCCGGCAGTCACCCTAAGGATAACAGATCCTTCGTTTTGACTGCCATTAGCACGATGTGTAGCTCGCAGGAGCAGATATCATAGCTTGTAAGCACAAATATGCCGTGCTGTGGCTTCGGGAGGAAATCAAAACTGTACTGACAATTGGCATTGCAAGGGGGTTGGCAGAAAGGGATATTGTAAAGAAGAGGTAAGAGGGCCAGGGCTTGGCCAGATCAAATGGGTCCACCTTCAGCGAGTGGTTGTGGCGGTATTCGTACCTATGTAAGAGAAACATTAACTAAGAAGGAAAAAAAGTTCATTCGGAGCCTGTTGAGATAGAATATGTAGCTACATGAATATAGCTTTGGTAGTCTCAGGACAGACTGGTTACTTACTGAGTGCGGGTGTGTTCGTGCAATTGCAACTATTTACAATTTATTCGACTGGGACTTGAGCAGTGTATTTAAACATACTATGGTTGCGGGTGTAGATCTTGTTTTTTATAACTACTCGGCCAGTGTATGTCCTAGAAGTAAGACAGTGTCAAGTCGCTTCGATTTAAGCAATTGCAGATACTGCAACCATGCCTATATACCTCTGTAAGTAGATCAACGCCAACTTTGCAGGCTACTTCTTGGCTAGACCTAAAGCCTAAGCTCATGGCTGGATGAAGCAGTTCAGAAGGACATGTAAATCACAACAAATATCTCCCCTTACAATCGTAGTACATGCAAATAATAACCTGGTTAATTTATGCTGCTATTATGTGCTGTGATTTCAATTATTGCACATGCTCTTTCCCAGCCACTCTGTTTCCATTTACCGCTTTGGCTGTACCGACAGTGCTTTGGTACAGTATATCTAAAGTATATGTCAGAACTTCTTAAAAGCGTCTCAGATATTCGATTTCGACAACTTACAGGCAGGAATAATGATCCAGAAGGCGTTCATGATAACGAAATATCCCCAGAAGTACAGGGCCTCTGGGCGCGAATGCTCTATGCCTCTTTGAAGGTCGACAAAGCTCGTCACATAGTACAAGACATCGCTGTACAAATGCCCTGTCGAAACAAGGGCTTGGAAGGGGAATCTGTACGCTGAGTCGGTGACGATAAACCAAGCTGTAAGGAAGGAAACGGGACCCCAAACGACCTAGTGCATAGCGTATGAGAAAACACGATCTAGTAGATAGTTGGAAAAAAAAAAAAAGAAAAAGAAATACGTAAACATACAACAGTGATACTCTCAATGGTTACAACCAATGGGTCAGCAGCCATGTAGCGTGAATCGGACTTGGCATATTCCTTCCAGAGCTGACCAAAAAAGTCTTGCATCAGGGGCATGCGCGAGCGATTGAGGATGAAATGGCCTTCGAAGAAGCAATGAAGAAAACCCGCTAATAGCAATTTGTTAATCATGTTTATTGTCGTCCACCCTCTTGTAACCCCGCTCATAATCTAGTGGTACCTACAGAGAACAAACCAGAGCACTAGGAACTGATCAATGCCACTGATGGATGGGCGCCATCTCCGTGAGAACAGGAGCGCAAGTCCTAGTATAACAGAGGTCAAAGTTGCAAATCCGAGTAGGAGAGATCCGACGCCGAGAGTGTTCTCGACGTATCCCACCAGTTCGAGGTCTGGCGGGTAAAAAGGATGTTTGACGTCCATTGTGAGATGGTTGTTGATGTTGATCGGGGGACGATCGGGAAAGAGCGTGACGAGGATTGGCGTTGGGGTTGCCGCGGAGCCGCACCGGCCACGTCGTCCAACCCCGCCGTCGCTCCTTCAACCAACCTTCATCCGAACCATCACGGTCTGTGTTGCGAACATGAAAGAGCATTGGAATTTGTTGTTTCTAGAGATTTTCTCTTGTGAAAATCGGTCCCGCTCTAATAAACGCCCCCAAACGCTGATCTACGCGACATATTCTTGACGAGTGTTCTCCTTGCTTCGCGGTCATACTCATCTTGACCAGACAGGGGCGGAAGACATCCCTGTCTACCGCACTCGCTGCTCATTGGTCATTGATGACGCGGGACCACGCGTAGAAGCGCGTCAATTCTCCTCCGTCACCGTCCCTTCTCAAGCTCGAAGCTCACAACCTCCCCACGTATCAACTACTTGATCATCACTAGTTCAGCAAAGTCCGTCCGCGCATCCACTTTAGCAATACCTCTGCTCTATTTTTCCAAACATCAACCAAGGACGACCGACACGTTCGCGCCATCGCCACCACTAATATCACTCAAAATGTCCGAGCCCAGCATCCTCATCGGGCTTCATTACCGTGGCCGTCTCTCCCTGGGCGAACATCGTGCCCGGCTCGGCTTTGCCGCCTTCCATTGGAGCATCATCATAGTTGGCACTCCCTCGGATCCGCACAAGATCCACCGCTTCGATGTCACCGACGGCTTCATCTTTAACGATGACGGCACAGACGCTAACCCCACTCGCGACTGGATCTTCCAACACCAAACCACGAACTCCCTCGCCGAGATCACAAGGTACCTGGGCGCCGTAAGGGTGGGGAAGGTGCTGGCCCCCCGGATGTCGGCGGCAGAGGAGCTTAAGCTCTTCTTCGAGGCACTACCGTTGCCTAGGAAGGAGAACGCAGAAGGGGAGGAAGAGCAGGAGCAGAATTGTGTGAGCTGGGTCCGTGCTGCGGTTCGGGCGCTAGAAACTTCGGCGTGGTGCCAGCTTGCTGAGCAACCGCTGAATTTAGACGATCTTATGGGGTTTGCGCTGACGCACGCAGACACACGGATCAGAGATCTGATTGCGATCCCAGATGTGATAGATTATCCAAGGCAAGAGAAAAAGCGAGAAGGTGCGGTTAGAGCGCTTATTTCGTATATAAAAAGACCACGGAAAGGGTAGTATGCATGCATGTTTTGTTCATCTTTATGCCTAGTTATAAGTCTACAGACTAATTTTTTCTAGTACATACGACCATAGGTCACAGAGAACATGGCATCCCGTCCGCTCTGCCAAAATTAAGCTGTGAATCGGCTGATTAGTAGTTAGGTGGGTGACCACTAGCGAATCCCAGCTGTTGTATGTTTTTTGTTTTTGGAATTATGATCTTTTCCTATTTCTTTTTGCTCTAAAGTCTGGTGTTTTTAGTTGCAACGTTGTAGTTTTGCTCAGTGACAATAAACAGATCCGTGACCGACCTTAGTTGACTCTAAGACTTCACTGATCTAGTGGACAGTATCGAGCCCCAGAGGCTACAGTAATAGATGCATATACGATCCGAGAGAGTCATTTAGCAGGAAGTCTAGACAAGCTCACATCATCTGTGGCTGAGACAGCCATATGTGGACCCTGCTAACGTCGGCCTCCCCGAACAGGGACACTCTGTACGTGTACCCGGTTGTAATTTTCTAGGTAACTACTGGCGCCAGGTCTGACTCCCGGATAATGTATCGGGTTTAGCGGGTATGCACATGGTACGCCTAGGTAGGTTAACTGTGCGGGCAATGTGGGGGCGGCTGCCGGCAGCGGAGCCGCTAGTGCTTACGGTGTTTCTTTTAACAGCCGGCATGCTTATATGCACATATCAGCACCATCTGCGCCGGGATGCCTTTTATCCCATAGCATGTGCAGCAAGGGAAGCGCTTGGAAGGTCTAGAACGCTTTCGTGTGATGCCAGGCGAAGCACGCAATTGCCTATTCGCTTCACAGAGCCAACTCGGAGGGTTAGTCTTGTGGTGCCTGCATGATAAAAAAATTGGCTCTTAGGCAACAGAGCATTTATTGAGTCATCTATTCGATACAGCGAGGCACACAGACCCTGAGTCCTCATATGGTCATTTATGAGACACCAAATTTGTTGAGATGCTTGTACCTAGGTCTACTGCAGAAAAGATGCGAGTATGCTAAAAACAATAGGCGTAAACCTCGATCCCTAACCGCGATCCTTCCTGTCTATTGTAGCTTTCTAAACCCAATATCACACCTCAAACCTCTAGGCAGTGCATCCTGCGTACCAGCTTGCCGCATATTATTTTCTGTCCCTGCGGCCTCATCTATGTGGGTTGTATATTCGAGAAGAATTGCGGCAGTCAGAAGCTTGATTTCCAGTGTAGCGTACGCTTTACCCAGACAGACGCGCGCTCCATACCCAAATGGTATGAAGCCAGTTTCCTGTACTCTCAACTGCTCTGGTGATGCATCCAGCCATCGCCGCGGGTCGAAAGTCTTAGGCGATGGGAAAAGATTTGGAAGATTGTGAAGAGCAATTGTGGAAGCGGAAGCTATGGACTACAAGCCACCGAAACGTCAGTGAGTTGAACAATCTGTATGTGTTTTGGATTTGGGATCCTTACGTTTGCTGGAATGAAGACATCAGCGTACTGTTTTCCCACGGGTATAACTCTCTCTGCGCGTCCGCTTGAGCCAGGGTTCAGGCGATAGGCTTCTCGGACACAAGCATTGAATATCGGCGCTGCGTCGATGCTAGAGAAGGATGGGAAACCATCTGACTCTTTCGGGAGACTAGAAAGCTCCTGTCGAACCTTCTCCTGCCACTCTGGATGCTTGCTGAGGTGGTAAATAACGTATGCAAGAGCCACAGTCACGGTTGCTTGAGCTGCATGAAGGTTGTCCAGAACTTCGCATTCGATGTAATTGGACGACAGTGGCAGGCCTTCTGCTGTCTTAAGCTCGCCAAGGCGCCGAAGGAGCGAGTGGTCAACGGAGACCTCTGTATCTTTGGCTGCAGTCTTCAACTTCTGATGGCTCCAAGTACTGAGATCATACTCAGCAGTGAGGAAGTCCTTGGATCCCGTTGCTAGTGCACCGCAGAATTGGAATAGTCTGTGGGCTAGTGGAAAGTTGTTTCGAAGTGTGTTCCACCATTCAGTCTGTTTGAGGCCGACGAGCAGGGTACGCTCGTAGCAGTCTTGCTCGACGCTTTGAGAACAGTGACGCGGCCCATATACCAGACGTGTGATATTGTCCCAGGCGTAATGGTTGACAAGAGGGAAGATGTCAACGCTCCCAGAGCCGAGGCCGAGACGCAACTGGAGTTGTTCAAGAACGGCTGACACCCGGCCACGCATCGGAGCCTCAATTGTCGGCTTCAGTACGGATGTCGCTTGGTAGAATGAAGACGTCAGACGACGCTTTTGACGATGAGACTGATAGCCCTTCTCTGCAAAAATGGAACGCTCGTTGTGCGTAATGAAGTTGTCGAAGTAGTAGCTTTTTTCATGGCGGCCGGAAGAGCTATATATCTCACGCATTGCCGTGGGTTCTGCTATAGACACTTCCCCAGGGGCTATCAGGACGATGGGACCATACTTGGCGTGCCACTCCGCAATCTTCTGAGGACGTTGTCGGCGGAGATCATGGAATGTGATCCACCATTTGTTCAACTTGCATAGCAGAGGACCCGGAATGTGGCAGTATGGGGAGAGAAAAATCGAATGAAAGATTGACAAGGTCAGTAGAATGACTAGGATGGAAACGAGAGTGACTAAGTACAACTGGATACGACTGAAGCCATCGTTATATGAAGCCAAGGAAGCCATGGTGTCTTGCCCCTTGTTGACTCTTGATCTCGAGACGGTTGAAGCTTTATATACAACCGGAAAACCGACACATGATCCAAATGAATCCTTCAGTGCTTACCCCGGGCTTGTAGTTGCATTAGCAGGCGTTTGATCCTTTGAAAAACCTCTACGCTGTGAAGCCGTATTCCGGAGGAGTGGGAACAAATCAAATGGTTTATAAGTTATGCAAGATATACTGTCAAGTACCAAACGAACTACATATGAAACTTGGGCTCCTAACCGGACAAGAATTTGTCCATAGGGCATGGTAATATTTTCCGTAGACACACCCAGGCATAACTGTAGTTACATAAATGCCAATCCTCAATTGAATAAATTTCGCTCTTACGGAATATACATGACTGAACTGTAACAGAGCATACTAAGCAAACCGTATACTCAAATGTAGCTTCTAACCCTGTCCTAAGCTCAGGCCTTCGCCTTCCAATCGAATGCAGGCGTCATGTCCACACTGAAGTTGCGGATGAGAACTAACCTGACATGTCCGATGAGTATCATCACGCTGTGACACTTTACTATCCACACATTTACTCATTGCATTAATGCCGGTGATTGCCCCGTATTACATGCCACCGTGAGGCTTTTGAGCTGTTGGTGACTCAATTCTGTGTGCTAGCTCTCAGTCCCCCACGGTGTTCACTATGGTGTAGTTTTCGGGATTGGTCTGCACTGCAAACGCCACAGTTGTTGATATCTACGTCTAACTATTACGCTGTCATACCTCGTACGTAAAACGGACTTTAGGAGAGAAAGCATAGCAGAGTTGTGGCAAACTTTCATTTTCCAAAAGTAGCACTGATGCCTTCTCCGCTTACTATCAACACGAGACATGCATCAAGCCACGGAATGCACGCGTGGCCCTGCAGCCGACCGCGGAATAAATTTTTGCGAGTAACGTACATTTGATTCGTCGGTATTTGGCCCCTATGTTATAGTGATGGCTGTTGGATTCACATGCCTAAGCTTATGCTGGCTTCGTCGCTTCGGTTTATAGCGTATCGAGAAGGTCGAGAACTGTAGAGATCGTCTTGGCGCAGTGTATCGCTCCGAGCTGAAACGCCGTTTTCGGAAGGCCATGCAGCACGACAGGGAGGCTGACTGCGCCGCGAGATTCCCCCGCATTGTGTAACGTTGGATCCGGTTAGACGGGATTGCGAAATAACCATCAAACTTTGACTTTTCCTCTCAACTTCACCACAACAGACACCCGGCAACATGTCGCACACCACCACTGCCGTTGAGTTGGATGCGTTCCATGGGGACTCCAAGGCTCCAGCAAGATTTTCCACCTCAGAAGCGGCAGGTGCAGTTGAGGAACGCTCCGAAGGAAGCACGACCACAACAGAGGATGCACCTTCTTATTCTATTCTCCGATGCAGTGTTATTTTTGCTGCCTTGACGGGCGTGACCACTGCTAGCAGCCTGACTACCGGGTTGTTGGCTGTAGCCTTGCCGAAGATGGCTGCGGATTTGGAGATCCCGAATTCATTGCTCTTATGGTGTGTGCTTTTCCTTCTCCACCTGGTAAAGCTCTGGTTAAATCGTGATGTAACAGGCCCGCTTCCATCTACGGACTCACCAGTGGATGCTCTTTGCTTATCGCTGGGTCGATAGCGGACGCAGTCGGCAGCCGCATTGTTTACCTTGTGGGCTGTCTTTTACTAGCGTTATGTGCTCTTGCCAGTGCACTTGCACAAACGAGTACCCAGCTCATCGTTTTTCGCGGATTCCAAGGAATTGCAGCATCCTGTTGTCTCCCCACTGCGGTAAGCATTCTGTCTGAAAACTTTCCCGGTGGACGAAGACGCAACATAGGCTTTGCTCTCCTTGGATCCGGCCAACCGCTTGGTTATTCTTTGGGACTTTTCCTCGGAGGCTTCTTTGTCGACTCTGTTGGCTGGAGATATGCGTGGTATCTTTCCGCAGGTATCGCGTTTGTGGTGTTACTGGCCGCTGTTTGGGCACTTCCTCCTGATAGTGTCAACGGTAAGCTCACCTTGAAGCAATTCTTCCAACGAATTGACTGGATTGGAGCTTTTATTGCGAGTGCCTCCTTAGGAATGCTCTCGTATGTACTGGCCGTCGTTTCCGAAGGGTCCTCGAGGATCAAAGACGCAGAGAACATTGTGCTTCTCTGTATAGCTTGTGCATTGATTCCTGTATTCATCTTTTGGATGAATTTTCGGGTAAAGCAAGCAAAACCTGCTTTGATACCAAATTATCTGTGGAGGAAAGCTTCGTTTTCCTCTATATGTTTGATGGTATTTTTGACTTGGGCGGCTGTACAAACAGTGGAGTACTATTTCAGTTTGTTGTAAGTACCACTGACCACGTTATCATCGCTCGAAAGTCTTACTAACAAACCTTTAGTTTCCAAAAAGTTCAAGGACTTTCAGCAATGCAGACGTCCTTAAGGTTTCTTCCCAACGTCCTTATCGGCATTGTTCTCAGTGTCGTCACCGGAATGGTAATCCACAAATGGTCCGCCTACTGGGTTGTTCTAGGAGTTTCCCTTGTCAGCGCAATCTCTCCACTTCTTCTGGCTATTGCAAACCCGAACTGGTCTTATTGGTACGCATTGTTTTGGGCAATGCTTCTATCACCTCTTGCTGGTGATGTACTGTTTGTCATTTCGAACCTCGTCATTACCAGTGTCTTTCCTGGCACAACCCAAGCACTTGCAGGCGCCGTATTCAATACCGTCTCGCAGTTTGGCACAGCGGTCGGTCTTGCCATCATGGCCGTCATATCGTCATCTGTGACGGACAAGTCGCACTTTCCAGACAAGGATTCTCCAGACGCCCTGCTTGAGGGCTACCGGGCTAGCTTTTGGGTATGCTTTGCGGCAACATTGTTTTCATGCGCCATCGGAGTTGTTGGACTGAGAAGTGTCGGGAAGATAGGAATAAAGCAAGAGTAGATCATACATTTAGCCACTTATTTGAAATAGAGTAAGTGCCGAATAATGTTCATCACCGTCAACTGGGGTCTATCGCCTAGCGAGACGGCTAAGGATATAAACAGTCCCCATGGAGTACTCCTTCTATAGCTAGTTATCTGCGTCCTCGACATATATGAAGAGATCTCTAGGCGTATACGTACCTTCAACACCTTGACTAGACTTTATTTCTGCTCCATACAGAGATCGTCATCTCGTAAGGCGATAAATCTAGCTTGGCGGTGACGAACATTAATTTATCCATCTCTTTTGACTATTTTTCCCGTTATGTAATAAGTCATACCTACCGAATATTTGTTGTCTAGGTAGCTATGGTACTTTACTGAGCAAGCGCCACAGTGCCCAGTACGAGCTTCATCAGAGTCGGGAAAGACCGCTAGCCATACAAAGAGAGGAAGAGCATGTAGCATGAGAATGAAAGCCGGCTGCAAGCACCGTAATGGTTACTAGGAAGTAGACGCATACCACTGTACAGAAGATAATAACATAACCCGTAAACGCCGGTCCATGGAAGAAGTCTCGCGACCCATCTCCATGCTCTACCTAAACTTGCTCACAATAACAGCAATAATAAGCAGCACCAAAACGGTAATAATCGCAATCGTAATGACGCGGTTCGTAGCCATCCTGCGCGCCATACCGCGCAGCGTCTTAATACTGCGATCGGTGTAGCTCTCACTCTCGAGCAAATTCCTGCGCGTGTTCTCGATCTGCTCGCGTTGCGTGGCCAGGTCGCTCAGCGTGCTGCGCCCGATATCCTCCGTCTCGAGCGCGATGCGCTGGCTCTCGCGTAAGCGGCCACTACTACGCTCGAGGCGGTCGGTGCCCGTGAGCAGCTGCTGGCGCTGCTCGAGCTGGTCGTCGGGCGTCGGGTTGTCCTTGTACCGGTTCCCGAACAGGGCGCGCCGGTCCGAGGACAGCGACGTCAGCTTTCGCCCTAGGTCATCTACGTCGTGTTGTAGGTTGCGGAAGCGCTGGTTGATTTTGTTCTTGGCCGGCGCGGGGATGTTGGGCTTCTCGATGCGCATTTGGTCGATCTGTGGAGGGGCGTTATGTTAGTCTTCTTCTTCGTCCTCGGTTTGGGATGCCTGCGATTGGTGTCCGCTTACCAGCTCTCTTGCCTCCTCCAGTGCGCGCTCCGCTTGCCTTATTGCTGCTTTCCTGGGCTCGCCGGACAGCTCGGGAATCTGGTCGAGCTTCTGGGTGAGGTCCGCCTGCACGAGCTTGAGCTCTGCCTCGTAGCTGGCGAAGCGCTCCGAGCCGGCCTCGGAGTCCAGAAGGTCTGCCATTGCGGTTTATGGAAGATAGAGTACGATTTCGAGTCGGAGTTGTGCGGGACAAAGGGAGGAGAGACGGGCGGCGGCGAATGGTGAATTGGCAGCGGAGTGTGGGGTCGGTGGTGGAGTGAAGGAGTGAACGGAAGGTGGGCCGGCGGGGTATCTCAGCAGGAGCCGGCGTGGTGGTAGCGATGAGTGGTAAGTGGTGATGTCGTTCGTTGATGGTGCCTGCCTGTGGTGCTCTCTCTCCGCCCGCAGCCCGTTCGCTCCGCGATTTCCTGGCTTGGCATCGGATCCCTGTCCGTGTAGATCATTCATCATGCATCCACCGCCTAGGGTGCCTGGCGAGACGGTGCAATATGCAACCGTCCACAGGCCTGCATTTCCCTTCTCTCCCCCTTGTTTCTGTTTCTTCCTCATTCTTCCTTGCGCGTGTTTTCTTCGTTTCTACCCTATCCAGTTCTTCGTTTCTCGCTTTCTCTTCTTATTCTGTCTTTTTAAGCACTTACATGACATCACCCTTTCTCCCTATTTAGTGATACCCCTGCATGGATAAGAAGCGAGTTGCTATTGTTGGCAGCGGGATCTCCGGCCTTGGAGCCCTCTATGCTCTGCGAAACACCCCCCACGAGGTCCACCTGTATGAAGCTGCAGATCGTTTGGGAGGTCACACCAACACCGTCACCTTCAAGCACAATGGCCGCAAAACGCCCGTCGACACTGGTTTCATATTGCTGAACACCGCCACGTACCCTAACTTCATTGCCCTCCTCAGGGAGCTGAAGGTCGAAACCACCGCTGCCCACTTGTCCTTCGGCATAACCCGAGACGACGGGGCTTTTGAGTGGGCCGGTACCTCTCTCGACGCCATCTTCGCACAGCGCACCAACCTCCTGCGACCCTCCTTCTGGCGCATGATCTTCGACATTATCCGCTTCAACCAGTTTGCACTAGATCTGCTACGCGACGAGTCGCAGTACGATCCTGAGCTCAGCATCGGCGAGTATCTGGATCGCGAAGGCTACTCGGCCGCTTTCCGAGATGACTATCTCATACCCATGACCGCCTGTTTCTGGAGCACCGGGATCGATACGTGTGCGCTCGACCTCCCAGCGTTGACCCTGGTTAGATTTAGATCCCTCTGGAACCATCATTGGCTAAGTACCGTCGAGGAGCGGCCCGCTTGGATGACGATCAAGTATGGAAGCCGGAGCTACATTAACGCCTTGCTGCGGGGCTTTCCCTCTGAAAGGATACATCTCTCGACGCCCGTGCGGACGCTTCGGAACGATGTAAACGGAAAGGTTCTTTTGCTGCTCAGCCACGGCCGGGAGGAAGTCTTCGACGACGTCGTCCTAGCCTGCCACGGCGACCAAGCCATGAAAATCATCTCGAACACTGCTAGCCCCACGGAGCGGGAAATCATGAGCGCTTTCCAAACAACACCCAGTACCGCCTACCTGCACTCCGACCTCAACTTCATGCCGCGCCGGCCAAACGCCCAGGCCGCATGCAACTACCTCATAAAATCGTCTCCCAACTCTTCTGACTCTGACTCCGTCTCCCTCACCTACAACCTCAGCACCCTGCATCATATTCCTGCTTCCTTTGGACCCGTACTCTTGACCGTCAACCCACCACGCCCTCCCGCACCCTCCCTCACCCAGCGCGTCACGCAATACGCCCGCCCGGTCCACAGCGCCGCGGCAGCCCGCGCACAGCAACGCCTCCCAATCATTCAAGGCACGCGCGGCATCTGGTACGCTGGCGCCTGGGCCGGGCATGGGTCGCATGAGGACGGACTTGCAGCGGGCGTGAGAGTAGCGGTTGAGGGTCTAGGAGGGAGAGTGCTATGGGAGTGGAAGAATATCGATGCGGGGGTTGATCGTACGCGGGTGCCGATGTTGGGAATGGCGGATTATGCGGTTAGGGTTGGGGTGCTTGTGGTCGTGGTGTGGTTGTGGGCAATGGAGGTAGTAATAGGGTTGATGGAGGGGTGGTGGGGGGAGGGGAAGGTTTTGTAGTTTTGAGGTGGTGAGGGTTGGTTATGCAGGGTTTTTTTTTTTTTTTTTTTTTTTGCTGTTGTGATTCTTGTTGAGCCGACCTTTTTACTCTTGGAGTTTTGGCCTTTCTTGCTTGTCCGGGACGTGTTGGTTCGATGGACTGTGACAAGCTGATGACAGACCCTCACTGTCAGGCGTGCACCGTCTAACAAGTCGGCCATATTTCGTACGTCTAGAAGCGATCGAGGACCATCTGTACTCTATAGGCATCTTAGCTACATTCAAACTCTAAACTCTTATCGAAAGGAGATTCTATCATTGGGACATACTGACATTCGTTTATGAGGTGACTTGGGGCAGCAGGTCCAACGTTAGTATGGTGCTGATATCGAAGCGACTTTCGGCCATTCAAAGCGTCTGTATAAGCAGTTTTCCATAATGAGAGACTAAGATGCCTCGACAGACTCGTCACGTGGAGTAGTTGGGTCTGAACGGAGAATCAGGCACAGATTCGCCATTCATTCCGTGTCAATTTCCTGACAAACAGCCCTCAGTTGTTTGAGCGTCTCGACTGTCTCGGGACCCAGCTCCTCGCCTCCGGCCGCCGGTTTACTGAAGCGTCCATATTTCAGGTCGCTGAGATCACCCACGATGGTTTTGATATCCGCTAGCACGGCCTGGGATTCTTCCTCCAGCTCCTCAATTTCTTCCTCGATGCTCTTCCCCGCCTCATCCATATCCCGCAACATCGACTCGAGCGTATGCGGCTTGGCTCCCGGCGCGTTGCCTGTGCGGCCAAACAACTCCTGCTCCATTCTCACGTCTGTCTGCTGAGCGCCCGTGAGGCTCTCGTACTCGGCCTTTTCGGACCGGCGCCGTGCGCGCGCGACTTCGCGTTTCTGCCGCTCGCCACGCTTGGCCTCTGCGGCGATGTTGCGTCGCACGTCGTCCGTATCGATGGCGCGTTGATGCTGTAACTCGCGGTAGAGGAGCGGGATGGCAGGGTTGGACTGGTGCGCGCGTGGGAAGAGGTCGGTGAACTGGCGGAGGGTCAGGATGTTGGGGAGGGGCGCAGCGGGGAGGAGGAAATTGGACAGGATGGAGGTCTCGGTGGGCGGCATGATGGACGGCGGGTAGGCGCGATGTCGCGTCGCTGTTTCGTGTTGGGTGGAGGTGGTGGTGTTGGGCGTGCTTGGACTCTGGAAGACGCGTCCAGGTCTAAGCGAGTCAGGCTGTTGACGCGCCGGACCCTTGAACAAGACCTAAAACTTCCACCCTCGCTGCCATTTCCCCCGGCACGCACCACTCCCCGCGTTCTACCCTAATAGCTTTCGATTCTATCCTTGAGCTGTTGCCTGCTTGACGTCTGCCATGGCGCCCGCCAACCAGCCCATGTACAGCAAGGACGAGAAGGCGCTGTGCTTTCATCACGAGCTGCTATATGAAGCCAAGGTGCTCGACTCAAGACCGGTAGACCCGAATGATAAGAAGAGTGCCTACCAGTACAAGGTACACTACAAGGGTTGGAAGGCTACGTAAGTCATTTCTCTTCCAGTTCTTCTTCGATGGTCGCTTTGTCTCGTCAAGCTGTTGTCTTTCTCGGCAAGGGCCTCCCCTGGCTCCTGCTCCCACTTCGCCTCACCGCACTGCGTTACTCTCGTCATCTTCATCACTTGTCCTTCTTTGGCCCTCCATTTTCGTATGTCGGGGCAGCCTGTCTGCTGCTCTTGTATCTGTTATCTGTCACTTCGCCATGTCGCCACGCCAGCTCCGACGGCGGCGTCAACAATCACATGAACCTGACGAGTCCGGCAGGTGGGATGACTGGGTGCCGCAAGATCGGCTCCGCAAGCTTACCGATGAGAATCGCGAGCTGGCCAACAATCTCCGCAAGGAGATGGAAGTGATGCGTCGCGGCTCTAGTTCGCAGAAGCCCACTTCGCACAAGAAGAAGACCGACCTGAGCTCTACTCGCGGTAGCGAGGGCCGCGAGACTCCTGTTGCGACAACCAGTCTGGCGGGCCGCAAGAGAGGTCGCGACTTCGAGGTTGAGCGGGTAAGTTCGTTCTCTTTCTTCTTTTACTTTGCGAGTGTCGCTGCTTGTCACCACCCCTGCCATAAAACCTTTGCACCCCGCAGCAGCGGCACTTTCTATTGTAAACCTCGCCCCTGTGTCTCTTTCTGAGGTTTTTTGCATCGCGGTTGTCCTTTACAATTCATCAAACCACATGGACATTATTGTCTTCAAGTCCACATGTGTCTCTACCCACCCTTTAGGGGAAATTACTGGAGAGCCCCTTGTCACTCATGTCGAGTGCTCTCCCGAACAGAGCTCACCTGATTCTCCCCGTCATCCACAACAGGAAGAGCGCTCCAAAGCCAACCCTGCTAGAAACGTGGCGTCGAGCGAGTGCAAGAAGCGTCTACTTACTCCAAAGCAATGTTTTGAAAGAGGCTGGCACCGCGATATATTCGTCTACTCATCTCCTTCGCTCACCGCAACATTTACGTGTCTCAATTGCTGACTGTCCATTTTTAGGAACAGGATTTCCGTGCCCGGCCAGCTATTCGCATCCACATGCCAGACAGGCTGAAGTCGTTGTTGGTGGATGATTGGGAGAACATCACCAAAAACTTGCAGATCGTTAAGCTCCCGGTCGAATTCCCCGCCGCAGCGATCCTCGACATGTACCAGGAGCAAGAGATGCCGAAGCGCGTAGCCGGCAGCGCTGAGGCCGACATTCTCGAGGAAGTCATTGCAGGCGTGAAGGAATATTTCAACAAGGCCCTCGGTCGTATCTTGCTGTACCGGTTCGAGCGTGACCAGTATCTTGACATTTACAAGAGGACGGAGCATCCGACCGACGACCTGGCGGGCAAGACGATGAGCGAAATCTACGGTGGAGAGCATCTTCTCCGACTGTTTGGTACGTATGAGGGGAGACGATTGGGTCCGTGCATGCACCGACGGACTGGGCTGACAAAGCAAAACAGTGTCTCTTCCTGAGCTCATCGCGCAGACGAACATGGATCCGCAGTCGGTCAACAGGCTGCGGGAAGAGCTTCTCAAGATCACCATGTGGTTGAGCAAGGACGACACAGTCGGCCGGGTGTTTACGTCAGAGTATGAGACGGCCGACAGCGAGTACGTTGATAAGGCCAAGGGCGACGAGAAGCACTGATGCGGCTTTGAGCGGCTGAAAAGGTGGGATTGGGGTGGCTGCGAGCCGGTTATCTGGGTGGTGCCCCTGGCAGTGTATACTTTGGAGGCGTTCACGTGGCAGCTGACGAGCCACGATCGAGGGTCCACGGCGCAGGTACCAGATGTTTGTGTCATTCCGATTCCAGCATGGTGCCAGGCGAGGGAGGGAGGGACGGCAGGCCCCACGCTGGCGGTTTCACGAGGCGGGGGGGCGAAAAGGGAGGCAAAGGCCTCTGGCGATCTGGGCGCAGGCGAAACCAGAGTTGATAGCAAAGCCAAGGATTGCGAGCTTGGGAGTATGCGAGTCCGGGCACCCGGGGCAGACGGCTCCCTGGGCGGCGTGATCCCCGTGCTCGGGTTATTACCGAAGGCTTGGTTTGGCAGCTCGCGTCGGCCGCAGGGATCGCGGACGATCGCTCGTGTCGTCAGAGATTGCAGTGCGCCGCTCGGGGGCTGGCCCCGGCCCCCGTCAGCCTCACCCTCGGGCAGCACCAAGCATCACCCACTTTTAGCATCCTGCCACCCCACGGACCACCGCTTCTCTTCAGCTGCCGATATGCCATAATCCAAATTTCTCGCTCCCGCTCCCGCCATCAAATCCTCTCGCGTCTCCCCATATCTTTCTCGACTGATCGCTGCGCCCCCGCAACCTCGCATCGGCCCACTCGCCCGCCAACGCACCACCGCCTGTCAATGTTATCATGACCCTTCCGTCCGGCCCTGAGACTCGGTTTCACGCTTGTTACTCGTAGTCTCTCTCTCTCTCTCTCTGCCCGCCATGGGCGCTCCTCTCAACGCCGAGTCTTGGATCTGGTTCGCCGTTGTCATCTCCATCGCCTCTGCGCGTTTCGCCTCGCGTATCCTGCTCTTCCGCGGCGATGCAAAAAAGCTCCAGATCGACGACCTGCTCATGTTCGGAGCTCTCTGTACCTACACCACCTTCCTCGTCTGCATCAACATCATCAGCCACAATGAGAGCAATCTCTTGCCCCCGGGCTTCGACATGGACTTGCTCACCCCCGCCGAGATCAGGCACCGCCAGTATGGCAGCAAACTCGTCCTCGTCGTCGAGCAATGCCAGTGTGTCACCGTGTGGGCGGTCAAGGCTTGTCTGTCAATCATGTACTATCGCTTGACGTATGTTTTCTTTCCATCCATATTTGCCGCCCCGCTAACAACCTGACCAGCATTGCCTTGAAGGAAAACATTGTCGTCAAGGTCCTTTCCGTCTACGTCGCCTTCGGCTTCATTTTCATGGAACTCTTTTATTTCGGCGTCTGGTGTCGACCGTTCAGGAATTACTGGGCTGTACCGACACCCAACGTGCAATGCAACGCCGCAACCAACCACCTGATCACTAACGCCGTCTTCAACATCTCCTCCGACCTCTTTCTCCTCATCCTCGCCCTGCAGATGATTGTGCGTAGCAGTCTGCCAATCATGCGCAAACTCATCCTGTGCTTCATTTTCGGCCTGGGCATTTTCGTCATTCTCGCGGCTATTCTGAACAAGTATTACAGCTTCACCAATCCCTTCGGCCGTGCTTGGACTTTCTGGTACGTTCGTGAGAGCAGCACATCTCTCCTCGTCGCCAACCTTCCCTACACTTGGAACCTGCTCCGCCGCATCTTCCATCTCCGCGCCTTTAACGGCCGGTCCTCGTCTGGTACTGGCACTGTCTCTGGGGGACCTAGCCACAATGGGTACCACTCGCAGCGCACCAACCGTGCGCGCCACGCGCCAAGCATCGGCACTGCAACCACACTCGTTGCCCCGTCGCGGTGCGGCACGACCTCGAACGGCAAGGGCAGTTTTCTCCGCTCGGATATAGGTTCCTTCGGAACGGAAAGCCCCAGGAACAGCAGTCTTCAAGGGAACAAGGAGCTTGGCTATGCCGACGGCACTCTAGACAGCAGCCGTAGCAGCACGACGCGCAGCGACAAGTCGCCATTTAAGAGCTGGCGGGATCAAGAGGTCTATGGACGACAGGACCAGGAAGCCCTAGCCATGGGCGTCGAGCCCTACGACTTTGGCGCGAGTGCCGATGACGGCACTTTGAACGAAGTTGACGAGGAAACGGAAACAGGGCCAGAGAAGGAGTACGGACGCAGAAGCGGCCCTGTAGGCGTCGCCATTGAGATGCAGCCCGCTGCAGCAGTCATTGCGCCGCAGAAGTCGCATTGGCGCGACCCGGACGACGAGGCTGCTATCGGATTTCCCTTCTCAGACCATCATGAGTACCACGAGGGTGACGACGACTTGCCGTTACGCACGCCACCCCGCGCCCATTCGCGCACGTCATCTCCGCCATCACCAATGTCGCGGCAACGCTGACGTATTGCATCTTTCTCTTTTTGCATTTACTATCCGGATGTCGATGGGGCATCATGATACTACCAATTTTTTTTTTTTTTTTTTTTTTTTCCTTTGTATTATTTCCTTTGTTACACTCACGTTGCGAGTCTTGATACCCTGGCTGGAAATCTCACTTCCATGCATTTCTTTTTCTATTATTAACTTCTTGCTATTAAGCACAAAAAGACCAAAATACCTTAGACGATAGATGAGATGGCGGCGGTAGTGCGCGCGTCTATCGAATAGAAATCTATTATGACGACGTTGAGTGTCAGGATGCAGTGCGTGCATGCCCGTGTGGCGCATGCGACAATAAGGGGACTGCATAAACAGGCTTAACGCCCTTCGCTTTCGCACCACGCACTCCTAGTTATCTCGCCTATCTCTATAGGCCGAACGCCCTGACGCCCGCGGATGCGCATGATGTGAGGTGACGATAGACTTCGATTCCTACGACATTTGCCGCAGCACGCGCAGTTCCCGCGAACCAAGATTAATCAAAGCCCAAAAAGCTAAAATGGAAGCCACGCCACCGGCAAATCCACCTCGAGGGATAGTCCGGCCGTTTCTCCAGTTTCCCCGACTCTATTTCCCCGCGCTGGGTCTACTCTCCCAAGCTCCCTTCTTCCCGTTGTCGCAAGCCAGCCCGGCTCTCTCCACCTCGACCACATCCCACGTGTGAAGTCGCGCGGCCAATCATGTCCCTCGGACGCGGTTTCCGCTGAGCTGTAGCTCGCCACCAGCACGGCAGCGGCGCGGCAGCGGCGCCCGCTGAGCGTGCGAGCTTAGGTCGCGTCTACTCTAGCACTATGTCATAGGTACGAGTAGGGCACGTCGACGCTTGCACGAGTAAAGTACCTAGAGTACCGCGGCCACGCCCCTCCCTCCGCCCAACCCCTGCTTCAGGCCCCTGCAGCAGCGCGTTCCTAGCTTGCTAGCACCCCGGAATCTTGGCCTAGGTACTACATTTTGCGGCACGCTTGCGTCACTCCCGCTCGTGTGAGCAGCGGCCTGCGGGCCAGCCAGACAAGGGACAGGGTTTGTGTTTTAGTTTTGGAATAAATTTTTTTTTTCTCTTTTGCACACTGCAGGCACGGCAATTGCAAGTTTTTTCGTCCCGCGTGGCCGTGCAGTACTCTACTGCCTGCTGCTTACTCATACTCTAGGTCCCGTTGCCACCACGCGCCCTGACGCTGCGGGACTGCGGCTGGGCTCGGATCGAGGATTGCGGCTGTTTGCTGAGCATCGAGTAGAGTATTGGAGGCGTATCCGATGTCGGGGATACGACGAGTGTGCCTGCCGCTAGTGCTGGTTCAACGGCTTGCTGCGGTTATGCGGGCTTGACTCGACCTGACGCTACGGGAATAGATGCTCAGCTCCGGGCTGTCCGCCGCTGGCGTCCTGAGTAGTGTGGTGTGTTCGTTGGAAGAGGTGGGTTTGTCGCTGCGGATGACGCGGTGTGCGATGGAGACGTGGCGCGCCTGCTGCATGTGGACGAAGAGGGTTGGTGTTGACTCGTGCCTGCTCGGCTTTGGTTCTCTAGCTGCGTTGCCAGCTGTGCTTGGTCAGGCGGACGGATTGCTTACTATGGTGGATGTGCTTGGATGCTGGGACGAGGTCGGGGTTCGCGAGTTGCGTTGTCGAGTGGTTGCTGGATATGCGGTGTAGGGGTTTTTCTGAAGGTGAGTGACCTCGTGCGGCGGATGAGGGGGTTCCTCGTGCGTGTGCTTCTCCGATTGGGGTTTGCCTTTCTGAATGTGCCGGTGTGTAAGTGTGTTCTGCTTTTCTCCTCTTTTGCTTGCTGATTCTTATACATTGAATTTTTTTTGTTATTTTTTTTTTTTTTTTTTTTTTTTTTTTTTTTTTTTTTTTTTTTTTTTTTTTTTTTTTTTTTTTTTTTTGTTCTTCAATTTCTCTTCATCAGTGTGTCAAAATGAACTTGATCAATGAAATCACGTCTCGGTGATGACTATCATATTAATTATTTGGTTCCATTCTATTGGCTTTTATCACGAAATTTATGTAGTTTTCCATGTCTAGAAGACTATCATCAATGTGGATGTGCCCGAGAAATGGTATTTAAAAATGAGCGCGGTATCGTGGCTCTAACGACATCATGCTCAGGTGTTCAAAGGAGGAACTTTCTTAACGACTGTGTAATAGGTGTGTCTGGTTAGAATATATACATACAACTATAGAATATACGAAAACGTATGGTGTTGGGATGGTTCATGAGTTTACTATCAAACGCATTTTCAAATAGCCCACGACAAGAATTCACCGAACACGAGGACAAATTCGAAAACTTCCATTTCTGTGTATCTATCACTGTTAACCTAGTATCCGCCAGCGGTCACTGCAGAAGAGTCGCCCTCCGAATCCCGGTCAAGTTAGTCGTGTCCACCCCCAGCCGCCGTTTGTCAAACACTTAACCCTGCAGAAAGTGCGGCACGATAGACGGTCGAAATCTGATGCAAGCTCATAATCTGAGATGTGATACAAGTGGGGCAGGATCCTGATACCATCACGAAACAATTGTTTCAACGACATGTGGAGGTGTTCATGCAGTCGCAGGCCGGCCACGATGATCTCACGAGACCAGACGGTCTTTTTTCGGTAAGTTATGCGAATGTACAACACTGTGACACAAGAACACACGTCTATTTGTCAGCATGAGGCTGAGGATATGCAAGGGAATTTAATGGTGAAGGAATACGATATGGAACGCTCAATGCATGCTTGTGTGCCGCTGAGCGTACCGTCCCACGTGGCACAAGTTTATGGAATTTAGCTGTCCTACGTACTACAGTACAATGTATGTACGAGTCGGCTACGCCGAGGAAGCTGTATTTCCTAGAACATTTAATGTACAGGGTATAGGCCCTTCGGATTGGAACGGGGCCGCTGTGGGGCAAGAAATTTCGTTGTCACAGACAGTACAGTTTTTTGTACTTTTAGAGGCAATGAATTACGACTTAGATGCCTAGGCATAGACGTCGAATTCTAGTTCGACGTGTCTATACCCTGCAGTACGCAGATAGCAGCTTGCGAACAAATCAGTCAGTCTAAGGTGTCTTTCTCCTGTCTTCAAACAGTGATTAAAATATACGTATACCATTATAAAAGGAGGTATCTAACAGTTACCCAAGCATTCTATGTCGTCTTAGAGCAACGTTTACCTTTAGTATATAAGTGATAGCGTCCTGAATAGACCTCAACCATCAGGTACTAAGTATCTCATTCTTCGATGGTCTAGTGGTGATGATTTCCGCTTGTCATTGGACTTCCAATCAAGCGCGGGAGACCGGGGTTCGATTCCCCGTCGGAGAGTTCCTTTTGGCCCCTGGAATGGGGGGGATAAGGTAGTTGTGGTTGATTTTTTGCTTGATGAAGATTTGGGAAGACTGTGTTGATTTTTGTAGAAAACACATGAAGGAAGGCACGGCTCGTTGGAATCGAGTTAGACTATGTAAAAGGCAGTCTCAATAACCCTCAGTCTTGTGTTTAACTGCGTGTTGCTTGTCATTTGTGAATTGGGCCGAAATGTGGCGGTGTTGGTGGCAGAGATTTTTGCCGAGCAGTGCGGCGGACCAAGCGCCACGAGCCCACCCCACTGTTCATCATCACGCTAGTGACCCATTTGCGACCGTATAAATAGCTCCAGGCGGAGTCGAAAAGATCGTCCCATGATAGTACTCATACTCTATCGTTTTCTGCATACCCGTCGGATGTTATCTAACATAGCCATAACCGATCTTTGTTCGGTTGGCATTTGGCGCCACTGAAAGACACAAGGATTTCCATCCCGAGTTGAAGGCAAACACGTTCAAACGGCCAGGCCTCGTTGTATACAGATGATGCGACTAACGGTTCATATGGCTAAACTATTCTAGGAAGATGCGTATCTAGGGTTAGGGTTAGGGTTTGACTATCCGGCCAATCTTCCAAGCCCTACGTGCTCTGGGTCCTCATTTGAGAGAGTATTATATTTATTACTACTCTTAGGTGCTTCAGTTAGATGTTTTTTTTAATACAACTGGGATCGCTAGGGGAGCCACGAGACTTCTGCCACTTGCTTCAAACCACGAAATAAAGTTGGAGGATTCGAGGGCTGTGTAAGACTAGCCAATAACCTCGAGCTCGAATCCATGTCAAGTTGGGGGCCGAACGAACGAGGTTGTCACCGCCGCCGCCAACGCGGCCCTGGCGGCTGCGCCCTACTGTCCCATGAAGGTCGATATAAGAACGTTTTCTCTCATATCTGGTAACACCCAAGATCTCTGCATTCTAAGGAACTTAATCATCGATATTTTTCTATTTTCTCTAGAGCAAAACAATGGAGTTCGACTTCACGCCCCACGTATATGAGCCCCTCCCAACACCCACATCGATCCGACTCGTCAAGATCATCCGCGGCCGCGAATCAGTGCTCCCCACACTCTGCGGCTATCGGCTGATCCAATGCGAGATTAAGAGCGTGGATCTTGCCTCCGACCCCGGATACAGAGCGCTATCGTACACGTGGGACAGCCCGGAGCCGGAATGGGCGAAGCGCAAGATCGACCAGACGGCGGACGGCTACGGCGCGACCAGCAAATGGCCGATAGCAGTGAACGGGCACTTGTGCTACGTGCGCAAGAACCTGTACGAGGCACTCGACCAGCTGGCCTCGCAATACAGCGTCGACCGCCGCGATCCGGACAACTTCTACAAGACAGACCTCATCTTCTATGCTGAGTGGGGCTTTCTGGATTGCGTTGTTGACTTGATCAAGCGTGGCGCGAGCACCGGCGCAAGAGACGAGTTTGGCGAAACGCCTTTGCACTATGCGGCTGAGAATGGCCACTATGAAATTGTCAAAGAGCTGGTGCGGGCGGGCGCAGACATGAATGTATATGACACAAAGGGCAGGGCACCGATACATTGCGCTGTGCACCGAAAGCGCAGACAGTGGAAAAAGGTGATGAAGTTTCTTGAGGATGTGAGCTTCCGGCGGAAGGAACTGCTGCAGGAGCGTGGCCCGGATGAAGGCGACAATGGAGATGAGGAAGAGTTGGACTGGCAGAAGACGTTGCTCCACGTAATGGCTGAATCAGGCAGAGTGGATGCAGTGAGAACACTCTTGAACAGAGGAGCCAGCCTGCAGAGCAAGGATGAGTTCGGAGAAACACCATTGCATTACGCTGCAGAGAATGGCGAGTACAAGATCGTCGAGCTGCTGGTAAGAGCCGGTGCAGATATTACGACAAAGGACGACGAAGGCCGCATCCCGGTTGATAATGCGCTCCAGATGGAAAGGAAAGATTGGGCAAAGACTGTCAAATTCCTCCAGGATCCGGAGTATCGCGAAAGCATCCTAGAACGTCCTGAACGGGACGACAGCGAGGACGGTTCCGAGGAGTTTTTCTGGATCGACGCTCTCTGTATCAACCAAGAGGATTTGCAAGAACGTGGGGCTCAAGTCAAAATCATGCCGCAGATATACGGCAAGGCACAGTCTGTCCTGGTTTGGCTGGGAAATATGAAGAATTTTTCTAACCGATCGGGAGTAAACTACGACGAATTTAAGGCGCTGACCACCGCAATGCAGCGAATGAACAGCAAAGCAGGGGATATTGAAGGTCTGAAACGAAAGTGGCGCAGTTCGTTGAGGGCTTTCACTCGCGGAGAAGAAGACATGCCAGAGGACGGCATATTCTGCAGGGAAGAAATCTCTCAAATAACACACTGGCTTTCCCGGTCATGGTTTACCAGAGCGTGGGTGGTACAGGAGTTGGCTCTGGCGAAGAACATCAAGATGGTTGCAGCCGAGTTTGAGTTTTCCTGGTCAGAAGTGCTGCAATTTCTCTGTCTCCTTTTCCACGTCGGGTATTTTGACCCCGGATCCTTTTGGCGCTTGGACGAAGGAACAAGAACAGAAGATGGTGTGGGAGGTGACGGAAGTGAAGCGTGGAAGCTTGCTGTGATCCGGCTTCGAACAGCCAACAATCCGGAGGAGTGGGCGCTTCTCGAACGGATTTACAAACAAAACTGGACGGGGACTCCGCGTGTTCGCCGAGACCAAGGCATGCCGTTAGCTCTCCTTCTGGCCGAGACATGGAATTTTGGAACCAAGGACCCAAGAGATAAAGTCTTTTCCCTACTCAGTCTGGCAACACCCCTGCCTCATTCGAGGGAGATCAATATCGATTATGCCGCGCCGGTATCCGAGCTGTACACGGAGGTAGCATACCTGTTCCTCGACGGATCCGGAGATTCTTCAATCTATACTACAGAGGTCGGAGCTGCTGGCATACTCGAGCCATTAGAGGGACTGTCCTACGTACAAGATCCCTACGCTGGTGCAACGGCAAGATACCCTCTTCCCTCATGGGTACCAGACTTCAGCACACCGCTGGTAACAGCCCGTATCTGGAACAGAAGATTCCAGGCTGCAACTGCGCTGTCTCCAAAGTTCGGTCAAGGTGACGAGAAATCCGTGCTGCGAGTGTCAGGACTGGTGATCGACGAAGTTAAAAAACCAGAAAGAGAACCTGAAGAATTCGAGTTTCTGGATGCAGATATACACCTCCTGTTCTATTTCTGCTGCGAAGCATGTCTGGAATATGATAAGGCTGGAAACCGTGATCCTTTTTTCGTTGCCTTGCTCCGAACCCTCATGGTTGATGGACTTTGGGACGAACAGGACGAAAAGGCTCAGGTAGCAGCCATCAATTCATTCCGGACATACTTACGTGTAGCGTTACAATACCATCGCACCTGTTTATTCGGTGGCGAGGATGCCTGTTATGGACCGTATACGTATAACGAAGAAGGGATTCAGTCTTATACCGCGGATCCTGACTTCCACGAGAAGTTTGTCACAACAGTAGAGGATAAAGAGGGGGCGAACGAGCATCTCATGATATCACTGGAAGCAATGCGGACAAGAGACACAATCAATTGCCTTCCTACCAATTACGACCTCAAAATCTCCGAGATTACCAACTGGTGTAACTTCCACGGCCCGGACTGCACCATTGACACAGAAAACCAAAAGACTTTTCTCTCGGTTATGAACACATATTATCGGGTGAGAAGTCTTTTCAGGACCACCAGTGGGCGGATTGGTTTGGGACCGCAATCCATGGAACCAGGTGACAAGATCATCTTGATCGCGGGGGCGAGAACGCCATATGTCGTTCGTGAAATCGTTGAGGAGAGTGATTTCGAAAGCGATGAAGACTTGTCTTACGATGTGATAGAGCTGACAGAGGAAGACGCAATTAGCGGACAGGAAGATGAAAAAGACGATAGAGAAAAGAACCACGAGGATAACGGGGAACAGGAAAAACAGAAAGATGATGTGGAACAGAAGAACGAGGGAGACAAAACCCCTCGATTCAGGCTTGTTGGGGAGGTATATCTCCATAGTGTCATGTATGGTGAGGCTGTAACAGAAGATGGGAAAGGCTTTAGGACTTTCGAGCTGATGTAGAAGGTCATGGCCGAAGGAGGTATTTTCAAGTTTGCAAAGGAGTTTTTAATATCAAGTTGATCACTCACCGTGTTGAAGAAGAAATCGCCGCTTAGCCTTCCGATTTGCTGGGGTCACAGTATCTCGTCGCTCCCATCTCGCCTTCGTCTGAAAGCCGCTATGCCCAGATGGAAGGTCGTGCAGCCGAAACAGAAGATGCCACATGCGTGGACATTAGAGGTGAATGTTTGGACTAGTCGCGACAAAGAGCAATTGGTGAGTGGTGAGAGTCTGCTATTTTTAATCTTACTTAGGTATGTAGAGTATGGTGACGTGCTTCCGTGGGAGATTGTTGACCTGGACGCAGTTCCTGTTAGACACCATACGCCAATTTTCCGCTGCTATCCGCCAGAATTGTCATTTTGTCTTCATTCGACCAACTTATCTTTGTCTTTGTCCTTGTCCTTGTTCGCCACCACCGCGCTCTCTCTAAGAGCTTGGCTCGTTGCACTGGCCGCAGCTAAATCAGCTCCCATACATTGAGAAATGCATGAAGATTGTTTACCTGCTGAGCATTTCCATCAGCCGCTTGCCCCTTGGCACTTCCGCTTGCCTGTTGCACAGCAGTGTTCGGCTTCTGGCTCTTGGGCTGCAAGTATATGTTAGTCATTGAGCGGCAGACGGAGCATTTCCAAGGTCAACTTACTGGTGACTTCCGCCTCTGAAGGCCAGGCTGCTCTCCTGAACCAATCGTCGTTCCGTCATCCGTTCTCTCACTTCTCTTCCCAGAAGTAGAAGCCATGGTTGTTGAACTTTGTGAACAATTCAAAAAAGTTTCGAAACCGTTGGATGCACCTTTGACGATTGTTCTGCTGATGAGAGTAAGACTCCGTTCTCTGCTGCTGAACAAGAGTAAGTATCGCCCCTTGGTTTCGCCTTCCTGCCAACTGCAAGTGGAAGGGGCGTTGACGGCCATCACGCACCGTGTCCAGCTGGTACAGACTCGCCTTCCTCCATCTGTAAGTGGAAGCGGCGTTGCTGGCGATCTCACCATCATACCAGCTGCTATTGGTAGTGGCGTTGGGATTCTTCCTGTTGCTGCAACCACCACCCTATGCCCGACTACCCCCATGTTTGCTCGCTCTTTATATCTAAAAGTACTATTTTACCTCTTCAAATTCGTACTCTTGCACACTCTCGAATCTTTATGCTCTTGTGCCTTTAAAAGATACTTCTATATCCTCGTAACTTTTTGTCTTTGTATTGACTGAACGCCTTGGTCTATTTATGTATTTAGTATAGCTACCTAGACAATAAGTATTCGGTAGATATAAATTATCACATAACGGGAGGTGGGAAAAATAATCAGAAGGGATAGATGGAATTACTATTCGTCACCGCCAAGCGAGATTTATTACCCATCAAGATGACAAGATGATAATACCCGTACGGTGTAGAAACAAAACCTTTTTAGATGTTCGTAGTATGTATGCGCTTTAAGACATTTTCACTCATATTCAGAAGTTAAGCTTGTAGCTAGACAAGGAGTGTTCCATAGGGACTGATTGTGTCCCTCCCTATCTCGCTACATAGTGAATCTCTTGGTGGTGAGGGGCGTTAGTGTAGCTTCTGTGACATATCCATATTCTAGCAAGGCAGAAATGAATACCTAAGCAATCATCTATCTCATTCACGCTCTCTTTTCTCCAGCGGCCAAAATAACTAAAACAAAGCATCGCTCCCTTACGCCCATCAATGCCGCTAAATACATGGAAAAACATAACAAGACCCGTCCCGCCATACCTAAAGAACCAACTCGTCGTACTCGAACCACCGTTCCCTCTTCCTCTCCCGCTCCGCACACCCCCTCAACACCCCCTGAAACGCCTCAATCGCATCCACGACCCCCGCTCTCTCCTCCGCCAAACTGCCTACATTCATCACGACCTCTCTTCCAGCCTGTCCAGCCCGCGTGAAGAAATAGTGCTCTCCCTGCTTGTTCCAGTTACTACTCAACGCCTGCTTAAGCGCACGCATGCAGTACTCGCGCACGTCCGCAAACGGCGCCTCTGCGATAGGCGCGGGGTCGCTGGGCGGGTACGGCGAAAACGCAGCCGAGGAGCCGAGCACCGTGGCCGCGACGAAGAGACTGAAAGCATGGAAAGCGGCGAGGCGGTCGATGGCGGGGCCGGCGCGCCCCGTGCGTTTGTTGATATAGTCGACCGCGGGGATGGTGGCGGTTACGGTGCGAAAGATCCAGACGAGAAGGTGCAGCACGTGGGGTTGGTCGAGGTGGCCGGAGTGCACGATGAGCAGGTCTATGGTACGCATCAGGACGTCCAGGACAGTGGAGAGGATTGACTCCGTCGTGCTGACGCTGTCTGCATCCAGGGCGGTGTACTGGTGGCTGAATTCCTCGAGCATTTGCGTTGACGCTTGGAGGAGCGGCTTGCTGAGAATCCAGCCAGCGGTGCTGCTGAGGGACAGCTCGATGTATGCGGGGAAGATGGCTTGGAGAAGGACTTGCCGCAAGGTTGGGCGCTTGCTGTCGCCGTGCTCGAAACTTCCGAAGGTCGCTGCGCAGAGTTGGCTGACGAGATACGCTTGTTGACTATCCACCGCCGCGCGCTCAGAAACTGTTTGAATAAACACCGCGAGCTGCTTCTGGGTCTTTGTCTCCGACAGCCGTGGCACATAGCTCTTGAGTCTGCCCACGACATATGTCGGGTCTGTGGCCGGCAGAGGAAAGGCCGTTGAGTCGGTGAAGAATTTGTCTACAACGCATATATCGGACGTATGCTGCTGCAGGAATTCAACAACCGCATGCACAAACTCCACATATGTACCCTTGATGCTGGAGCCTTGCTGCAGTTCGAGATAGTGCTTCTTCATCGCCCCCATGAGCCTTTTGAGCAGGTCTGCATATTCCCTGCGAAGACCAGGCAAATCTGCATGTCCAGCTCTGATGGCCTCGTCATAAGCATTGCGCATATTTGCTAGCAGTGTGGATATCAGATTCAAACGTCGCTCACGGAGCTCCGAGAGAGTAATGTTGACGCGTTTATCTCTGTCCCTCAAGAAAGGAAAATTTTGAAGAAGAGGGTGATCAGGATCTCTGTTCAGCAAAGCAGTGGTGAGACGGTGTTGGAACTTGAGCATCGACTCTCGCTCAACGAGCGACAACACCCAAGACGTGAAGATGTCGACCTGATGCTCAGAGTAGCTGACAGGACCACGCTCCATCAAGGTGGAGATGAAGTACGGCGCGTATTTACCGGTTTGCTCGGTGTCCCGTAGTTGATGCCAAGAGATTGTGCTGTACGGGTCGAGATAACCCCCCCAACCTTTGTACTTGTCTTGTACAAGCTGGGCGGCGACTTGAGCCCACGTGTCGACCACAGTCATCAACAAGCTATCGTTTGGGGGCGCTTCAGCACCAAAGCAGCTGGAAAGAAGTTGCCACACCGACTCATGCAGAAAGTCAATCGGGCTTTGCGCTGCTGCTAAACCAGGAGTAATTGCCGCAAGTTCTTCTTCGTTAAAATCCCATGACCCGAATTCCTGGCTGTCTTCACTTGTCTGTTGGCTTTCCGCCTGCCGTGACTTTTCTTGCTCTCGTCTATTCAGGTGTTCCTGGAATACTTTCAAGACGTCAACGATCAGCGATCCGTTTTGTGGGTTTCTAGCATCGAAGAGTTTGAATAGCTCCGTGATGGTCGACTTCTGGAGCAGAAAAACAGCACATTCCAGATCATGAGCCACGGTAATCGCAGCCTTCATTCCGGCAACAGCATCCCCGAGGATTGCCAGGATCTGGGCTTGATTGTTCTTGATCGTCGATCGGAGATGATCCGACGAGATGTGATCATGGCCCTGAAACTTCATAGCCTCGAACTGGGCCTCTGCTTCGGACCTCGCGAGCCTGTATTGCGAGCTGTTATACTTAACGATTTCTGCGAACCACTCTGCAAACGGTCCGAGAGCCTCGGTTCCCTCACCCGTAGAAATTTGAAACCTGGCCAAATTAGACCAGGCGCGGACGTTGAGACGGCATGCTTCTCGATGTGACTGGGTTTGATCAACCAAATCTTGCAACAGATTAAGACGAGGCCGAAATCCTGGCGGTGACGCCCAGTACAAGGTAGAAAGCAGATCGTGATTGTTTCGAAGAGCATCAAGATCTTCTTGTCTCAAGGCTTCATCCTTGCGATAAATGCGTCTGTGATTCGGGAATAGTCGCCACGAGATGTTTTTAACTTTCTTCCCAAGATAGATATCTCGCAAACTTCTGAAACCAAGAGCAAGGATCTTCAGGAAGATGTGGAATGCCAGATCATCTGGTTGCACCTCGAGTGAGGGTTGCTGCTCCAAGTTTTCCAAAAAGCGAGGTGAGCCTCTAGATTCTTCGTTGCGGAGGTGCGCAAATTGGCGTCCGGAGAAGAAGTCGAAAACAGCAGTAATCAAGGATTCGCATTTTCTCCAACCCCAGTTTTGGACCAACCGATGGCATCTGGTCAGACAGGCGCGGAGGTAGACATTCACAGAAACGTTCCTCTGGCAGGTCTCTGGATACAAACTCGAAAGCCTTTTTATCATAGACGCCACCAGCGACCAATCTTCTCTGCTGTCCTTATACCTTTGGCCAACCATCAAGACACCAGAAGCATCGAATTCCAGGTATGGCAGCAGTGTAAAGACATCATACCACAAACTTTCGAAGGAGCCGACATGCTTGATAGTCTCCACTGGTCGATTTAGTCTTAGTTCGTTGTTGACCATTTCCCAGAACGAGTTTTTTGGTAATTCAGCAGAGATGAGAAGATGCGAAACGGTGATGACACTTTCGACTGCTAATTTGTCTTCGCGGATGCCAAGTTCCCGCTGCGCCTGTCGACGGTTGTCGTCCAGATACGCACGTAATTGGCCCATCCCGTTCCGCAAAATTGACCGAACCAAAGTCTTGCTTATCGACTTGAACAAGACGGCAATTTCTTCTTGAATTGATTGTTCCACTAGAGAGTGGCTTGCCACTTGCAAAACTTGGTATGCAAAGATGGACAGCATAAGAAGCAAACGGGCCTTGTGGTTTTGAGGCGTCAATGGTTGAAATTTTTCGTTTGAAGATTCATCCACCGAGGAGATTAGAGCAGGTGACGCGCTTTCGAGCAAATTCTGCATCCTTAGGACAAACGATCGACGATCCACCGGGTCGAGGAAATAAAGATTTGCGGAGATGTATCGTATGATAGCCCTGAAAGAACCGAATGCAGCACCACCAACAAGCAGATGACCGTGTGTTGGCAAGCTCTCTGCACAATCGTGCGTACCGTCAAGTCTAGAAACGATAGAGTTAAAGAGAATGCCCAGTTCTGTGGCAACCTCCTCGGTCCAGGAACTCCACCTGTAATAATGGCCATCGTGATTGAAACTGCAAGCGCCCGAGGGTGAATCGAGATCACGTTTCTTCAGTTCTAAAGCGCTTCGGAGTTCCCCGCCTCCTAACAGGGTACTCCCATGGTAGAATGTCCCTATGGATAAGGGGAATATGTCGAAATCAAGGGTAAATCTTCCGCCAAAAGGCAAAAGACCTTCCAAATACGGAGTCTCTACCACATGGTTATCCACAGGGATGTGTGCAGTGTCGTCAGTAACCTGTGGTAGAGGATCACTCGGTTGTCTGTACTCCCGAGTCTCGATGTCGAAACGCCGAGCTTTCAGTTTAGGCCTTCTACCTGGCAAGCGCGTTTGCTTCTTGGAAACGGCCATTTCCTCCACTTCAGGCTCCGTTCGTGGATCGAGGGCATTCGTTTCGCCCACGGCGGGTACTTCTTCCACAGTTGGGACAACACCGGGCAGTGGAAGAGGCGTTGTTTCATCTTCGTCCTCCAAGAACCGAACGATATGCGGGTTGCGGCCGCCAGAACCTCGAAATCTTTCGACAAAGTAACGGTCCATCTTAATGAGCTTTTTCTGGAAAGCTGCAGAGCGATGCTGATCGTCGAAATCATCTTCCAAGTCTTCAAGCTGCGCGGTCCTGTACACAGGTTGCTTGGGCTTCGGCTTCTGTGCACCCGGCCGTTGTGCAATGTGAAGTTTTTGCTGGCGTGCCTTGGAGGAAGATTGTGCAGTGGGCCGATTCCTCGAAACCGTTTTGGGTCTGGCTTGTTGTTTGCCTGTACGACCGCTTTGAGCTCGAGCAATAGCAGCATGCAATGGATCCAGATCGCTTTGGGCGCGATTATCGTCAGCCGCCTTCTCTGGAGAGGGCAACCACTGTTGTTGCATCTGCTCTTGTTGATTGTCAACGCGATCAGCCAATGGATGGCGTGCGCTCGCAGAATCATTTGGTTTCGAATGCCGCGCCACGGGGAGAATAGTACCGGCCCGCCATTGTCGCAAGGAAAGGTTTGCATCTTCCGTATCAGCCTCAGTATGGAGTCTGACATGCTTGTTGCCCGGGCTGTGTCTGCCCTGGTTGGGCTGTCGACGAGCTTGGCGAGCTGCAAGCTTCAGAAACCTTGGCACTGGTGCTGGTCCAGGAGCGGATAAAGACGGAGCATCAAGTATACTAAGTCGTGATGCCTTAAATTTTGGAGCCGGCTTAGGTCGCGGTCCGGCGCGGCCATTGGACTTATGCTTATTTGAGGGCGCAGGACGCATCCTAGCAGACACTGCTGTTTCGGACTTGTCGAGCTTTGGGCGTTTAGATCGAGGAACAATCGCATCTGTCAATCTCGTTTGCCGTTTTTTGCTTGGCTTCGTTCGCGGTCGACGTGTGGCGGACGGTAACATTGGATCAATGAAGTCATGCTCATAGATATCGAAGCCGTCTTCCATGAGTATGTCCTCACCAAAATCTCTTTCGAAATTGGCCATTGGAAGACGACGCGCCGGTCTCGCCTCTGTTGATGGCATATAGCCATCTGAACGATCAGAATCATCATCCACAACAATGGCACCTCCACCATCCACAGGCTCAGTAGAAACAACCGGATCATCGCGATCAGAGTCCGGCGCAGGAACAACCGTCGGCGCCCTAGACGAAGCCATGGATGAGGTCCGTCTGCGTCGCCGCGGGCTCGGCGGAGGTTTTTTGGATTGAGCTTGCTGATCGAGCCTGAGCCATGAGGCGGGAAGAACGCCTCTGATACGTTTTTCCTCAGGCGACGATGATGAAGAATCAGAAGACACATCCACAACTGCAGAAGGCACGCGTCTGAAAGGCCTTGCCGTACTCCGAGGGGGGGTATCCTCATCAGATTCGCTCTCAACCACTCTCCTACGATGTGCCTTCGTGGATGACGAAGTCGTAGGTGTAGGTGGTTGAAAGGGAGCTAGACCCGGCGGCATACGAAAAGGACGAAGCGTCGCCAAGGTGGCCGGTAAAGGCGGAGTCCTAGAGGCTGGCGGTGACGGAGGAATATCGAAGTGATCTCTAGAGCCTTCCGCAACATGACTACCATCCTTACGCGGCTGCACGAGCGAGCCCGACTTACCGTGGGCTTTCCCTTTGTTTGTAAAAGTCCGCATTACTTTACGTTTCTTGTGCCCTTGCTGGCCAGCATTTTGGATAAGAACACTTAGTTCTGGAAGATCATCATCGCTTCCAATATTGAACGGATCGTTCCCTGAATCGAATGGTCTTGACAAATCATCTAGAGATATTGGAGCGATTTCTGCTGCCGGAGGTGATGAAAGAATAGGTTGTGAGCTGTGGCGGACACTGCTTGACTGCGTGTTGGCAAGGAAATCCCGATCTTGCGAATCCACGTTCTGTGTCTCCGTATGGTGTCTAGGTTGTGTCCTTTCTAAATGAACCGGACGTACGCCCCGCGCTTTTAGCATTTGCCGATATTTTTCGTTTTCCAGCAAATAAGGATGCAGTTGCAAAGGGTTTCGTTTCCTCAACTCCCTCCTGCCTCGAGAGCTAGTACCCTCACCATAGACGTCGACAGCGCGAACGGTCTTCTGTTCTTTCCGAGGAATAGCCACTTCTACCCGTGTCTGCCCAGCATTGTGACTATTTTCTGGCCTTGCTCTTGGTGGTGTCAGGTCCTGAGTGGGCGCGACAGGTGGCGATGACGGTATGTTGATCTCATCGATATCTGATCTAACATCGCTGAGTGGACTAGATGCTTTTGAAATATGCTCATCTGTGAGCATTGGCCAGTCGGCTTGCAATTCGTCCAGATCGTCGTCCTGCGGTTGAGGTGTTGAGGACCGAGCGTGCAATTCGGCGCCGCGTCTCGATGTCGAAGATTCTTTTTGCAGAGCCCTGGGGACATCAAGTTGTGCAGAATCCTGAGAACTTCGGGTTCTTGGAGGCTCGTTGACCTGGGCATTGACGCTCACGTTGCCCGTTGGTTCGGAGGTCAAACTCTGCTGACTCCTAGGCCTTTCTGGAGAGGTGGCAACTTCGTCCGAATCCTGCATTGGAGAGCTCGTAGGCACCGACAATCGTCTAGGAGGCTTTGGTGTTTCCTCGCTGCGCTCCACCGTCTCCGGGCTCGAGTTGAGTTGGCGTTCGGCGCCATCAGGAAGAACTTCTTGCGATGGGTCCACTTGGGGGGCGAGAGGCGTTGAGGAGGCAGGGGCTCCATCGCTCGTAACAACGTGAGGGGTTACAGATTGTTGTAGTGATTTCTGGGTATCAGGTTCGCTGGATAGGTAAACTTCCTCCTCTTCATCCGAGTCCTGGACATATCCTCTGACACGCCATTCCGACATCGAGACAGGCGGGCATAGCGGTTTGGCGCTGGAAGATTGAGGCCAGAGAAGATGCGGAACGTGGTGGAGATACAAAGTGATGTACCTCGAGGCGAGACGCGCCCACGCGTCTGAGCCTTATCGATAAGAGTAGCGCGACAAGGCATCAGTGCTGACTAAGGGCTCTAGTTTTCGACCGAGAGCGTCATTATCTCACAGCTGTCAGAACCATCGCAGGAAAATCAGGAACCATGTCCAACTTTCGGAATGCTGTTCCCCTTCTCCTGGTGGCCTTGTTAGGCATTGGCAACGGTAGCGAAATCCTGATGACATGTCGGCAGTTACTAACATTGTCAGGCATATATGTCTTTGATCCTGCTTTCAAAGAACAAGCGCAGGAGAAATACAAGGACCAGCATCAACCGTAAGATTTGTTAACATGGTCATCAGTCTACTTACTAAAAAAAATTAGGGTCTCATCTAAACCGGACAACGAGACTACAGAGGCGCCCGCCGAGACCATCGCCAAAGACTCGAAGCCATCTCCTCTGGAGGTCGCGAACAAGAGCGACTCTACGAGCACCCCGTCAGCAGAGGGAGCGTCATCTTGGGGGTCGCTGTTGCAGACCTTGAGTTGGTCACGGGCTAAAAAGCCTGAGCTGGAGGCTTCACCAATTAGTGATCAGCAGCAGACTTCGGACAATCAGTCGAAATAGTGTACAAGATTATATTTATATCCAAGCAACCTTTTTTTAGTGGCAGTGGTCTGACATTGCGCTTGTTTTTTAAATTGACCGAACTTGCGCGGACCAATACCTTCCGAACCAGTTGCAGTGCCATTCCAATTAATCATCTATCACTGTTTCGAACGCCTGATAAGTGTAGGTTGTTTAAAATGACAATACTCCGCTGACGTCCAAGACAAACAGTCAGCCTGTCCAATTAGCGTCCGTCACCGTTTAGCGAGATCCACCGCCTAACAAGATAGCGATGCTTGTACGGAGTGGAAAGTCAAGACAATTGTCGCATATGTGCGTGCTAAAACCTTCTCGCTCGTATCTAGGACTCAGACTTGTAGCTGGAGAGGAGTGTCCTATAGGGACAATTTGCATCGGTCCCTATGTCGCTAGACGGCGAATCTTTCTCGACAGTGAAGAACGTTATATGGCTTGGGCTCACTGTATAACCTCATGCAGAGAATTATCACGTGGTGTTAGATCAGTGTATGCTTCCTGAAGCCAATTGATCTTATTTTATATTATTCGGAAATCCTATAAATAGCCTTTGTGGAACTCAGTGAAATAAATCAGCACCAGGTCGGTATAATTGGTCACCTGACTTAACCGTGTCAGGCACCCAAGTGTCGCCCTTTTGGCTCAATCGACGCCCTTTAGCGACAAGCTTACGCGAGCACTTGCTCGATATGCCATTGGTCTGGCTTTAGGTGCCGTAGCGTGAGCTGCAGGAAACAACGGCCCTTTTTGCGCCCTTTGCCCTTCCGAACTGGGGAAGCCCATGAGACTAAAGGCGACGGACATGCAATAGCGTCCAACTTGCAGAGCGCCCTTCGGCTTTAGATATAACGTCGATGCATACTATCAGGAGATTCACCTGATTCCTTTTGTGGCTGTAGTGGTTGTTATGACTGCCGATATCAGTTCCAACCGTGGTTCGTTTTGTTTGAAGCTTCAATCGTCTCCAATGTTACCCAGAAAGCTCGCAACACACTTAGCCAGATCTATGGCACATTGAGGGCCAGGATCGAGCAGTATTTTGTTGCGCTTATACAGCTGGAGCAGTTGGTGGGGTGGCTGGAGGTGTGGGGGTAGGTGCACGGGAGGCCGCCAAGGCCCGTCCTCGCTACCTGCCCATATAAACCCTACCATCCCCTCTGCGCTCCTAGGTTCCTTCTTTTCCTTGGTTCATGTTCGCCTTTGACGGACTCACCTGTCAACCAACGCTACCGTGCAACCCTGCCATAAAAATCCCCATCATTATCCTTCACCTAAAATGGACCCTTCGCTTGCTGGTGTTGGTGCTTGGGCCTACACTGACTTCCAACTCTTCCCGTCGTTGTCGAAGACACCATCGCCTCCTCCAATCTCCAAGGATGCAGCAAAGGCTGCCCGCACTCCAGGAACCACTGTGCATCAGAGTCAACGACGCAAAGTAATCGATAGAGATGCCCACGTGGACGTATCGAGACAAATGCCAACAACCTCGCCGTCGACAAGAAAGAACACCATGTCATCAAACGCATCTGTCTCTTCAGCGTCCGACAGGAGAACTTCAGCATCTAGCAGCACCAGCCTGTCCGTCAGGGGATCACGTGATACCAACCTGGGCTTGTCTCATCTGCAGACCTCTGGGCCATCCATACATCCAACATTGGAGGAGCCTGGACAAGGAGAAGCGGCTACTGTTGATATGGTAGCTCTGAGCGGCAATAAAACAAGCAGATACGAACCTCCGCAAGCCCCAAGGTCTGAACGCCTATCGACACCAGACTTGGAGCCGGTAGACGCCTGGGCCTTCTGCGATTGTTGTGATGGATCAATTCCACCGAGATTCTGTGCACAATGCAGTTGGATGATTGGGAGGCGATAAACTGGACATTGCAAGCCATGCTCTTTTGTTTTCCGGTGTAGCTCGTTATCAGCTAGATTTGCCCTTACGTCAGGCGGGACGGTATGCCATCGAGCGGCTCCTTGAAAGTGACGTGTTTACCACCGTCGGGCGCATTGCTCAGCTTATTTTTCCTATCGTTGGTAAATGGTTGGTTTTCAGTTCCTCACATGTCTGGAAAGCGGATATTGGACCTGATCAAGTTGCATGCCGGTTTCGTAGGCGGCCAGAGGTATTTCTTCGAACAGTATGATGATTTCTTTTGGGCATAAGATTTGATGTCAGCATTGCTCTGATAAGTTTGGGGGTTGAGAGGTGGTGTTTTCCAGTCATTTGAGTGTCCATATACACACGGACAAGCTCCTCGGCCGAAGATTGATGACGAAGGCCGCTGAAGTGTCAATCCTTCAAAATCTAGCAATAAATCTTAAGGGAAGTCGAATATAATGACAGTATGAAAAAGGGGATTTATGATGAAGAATGAGGCTTTCCGCTATCGACGACAAAATACTTGCCCATCTTCTTCTCTGCACTACCCAGAACATTCCAATCCTCGGCATCTTTTGTATCCACCACGCCTTCGCGTCTGTGGATTCTCTTATAATGCTTCCCTAAGACCACTTCGTTGTCCAGCGCCTCCTTTACACTGTCTAAAGATATTTCGATCTCTTTGCGCGCCGCAGTAGTCTCATCTCTGATGGCACGTAGTGGAGTCACGTCTTTCGTATCGACTTCCTGAATCGCCCGTACAAAGTGCAGCTGCGAGGAAAGTGTCTTAAGCATCTGAGCTTCTTCCTCGGGGGTTTGAGGTGCAGGAAGCGCGGAGAGATTGAGCAGGTGCCGTAGTTGCTCGGGAGTGATCGCAAGTGCGGGGTCGGTCTGTTCAGAAGAAGGCAGAAGCGACTTTACGGACCAAGTAGGCTTCGAGAGAAGGGCCTCAAAATCCGTGGTGCTGGATGTGGAGCTGTAACGCAACGTCTCAAAGAGAGGCCTGCGCATAACATGGCGATATGATAGCGAGGGTTGCAGCTTTGCGCTCCGGAAAAGAGTGGAAGGTCGAAACATTATTAGTCTGTGAATCTGTGTCAGCTTTGCGCCAGGCGAGAACGACATGTGGATGTCGTTCGAGAAATGACACGGCTTGGTCACCATGCCATAAAGCGAGCAGAATATCATACCTGAGCAGTCTCGTGCTCGCTGCTGGTGCGAATCACTCCATGCAGTGTGGTGTTTCAAAGACGAAGCTTGAGATGAAGTCGTCGCATGCCAGAAGCGGACAGGCCCTTATCGATTAGACAGCGTCAAGTGGGCTGTCATGCCAAGCTGCGCCCGCGTGAACCAACAACTCACTCCCGAACAACCCAGCTTCCGTACACACTCAACCCTCGACCGCTTGATACCCGACACCCCGAAGATCTTCTATACAACATGGCACAAGCAGACCCCCGCGCGCTGCTGCAAAAGGCAGACAAGGCCCTTGCCTCAGCTGGATCTGGGTTCAGCCTCTTCGGCGGCAGGACTGAGAAGTATGAGAATGCAGCGGAACTTTACAACCAGGCCGCGAACGCCTTTCGACTGCAGAAACAGGCCAAAGAGGCTGGTCTGGCTTTTGAGCGCGCCGCTTCGATACAACAAAACAACCTGAACGAGCCCGACGACGCGGCCAACACACTCACTGAGGCTTTCAAGACGTACAAGAAGACAGACCCCGAGGATGCTGCTCGCTGCCTTGACACGGCCATCAACCACTATACCATGAAGGGCAACTTCCGGCGAGCAGCGACATGGAAGCAGAACTTGGCGGAGCTGTACGAGGTCGAGGTCGGCGACCAGAAACGTGCGATGGAAGCTTACGAGATTGCCGCGGGTTGGTATGAGAGTGATAATGCGGAAGCATTGGCAAACAAGCTCTTCCTGAAGGTCGCAGACCTGGCCGCGCTGGAGGGCGACTACTACAAGGCGATTGAGAACTTTGAGCGCGTCTCCAAGTCGAGCATCAACAACAACCTGATGAAGTGGTCGGTCAAAGAGTACTTACTCAAGGCAGGCATCTGCCACTTGGCAACCAACGACATGGTTGGTTGCAACCGTGCGCTGGAGAGCTACCGCGACCTCGATCACACATTCCAATCGACAAGGGAACACCAGTTGATTGTGGACCTTGCGGAGGCCGTTGAGGCTGGTGACCAGGAGATGTACTCCGAGAAGCTATTCCAGTTCGACCAGGTATCCAAGTTGGATAAGTGGAAGACTACCCTCCTACTACGTGTGAAGAGCGGGATTGAGGAGAAGGGTGAAGACTTTTCGTAAACGATACCATTCAGATTGGATTTCTTGTCGGTTTATCGGTTTAAGTCAGCATTGTATGCAGGCGTTGGCAGGAATATAGCAACTGCGTGGACCATGCTTGGCACGACGAATGGACCCAACATACCACGAGTAAACATGTTGTCATTCACATCCCAAAGTGAGCAGTGGTTTGTAGACATGAAAGTGCGTCAAGTCGCTCCTGATTTAAACATTAGAGATACTGCGATTAAAATACTTATGAGTACTACGGCCTAGAACTTGAGCTCGTAGCTAGGTGAAGTAGTTCGTAAGGGTATCATGTAGATCATACAATACCTACCCCTCCGACCGTAGTACAACGTGTAAGTCTGTAATGTCATCTACAACAACAACAACAACTGCGGTGTTACTTCATTCATTCCTCAAACCCCTTGCAGAAGCACGTGCATCGCGGGGCTGATGGCCGAGCGGCCCGAGCTGACAAGCCATATCGTCATCCCGCTCCGTCATTGCCGTCTTCCTGGAACCACATCATTCCTGATTTGCACATTTGTCAACGACAAATGGACCGTCCTTCCAACTTCTTTCGAACAAGCCTTAAGAAAACAAACAACTAGCCCAAATTCAACCTCTAGACGTCTCCAAAATGAACAAACTATCCGACAAGTTGTCCTCAATCGGGGGCCAGAAAAAGGCCTCTAGCGAAGATGACCAGAGCCTCGTTACTATCCTCGAGACCCGGGAGCTACGCGGCGAGTTGACTCTGCTTGTCGCCAACTGTACCGAGTCACAGCGCAAGACCATCACCGATGCGTTCGACGCCAGTCTCGTCGGGCAGCCCGCGGACACGGAGGCAGAACTCAAGGTTGACGAGACGAAGCCAAACCCCAACGTGGACCTGGCGAATGCAGACGCTGACGCTCTGGAGAAGCAACGGAAAAAACAGAAGACGCGGGAGAAGGAACTGAGTGCACCGAAGATGCAGGAGCTGAAGTCTGCTGCACTTGAGTTCTTTGATGAGTGGAGAGAATCGGTGCTGCTTCGTGTGGGCGATGTTGTAAATTCGAGGGAGACAGCATCAGACCAGAAAAATAAGGCGATCGCATCCTCGCCTCCGAAGCGAAGCACACAGACTCGAAAAGTTGGAGAAGAGGACGAAGCGGCCGGTACGGTGCTGAGGGAGCTATATCCGCCAGTCTCAACCCCTTTGGCTGAACTGGAGGAGGCAAAGAGAGTGCTGGTACTGCATTCTATGCTTCTGCTGCTGCTGAGTTTGGAACATTACTCCAGTCACTCACGCATCTTGATGCTGTATCTGACGAGTAGCCTGAGGCTGCCCCTTCGCTATTTGACAGAAGATGAGACCAAAGTGGCAACGGGACTGTTGGAAGCTGCGAAGCAAATGAACGCAGACGAAGAGACGAAGAAAAAGGCAGAGGAGAACGCTACGAGCAGGAAGTGGAAGGTTGGCTTGGCCTCCGTTGCTGGTGCGGCCCTCATTGGTGTTACGGGCGGATTGGCTGCTCCTTTGCTAGCCGCCGGTGTCGGTAAGTCTGTTCACCGCTTGCCTATCATCCTTTACTGACAGCGTAGGTACCGTAATGGGTGGTCTTGGTCTCGGCGCTACCGCTGCAGCCGGTTATTTGGGCACGCTCGCCGGAAGCACCGTTCTCGTCGGTGGCCTCTTTGGCGCATATGGTGGGAAGATGACAGGCAAAATGGTGGACGCATACGCAGCAGAAGTAACCGATTTCGGCTTCGTCCCCCTCGGACGTCACAGGGCGATGAAGAACGAAAAGGAAAACCGTAGACTTCGCGTCGCCATCGGCATCTCTGGCTGGCTGACAGAGAAGGGAGACATCGTCGCACCCTGGCGAGTCATCGACAACGGGATCGAGGGATTTGCGCTGCGCTTTGAGCTGGCAGCGCTGATGAATCTCGGCAACGCAATCACCACGATGGTCAAGAGTGCGGCATGGGGCTTCGCTAAGAAGGAAATTATCAAGCGGACTGTGTTTGCCAGCTTGTCGGCCGCCCTGTGGCCCATTGGCCTTCTGAAAATTTCACGTGTTGTCGACAACCCATTCAGCGTTGCCAAAGCCAAAGCCGACAAGGCGGGAGAGGTACTCGCAGATGCGATCATCAACAAGGCGCAGGGCGAGCGGCCCGTCACACTCATAGGATACAGCCTGGGCGCCCGTGTTATCTACACGTGTCTCCAGAGTCTCGCCCAACGTAAAGCGTTCGGCCTCGTCGAAAGCGTTGTGCTGCTCGGCGCACCGACGCCCTCGACGGGAGCTGATTGGCGACGCTTGCGCGCCGTGGTAAGCGGTCGCGTTGTCAACGTATACAGCACAGATGACTACGTTCTTGGTTTCCTGTACCGCACCAGCAGCATCCAGTACGGCATTGCTGGTCTGCAGAAGGTGAGCGGTGTGCAGGGTATCGAGAATGTCGACGTCAGTGAGCTGGTCAGCGGACACACACGCTACCGTTACTTGACAGGTCAGATTCTGAAGAAGATTGGCTTCGAAGACGTCGACCTTGTACAGGCAGACAGAGAGGCTGAGCAGATGCGGGCCGAGGAGGCGAAGGAAGAAAAGCAGGGCGAAGAGGGCACCAAGGACCCCGAGCTAGAGGCACTAGAGATGGAGCAGGAGGTGGAACAGAAGAGCAAGAAGGGTTTGATGGGATGGACGAAGGATAAGTTGAGTTTGAGCTCTGGAGGCGCTGCGGGCGACATCGGTACGGTTGGCGGCGCACTCTTCTAGATTCGGGCGCGTTTGATGCTCGATGACCGTTATGTCAGAGCATACTGTTGGCAAACGGCTCATGGCAAGCACGAAAAACTGTGAAGGCGAAAGTAGATCCTTAAAAACACGTATGTGGTATATCAAGTTTCAGGTATCTCACTCAACACACATCGCCAGCTTCACTCGGCGCCACGTGTGGACGTGAAATGATCGACGTGGGGTTGTTCAAACGTGGCGACGCTACATGTCGTCACTTGTGAGGCATCACTTGAAGGTCCGGATGTGCTGTGGCACGGAGACGCGGATGATGAATGTCGTCACTTTGAACATCCGGATGTGTTGTCGATTGAGCGCAGATGACGGGCGCACTGAACTGAGGTTGGAGTGGACGCCTGAGGGTGCTCATCCACTAAGCCGAGAGATGGATGCCAGATCGGCTGGCCCTGGGCTTCGATCAAAAGCATCCGCAGTATCGGGTTTGGCAATGACGGCAAGGCAAAGTGCGGGGATGGATGGTTGGAGGAGAGGCGTTCCTTGCAGTCGGCTCCACTCGGAGAGATGATCGCTTATCGTTTCTGTTAATAGAAGGCTCGATCCAGGTAGAGTAAACGAGCTGCGCAAGACAAGAGGACGAGAGTCAGGGTGAAGGGGAATAGGAGATGAGACGGGATGAATGGACCGCATGAATGCCATGGTTTGTGATAAACGAGGACGGGGTTAAGGCGGCTGAGTGTGTAGGCAGCCAGAGGGTTGGACGACGGTAGGTAGGCTGAAGGGTTCGGGGGTGCGACCGCGGCGGTGGGTGATGGACGAAGGGTTTAACGGAAAGGATTAGCTCCCGCCCCCACAGAGCGTGGATGTGGAGTCGTGAGATGGATGGAAGGTGTCGTGGAAAGACCGGCGACACGACCTCAAACGCCCGTGCGACCCCTGAAGGGCCAGCTCCAAGACTAAACGCCTGCCGTAGTATTGCGATGAGCTTGCAGCCACCGCCGCCCGTTAACCGCGGGAAGGCTGGTTGGCGGCGTGCCTAAAGGATTCAAAGTGTCGTCAACCTGTCGTGCGTCCTGGCTGCTCGAAACCTCCATCCACTACTGCACTCTTCTCCCGCCTCCGGTTTCTGCGCTTCTACTTTTTTTTTTTTTTTCCTTCTCCTCATCGTGATCCCCACCGCGCGCCCATTCGCACAGCACGTTCGTACGAGTGGTACCTGCCGCGGTGACAACACATTCTTCCGCTCATCAGACCCCACCGTCGCTCTGGAGACCCACGCCTGCTATTCTACTCTTGACGCGGAAAGCGCAAAGGGGATGCAGCTTTGGCAGTCGTGCTGAAATGCCGCATTTGCCTATTAGTAGCTGCTATCATCATCCGTGGTACGAGCTGAGCTTCCCACATCCCGGACATGTCACTCACCCCGGCCCATCAGAACGTGATGAGCTCAGCTCTGCGCTTGACGCCCTCAAGCTCGTCCTTCCCCAAGAGCCCGGCCGTCAAGACGCCCAACAAGGCCGCCCGCTCGGATCTCACCCTCTCCCTCCGCCAGGTCATCGGTGCGACTTGCTGCTCCGGCAATGCCTTTGACAGCTTACCCGCCGAGCGCACTTTTGCCTTTACCGCCGGCGCCGCGGCCGTAATAGCTACCGTCGATGACGACCACAACGTCGCACAACGTTTCTTTAGGGCCCGCCCGACGACGTCCGGTGTCAACACCACCTCGTCCGTCTACGGCTCCCCCGCCCCCGCCAGCGGAAGCACCCGTTCGCCGGCGTCGCTGCGCGATGCCTCGCCGAATGCTGACGACAGCGGCCGGAATACGGCGCGGGAACGCATCAAGGCCGCGACATGCGTGTCCTTCAGCCCCGATGGAAAATACCTTGCCGTGGGAGAGGCAAGTAGCCTGCCTGATGTCTGGTGACACTGCTCTGACCTGAGACAGACCGGCTACAAGCCCCGCATTTTACTCTTCTCCACCGCCAAGGATGCTGCTCCTGACGTCCCCTTGACTACCATGTCCGAGCACGCGTTTGGTGTACGATGCGTTGCCTTTAGCCCCGACTCACAGTACCTTGCCAGTTTAGGCTCGGCGAATGACGGCTACCTCTACATCTGGAGCCTGAACTCCCGGACTGGGGCCGCCGCGCTCCACGCCAGCAACAAGTGCACAAACCATGTCAACAAGATGGTGTGGTTGGGCAACAGCCTGGTGGTGGTCGGCGTGAGACATGTCAAAGTTTGGCGGACCGATGAGGCTCACACGCATACGCCAAGCAAGTCACGACAGAGCGATGCTAACAACTTCTCTGGAGCGTCACACAACAGGACGTTGACGGGAAGGAACTGCCTCCTGGGCTCGCTCCTGGAAGCTAACTTTACCTACGTGACGGCAGTCGCCCCTACGACAGCAATCATCTCCACGGACAAGGGAGATATTTGCGTCTTGGACGACCATGAACGTACCCAGCGTTTCCACAGGGCTGCCGTTGTCAACTTTGGCGTGTCGGCGATGGCAGCTGGTGCGGACGGGCGCTTGCACATTGCTGGGTTCAACGGCGAGACGGCGACGATGGACATCAAGAGGCTGCTTGAGATGACTCCTCCGCCGTCCCCGACTTCCCGCGAATCTTCGCCCTGCCCCTCGCCCACAAGCCCCACCTTCAAGGAGAGCACTACCCATCTTATCGCCATGGCTCCCATGAACGATTACCTGGTCACGCTTGACTCGAAGCGTGCTATTCGTCTGGTCAAGATCGAGGGTGATGACCAGAGTGCGCCTACCACTACTGTTATCCAGCAACTGCCGGCCCAGGGCGAAGGCGTCCTGGGTGTACGTGCGCTTCATCTTCAGAACTCTTTTGACGCTTCTTTTCTTACCTGGTCCGCTGGCGGAACAATCATGTTTTGGGATCAAGACGGTTCTAACAAGGGCAACATCATCGTACCTCTTGAGCAGGCTGGCAACTTTGATGAGCCCAACGAGCTTCGGGTGGTTCAAACATCCCCTACCGCTAGTTTTATAGTGGCAGGGGACAAGTATGGTCTACTAAGGTTTGTGTGTTTCTCCAAACCGACTACAAATTACTTACTGTGTGCTCAGGATCATCGACTGCGAGACCGGAGCAAACGTCTACAGCTTCAAGGCTCACTCGAGTGAGATAACCGACATTGCAGTCTTCGAGGGAAATGTCACCATGATTGCGACCGCCGGAAGAGACCGTACGGTCCAAGTCTTCCAAAAGACGGACGATGAGTGGGACCTTCTTCAAACTCTCGACGAGCACGTGGGCGCAGTCACCGGTGTCTTGTTCTCCAACGACGGCCAGCGCCTCCTATCTTCGTCTGTGGACCGCACGGTTGTCGTGCGTGACTACATGACGAGGGACGAGGATGGCGTAGTCGTCACCGCCTTTGTCATCCTTCGCACCGTCACTCTCAAGTCTACTCCTGCCTCGGCTGTCCTCGACATTGACAGAGAAGATTCTTTGATCGTTTCTACTGTCGACCGGCATGTTCACAAGTATGACCTGCGCTCCGGCCAGCACATGAGCAGCTTCAAGACTACGGATTCTGACAGTGGTGACACCGTCGCTCTGTCTTCTCTGGTCCACATCTCGACCGGCAAAGGACAAAACGCCATCGCTGGAGTATCGAGTACGGACAAGTCTGTACGCCTCTACGAGGAGAACGGCAACCTTCTCGGCCGTGACTGGGGCCATACCGAGGGCGTCACCGACATTGCGGCGCTGACCACTGGAGACGCGGAGCAGAAATGTCTAGTCACTGTTGCGGCAGACGGCACTATTTTCCTCTGGAACCTGGACTTTAGGCCACCTCAGCAGCGGAATTACGAGGTTGCGAAGTCTTTGGATCTGATGGGAGTCTCTACGCCGAACAAGAATCTGCTCTCGACCAAGCAGCCTTTGCGTCGCGTCATGTCCCAGTCCGAACTCGCCAAGTTCCAGAGGGCTGGTGAGGAAGATGGCACGCACACTCCGACGGGCAGCCGGTCCCCGAAGCTCAAGAAGAAGGGATCCAAGATTTCGCTGCACGGAGCGCCGAGATTGGAGCCCTCTCCGATTCACAGATCCAAGGAGCATCACTTGAGAGGACAGCACAGCAACAGGTCTTTGAGGAACAGCAAGACGGGCCGGTCGCCGTCGCCTCAAAGCCCCAAGAGCCCAAAGAGCCCAAAGAGCCCGAAGAGTCCGAAGGCGGCGACCGCGCGGAGGTCGTCGTTCGAGTCGCGCCTCGAGTCGCGCCTTGACACGCGACCGAGAGACAGGAGCTTCGGGAGCAGCTCCAAGGAAAACAGCACCCTTAGCCACTCCACGGAGCAGCTCTGCCGCACGCTTCGCTCGTACAGGAAGAGGCTCCAAAACTCGTCGGACAGCATTGGGGGCGAAGCGGCGAAGGAACTTGAGCGGGAGCTGAACCTGACCGCTCAGGTGGTGGGCGAGAAGGCGAAGAGCAAAGTCGTCGACGAGTCTGTCATGGTGCGACTCTTGGACCAATACTCGGAACGCCTGGTGGAGATGCTGGACCAGAAGATCACTCTGAGCGTTGCGCAGCACATGCGCAAGTTCAGCGACAGCGCGGTGTCGGCCGACTCGGCCTCGGTGCCGAAGGTGGTCGAGGAGAGCGACAAGGCCAGCGTTGACGACGACGATGTGGAGTAAACAGGGGAAGCGAGGAGAGGATCACGGAGGAAAGCGGGGAGGAGCGGAGGAAGACCCGAGGGGTTAGGTGCTTTGTTTTGTTGGCGTTTTCCAAAAAGCGAGCATTGCTAGGCGTTGGAATATGGGCGGACAAACCGGCGGACACTCGCTGAGACCCAGGCACATGGCGTTTTTTGTTTTTTATGGCGTTTTTTCTTGCTCACTTCTTTTTTGTTGCACGGCTTTTTCTTTTGGCTTTTTGCGCAGGGCGCATTGGAGGCATCCCACCCACTCACTCGTCAGTTCGTTTCATATGTTTGCTACCACAGTTGTTGTATGCATACCCCCGCCGAGTTTAGTCTTAGAGCCCGCCAAGAGCCGGCAAGGCCAGCGATCCATTCATCCGCACCCGCATCTGCAGGCAGCGCCCGCGTCGCCGAGGCTTGAAGTGACGACTAAGGATTCGCCGAACTGAGCCCGACCGGGGAAACCCTGGCTTTTCCATGTTTTTGGTCTTGTGTTGCATTCCATTTCTCCCACGTTGTTTACGGAGTACGGAGTACGGGGGTCAGCACGCAGCTTCCATGCGACTCAGCACTACGGACTATTTGTGCTACCGCCGGTGTTTGTCTCGTCGGAGTCGCTGTTAGATATAAAGTGGAGGCGCCCGGCTTTGCTTGCTGTTGGTGCTGGTGGTGGTGATGCGGGGGAACTGTGCCGCGCGATGCGCGGTTGAGTGGCTTGGATGGATGACGGGGCTGCTGCTGATGTCTTGGGGTGTCTAGGTAGGTGGGGGTGCTCTAGTTGCTCAAATGTGTTCGGTGGAAGGGCTTGACGGCTTCTATAAGTATGAGGTCTACTGAAAGGCTTTTGTTTGCGAAGCGAGAAAAGTGACTTTGCTGACTTCGATTAACTTAACTCTACTCTGGTATTTATAGGTAGATAGCCGTCTACCAATTGTGTAGATGAGTACTATCTAGCAGTAGGTAGGTACGCCAAGACAAAGATGAGGGGTGCCAAGGTGAGCCCTGATTGTGTCTGACATGCGTACAATGAGAAAGGGATCTTTAGCTATCCATCTCGGCGAAACCAGATTGGGATGCAGTTTTGGACCTTTCACCTTTCAGGAACTTCCATGTTTCCCCGGGGCGTCGCACGTGCATCAGGGTCCGTCAGGCCCGCTAGGCCGCACAGAGGACCACACTTCCGCGCAGGCGGCGGCGGCGCGGTAAAGATGGACGATTGATGATGACACGGGCGGCCAATGGGGCAGCGGATGACAGTCAGCTGCCAGTCGGCCGCGCCGTGGCAGTACTCCTAGGGCGCCATGTCTTGGGAGGCACGGAGGGTGCAAAGTAGAGAAGTCTTGAAGAGCTCCATTCCCCCTTTCTCGTGTCGTCGGCCTGTCGGGGGCCAGGATCCGACACAATGGAGAGTGGGCATGTACGTACAGGGCCTTGCTTGCTTGTTTTTTTCCAAATCCCAACGAAGGTCGAAGCTGGGCCCGGGAACGGGGGTGGGGTGCAGCTACGCCCTGCCAACTGCAGCAGATGCATGCGCGCTCCCCCAACGACCTGTCGTCGCAAGGTCGGAGGCGACTTTGGCCCGACCGTCAGTCCACACTGAGGGCCAACAAAGCCCGTGTATTAAGCAGCGAAAGCTAAGTCGAGCGACGCCCCCCGGTCGCGTGAGTGGGGCAGACTGGGCAGGCTGGCCCGAAAGCGGCGGCCGGACAGCTGGATCGGAGCTCAGGCTGGTTGCGGCCTGGCCCGAGGAAGTTGCTGCTCTTGTGAACGACGCGCGACCACACAACCGACAGTGGATGCTGAGCGGGCTGGAAGAAGACGCGGGCTAAGGGAGCGCATACCGAGCCAGCTGAGCGCCATGGAGCTTGGGAGCGTCATCCCCCGCACTTCCACCACCACGCCTGGCCCCCGTCCGAGGCCTTCGCGCGAAGCACAAATAGCGCCCAAGTTCCCCGGATTCTCGCCCTCTTCTCTCTTGGTCCAGCTCTCGTCCAAACCCATACATAGCCTCAGCGTAGCCTGCGCCGCACCGAGATCCCTCCTCCCCACCGCCTGGTCGCGCCATTGTTGAATTGCTCTTACTCTCTAGCTCCGCTCCTCTTGCGCGGCTAGCTATATAATCTCGCACGCCCACTCCAACCGCCCGCCCCACGAGCTCTTTCCCACCCCAAAACCTCCCCTCTCCTCCTCGTCCTCCTCTTTTTCCCCTTCACACGCCCAGCGGCCGCCATGTCTGACGGTCCGGTCAAGCCCCCGACGGCGCCCGTCGTCGCAGAGGCCCACCAAGTCGACACCTTCCACGTTCCCCAGGCCCTGTTCAAGTGAGTCTCCCCGAGTCCCCCAAGTTTCGGCCGAGGTGGGGTGGTAGCTCAACATTTTTTTTGGTTGCGCGCAGGAAGCACCCCAGCAAGCCGCATCTCGATGGCCTCGACCACTACAAGCAGCTGTACAAGGAGTCGATTGAGCAGCCGAACAAGTTCTGGGGCGAGAGGGCGCGCGAGCTGCTGTCGTGGGAAAAGGATTTCCAGACGGTGCACGCGGGCAGCTTCATAAACGGCGACAACGCCTGGTTCCTCGAGGGCCGCCTCAATGCCTCGTACAACTGCGTCGACCGCCACGCCCTCGCCACCCCCGACAAGCCTGCCATCATCTACGAGGCCGACGAGTACAATGAGGGTCGCACCATCACCTACTCGGAGCTTCTGCGCGAGGTCTGCAAGCTGGCCTACGTCCTCAAGCAGATGGGCGTCCAGAAGGGCGACACGGTCGCTCTCTACCTCCCCATGATTCCCGAGGCCGTCATCGCCTTCCTGGCTTGCTCGCGTATCGGCGCCGTTCACTCGGTCATCTTCGCCGGTTTCTCCTCCGACTCGTTGCGCGACCGCATCGTCGACGCCAAGTCCAAGGTCATCATCACCACCGACGAGGGCCGCCGTGGCGGCAAGGTCATTGGCACCAAGAAGATTGTCGACGAGGCGCTGAAGCAGTGCCCCGACGTCACCCACTGCCTGGTCTACAAGCGCACCGGTTCAGAAGTCCCCTGGACGCCTGACAGGGATTGGTGGTGGCACGAGGAGGTCGACAAGTACCCCAGCTACATTGCTCCCGAGTCGATGAACTCGGAAGACCCCCTGTTCCTCCTCTACACCTCCGGTTCGACCGGCAAGCCCAAGGGTGTCATGCATTCGACGGCTGGCTACCTCCTCGGCGCCGCGATGACCGGCAAGTACGTCTTCGACATTCACGACAGCGACACCTTCTTCTGCGGTGGTGATGTTGGCTGGATTACGGGACACACGTACGTCGTGTACGCGCCACTGCTGCTCGGTGTCGCGACCGTCGTCTTCGAGGGTACCCCTGCGTATCCCGACTTCTCTCGTTACTGGGATGTCGTCGAAAAGTACAACGTCACGCAGTTCTACGTCGCGCCCACCGCCCTGCGGTTACTCAAGCGCGCCGGCGACCAGCACGTGAAACACAACATGAAGAACCTGCGGGTGTTGGGCTCCGTCGGCGAGCCTATCGCGTCTGAGGTGTGGAAGTGGTACTTTGAGGTTGTCGGTAAGGAGGAGGCGCACATTGTCGACACTTACTGGCAGACCGAGACCGGCTCCCACGTCATTACCCCTCTGGGCGGTATCACCCCCACCAAGCCCGGCAGCGCATCCCTGCCCTTCTTCGGCATTGAGCCTGCCATCATCGACCCCGTCTCCGGCGACGAGATTCACGGTAACGACGTCGAGGGTGTCCTTGCCTTCAAGCAGCCCTGGCCCAGCATGGCCCGCACTGTTTGGGGCGCGCACAAGAGGTACATGGACACGTACCTCAACGTCTACAAGGGCTACTACTTCACCGGCGACGGTGCGGGTCGTGACCACGAGGGTTACTACTGGATCCGCGGCCGTGTTGACGACGTTGTTAACGTCTCTGGCCACAGGTTGTCGACGGCAGAGATTGAGGCCGCCCTCATCGAGCATCGTAAGTCCGCCGTGCGACGACGATCATCGGACTTTGCGCTAACTCCGTGTGTGTACAGACATTGTGGCTGAAGCGGCCGTGGTCGGCATCAACGACGAGCTGACCGGGCAGGCAGTGAATGCCTTCGTATCGATCAAGAATGGCAACGAGGTGACGGAACAGACCAAGAAGGATCTCATCCTTCAGGTCCGGAAATCAATTGGCCCGTTTGCCGCCCCCAAGGCGATATTCGTGGTGCCGGACCTGCCCAAGACGCGGTCGGGGAAGATTATGCGGCGTGTGCTGCGCAAGATTCTGGCGGGCGAGGAAGACCAGCTCGGCGACACCTCAACGGTAAGACGCGTTGTTTGTCACCTTTTTTTGCATTTTTGCTCGTATCGGCAGGGTGTCGGCTAACGTTAGTGATTGTCCGCCAGTTGTCGGATCCGTCGATCGTCGAGAAGATTATCAACACGGTGCACGATGCGAAGAAGAAATAGAGGCGTGGTAATGGGAGCGGGGGCCGCGCGTCGCTGGACGCGGGGGATATAGCGCATGATGGCGTCGTTGGATATACCTATTTCTGATCTGCTTTGGGGTCACCATGAGTAGCTACATACAATGCAAGCGATGATTTCAAGTACGGGGCAGGGGGCCGAGATTTGCTTGCGGTGGTGCCGTACAACGGACCTCGCGGAAGACGGTAATCCGCCAAGGCTGCGGGCCAAGCAGCACAGCCCGCTTTGCCGCCGTCACCTCGAACACTTCTATAACCGCCGGGCTTCGCACCTGAATGTCTTTCGTTGAATAGCTTCCGGGCCTCCCGCTCGTTCCCTCTCCGCAACTAATCTCTCCATTCATTTCCCTCCCCCGCAGGCGCGACGATGCGCCTTCTGCGAGCCGCCGCGCTCGCCGCCCAGCTCGTCTCCACAGTCGTCGCAAGCTCGGTAGCACGTAACCCGCTCGCACGCCTCGAGGTCGCCCAGCACCCCGAGATCCACACCTACAACCACCGCGTCACCGCCCTCTCCACCTTCGACCTCGAATTTTCCCTCCGCGACGGCGACCGTCTACGCCTTGCCCTCGAGCCCAACCATGACATTCTCGCTGAAGGTGCCACCGTCGAGTACCTCGGCCCCGACGGCCAGGTCACCCACCGCGAGGAAATCGACCGCCTCGCCCACAAGGTATACAAGGGCCGGACTTGGGCAAAGAAGGCCGGCACCGACAAGTGGCACGACAAGGGATGGGCTCGCATCACGGTGCGCCGCGATGGCGTGAAACCGCTGTTCGAGGGCGTCTTGAGCGTCGACTTTGACCACCACCACATCCAGATGGCCTCCAACTACATGGCAACCAAGCACAGCCTCGACCCGGAGCTGGAGCAGACCGACGACGAATACATGGTCCTTTGGCGCGACTCGGATATCAAGGAGGACGGTTGGGATTTGGGTCACACAGAGCTGAAGCGCGATCTGGGGGCCAACTTTGCCTGTCGCTCCGACTTGCTTGACTTTAATATGCAGCCGGAGCATCCTGTCTACGGCGCCATGATGAAGCGAGATGACGGTTTCTGGGGCGCTCCTATTGGCTCTTTCTTCTCCAAGAGGCAGCTTGACAACCAGGGTTCCGGCAACGCTGGTGGCGTCAACCTCGTACAGACCATTGGCGACACCTCCGGTTGTCCGACAGCTAGAAAGGTTGCCCTTGTCGGCGTGGCTACCGATTGCACCTACACGGCATCGTTTAATTCGACCGAATCCGCGCGACAAAATGTTATTAATGTTATGAACTCGGCGTCAGACGTCTACGAGTCGACCTTTAACATCACTTTGGGCTTACGAAACCTGACCGTGAGCGACCCCTCATGTCCCGGGACGCAACAAGCTGCCACTCCCTGGAACCAGGACTGTTCGGACAGCATCACTATCCAGGACCGGCTCAACCAGTTCTCCGAATGGCGGGGCACGAAGCAGGACACCAACTCCCACTGGACCCTGCTCACCACTTGCAACACGGGCTCGGCCGTCGGACTCGCCTGGCTCGGACAGGCCTGCGTGCAGGGCGCGCAGTCCTCCAACTCGACTAGCGGCGAGACCGAGACCGTCGCTGCCGCCAATGTTGTTGCCAGGACCAACACAGAATGGCAAGTCATCGCCCACGAGACAGGCCACACCTTTGGCGCTGTACATGATTGCACCAGTCAAACCTGCTCCGACGGCACCAGCGTCAACGCGCAGCAATGCTGCCCCCTCAGCTCGAGCACCTGCGACGCTGGCCAGCGCTTCATCATGAACCCCTCGACCGCCAGCGGCATCACCAAGTTTTCGGCCTGCTCAATTGGCAACATTTGCGGTGCCATGGGCCGCAGCAGCGTCAAGACGTCCTGTCTATCCAACAACAGGGGTGTCACCACCATCTCCGGCCAGCAATGCGGCAACGGCATCGTCGAGGAGGGCGAGGACTGCGACTGCGGCGGCACCGAGAACTGCGGCAACAACCCGTGTTGCGACCCGAAGACATGCAAGTTCAAGTCCGGAGCCGTTTGTGATGATAGCAACGAAGACTGCTGCCACGACTGCCAGTTCGCGAGCAACGCGACCGTGTGCCGCGCGTCGGGCGGCGTGTGCGACCCAGAGGAACGTTGCACAGGTGACTCGCCTTACTGCCCATCGGACGAAAAGGCCGATGACGGCAAGAAGTGTGGCGACGGACTGAAGTGCGCAAGCGGACAGTGCACGAGCCGCGACCTGCAGTGCAAGACGGTCATGGGTACGACGTACAGCAACGGCCACAACGACACGTACGCCTGCGACGACAAGAGCTGCATCATCAGCTGCAAGAGCCCGGAATTCCCTATGGGCATGTGCTACTCGCTGCAACAGAATTTCTTGGACGGCACGTCTTGCGGCGGCGGCGGACACTGCCAGAACGTAAGTCTACCCCACCCCACAACCATGCACCCATATACCTCAACTCAAACCCAAACTAACGTCCACAGGGCCAATGCAAGGGCTCAGACCTAGGCAAAGAAATCGGCTCCTGGGTCGACAACCACAAGGGCGTGGTAATCGGCGTGTGCGTTGCCATCGGCTGCATCCTGCTCTTCAGCATCTGCGGGTGCATAACGCGGGCGTGCCGGCGAAGACGCCTACGCAAGTTCGCACGCCCCGCGCCGCCTGTCGCCGCGGCTTGGCCGGGTCAGCGTCCGGGTCGCAGGCATCGCGGTCGCAACGATATGGTGCAGATGACGCCTCAGCAGCCTGGCCCCGGCCAGTATCCTCCGCCGCCCCCGCATGGCAATCCGTGGTATCCGCCTCCGCCCCCACCGCAGTACGGGCCCCCGGTCGCAAGGTATGCATAGACGGGAGTTTTTCTATTTTTGGATGCGGGAAAGGAAGGTAGGGTAAGGAGTTGGGGTTGGATAGGTGGTGTGTGTTTGGTATGTGAGAAGTGATGCGAAGCAGTTTGCAATGATGCGGCAACAGTGGCGCTTGGTGTGCTTCCCAGCACCACCAGCACCACTACCGCTGAAGCAACTGCACAACATCACACCTCACCACAAACCTCGCCGTCCTCTTTCCTACCCGACTCCCCCCTTCCTCTCCATCCCTCTGCTGTTGTCCTTTCTTTTTCAAGTCCTTAATTCGCCCCTTTCATCTCTTTCTACTTCTCCTATATTCGCCGACATAGCGGCTCGCAGGGGTTGGGGTAGGTTCTTGGACACGCACGCATGTACGCAGGTAGGCAGGTACGTAGGCTATAGGATAGGATAGGACAGGACAAGATATGGGCGTTCGTAGGTACTAGGCGGTGCGGCGTTGGCGTTACATTGCTAGACTAGACTAGACTAGACTAAACTAGTCTAGCCTAACTGGCGGGGATGGGGGCGGTGCTTGTGCAAGCGCTTTGTTTTGTTTACGCTTGTTTTGTTCGTTCGTCTTCACTTTGCTTTGCTTATATTTTACGGCTTCTTGGTTTTGGTGGGGTTTAGATGATTGAAGCGGTGAAGAGGGGGATGCTGTCTAGGTAGAGGGCGTGTGTGCGCGCGCACGTCTCGTCGATGTTTGTACCTATGTACCTACCGTACCTATGGCTGGATGAAGGGGTTTGTGGGTGTGTGTGTGCATATACATACATACATGCTTGGCTTTGGCTATGTCTGTGTGTCTGTGTGTGGGTGCGGTCTACGGCTGCTTTCTACGTACGTACGTATAGTACATTTGGGCGGATTGGTGGTGGGGGAGGATTAGGAGTAGGGGACGAGCGAGAAAGAGAGAGATGAGATGAGATGAGATGAGATGAGATGAGATGAGAGGGGGGATGTGTATGCCGTTACTGATTAAATGCTTGCTTGCTTGCTTGCCCGCTTCGTTCGCTTGAGTGCCTGCGTGCCCTTCGTCTTTTTTCCGGGTCTTGATGAACCAACTGCTGCTTGCTCTATTGATTGAGCATCTCGTCTATTTCTCACTCACTACAGTGCCCGTCCGTCTATCTTGCTATCCACCCACCCACCCACCCGCTTATACACCTTCTACAGCGACAGGCAATCACCAGCAAACCACCCAACCAACCAATCAATCAATTTACCAAACACATACGTCCCCTACCCCACTCATACACCCACACCCACACTCATCCCCCTCTTCCCCACCAACCAACCAACCCTCCCTCACCAAACCATCCCCAACCCCACACAACACAACAAAAACGACCCCTTACTTCCTAACCCTAACATCACTCTCCTTGGCCTCCATATCCGCAAGATGGAAGCCCCAAGCGCTGCGCCGCCGCTTGCCGCGCTTGTCGCCGTACTGCTCGTCGAACTTGCGGATCGCCGCCAGCGAGGACATGTCCTCGGAGACGGAGGCGCCGATCTCGCGCAGCGCCTGCTCGAAGTGGTGGGGGCGCAGCGTGCGGCGGGCCGGGAACGTGTAGGCTGGTTCGGCGGCGGGGGCCGGGGTCTCGGGGGAGGAAGAGGAAGTGGAGGAGGAGGGGGAGGAGAAGGAGAGGATCGAGTCGAGGACTGAGGGCGGGGTGTGGTCGTTGCTGATGGTGATGGTCTTGGGGTTGGCGTCTGTGGTTGTGGAGCCGGTGGGAGAGGCGTCGTTGCTGGAGTTGTTGCTGCTCGCGCTCTTGTCCTCGGCTGCGCTCCCCGTCTCGTTCTCGCCTTCTGCCTCTGCTTGCGACGCCTTAACCGCCTCGCGGAACCTGGCGGCCTCGGCGTTTTCCTCGCGCACGCAGGCCAGCGCGGCAGAGACACACAGGTTTTTGAGATCGGAGCCAGAGTAGAAGGGCGTGCGCAACGCAAGGTCATCAAGGCTGACAGCGGCATCGAGCTGCTCGTCCTTGAGATGGATCTGCAGGATTTCCTTGCGGTCCTTCTGCGCCGGCAGGTCGACGAGCAAGCGCCGCGGCAGCCGCCGGAGCACCGCGTCGTCAATGTCGAATGGCCGGTTCGTCGCCACCATGATGAACACGCTCAGGTCGTTCATCCCGTCCCACTCCTTCAGGAACTGGTTCAGGATCTCGCGGTGGCTGGTGCGGTGCCGGTTGCCGCTGCGCGAGCCGAAGATGGCGTCGGCCTCGTCGATGAAGACAACGCAGGGGCTGAGCTTGCGCGCCAGGCTGAACAGCGCCCGTACGTTCTTCTCGCCTTCGCCTACATACATGTCGTAGACTTCACTTCCGCTCACTTCCAGCACCGTTGCGCCTGACTCCTTGGCTACTGCCTTTGCCAGCAGCGTCTTGCCCGTGCCTGGTGGCCCGTACAATAACAAGCCTGGGATCTTGTCTGCAGCTAGGACACCGTATGTGAAGGCGTCAGGCCGTTGCAGGGACAGGCTTGTCATCGTCTTCAGGGCTTCGATGGTCTCGGCCGTGGCGTGCACGTCGTTGAAGGTCGTCTTGATGTGCTGCGGGTTGACCACGCCGGTAAGCAGTTTCTTCTCGTGCTTGTTGGCCGTCTTCTGGACTCTCTCCAGACGGTGGTCGGCGGCCGTCTTGGTGGTCTTGTTCTTCTTCATCTCGTCGATGACATCCTTTGGATTTTGCATCAACCGCTCATGCGCCGCCCACGCAAATTTGACATCGTCGCTGAGCCGGAGGAGCGTCATGGCTGTGCGGACAAGCTCAGGCTTGAAATCTGGAGACTCCGCTAGCGCTTTCTTGATGCCGATGGCTGTTAATGCCAGCCGATGGACTTCATGGAAAGCGAGCACTCTTGATTCCAGGTTGTCATTGTTTTGGACCAATTCCAAGGAAAGCTCCCGAGAATCGAAATTCGGGTCCAGCCTTCGGAACATGTCTTTGATGTGCCTTTCGTTGATCGCAAAGTTCCGTCGCTCATTATCAGTCTCAAGTGCCGAGCGGGGTGTCAAGCGGGCATCCGACTTGTGGCTCGCGCTTTTGGAATGGGCATCATGAGATATAACGGTGGGGCCTATCGGCACAACGATGGTCCTGAAAAAGCTGTCTTCGTTCTCGGCCTGAAGTGCTTTGATGCTAGAGCGCGAGAATTCAGGAACCAGTTCCGCAGACGCCGTCAAGCCAACTACCATAATCTCTGCGCCTAATTGCCTCCTTTTATGAACAATGTCTGTGATCTTGTCGAGAACCTTTGCGCCTTGCCGAGTTACGCTAAGCTCCTTGTAATCTTTTATGAGGACAACAGTCCGCGGAGACATGGAAGATGGGTTTTGCTGCGTTTGGGCCGCATCAGGGTTTGCCTGGTTCGTTTCCGGTGAGTTGGGGGCCGACGTGGTGATGTTTTGAGCCTCGCTCGAGGAACTCGTCGCCTTGCCGCCAGACTCCATTTTGCTCGTTATCTCCGCTCGTTTGGTCGAGTTTGTGAGAAGCAGTTCATCCAGAAAATTCCCGAGCTTCATATCATCCCACTGAGCCGCATTAGTTGATTGCGGCCTACCCATCGGTCCCGCGATGTAATCACCCCCTGGAAACCCACGGCCAGCGGCCTTGCCTTTTGGTCCGTTGGGAGATCTGAAGAGGTCCGCAAGATTGACTGTACTCACACCGGAGAGCACAAAAGCAGCTTGCTTTTTGCCTTTGTTGCCGGACCGTGTAGGCACCATTGGGTCTTCCTGGGGATCCTCTGCGTCTTCTTCTCCCTCATACTCATCTACCTCGTCTTCCTCCATCTCGTAACCTTCGCTCCGGGATCGATGCGTTTCATAGCCCAACGAGCGGATGGAATACGCAGATGGCTCTTGACCGTCGCCAAAGTAGTCGCCGACAAGCTCGGCAATGTCTTGGGCATCGAGCGTAATTACATCGGCGTCGACCTCCGCACAACACTGCCAGATCATTTCTTCGAGACTTTCCATGCCACCATCAATGGGCGTATGCAAGATCAGGTTGGACTTGACCGAAGGAAAGGACTTCCCGAGCTCGCGGTGAGCCGTGGACAGACTCGCGGAAATGGCCGTGAGCACCTCGTATATAACGGCAAGATGAATACCCTTTCCAAACGGCCGAGGTTTGTCCCCATCCCCGTTCCCGTCCCCGTTATTGGGATTGCTCTCAAACACCTTGGCCGCGGTATTCAAAAGCTCATCATGCGGGTTATCTTTCGAGGCCACCGAGATTTCGTCCAGCGTTTTGTGAATCGCCCGCGACAGCTCCTTCCAATTGTGCACTTCGCCCTCCCCTACCTTAGCAACCATCTCCTCGGCGAGCGAGACATTCTTCTTCAGGAAGCGCGGAGGGATGTTTATTGCTGGTACACCGTCGTAGTTCTTGGTTCGCGTGGAGCGCTTCGTCTCCACGGTGTACGGCCTAGCATCCACCTTGTTCTTGGTCGGGTTCTTCACCAGCTTTGCCCGCTCCTCGTCCTTGCTCACAACTTCAGCGCCGGCGGGTGTCCCGTCGGCCGCTTGCGGCTCCAGCTCCTGCTTGCCCTTGCCATTGTGCTCCGAGTCGCGCGGTTCGTTGGATGATGGAGGCGGCTCGACGGCGGCGTAGCGCGCGGCCGAGGTAATGTGGAAGGGCCTGGCGCGCGGCAGGTGTCGTCGTTGCCCGGCGATGAAGACGGCGGGGATCCTACGAGAAGCGCGGCGGACCGTTTGCCATGTCACGGCATGCATCCGGGTGTCTTGGGAGCTCCGGCGTGAGCTCCAAAAATGCCGAGGCTGGGTATCAACGCGAAAGGGAGAGAAATGGAGTGGCGCGGCTTGGATGATGGCAAAGTCTAGAAATTGTTCACCGGAAGCCGCGCCAAGAGACGCAGCCCTATCGGTGACAAATGCAAGTCATCACAGCATCGCTACCCGGCGATTGGCTCGGTAGTATTATTTGACATTTAATACATATTCATACACATAAACTCATAAACTCATCATCTTAAAGTCCCAGCGGGTTCTGTCCGGTCTGCTCCTTCCCTCCAAAAGGCTCCTTGTCCTCCTTGTTCCCAAAGTCCTCGGCCTTCTTGTCACCGCCAACGATATCAGAACGCTCCTCCTTCTCGCCCGCCACAGGGCCCAGCACCGGTTTAGTGACGCCACCGACGATACCCGTCAAGGGTTTGGTGACACCGCCCACAACGGCGCCAACGGGCGACAAGCCTTTCTCGAGCACGCCGCCCACGGGATCGAGGCCCTTGGCGAGAACACCTGGGAGAGGTCAGCACAGGTACTACATATAAAAGATACATGAGAGACTTGCCGCTAGGCTGGTTTCCGGGCTCATCGTTGGATGAAGACATTGTGATGGTGAGAGATAATTTGTAGGAAGTTGGTAGGAAGTTGAGATGAACGTTGAAATTGAAATGGATGTCAATTCTAACGTCTTGCACAGGGCGCCGCCGCTAAATAAGGCGCCGGACGTTGCGACCTTGCTTCATCGTGCTTCTAACCGGACCGGGGTGCTGACAGGTTGCTTGCGTCCAACGTTGATGGTGCTGTCAGTGGTGACGATGATGTCATGGGCGGCAGGGATGACACTCGACATCAGATTCAAGACTGGACATCTGGTTTCAACAATAGGCGCTTCGACTTGGCGGCGCAATTTCTCAAAGGTCAACCTAACGGTGCGCAAAGCACATTCTCACAGTGCCGTCCCTAAATACCCAGACCCATACCCTCGCCGGTCCCATATGCACAACTACGACACGCGCAAAAGCGTGACGTTCCATCTTGCAGACATCCGTAGATGTCCAAAGGAAAACAATAACTTAAAAATCATCTTCGACTCCAACGTGCCTCCACCAGGCGTTCCTACTCGACCTCTCGCTGACCATGCTCTCGGCATCGCCGACCTGCCTTCTCTCGCTCACCTCCCAGGTGTTCAGCTTGAGGCGCATGGCGCGGGATGCCATTGTGAGCGCTTGACTCTTAGCACTAATTGATTGTCCGGATCGCGTCAATCCTTGGAGAATGGCTTTGTTGCTGCGCTTGCTGTCCCATTCGCTCCTCATGACTGGCAATTGTCATTGCAAAGGCTCCGACGACGACGATAGCCGATTAAGGTGGAGGTAGACGTCCGTTCCGTAGCTACAACGGTTAGCGTCGAAGAATAAAAGGTGCGCAGAAAAACTCACCCTTCCATGCTGATCAACTTCAAATCGCCGCCAAAGTACCGTGCGTAAAGCCTACTGATGGGCAGGCCATACCCGAAGCCGGCCATTGGCGCCTTGAAATCGCTTTTGTTGAAATCAGGGTCCAGGTTCGGCGTCTGGTCGACAGTCGTGTACATGTAGGTCCAAACAAGAGGGATGGAGCTTCTAGGAATCCCGCCGCCTTCGTCGGAAATCTTGATCGTAATGTCCTCCTTTCCTTCGGCGACGATAACTTTTGTCACGGGGAAGTCTTCTTTGTCCTGTCCATGCTTTTCCACAACAGCACGAAGCGAGTTCTTCAATGTCTCGAAGAGCATGTGCGACAAGTGTCCCGGAACGTACATAAAGTTGATGTCAGAGTCGCAGATGAGTTGAATCTTGGGCGCTTCAAACAGTCCGTAGTGGTCTTCACACACAAAGCGGGCATTCTCAATGGCCTCCATCGCGAGGTCTCGCACATTAGTCTTGGTGCAAATGATGCCGACATAGTTGGGATCAGAGCGCTGTCTCTGATCCGTCAAAGCAATGTGCTGGCCGATGAGCATCCTTATTCCGATACGTGACATGTAGAAGCGGTCGAGGAAAGCTTGAATGTTGTGATCGATCTGCATGCGTTGCCGTTTCCGCTTGTATTCGAGAATTCCCTGGGCTACGCCGGTTAGTGCCGCCCGCTGCCTTTGTCGCTGCCAACTTACCGACGGTTGTCACTACGCTATCATGCCGCCTCTTGATTTTCTCCAGGGTTCTTGCAAACTCTTGGTTATACTGGCCCAGCTCTATCGGCCAATCTCCCCCGTCATCAGCGGCGACGTAGTACCGCTTCGCGGAGGTAACCTTTGAGGTGAAACCGTTGCCGTTTTCGTTGCTAATGGTCGGAGGTAACGATTTGTACTGCCCTTTGGTTATACTCGGGTTTGGAGTCGTTTGGCTCAATATCCTCGACTCTTTGGGGCGCTTGGTAGGTTTTAACAAGCGCTCCCGCACTTCCGTCGTGAGCCGCGGCCGAGGGAGAGTGGTAAGTTCCTGCGAGGTGTGAGTCAAGTTCAATCCGGAGCCTCGGGGAGCGAACCTCGAACGACTGGGCATACCAATCCGAAACCCGCTTAATCGAAGGCATTTCGCCGAGGCCATCGGGGAGGTCGTGGAGTTCCTGCACGCGATGCGCAAGCCGTATGGGCAACTCCTCGGACAGGAATTGCGAGGCGCGGAACAAGGTGCCTGCAGTCGTTAGACAGACTTTTGGGCTTCAGGCGCCGCCTTACCAGTCGATGGCCTCTCGCCAAACTGCACCATCTGCCTCAGACTGACGCCGGTCGCGGGGAAGTGCGAGTAGTGCTTGATGGTCTCCATCAGCTTGTCCGACTTCTTCCACGACATGGTGACTGCAATGCAGGCCGCGCGGCCTCTCCGTCGTTCTCAATGCGCCGTGGTGGATGGTCTCGTGCGCCGGTGGATGTGGACGGCGTAAGGATAGATTTACGGCGGTAGGCCGAGGTTAGCTGGCCGGGTGCAGCGCAGCGACGAGGGCTGCGCAGATGACGACGACGACGACAGTTGCAAAGCTAGCGATAGACTCAGAGCCGGTCGGGTGGGTGTTTGTGGGGGAAGGGGAGTCATCGGCCTGCTTTTTCTGGAGCTTCCCTCCACCGAGGAACGCGCCTCGCTCCCCAGACGTCGCTCCCGTCAGGCCGAAGCTTGCCCGCATTTTGTTTCCCCGCGCCGCTAACCCTTCACCTAGGTACCCCTTGTCTTCACGTGCACGCCGCCTCCTGCCACCGTCTCGCTGATGAGAAACAAAAGAAAAGCTAGCCAGCGCAAAGACGATGCCTTCCAGACGCCCATCCCGGTGGTCCATCCGGGTCGCGGTCCGAGAGCGATGCTGGGGAGCAGCGCAGCCAGGAGCAACATGCGTTTGGCATGTGAAGCAACACTAAACCTCTCGGATCATCTCGGGCCATCTCTGCGGGAAAAGGGTCTCTTACATCATGGCCAGTCGTCAGGGAAAAATGCTGGCACCACTGGCAACTCTGAAGTCGATGATTGTGCCGCGTATTAACCCGAGCGCCGCCAAGATCCATCCGCCCGACCAACCGCCTTGCGTAACACGTAGGGTATCCACTCACGGTGGTGCCAGGTACCAGGATGCACAATTCAGTTCACGGATGATTGTCATTCGGTCCGCGCCGTGCTTTCCACTTTCAAATGCGGCAAGTCTTCCCTACCTACATACTATACAGTCTAGCTAATCCTTCTTGACCAACGACCCGACCAGGTACGGGAACGGGCTCCACGGATTCAGATACTGCAGCTGGACCTGGGACCAGCCGTCCTTGCCTCCTGCAGCGAGGGCAATGCTCTTAGTGTCTCTGTCCATGCAACATGAGCCCATTAAAAACTTCCATCCCAGAGCCATGTAAATCGCCTGGAGACACCTTGAGATGAAGCTTCCTCCACTCTCCTTCCAAGGGTTGACGATGTGCTCGTGCAACACAAGCCTCCCGCCGGGCTTGAGCAGCTTGTAGAGGCCCTTGACGGTCTCCTCTGGCCTCGGCACGCCACAAAGCACCCTGACACAGACGACCTCGTCGAACACGCCTTCCGCACCACCCTCCAGCAGCCCCGCCTTTGCGAGCGCGGGGAACAAGCTCTCGGGCTCGCCTCCGCAGTGGAGGGCGCTGTACTTGTCGCCCAGACCGGCCTTTGTTGCGTTGATCTTGAGCTTGTCGTGGAGCTTGAGGGTCGGTTCCGCACCGTATGCCTTGACGATTTTAGACGCGTCAAAGTGCCGTAGCTGGTCGCCCGTGCCAGGGCCAATATCGAGGACAGTTCCCTTGACAGTCTTGAGCAGTGCCATCATTGGCATTGGCATTTCTTCCGACATAATTTCTCCATATGCGTTCCAGAAGCGGGAGAAGGCCCGCTCTTGCAGCTGGGACGCATGGAACAGGACGCCAGGCTTACACTCAAGGAGCACGTCGACGATAGCGAGAATGAGTTCTTTCAACGGTAAGTTAGAGAGGCTTCACGAGAGGGGTTTTGAGAAGGGTGGCGCACGGTAGGTGGCCATGACCAAAATGATGGACGGCCGAATCGCGCTAAGGAGAAACTCCTTCAAGGTGGGCTCCATCTTGGTAGGCGGTTGGACAACAGAGGACAAGTTTGTTTGAACGTGTCTACGGATCCGTAGACTGGAAGTTCAGAAGAAACTAAGATCCGGAGTTGTCGTCTAGGAAGCTCGCTTAGTGAGCAAACCCGGCAGATCGGAGGTGGGCGGGTCAGCCGTGGACCCTTTGCACTAAACATAAGGTCCGTCCTCTACGTACATCTCGGGCCTAGTCGAATGACCATTGCCGGTCCGTGACCGCATGGGCAGCTTCACGTTGGAGTCGTCATTTCGTGATGCTCCCGAATCCTTTTTGTACTGGTTTTGTGATTATACTCAGGATGATCATCTTCTTAGTCGAAATCTGGTGTCTAAGGCCTCGGTATGCCACTACTAGCTCTCAAGAATCAAAGTATACAAAATATAAGAACAAAAGGTCTTAATGTTAGATTTCGGACAAAGATCAGGTGTTGAGGTTTTCCCACGGCTTGGGTTACAATCTTACGATATGAAGACATATGTGTAGTTTATGTGGTAGTTTGGGTGTGCGGATAGCAGATGCTGGTTCACGAGAGCTGTTCTTGGAGGATGGATTTTAGCTCAACGTCCCTGTTGCTTATTAATTACATTTATTATAGTGCTTACCTAAAAAAGCAGTAGGTATGTCGGAATTATAGTTTTAAGACGTTCAGCTAACCACCAGATAAGAGCGCTGCACGTGGCTACCTAAGTACATCCTGTCACGGAACGCGTAAAATTGAGACCGCTTCCGGCACAGCAACAACCTCATCTTCCGACGAGGCGCTCGCCTGCACTCTGTCATCATCAATGAGACCGCCTCCTTGAAGCTGTCGCTTCGAATGGCGCCTTGCATACGAATCACCTTATCAACCATGTTGCTGCCTGCTCGAGGCACATTCAGCCTCGGCTGACGCGGCTCTGCATTGCTCCAAGGCAAAACGTCGCCCTTTTTGCCTTGGACTCGACGCTTTTGGCCCAAAGTACGAAGACAGATGGCCGGCAGAGCCTCGATCTGGTGTCATACGTGCAGCTGAGCTATCGATATTGGAGATGTTTTCGCCTAATAGGTCGGCTTGATGCGAAGCGTGAGGTCGGCTCCTGGTCAAGAGCACGTAAATGACAGGGCACCCCTGCTTGTGCCTTGCCTGCTGGCTAAGGCTTCTCCCTGCTGCATCTAGTTACACCGGGCTTGCTCGCTGTACAAGGGCCCTCCACTGACCCTGCAATCGAAACTCCGCCCCGCCAGTCGCGGCCTGGGTCTTAAGAGATCGCTGTCCCCTTCCGGCTAAAGGACTTCTCTTTGAAGTTAGTTCGATTTGTCTGTCCTAAAGCTCCACCATGCGAACAGAAGACGCAGATTACATTCCAAATCCGGCATGTTCCCATCTCCTTTCCGACTACCTTTCGGCTCCACAACCGTCTTACGAGCTTGGCTCGGGCGACTTTGGCCCTGTGTTTGACGGCCTCAGCAACATGTCAGGGCCAAATTCGGCAATGACACACCAGAGCTTACTAGAAACTCCTTTCCAGAGCCTTGATGCAGGCTCCAGTGTCGACATGACTTTGCCATATAGCGACACAGCCTCAAGCATGTTCTCCACTCTGCAAACACCAGATATGGATGATTTTCAGGAAACGGAACATGCTTTAAATACTGTGGGAACTTGCCATCTCGATTCCAATACTGAGGAATTCTGCCAGTTCTGGCTCAAACGTTTCCCGGGCCGGTGGCCGGAGGAGCCAGAATTTGCCGCGTTCCAACGTTTGACTGGCGTGTCATCTGGAAAGATAAAGAGTTGGTTTGTCCAGAAGCTATTTCAAACCCACACAGCCACAGTAGCAGACTCTGGAGAACCGCCTTCACAGACTTCAGAAGAGCTGAGCCCAAACCCCATTACACACATTGATTTTCTGTCAAAACTTGGCAACCTCTCCAATAATGAAACTGGGACTGGTCTTTCGAAATTCATCCCCGACGTGCGGCACTGCGTAGCAACTAGGAATCGCAATTTACTCGTAAGAGATGCCGGCCGTCCGTTCCAGTGTACGCATAAATGCGGACAGAAGTTCCCGCGCAAGGGCGAATGGGTGAAGCACGAGCAAAAGAACCATCCCCAGCGAATATGGCTCTGCATGATTGGTGCAGAGCTCACAGCCGACGGCATCCGGATATGTTCATACTGCGGCATGAAGAACCCGACAAGTTCGCACCTGGCCACACAGCACTGGGGCGACGTAGCATCGCCCAGCGTAGCAGATTCGGGGTGTCGGAAGCAGTTTACGAGGAAGGACCATTATCTCATACACCTCAAGTCTGTACACGAGGAAAGAGACATGGAACACTACGAGCCTATCAGCCGGGTCGATCTGCCGGATAGGCTCAACGGGTGGTACCGGTGGTGCGGCTTCTGCGGCTCGGAAGACTGCTTCGCCCGCTGGAAGGACCGCATCGATCATATCGGCAGGCATTTCAAGCACGGAAAGGATATGCGTCACTGGCAGGACATGGAGCCGAGAGCAGCGGATTTGCCGTGAAGGTCTTGATACAGTTAAGGCTGGCTATAAATTTTGAACTGATCAATAAATTCCGATTCCCAAAAAGGCTCCACCGGTATGCGCGGCAGGGTTTGCTCCTGGTATAAAGAGATGAACGTTACAAACAGGCAATGCCAAAAAAAAGGACCGGATCCCAAACATTTTTTCACCAGTCGGAGGCTGCTGACAAGCTCAAATACTGTAATCGATTTCAATTGTATGGGTAAGGAGTATAGAGTCCAAACCAAACATTCATTTGCTAACAGAAGGCCAGGCACATCTAGCTCGTCCCAGAGCAGCCAACAAAGTTGTTCCCACTGGCGCCAGTATGCGTAATCTCGCCCGCGAGCTCACAGTCCGTATTAAAAATGACACGATCCGCACCCGGCGAGCCTATAGACAACAGAAAGAACAACACAATCAGCAACCCCCCCCACACACACACCAAAAAGCAAAACCAACGCAAACTCACCACCGTTATAAGCGCCGCTGCTCACAAGCGGAAACTCCTGATAGGGCCCAGACACGGCAAAGTCGAAGCCCTCGTAGTTGTTGTACGTGTGCGGGTAGCTAGAGCCGCCGGCTTGCCCGCCCTGCTCGTAGTACGAGCACCCGGCGTTCAGGGCTTTTTGCACGGCGCTGGCGCTGTAGCTCGTTGAGCCGCAGGTGGTGCCCGAGACGGTGGGGCTGGCGAGGGCGAGGCTGAGCAGCGCCGCTAGTGGGAGGAACGTCTGGTTGGGGGTGGGTGTTAGTGGGAGCTGGTATGGCTGGCTGGCTGGCAGTACCTACCTGGAAGAACATAATGCTGAACGAGCGAGCGAGCGAGTGAGAGGGATTGCAGCTAGCTATGTCTACACGACTGACACATTTATAGCCCGCGCAGCACGCAGGAATGCGCGCGACCTTGCAGGCGCACGCGTCCTCTCAGCGCACCAATAAGCGCAGCGTAGCAGGCACGATAACCTCTGCGCGGACCTGAACGGCTCGCTCGCTCGTGCTATCGCATGAATTAGATGGTGCGAGGGGTGCGGGCGGATAAGGAAGGTCGTTGGCGAGCTGGGTGCCTACCTAGCTAGGTAGGTAGCTGGCGGTGCTGCTGTGGGCGCTTGGTTGCTTGCTTGGTCTACCTGTCCCCGTCCTTATCCCTCTCCTCGTTCTCCTAGGTACATAGCTCGTCTCCGCTGCTCAATAACCGGCGGCCTTGAGCAGGCCCGTCCAGAACACACACACCCACACAAGCTCCATACCCGCCCTTGACTGAAATCGGCCCCAGCACAGCACCACCTATCACCTATCGCCCATCGCCTATCGCCTATCACAGCGCACAACCGCACGCACGTTGCACGCGCGCCCCCGGCGATCGGCAGCGGGTGCTCGCGCCGCTAGGCCGCTTGGGGAAGGAGGCACGGCGGCGGCGGCGCGTGGCTGCGACACTGCACGCGTGGGTGAAGGGGCGCGCGGTGATTGGTTGGCGCGTGGGGTGGGTAGGTCAACGACGATGCGAGGGCTGGGCTTTTTTTGGTCGGACTTCGCCGATGAGCACAACAGCAGGTCTTCTGCTTCCACTTCATCGCTGTTGCCGAGACAGACAGACAGACTTACTTTCGCACCGTACGGTCCACCAGCCCGCGCACCAACACCAACAACACCACCAAAGCCATGGAAGCGCAGGTAGCACACGCAACGCCCAGCACCGCCCCTTCACTCGCGCAGCAGCTCGCGCGCCCAGTCGAGGACGCCCTCGCTTCCAGCACTACGCCAGCTTCCGAGCCCACGCACACGCTCTGGCAAGCCGTCACGGCTGCCGCGGCACGCACGCCGCATGCGGAGCAGGAGGGGGTCATGGCGGTGGTGCTGGCGCTGCGGGCGAGGGGTGTGAGTGGCGAGGGGGAAGAAGAAGGAGAGACGAAAAGTGAAGCTCTGGCGTGCTGGCGAGAGCTGCAGGGGTTTGGGGCGCAGATGCGGGAGCAGTGGGACGTGGGTATGTATGCGTATGCGGATGCGTGCGCTGGTTTCGCGTGGTTGGATGGGTTTGGGTTGGGCTCCGCTAATATGAGGTGAGGGACAGTGTCGCACGCGTCGGCCGAGTGGGCGAACATCAACGCGTTCGCGGCGCGGTTGACTGCGCTTGGAGAGAAGGAGGAAGCAGCGGCGGCGTGCCAGGCGCTGGACTACAGCCTCTACGCCATCTGGACGCTGCGCGAGGCGTTTGAAGAGAACGAGGATGACGACGTCGGCAACAACGAGGCGATGGTCGCGGCCGCCGCCGCGTGGTTCGTGTATGCGGCCGAGCGGCTGCGCGCGCTGTGTAAGGCGGAGAAGGCGTTTGAGGGGAAGATGGCGAGGCCTGGCGCGCGGTTTAGGGAGAAGGCGTGGCAAGGGTTTTGTGTTGAGAGGTGGGGCGTTTGGGTGGAGGGGCTGAGGGGGTTGTTGCGGGGTGGGTTGGCGTTGGGGGATGGGGTGGGGGAGTTGGTGCAGAGGGCTGTAGGGGAGGTGGAGAGGGTTGAGTGAGTGGGCGGGAGGGGAGGTGTGTGGGTTTGAGGCAGTGTAGGTAATGGATAACGGATGACAGTGAACTGTTGTGACGGTATGTATTCTAGATGAAAATTGTGACTTGCATACAAACACACACTGATTCTTTCCTGTAGAGGTTTATACAAAGCGGATGAAAAGTCAAGCCGCATATAAAGAGGCAAACAGCAATTACTTACCTAACAAATCATCCAAACGTCTATAAAACGCCACTAGATACTGCCATGAAAGAAAGCTCCACGTCAATGAAGCATAACAGGCCACAGCCACACAATTCATTCGCCTACTCATTCACTCACTCCTCTTTAGAATGCCAGTCAGTGACATACGTCATGGAGCTTTAGAGGGGTATCATCCCAGTGGACGTCAAATGCGCCTCCTTCACTTCGCTCCCTCTTCCCACGACACAGCCTGAGACGGTGACAACCAACCTCATCTAAACCTAAAGCCTCAACCACAACAATCCTTCATCCCCGCCCTTGCTCGATACCAGTAAGTACGCCACTCTAACCAGCCATACTAGCCTGCCGAAATGCCATGATACAACACGACACCGCTACGCTGACATCAGTCCTTGACAGCCATGCTAGACAAGACGCAGCAGACACCGATGCAGCCGGCGACGCAAGTTAAGACGCAGAAGCCATTGTCAGCAACCACGTATGCTGCCAGGAGCATGAGCACGCCTTCGGCTTTGCTCTCAGGCTCGGATGCGGGCGAGGATACTAGCTCAGACGACGACACGGACACTAGCTCGGACACGGGCATGGATACGAGCTCAGATGAAGACACGGACACAAGCTCAGAACCAGATACTGTCGCCGGAACTGTCACTGGTATAGATGCAGGTTCAATCAAACACAACAGCAGCCTCCCCTACCGGCCACGATCGCACCAGCGCAATGACGCGCTCCCAGAGCTAAATAAAATTCACTACCACCAGCACTCAGAACTGCGCAGGTACAGGATTCCAGGGCTAGACAACGTGCATTACCGCTGCCATTGGAAACACCACAGCTACACGCTCCCAAGGGCAGACAACATCCAATACCGTCACCACTGGCAACAGCCCCACAATCCGCCTCCAGCACCACACCACCCCACCACGGCCCCCGACCGAGCTCCTTCCAACAACATCGCATTCGCGCAATCCCTCTTCTTAGCCCCTACCACAACCTTATCGTCCAAAGAGCTCGAAGCAAAGCAAGCGGTTCTAACAGCGCGGCTGTGCACGGAGAAGCTGTCGTCGAGGCAGCGATGCCGCATCCGTCGTCAGAGCGCTAAGGTGACGCAGGCGATGAGCGAGCGAGCGGCTGAGGAAGCGCGTAGGGCTGAGGCGGACGAAGAAGAAGAATACGACGATGAAGATGACGACGAAGAAAGCGCAAAGCTGAGCGAAAGAGTATTTGCGACCCGGACGGCACTGCTCGAAGCCCGGATCGCGGCGCAGACGAAGCGGCTGCGCAGCAAGAAGGTGAGGTTGACGAAGGCGCAGCATCGCAACATCCGGCGGGCCAGGTCTCACGATATACGGGAGCTGCTGGGCGAGCACTCGGGTAAGGGAAGAAGCAATGTTCTGCCGAAGGAAGCTCGCGAGCGGCTTGAGGCGGAGCTTGTGAGCGCGAGGGAGCTGCTGAGCGCAAGGGAGCTGCCGATGGATCGGTATGCCGGTGTCTTGAAGCGCGTGCAAGAGATAGAGGGGACGTTGTGTTTGCGTCGTTGGAACAAGAAGGGGTCGCCTGCTTGTGATGATGGCCGGGTGTGGGAGTGTGGGGATGACGAGGAGATGCCGTTGGCTGAGGGCCAGATGGTGGGTTGGTTTGTCAAGACGCCGTGGGGTAGGTTTAAGAAGGCTTGAGCTTGGGGTGTAGATGGGCTGGCTGGTTTCTCAGAGGTTTTGGGACCTGCTTTCTTGTGTGGATATGGACTCTGGATTGGCTGCTAGTAGGCACGGCACGTATTTGGACTTGACATCACTCTGTGTCCTACCTAGCAATAACACTGACTTCACTTATTTGCATCCAAGACCCGATTGTGCCTGACCCAAACAGGGAGAACCCTTGCATGCCTTACCACGACAAGTTACTGAAGCGGTATTACGAGCTCAAAGGAAGCATCAAATTTGCCGGCTATAGAACGCCTTCAGCCACTGTTCCATCGTCCATAGCCGGCATACTCTTTTACACACCTACCCTAACCCGCCAGTTTCGGATGCATCCGGTAATTATTTTATGATCAGCGTGTTCCTATACATCACACTAATCCACTAGTTCCTTATACATCTACTTACGATCTTAAATGTATCTAAATACCAGGTTAGCAACAAAGATAAACTATAGATGCGCCACAGCATGTGCAACTTATAGCGACGACTATAACGTCACAGCCGCGATGATGAATATCAACTCCCAAGGTCGACGATGGGTATAAAGTCTTGATTAATTAGTCAGGAATCGCGTATTACTGTCTCGCTCGTTGGTTGCTACAATACTTAGTGTTTGTGTGTGTTTTGGACCCCCAGCATGTGGAAGACCGTAGTCTATTGAGACATGAGACTTTTGCGGATGTGACCTTCTCATAAACGGTTATCAGACGGGGGTCTTACTGCTGTTTTATACGCTTTAATGGCTCGTGTCTTGCTATGTGTGAAGAGCGAGGTTGGAGTTGTATGAATTAGCTACTAGAAGGATAGTAGGTCCTCTGTAACGTTGACTTATCCTTCACTAATTATACTAACATCCCATCACTTTACTCAAGCCCCTTTCCGCCGCTCTTCCCACTACAAGAGGTCCAACACACTAAGCCAGCCCCAATAAATCATTCACATCCATACTCACCTATTCACATACGCACCGCACGCACGACCTACCCCCTCCGTCACACGCCCTGCACGCACGCACCCGCACCACCTACATAAACCTTTCTCCCCCACCTCCATCCCACCTTTTCTTTCTCTCCAGCGCACCTCAGCACCGCGACCAGGGCCGGGCCAGCCAGCGGGACCAAGATAATTAAGTTTCCCAATTATCTTTCCTTTATGCCTTTTCTCTCTTCTTTCTCTTCTTATTCTTGTTCATAGGTTTGTTCATAGGTTTAGTAGGTAACTAGTCGGACCAGTACTCTTTTTCCCCCGGTCGGCCCAATCGGGGTTTTTGACGAGGCTGCGTCTGTGTATTTGTACTTTCTTTGTAGGGAGGATTTGGTCGCAGTTTTGGCGGGGTGTTATGCTTGTAGGTAGTATAGTTTGTGGCTTTTATGTTGGTGATGCTTCTTCTCGTGTGTCTGCCTGTGTGCGCTTGCTGCTTGTTTGGTGGTTGGATTTGCTTGGGGTCTTGTGTGACTTGTAAGTTTTGTGGCTCGGAGAAGTCTGTTTCCTAAACAGCTATCTAAAAGCTCAAGAGGACGTGTATAGCTTTACTTCATCCCTTTACTTCCGAGCCCAACAGTGATTATCTAAAAACTTCATCAACACTACTACAGAACCCCATCCACCAAAGCACACCGCAGCCGCCTCCACGTCCTCCCCATCCCACCACGCTACTCCATCCCGGCCAGCACAACCCCCAACGCCGCCCACACCTCCTCAGCAGCGGGCCTAATCTGATCCGCCGGCAACACGAACCCATACGTCCCCGTATCGCGCAGCTCAGCCGTATACACGTAGTCGGCCTGCACGACATCGTTGACGTAGTCGACCGAGCTGCCCGACGCCGCGTAAATAGTCTCGCAGATGGGGCCTGCCGTGAACGTCTTCCCGCTCGTAGCTTTGATGGCCGCGACGGCGCGCGTGGCGAGCGACTCGAGCGCTGCGTTGTTCGCGGCGAGCTTGCTGCACGTGTAGCCGTATGCTGTGCGCGTTAGTTAGCTATGTTGGGCATCTGTCTGGCTGTCTGTCCGCTGAAGAAGATACGCCAAGGGCCCAAAGCACTCTTCCCGACCACCGAAACGCAAAGACCGGGCAGAAGAAAAGAACCATTAGCACTCACGCCACATCCAAAGCTGCGAGTACGAATGCCAGTCGACATAGAGCTTGACGCCCTGCGCCTTTGCCACGCTCGCCAACTGCGCACTCAGCGCCACAGTCTCTGGCGCGCTGCCCGGCGCACTGCCACGGTAGTCCTCGGCGCAAGGGTCCGTCGACGCGCCGCCTGGCGTCGCCCAGCCCGCGTCCCAGTTGCGGTTGATGTCTGTGCCGGCGCAGCTGGAACCGCGGCCACTGCTGCCGTTGGGCTGCCGGTTCTTGCGCCAGAGCCGCTGCTGCGTTTGCGTGTACATGAAGCCTATGAACATGTAACACATAGTCAATACTGCTACTACCATTGCCGCAATTGTAACCTACAACCGTGCTGCGTGCTCTCTCTTTTATATAGGGATAGGGCTAGGGCGGACTCACCATCAGGATTAACAACAGGAAAGACAAAGAAATCGTACTTGTCCACCCATGCCCTCACCGTCGCATTCGCCTCATACCCCTCCAACAACCGCCAGGCCACAAACTCGTTTACGAGCGTAGTGACCCACTCGCGGGCATGCACCGTCGCATGCAACACCACAGCCGGGCGGCGGCCCTTGCCCGCGCTGCCCCAGAAATGGATGCCCGAGATATTGCGGCCCTCGTAAGACGCGCCGGCGGAGACGAGCTCCGAGCGCGAGGGGTAGGCCGCTTGGAGGGAGGCGAGGAAGGTTATGTGCGTGGCGTAGGGGTGGTAGGAGGTGAAGAAGGCGTCGGAGGGGGTGGTTGCTGCGTGCGTGGAAGGGGGGGTTAGTTGTGCTGCTGTGTGGCTGGAGGGTTCTTTCTTTCTTCTTCTCTTTCTATCTTCCTCTTTCTCTCTCTTCTAAGAAAGAGATATTAACGTACCTTCTATCCCCTGACTCTCCTCCGCCCTCAAATCCGCCCCCAAATCCTCATGCAGCACTCTTCCCCCTAATCCTAGCGCTTCAACCTGTTGCACGTTTTCCGGCGCAACGAGTATATCCGCGTGGCCGGCGCCCTGGGGGCTATCATTCAGCGTCTCGGCGAGCCCGGCGAGCGTGGATGCGTGCGCGCTGTATGCGTCGTATGGGACGCGGAGGACTTTGTGGTGCGTGTAGGTGAGGGGTGTGGGTGTGGGTGTGGGTGTGTTGGGGTCCGTGTTTGGGCTTGTGATGGCGGCGGCGTGGGTGGGTGGGAGGAGGGGGAGGAGGAGCGTGAGGAGCGTGAGCGGATGCATTGTAGAAGGGAGGGATGGGATGGGCGTGGGTTGCGGGCTAGGTGAGAGTGGGGTTTATTTGTTTGTTTATATAGCCAGCGCTTTGCTCGATCGAAAGACACAACAGAGAGAGAGAGATAGAAAGGAAGGTGACAACAGCGCAGCAACAGCTAGGTAGGGTGTGAACATACCTACCCACCCACCTACCTACCTACCACACCAGCACACGCGCACCGCACCGCATCCCATCACATCACAGCCCAAACAAGCAGTTCATCGCAGCAGCGATAACCATCACCACCACTTCCCCCCGCCTGCCCGATCAGGAAGTCAAGCCGCCGACCTGCCGTACCGACACTAGCGGGCGGGCTCGACCGCTCGTCTAAAGACATACCTACACACCACGGTCTAGCTCTTCGCACAGCAGTCCTTGATACCAAGCTCGCTTGTACGTGCGCGCGGTTTTATACTTTACGCCTAGGTAGCTCCTTCCCCGTCAGCGGCGGCAGCGGAAGCGGAAGCGAAGCCTCTCCTCCCCGCTCCTCCCGCCCTGGTAAGCCAGATACGAGGAACCGGCCCGGCTATGCGCGAGCGACGGTTTAGTGACTAAGAGGGTGTTGGAGGGGTGTTGAGCGCACTACACTAGGAGGGGTGCACCGCGCGCTCAAACCCCAGCCACGCCGTCTCGTCGATGCCGCAACCCGCGAGTATAGGCGCTTGTGTTTGCATGTATTTGTGTGAGAAAGCGGGGGCATGGATGGGGTAGGGTGGAGGGTTGTGCGGCTGTTGCTGTTGCTGCTGGGGAGGGGAAGTGCGTCTTGAGGAGGGCGCGGGTGGGGGCGTTGTTGTTGTTGTTGTTGTTGTTGTTGTTGTTGTTGTTGTTGTTGTTGTTGTTGTTGTTGTTGTTGTTGTTGTTGTTGTCGTCGTCGTCGTTGTTGTCGCTGGTGGTGGGGGCGGGGGAGGTGCCTGCTTGAGTGGATGAGGGCTGAGGTGATTGCCGGCGTAGTGTCATTGTAGTAAAGACGGATACGGACAGGAAAGAGTATTGGGACAGGAGAAATAGGTAGGTAAGATTCTGACGGCGAGAGAGATAGAGGAAAGAGAGCAGAAGAGAGTAAAAGAAAAAACCGTATTTACTGTAACTGCTCTTAAGTACCTACCTACCACCCACCCGCGCGCCCCAAGCAGCTCTCCCGTCCCCATCTTATCGCCAATATCCGCGATAGGTACGGTACCTAAGGGCCAACCCAACCAACCAGTCAGGCAGGACGCAAGACGCGCACGCAACCCGCCATCTCCCTACCCCATCACGGCCCGCCATGCCGGCGCACCTAGGCCGAGTTCGCCCGCGTGCGCCGGAGATCTCTGCCCCGACGAGCCAGCCAATGGCCCGCGGACGCGGTGCCGGACGACGGTGGACCGCACGCACCCACGCACGAGTTGTGAGAGCTTGTCGGCATGCATGTGCGTGTGCATGTATGTGTGGGGGAGGGGAGGGGGCGGTGCTGGCTGGCGCTGGCGCTGCTGCAACCTGCGCGTGCACTGCCCCGCTGCGCTGGATCGCTCCCGTCCTGTACCCCGATACTTTTGGGGCGAGGGTGCGTGCGGCCTGGCAGACGGGCGTGCACTCGTGGTAGGTCGTCTTGACTAGCGGTACGTAGGTCTTGACGTGCGTAGGGTATGGGGCGCCGAGGGCTCCACTTGTACAGGGCTTAGGTAATGATCTGAAGCGTAGATATTTTTTTACATTCATTCGTCATCCGTTGAGATTTCATACTTCCAAGGCCGTATGTGCTCTTTTCGTCTCGCCATCACATGGCTGGCTACCTAGCGCCCTTCCAATATATCCAACGTTTGTTTTTTCCGCTTTCCTTACTTTTAGCTTTCCATGCTTTTTTCGCCCCAAGCGTAAACGCCTCTGTCTCGACTTGAGATCAAATGCTCGATAGTGTTTCCCAATCCAGCATTCTGTCTGTGATGCTTTTTGTCATCACAAATCAGACGCCGCCTAGTAGATGAAGGGGATCATCACGTAGCTCTTGCGCTTGTACGCCGCGCCAAACTCCTTCCTGTATCTCCTTTCCTTCTTCGCCGCCCACGCGGCCATTTGTGCGCCCGCGACCAGCACGAAGAGGCCCGTGGCGTAGAAGGCGGGCGTGCTGATCAAAGCATTGACAAGCCACACGCCGCACCAAGAAATGATCTCGAACAGGTAGTTGGGGCAGGTCACCCAGCTGAAGCCGAGGCCCTTGGGGATACCGCGGGCGGTGGGGTCATTGGCAGGGCGCAGGCCGCGGAGGGTCAAGTGCGTGGATAGGTTGCCAAGCTCGCCAATGACGTACAGGGCGACGGCGACATTGACGGCGAGGAAGTTGCTCCCAATTGTTCTGTACGAGGTTCCGTACGCAAAGTATGCCAGGTTCAGGCCCGAAAGAAGCCAGTAGTGACCCGAGTTCTTGAAGATGTTGAAGGCAGGCATGGTCGCGTTCGAGAAGCGGTGCACGAAGATGGTCTCGAGCTCGCGCTTGACGAAGTGGACGACGACGAGGATCAACGAGAGCTGCTGCAGGTCGGTGGGCTCTGGGATGGAGGACGGAGACAGAGTGGGTGTGGGGTAGATGTACGGCCGGAGGTACCACACCAGCAGGTGGAGGAGGATGGGACCCGCATACTCGGTCAGGAAAACGGTGCGCCAGGCAATCTGAGGCCCTGCAGATGGCGTTCATCAGCTTCAGCTTCAGCCATTGTCGCGCGATGTGTGCGCCATCCTTACCCAGATCCTTGACCGTGATGGCACTTTTCTGACGGAGACCGGTCTGCGCAACGAGCGTCTTTGTGGAATTGGGCACGACAGAGCCATCGCTACCCTTGGCTATGCGCAGGCGATGGACAGAGGTGCCAGTGGCCGCAGCGAGGCGTTTGTAGAGCTCAGCGGTCGAGTCCGTGAGAGCAATTGAGGTGTCGGCGGGGAGCCTTTTGATAGGCTTGCCTGAGCGGGGGCGTCAGCTGGTGCGGGGCAATTGGGCAGTGCGGGATCGTTACCTCGCGGCTGCACGACGAGAGAGATGTTTTCGGTGGCCATGGTTGTGTTGAGATGGAGAGGTCAAAGGTCGAATTGTTCTATCCATGGACGGATTGTCGGCAAGACGCTTCCCGGGCCCCACACGTGATGGGTTGTCGTCATATTCCATCTCTCTCTCTCGCATTGACGGTGCAAAGGTCGAACGGGGAGCACGGGGGCAGTGTTTCGGAAGTGCGACGCAGAGAATACGACTCTGACAGCTTTGACCTCCGCATTATCGTCAACATGTCTGCCTCGTGCAGCCTCGTCATGCTCCACCCCAGTTGCCTGACCGCCGAGTTTTGCCAGGCCTTCGCTCTCACCGGATGCATTGTCAGCCGCCCCACCGCAGCTGAACCCAATAGCAGTCAATGTGCCCTCGAACAGATCAGCCTTGGGTTGTCAGCTTCGGGACTTCCGAGAACGCCATGATATTGTCGGCCGCACCATTGGCTGCGCTGCTAATGCGCATTTCTCCGTTTGGTGCCATTGCCCGCCATGTGGCTGGCTAAAAATACTGCGGCTGAGTTGCTCCATGGATCTCCACACACAACTCATATATCTGCTCTCGCCCAAGACGCTCCATCTTCTCCCAAGCACCTTCCATTGTTCCATTGCCTTTTGCCCTGTATATCGTCTGATACCTCGACCAAGTACATACTTACTATTAGGTTACCATCCCTCCTAATCCCCTCATAATACCCGGCCTCATCAAGGTATGTCTTTGTTTGCTTTGCTTCTGACGTTTTCGTGTCTTGTCACGCCTCACGTCATTCCACATCCCTTTCTTTTGTGGCAGCCGCAAAAGGTCATCTTTCAGCTTACCCCGCGTCTATTCTCTGGATATAATCTTCCCCGCAATGCCTTTCCTTTGATGCAATTCTTCTCCACCAAATATCAAATCCTAACCGAGTCCACTCAGCCATACACATCATGTCATCCACCTTTTCCAACCAACCTCAGGGAGTTTCTACTCTCGACAAGACCATTAAAGAGGCCAGGACTCATGTCTCGAAGCTCTATGATTTCATTAGTCATGCTGCAAAACCAGTGCCTACCGCAACGGGCGATGGCACCGAGTTAAACGACACCGATTACCATACAGATGCTTTTGAAGCTCTCGAGGCTGGCCTCGCTGATCTCTCCCACATGGGCATCTCTGACTTTAAGACCTTGGAGCAAGCGGCCCGGACCAAGCTGACCGGCGAAGTCACGAACGACAAGACGTACTTTATGGAGCATTTGATCCAGACTGCAGCGAAGCTGCCGCAAAATCACAAGCTTTCCAAGAAGCTTACCGACACCTTCCTCACCCAGCTGTGGACCGACCTGCAGCACCCTCCCCTCTCCTACCTTGGCGACCAGTTCAAGTACCGTCAAGCGGATGGCTCCTATAACAGCTTGAAGCATCCAATGTTGGGCGCCGCAAATACGCCCTATGCTAGAACTGTAGCACCCAAGGCGCCCCAAGCTGCTGCGTTGCCGGACCCTGGCGTCATTTTTGACAGCATCATGGCGCGCAAAGTCCACAAGAAGCACCCCAATCAAATCTCCAGCATGCTTTTCTATCTCGCATCTATCATCATCCATGACTTGTTCCGCACAGACCATGAAAACTTCAGCAACTCGAAGACGTCATCGTACCTGGATCTTTCCCCGCTGTACGGTAGTAACGCCGACGAGCAGAAGGCGATGAGAACGTTCAAAGACGGAAAGCTTAAGCCGGACTGCTTTTCCGAGACACGTTTGCTGATGTTCCCTCCCGGCGTTGGTGTTTTGCTAATAATGTTCAACCGTTTTCACAACTATGTTGTGGAGGAGTTGGCATTGATCAATGAGGGCGGCCGTTTCACTAGGCCCGCTGAGGGAGTTAGGAGCCCTCATCTGACGTTGGAGCAACACGACGAAGAGCTATTCCAAGTTGGACGTCTGATCACATGCGGGCTGTACGTGAACTGCATCTTGCTCGACTACGTCCGGACAATCCTAAACCTCAATCAAACCGATGACAAATGGGCACTCAACCCTAGGGCCGACATCCCCGGCGTCGAAACCGCCTGTGGTAACCAGGTCTCGGCCGAGTTCAACCTAGTCTACCGATGGCACTCGACCATCTCGGACCGCGACGAGAAGTGGATGGAGGAAGAGCTTTGGCAGGGGCTGTTCCCTGGAAAGAAGCCCAAGGAGGTCAGCCAAAGAGAATTCTTGACGAAGCTGGGCAAAATGGAAAAGGAGACGTCCCCAGATCCTATCAAGCGTCCTTTCCATAACATCACTCGCAAGGCTGATGGCACGTTGGACGATGACGCACTGGTAAAGATTGTGACTGAGGGCATCGAGGATTGCGCAAACTCATATGGCGCTCAAAGGATTCCTACCGTCATGCGTGCCATCGAGATTCTTGGCATGCAGCAGGCACGAGCGTGGAATGTCGCTACGCTGAACGAATTTAGGAAGTACTTCAAGCTCGAGCCACACAGGACCTTTGAAGACATCAATTCAGACCCGCATGTGGCCGAGCAGCTGAAGCGCCTCTATGACCACCCGGACCTTGTCGAAATGTACCCTGGGTTGATAGCCGAGGAAGCCAAACAGCCAATGGTCCCCGGCTCTGGTCTCTGCCCGGGCTACACTATTTCCCGAGCTGTACTCTCAGATGCCGTGGCTCTAGTCAGAGGCGACCGCTTCTACACCATTGACTACCACCCGAAGCAGCTGACTAACTGGGGCTACGCGCTCGTTGAGTCGGACAAGGAAATCAACAACGGCGCTGTCTTCTACAAGCTGTTCTTGCGGGCATTCCCGAACCACTTCAAGCAGGATTCCATATACGCTCATTACCCGCTCACGGTTCCAAGCAAGATGAAGCAGGTTCTCGGCGACCTTGGTAATGCCCACAAGTACAGCTTCGACAGGCCGCAGTTCCTTGGAGTCCCCAAACTCGTCTACTCCTATGCTGCGGCAGAAAAGGTTCTGGGCGACAAGGCAACCTTCAACGTCACGTGGGGCCCTGCCATTGAGTTCTTGATGGGCAAGCCCGCGAAGAACTTCATGCTTGCGGGAGACGGCTACGGGAACGAACAAAGCCGCAAGATGATGTCAGACGCGCTGTACATCAAGGATTGGGAGAGGGAGGTCAAGGAGTACTACACTAACATGACCACACGGATGCTGAAGGAACGATCCTACAAGCTCGGCGACCTCAACCAAGTCGACATCATCCGCGACGTCGGAAACCTGGTGCACGTCCGCTTTTGCGCCGACCTGTTTGCCATGCCGCTCAAGACCGACGAAAACCCACACGGCATCTTTACGGAGCGCGAGCTCTACATGATCCTGGCCGCGGTCTTTACGCTCGTCTTCTTCGACCTGGACAAGGCCTCGTCCTTCCCACTTCACCAAAAGGCGCTCGCGGCAACACAATCACTCGGCAAGCTCGTCGAGATCAAGGTCAAAGAAATCCAGGCCGGCAGCGGCCTCCTTAACAGCGCCGCCTCAGCCATCTTCCCGAAAGAGACTCCCCTTGCGCACTACGGCAAGCACATGATCGAACGCCTCCTGCACAAGAACGACGACGTGAAGGACCTCGTCTGGGGCCACATTCTGGGTACCGCGGGCGGCATGGTGCCGAACCAAGGCCAGCTCTTCGGCCAAACAATCGAGTACTTCCTGAACGAGGGGAAATCCCACCTCCCCGCGATGCGGAAGCTCGCCCTCCGTGACGACCCCGCCAGCTTCGACACGCTGATGAAATACATGCTCGAGGGCTCGCGCCTCGGCGGCGAAACGGGCGTCTTCCGGCGGGCAACGCGCAGCGCCAGCGTCACAGACGGCGAGAAGACCGTCTCCCTCGCGCCCAACGACGTCGTCATGGTGCACCTGCGCGCGGCGTCGCGCGACCCGGCCGCGTTCCCTGACCCGGACAGCGTGAAGCTGGACCGCCCGCTCGAGCGCTACATCCACCTTGGCGCGGGCGCGCACCAGTGCCTCGGCCTGCCCATGATGCGCGTCTCGCTGACGGCTATGCTGCGCGTCATCCTGCGCGAGTGTCCGGGCCTGCGCACGGCGCCTGGCCCGCAGGGGGCGGTGGGCAAGGTCGAGAAGCCGCTGGATCCGGTGCATGAGGCTGCAAATGTCAGGTACCATGGCTATTTGACTGAGATGAACGACTCGTTCTTCCCGTTCCCTTGTGGTAGGTTTTCTTCCCTCCCCTCATCTCTCTCTGCTTTAAAGGCATATGCTAACGTGTTGTGTGTAGCACTGAAAGTAAACTGGGATGATGCGGACCAGTCGACCGCTGTCAACGGCACTGCTTCCTCGTGAACTGAGCGTGTGAGCATAGATGGATTGGTGGTTGGGAAAAGAGAGGGATGAATGAATGGATGAGAAGAGACGGCAGACCGTACCTCACCCTCTACACGAATAACGCAGTATCCATAGTGTAACGATACCTACGATGCACGCCCAATTTAGGTTTTACATAGCATAAGTGTAATGAACCAATATTCATACGCTCGCACTCGCATTGCATATCATGTTCCCGCGCAAACATTCAACACACAACAGACAAACAGACAAACGAAGCACATTGCCCGCGCGTAGAATCATCGATTCGGGTATCTCAACGAGCGCGCCCAGCAGTCAGTCTCGGCCGCTCGCTTTTCTGGCCCAGCTACATACTCGGTCTTAAAAAAAAAGCGTAGGTCAGTCGGTCCATCGTCGTCAAAGCCATGCGCTATGTACATACATAACAATTCGTCCCGTCAATGAATCAGTCCATCCATCAGTCAAACACAATCAAAACAATCAAAACACACTCAAATCCCCCTCGTACACAGCACACATCTCGCCTTGCCCAACCAATCACCCTCCACACGGACACACGCCTCCCCTCACCTACCTTACCCTACCACACCCTACCCAACAACGCCAACATCCCTCCCCGCAAACGTGCTCATACCCCACAGCGTCATTGGCTCGGCGCCCCCCGCAGCCGCCGCAGCAGCAGCCACGCTCTCAAAGAGCCCGTCATCCAAGAGCGCGACGCCCTTGCTGCGCAGGCCGAACAGCTCCCACGCGCGCTCCTTACGCACCTCCTGCACGCTCAGCTGCCACTGCGGCGTGCTCTTCAGCGGCCGCCACTTCAGCTTGTCCTGGCCCTCCTGCTCGCGCAGGTCCACCAGCTTCGCCGTCGAAGGCAGCCGCGTCAGCTCCTGCAGCGCCAGGCGTTGCTTCGACAGCGCCCCGCCCGGCTGGTAGTGCTGTTGCTGCTGGGCCTCGTTGGCTGCCACTGCGGCGGCCGCCGCCGCTGCCGCAAAGGCCGCGTTGCTGCCGTCGTTGGCGTTGTTGTTGTCTTTGCCAATGTCGGCTTGCCGGCTGCCGCTGGCCTTGGAGAAGGCTGTAGGAGCCAAAGGCGCTTGCAGCCACGAATTCGCCGCCGCCACCTTCGTCACTAGCTCGCGTTTGTTTGCGTTCCGCAGGTACCGGTTCGCCGCCTCCAGGTAGCGGATGTCGGTGCGCAGGGCGTCGATCTCGCGCTTCGTCGCCACCGTCTTTTCGCCCACTTCGCCCTTGCGGCCCGGCCCGCTCGCCGCCTCGGCCGCCTTCGCCTGCTCCGCCTCCGTCTTGTACTTCTCCTTCTCCGTCTCCAGCGCCGCGAGGTCGCGCACTTGCGTCTCCAGCGCTTCGGCGAGCTGCTTCTCGCGTGCCTTGGCGTCTTCCATCTTCGTCTCCAGCTCCTTGATGCGCTCGGCCTTCTTGCTGGCGTCGCGCGTGCGCGACTCGAGCAGCTCGATCTTGACCGTGGCTTCCTCGTAGCGCTGCTCTTGGAGCTTGAGCTGCGTGGCGCGCTCGTGGATGTCCTCCTTGAGCCGCCTGACTTCCTCTTCGGTGTCGATGGACACGATCTTGCTGTCCTGCAGCTCCTTGGAACGCAGAACCCAGGGCGCCGTCGTGCGGTCAAACTCCACCGTGACGTCGAGGTCATAGGTGAGGTTGTTAAGGTCACCAAGCTTCTCGTTGAGTTGGCGGAGCTTGGCGTCAAAGGTGGTGTAGAGATCAGACTCCAAGGTTTGGAAGACAATCTCGGCAGTCTTGAACATCGTGGTGCGAACTTCGCTGATGTTGACAGGCTCCGTACGCTCCTCTTGGTGCATGAGCTGGTAAAGGTTTTCGCCAAGCGCACGTCCATAGCGGGAGAGCTCTTCCGCCAGATCCTCGCATTCTTCAAAGGCCTGGAACGTTTCGCTCTGCAACGTGAGGTACCTCGACTTCAAGTCGTTAATGGCACGCAAAGTCTTTCCAATGACCACCTTGGCGCTGCGAGACTGTGCGATCATAATCTCGGACTTCTGAGTGAAACGCTCCACGCTGTCATCCTCTTCGTCGGCAGAGGCGGGGATACGTGCTTGCACATCCGCCTTGACGAGCGAAAGAGCAGCGGCGGTAGTTTCCAGATGACTCTGCATGACCAAAGTGCGCATGATAATGTGGTCCGCATAGTTTTCGACTCTGTCTTCAAGGTGAGTCTCAGCCAAGTGAGACATGACAGCGATAGACCTAGACACTTGTCAGCAACTATCATGTTGAAAATGGGACGTGCAACATACCGGTGCAGCTCCTCAGCGACCTGCCTCTCCTTAAGCTCATCCCTCTTCAAGCCCTCAATGTACCCATTGAGCGCACGCTCAACAGGTTCAAGCTCGTACAGGGTGCCTTCAAACTTCGCAAAGCGATCCAGCGAACAGCCGGAGATGGTGTTGACAAACCTATCGCACATGGCCGAGACCCAGACAAGCTTGTCGAGAACATCGCACGCTTCGAAAATCTCCTCATCGCCGCTGGAAGACTCGGTGTTGACCTTGGTTCTAATGAAGCTAGCCAACAGCTGAGCCTTGAACGTGATCCTCTTGAAGCGCAGCAACGCGAGAACAGATTCTCTCTCCGAGTGGAAGGCTTCAGGAAGGAACAGCTGAACAATAGACAGGTGCTCGGCAGCTTCTTGAGCCTCAAGCTTACGAAGTTCCATGTCGATGGTCTTGACCTTGGTGTTCGTCGCAGAGACCTGCAACTGCCTGTTCAAGTCCATCATCACCCTCGATCGGCTGTTCAGTTCATTTGCTTCCGTCTCGCTAATCTCCTTCGAAGCCCGCATGTCTTCCATCTCAGACTGGAGGCTGATAACCAACTCGCGGAAGCGCATGATGGTATATTCTTGATCCGAAATAGACTCATCTTGCTGCATGGCCCGGCGACCATACTCCGCGATAAGAGAGTCCTTGAAATCAAGCTGCTCCTGAAGTTGTTTGGCGTTTTCGACATGGTTGACTTCGAGTTCATCGTTGAGCTCCTTGAGTGTCTCGAGCTCTTCGTTGGCGACGACCAATTTTTCAATGTAGTCATTCAAATGGAGGTTCTTCTCAGTAAGCTCCTCAATCATATCTTCTGCTCCAAGGGCCGTGTCGAGCTGTTGACGAAGATCTTCGATGTGTGCCTCTGCATCGGCGTATTTCACCTTGATGTCGTCGAGTTGCTCCTTAGCACCTGAGAGTTCTTGAACATCTTGCTCCAAGCTCTGTAACTGGTCTTGAAGTTCCTCTTCCTGCGCCTGGGTGATTTCTCGGAGTCGCAGAAGTGCCTCGCGCAATCTTTCGTTCTCCCGTTCCATATGCAGCCAAGAAACGCTTGTCCGTTCCTCTTGGTTCGTTTCTTGGCCCAGTTCCTGGTTTTCAGCCTTCAGAATCTCATTCTCCAGCTCCAGTTCCTCAAGTCTCCCCTTGGTAGCTTCAAGGTCCGCCTTGTAGGCCTCAGTTTGTTCTTCGGCCATTTCGCGGTCAAGCGTCGCCATTTCCATGATTGAATCATGTTCGGCTTGCACGGCCTCGATCTGCTCAAGGGCCTTCTCAGCATCTTTCAGCTGTTTCTGGAGTTTGTTGTTCTCTTGAGAAAGCGGCTGAATCTTGACTTGCAATTTTTGAATGATTGCTTCGAACTTGTCTTTCTCTTCCTGAACGCCGGTTAAAGCCTTTATTTTTTCTCGATCCTCATTCCGTTTTTGCTCCACTAGCCGTAGTCTTGTCTGTAGTTCCTGTATCTCTTGGTCTTTTTGGGTGACCGAAGCGCTTACAGCACGTTGTGCGTTCGAGGGAGCCGCGGGGGCCACAGTTGGCGATGAAGACGTACGGCTACCTGCACCTGGTGGGCTCGGCCGCTTCGCAGGGCCTGCTCCACTTGACAAGGATGGCCGACTCTTCGCTGCAGTTGTAGTGCTGTTATCGCTACTGCCTGCTCTAGCCAAACCTACACGAGCGCCGCCTAAAGAAGGCCGGGGAACATGTCCTTTCGCGGCTGCTGACGATGCAGGAGACGGCGTCGACTTCGATGACGTTGATGTGGATGAAGCGACATTTGAAATACGTCTGTTTGGTGCTGTGGTTGTTGAGGCTGCCCCTCCACTTACACTCGGACGTGGAGGTCTAGAGATGCTTCCGGACGCGGGGCGCTTTGTGGGTGACTGATGTAACGTTAGCAATTAGACGTTCAGAACTGGATTGGCTGTCTTACTCCTATCTTCGACCCAGGCGCTGGACTCCTGGCGTCCATTGTCAAGCTGCTTGGCCTCGTCCCGGCCCTCGGCCTCGTCGTTGCTTCGGCAGTCATACTGCTCGGTCTCGGCCTCCCTTGGTCTACTGAGCCAGCCGTCCGCGCTCTTGCTGGCGCTGGCCTTGGTGCCCTTGCTGGCGGCTTCGGCTCCTCCAGAATGCGCGAAATGCCACCTTCACGGAGGAACATGCCATGATCGGGCTCACAATCGAAGTATCTCTCTCCCATCACCGATCCGTCGTTCTTGCCGTCCGGTCCATCGAATTCCACACCAATCCATAGTCCAGGTGCGAATTGGGTGTCGCCTATGAAACGGATGTAACCAACACGCTTATCGTTGAGCTCGATGAGCTGACCAATCTTGATGCTAGGGGCCGCCATGGTGGATTACTGCGAGGCAGGTTGACGGCTTCCAGAAGGGTGGGTTCACGGGTTCACGGCTCCTTCGCGGCGACGGTGCTATGAGCTGTTCATCGGTGAACGACTGTCGGTGTCCTAGCCGCAGTGGTGAAGGAACGGCGGGGTCGCGACAATGCTGCGGGCCGTGGCGGGACGAACGAAGGGGGTGCTTGTCGTGATATGGCCTTTGTCCCACGACCTTGGCGCGGTCGGCGTTGTTGGCCGTCAGAGGATTGCTCAGGTGCTTTCACAAACATCAAGCTCCGACCACGCGTCAGGGCTCAAGGGTCCTCGCGTATCACGTGATGGTTCCTGCGTCTGCGGCAGTGCTACCCGGATGCGTTGCGATCTCGTGTAACGATTCACAAAGCTTTTTTTGTGTCGACCAAGCGGAAATACCTCTAACACTAACAAGAATAGAATCTGAAGCCAGTATGAAAGACTATAACGCTATCATGAAACACGAGGCTCTAGCTATGTGCGAAGCTACCCCTGCAGCCCATCAGGCCCCGCTCCTACAACCCCACGCCCTCCTGAGAAGTGACAGCATGTAATCCAACAGGAGCACTGTTACGAAAGTTAAGTTGGGTACACATTTAACAGTCGTTCCCTAAATCTAGACAGAACAACTCCTCGATCAAGCTGTCAACTCAGCAATGCGTCGCTCGATGTCTGGCACTGCCCTCAGCTGAAGGTCAAGCTCTTCCTTCTCACTGTTCAAATTGTCAGACTTAGCAGCCTCAGTGCAGCACGCATGAAGGACAATGACTTACTCTTCCAGTTGTAGTCGCCTTTCAGCATCCAGCTTTGTGAAAATGTAATGACCTTGCCCGTCGAACTGAAGGATGTTTTCGTGGTACTTCCACAAGCTTCTCCTGTGACTGACTGTCATCAGAGTGATACCCAGGCGCTTAGCCTCATCATACATGATCCTTTCAATCTCAAGTGTAACGCTGCTCGTACACTCATCTAGGATCGCATATTTTGGAGCGTGGTAGAACAGACGCGCCATGGCCACGCGCTGCTGTAGACCGCCAGACAAGACATCAGTCCACTCCTGCTCAGCATCCCAGCCGCCGGGCCGATCAACGATGCCTTCGATTTCGACTACGGAGAGGATGCGGTACAAGTCATTGTCGGTGATGCCCTTGTCCCGCATCTCACGCAGCCCGTCCGGGTATATGATTTGCTGGCGGAGAGAACCTCTTGAGAGATAGGGTCTCTGCGGAATGTAAAAGATGTCCTCGAATGGCGGTTTCCTCACCGTTCCACCATAGACAGGCCAAAGGCCGCCCAATATCCGGAAGAGGGAAGACTTGCCACAGCCGTTGGGTCCAACGATAAGCAGATGACCACCCGGTTTCACTGTGAAGCTCAATGCTCGAACCAGAACATCGCCATTTGGGGATACAATCGGTACGTCGATAAATTCGATATCCTCGTCTTCTGAGACCTGACCTCTGCCTCGGAGGACGACTGCATTCTCCTCTGTGTTTGCAGATGACACCAACTTCTTCTCGAAATGGCCGGCTTGGACTTCTTCCATGACGTCTAGCAGAGTCGAAACGCGTGAGGTGTAACCAGCAAGCTCGGTTATTTCCTTGTAGGAAAACATTACTCGACCAAAGGCATCGGACGAACTAAGAAGCATGCGACGGTTGGTGACGAAGCCTGTGATCACTTGATCAGTGACATCGTGTCAACGGAAGAGCGTAATTACTCACTTTCTGTTCGATCACCCATATTGCTGCCACCAACACCGGGTATCTTGAAAAAGACGGGTACACTGCATAACATCAAGCCTAAAGCACCCCAGAAATACTTGATGACGAAATCTTCCATGACTCCGTGGTAGAACCGCCGCCTCAGTATCCGGTTCACGTGCTTGATAAGCGTGAAGTAACCTTTATCCAAGTTATCTTTCTCGGCCTCATGTCCCGAATAGAGCGCCACCTCTTCGCTGTAATCTATCAACCTCGAATGTTGAAATCTGAATTCGCCCTCGAGGCGTGCTTCATCTGCAACGTATCTGCCGAATGGCGGGGTCAAGGCTCGCATCACACTCGCGGAGAGCTGTACAACCAAGCTCATAAAGAACAGACCTTCCCCGCCGACACTTCGAGAGAGGGAGTAGTTGTATATGACCATGTCCAGAACTGGTTTGGCAATGTTGGAATACAGCTCAGCGAGGCTGTTAGAGAACTTGGCGACATCGACAGTAATCAGTTGGTCTGCATTCTTTATTCGATCGTCAAGGGCTGAAAGTGTGTAGAAGGTCATTTGTGAGAGGTATTTGTTGTGGATGTAGTTTGTCAGACGCGTACGGTATTGCAACGATAGCTTGCATTGGTGATATGAAAGCTGTAGTTTGATTAGCAGCAAGTCTCAACCAACGTGCTGTAGGGCGGATACCATCGAGTTTGTAAAGGTCGCAGGGATCGCCACGACCATCCACCATACCAGCCCAGTCAAGAAGTCCTTACCCTTGCCTCGAACCAGATTGCTCACGAGCTTTCCATCTAACTCGGCGACATACAGACTGATGAGAGTCCGTAGTACGAGGAAGATGGTATGGCTGATGAGCAACCTAAGTTCCTTACTCCGCCATCCTGGTATCACGATCTGCAGCAACCGAAAAAGATTCCGGAAGAACTCTCGATTCAGCTCGACCTTCTTCCTTGATGTAGCTTCGCCTTCGGTGGCTCCAGTCCCAGGTTTCCTACGCGCTTCGGCTTCGCGCACCGAGGCTGCCTTCTGTTCCGAGATGGCGCTGCGAATACGGTTTATGAGGGCGACGAAAAGTGTCAGGTAGACGGCGCGGGATATCCTCGTCCGATGTTTGAGATACAGCGCTGTGAACTCGTTGACGAGTCCTTTGAGCGTACGGTCCGGCGGAATAAGCTTCGACTGGGCGGCCATGGTGTAGCACTGGGCTCAGAACAGCACCTGTGAGCTCGATTCTTTGAACGTTTGGTTGCGCATGCTCTATGCTTCCGATGGCGACGTTGCGGTCGTGAGTGATGCGCGGGAGTAGTGAGCTGCCCGCATGTGATTGCAAGCGCCTCGGCTCCCCGGATTTTGCATGACTCGGGCTCCAGTCTTTCTGTCCCCATGACCTCATACGTTACCTCCACTGTCCACGACATTTCAACCTATCTTGATATCCATCTTTCGCCGACATTATACATCAAGAACTAACACACCTTAACGAGGACCGCTTGAAAGCTAGCGCATGGCATCTTGTATGAATATGCTACTAAATTTCATCAAGTATCAGTGTTTGTCATCCTTGATGTGCAATTCTTTGTTAAACTGTACAAACATGAGCGTCCAAGATGCAAGTGTTCAAAAGATTTGTGGTAAGCTCTTCTCTTTTGAGCTGTTGTGTTCATGGTCTCAAGGCGGAGTTGGCCCTCGGTACGCGTACCTACTGAACAGCTGGCCTATCTAAACGACCAACCAATTAACCAGTCAATACCCGGATGCACTACAAATACCTACTATCGCATCGAATCATTTGTGTTGCTGCTACACTCTAACGCTCTGCAACAATATCGAAGCTTACAAGATGGATGCTGAAGGCCCCGGATAATTTGCCCACCCCCCTTTGGATATTTTGCCCATCCCTTCCACCGCCTCCTAAATAGGTAAATTCTAGCAGAACCTACCTAGATACGTAAGGACGTAAGCGCGCGAGGACGTAAACGCGCGAGGACTTATAGGCGGGGAATAGGAATAGGCATCCCCCTATTTTATACTAAAAATTAACTAATAAATTCTATATCTTTAACCTCGCTATTATAGCGCGTCAGGCAGGAAGACCGTAGCTATATACCTCTAATACAGATAGGTAGGCGGTACTAGAGATTAGACAAATACTCTTAGGCGGTACGGCGATTAATAGTAAGAAGATAAAGAATAATAAATAGAATTATCGTTTACGATTACCCGAAAAAGCTTAGCGGTTGCCTTTCTTAGTAGGGGGTGGGCAAAATATCCAAAGAGGGGTGGGCAAATTATCCGGGGCCATGCTGAATTATGGCTAAACATTACCTTTTTAGTCATTTTAGCAACTCTTCTTACCGCTCCCTTCCTATCTCGAACTGCTCGCTGCTGGTTTTCGGTCAATCCTAGCCTGCTCGACACCATGAAAGATATAATCAGAGAGTTTCGCTATGAGAACGATCCAGCTGTTCAGTTCGAAGGCGCATCTGCCATCTGGGTTTATTTGGCTCCTATAATCTCTGCCGGCACTTTTTATTTCCTTGTCGAAATTATGATTGATCCTGGTCTTATTTTATCAGAAGGTGCTCGCACCGGTATCTCTTTTAGTCTCCTCGCTGGTCTTATCCTATTCGCTCTGATGAGCGGATATATGCAACCCCGCACGGCACCTAAGATTCTGATCATGTTCATCCTCTTGCGTATCCATTATTGGATTTTTCATTTCTATATGGCGAGTTGGGATCCTCAGCGCGACATCGTAGCTAGGGAGGTTAATGTCTCGTATTCTTTTGTATACTTCGGGAGCACCTGTCCGTTAACTTTTCTGGGTCTACTGCTTACCGGTCTCTGGCATACTCCTGACTACGATCCAGAACTCGTAAATATTTGTACCCTGCAACAAACCTCTGGAACCATTTAGCTGACTTTAATTAGGGTTGTAAAAGGCCCTGGCTCGGGTCTTACAAGGCCGAATTTTTAGCCACAGTTTTTATTACAGCGCAAGTTCCTTCACTTACGCTGGTCGGTCCGCTGTTTCTTATTTGCCGGAATTCCGATCAAGAAACGCAAAAGTACTTTTTGGAAACCTGGTCTCGAATCGGAATAAATTCAGGGCACCCTACCATCCTGCAGACTATCCTGATATCGGAAGTTATGGTTTTACCTTTCATGCTGTTATACCTTGAACTGGGTCAATCTAGTCTTCCTACTAGACATGAGTAAGTTACAAACCAGAGTCTTACCGAAAGAAAAACAATTTGCTTACTGTTTGGCCTAGGTATCGTAAACACTATAATGACTTAGCCGTGCAGGGGAGGAAAAGCGCGTGATATCCGATCCGTCCAATGACGATGATGAAGTTAATCTTATTTAATTTTTGCGATACGAGGCCAATGCGATCACATTCCGAATTTTACAAGTTTTGTATATTTCAACTGAAAGCTGGTTGGTTTCTCGTTGATCGCCTGTGTTGTCAGAGTCCTGAAGTAGGGAGAACTTTCTCGGACCAGTGATGGACAGTACCAGCTAGGCCGAAGACAAGTATCATTATATTACAATGAGACAAAGGCGAGGAACCTCCTAGGTCAGCATAATTCAGATTGATAGGATATTAACAATCATTTACCTTTTCTGTCCAGATCTATCGCATCTAACTCAGTGCCTTTCTTTCATGACCTCACTCACTTTCATGCCTTCAAAAAAATCACTTTGACTATGGCCCTTCAGAGTTTATTTACTTCCTGGTCGCAGCAACTGACCGGATTAACTGTCGGAAAGGCCTTTTTACTGAAACTCCCTTCGACGTGTGTTCATAACTTTAAGTTCGATATCATGATACAAGTTGGTTTTCGCAATCTAACTTGACGGGCGGGGTTTTGTAGTTTCCAGAACACTATGAAATAAATGTTCATGTGGCTCAACTCCATGCGCGATATCAAAGCATATTTCTCTAATCTATAGTTCTATCTTGACGTGTCTATGGAGGGATTCAGCAAGGCGTCTTGACGCTATTCAAATGACTACATATTGGTGCTTTTACGCCCCACTTTAACCATTTCAAAGCATCATGACATGAACGACCCTCGAAATGCACACAACACCATTTTCCCCTCAACCGCTAACTGATTTGTCACTTCAGGTCCGAGACCGCGACCCAATCAGCTCCGTCCCCCTCAGACTCAATCTCAGCCTGCGTAAACTGAGCCTTATCTTGCTTAAGCTCGGTGTCTTCTGGCCGAGGCGAAGTCTTGCCGTGCTCAGACTCACCCGTAGTCTGCTGGCTAAGTTCATCTTCATTCTGCCTAGATCTAGGCTCTTCCTGCCTAGGCTCAACCTCATTCTGCCCAGACCCAGCCTCCATGTCCACAGCCCTATCAACAGCTTCCGCATCTGCAATAGCTCTGCGGATCCTATAACCTTGTCAGTCTCTCTGTACCATGCCAAGCACCGAAAGCTCTACTTACTCATCTCTCGTCAAAAGATACCGGTTGCAGAGCGTGAATATGAACACCTGCCAGGCAAGCGGGCCGAGCACAAAAACAATAAACAGGAGACTGGCATTTTCGGTCGAAAAACAGTAGTCGAGCAAGCTGGAGAACCACGACGGAAAATGCTCTTGCCATAGCGCCTGCGCGCAGGCAGCAAATGTTAGAAGGCCTAGGAAGGCAACGAATTCAGCCAGCATGAAAAATGCGCTGTAGGCGAAGATGCCAGCCAGGAAGTCCTTGTTATATGAGCCGCGGAAAGGGCGAGGAGTGCGATCCTAGATGAAAAACTAGTCAGCACAGTAAAAACAACAACAAAACCCACACAAGCACGCGTAGGTAGAATGGAAAGATACTCACTTTGCTCTCGTCCCATTCCTCCGTCTTCGCCAACCCAGCCCCAACTCCCCACAGAATGAGCCAAGTGCTGCTAGTCACCAGCCAACAAAGACACCCGAGCCACCAGCTACTGTTCGCACTTGTGGCCCACTCGAGAATCATGGCCAGTACGCTCACGAGCACTATCGTCCGCGGCATCTTACTCGCCATCGACGCCTTTATGGCCGTGCCTAACGTGGCTAGCAACGCGCAAAATGCCACGAAGCCTACAGTTGAGCTGCCGCCCAGGAGGACATAGAGCGGATGCGCGAGATACACAGAGAAGCATAAGTAGCCCGAGAGGAAAGGGAGGACATAGACAAGGCTAGGGCAGTCGAATCTGACGGCTGGGCCTTGCTCGATGATGTATTTCTCGGCCTTTGACTTGGTGGTGGTGGTGGACTCGCGCTTATCTTCCACGTAACCCTCCCACCAGTGGGCAAAGGGCCACTTGCAGCTGCGATCGGAGGAAGCCATTTTGCTGGGACGTGGTTAGTTGAGTGTTTGGTCTCGGGTACTTGAGAATAGGCCACATACACAAAGCTTTGTTAGCCTGTCTACTAAAACTGCGGAGTGTAGAAGCGAAGGGTTGGTTAGTGGAGGGTGGTTTGTAGCGTACAGGATATGATTTAAGAGAAAGAGAAATGACGACCCTCTTATACGTCCTGAAGTCATCGCGGCTGGTTCCGAGGATTCAGTACCACGGTTGATGGTACACCATAATTCCGCGGCACGCAACCCGAGAAAGCAGACAAATCACCAAGATACCAGATAGCCTGTTACCCTTGTAATCGAGTATCAACAAAAATCTACAATATCTAAGAAATTCTCCTCATTTAAGTCACTATACTAAACTTGCAAAGAGTGAGAGGTAGTATATACATATAAAGACAGAAAAACACAAAATATAAAAATACTTTTTTAAGGTACGGGAGTGGAAAGGCACAGAGGCATAAGAGTATTCCTCGAAGGTACGAGGGTGAAAGGCTCGAGGGCACGAAAGCGTCCTATGGTGGTATAAGAGTATAAAAAGTGCGAGGGCACGGATGTATTCCACGAAGACACGACGGTATAAAGATGTGAGATACGAAAACATTCTTCGAGGGTATCAAGGTATAAAGCAGCAACAACGAACGAAAGCAACTCACAAGAGTATGAGGATGCGAAAGTGCGAGGCATGGAAGTATCTCACGAGGGTACGAAAATAAAAGATACGAAGATACAAATGCATCCCACGAGAGTACGCCAGCGCAAAGTTGAAATCGCAAACCAGCACCCCTAACTACACAGACGCTGCAGCCGCACCGCCCGACGACAGCAACTGCACGCACTCATCGCGCTGCGCCACCGCTGCCCAATCCAGCGGCGTAGCGCCCTGATTATCGCGCACACCAGCATGCGCCGCAGTGCCATTGTCCAACAGCAGTTCCACAAGGCGCGCTTTCGGATCATTCGGTACTGCAACCGCATAATGCAGCGCCGTGGCCCCCTTCCCGGGCGATGTAGCAGCAAGATCCGCATCCGCAGCCGCCAGCGCGGCCAACAGCCCGCGATAAGTATTGGGGTTGGGGCGGTTGCCCACTTTGCCGCCGAAGCGGCTCGGTGTCTGCGGGGGCCGCCGCCACGTGCAGGCCGCATATAGTGCTGGCAGGAGCGCGCTGCCGCCACAAATGCGGTTGGCGCTTTGCAGACCTGGCTTTTTCGCACCGTTTAGGTGTATGTCCCAGGAGCGGCGCGCGTAGCGGGCGAATGGGTAGACGGCCTCAATGTCGGTGGGCTCCTCTTTGAGGGATTTGGGTCGGTCGTAGAGGTGGGTGGCGAGCTGGTCGAGAGGAATGGAAGGGATGTCATGGGTTTGCATGGGGCCGAGAAGGAGGTATTGCAGGCAAGTTGTGGCGATGTGGTTTTGAGCCTGGCGAGGCGGGCTGCAGACAGTTTCTTTGAGGTATGCTTCAGCGGAGTGATGTACTATGCGGACTTTTTTGTTCTCTTGGTCAATGACGACTAGGCCTGCGCAGAAGGCCGTTAGATGTTTCTCCGACGGCAAGGCGTCTTTGTCTAGGGAAGAGTGTCGGGCAACTGCCAAAGCGTGACGGAGTTCCTCAACTGTCAACTGGCGCCAGGTGTGGATGATCCAAGTTATGGCTTGATATGCGAATACGCGGTAGCCTTCTGGCTGGCTATCAATCCTCTTTACAGCTTCTTCATAAGTTCCACGTAGGGCGTCACCGCCTCGGGGCAGGTTTTCGATGGCCTTTCTGATTTCTAGAGCGTTGAGTTTGTCTTTAAACATCTCAAGCTGTAGTCTCGCCAGCAGAAACCTGGGCCGCATCAATCGACTAAGTTTTTCAGGCTCACGGCCAAGGGAACGTGACTTACATTCCACCCGCACTCTGTGTCACACCTGCAACTATTTCCTCCTGTAGGTCTGGATCGTTTTTGACGAAGTCGTCGAGCAGCTGTACACTAGTTCGGAGATATCGCTCAATATCCTTGCTGTGGGCTGATATAGTTAAGACAGCACGCTCGGGGAAGAATGGGTTCACGTCAGCGGGAGTACGAGAAGTAAAGAGCACATGAGCCGTGTCAATTTTTTGCAGTTCAGACAAGAACTCGTCCTGCTGTTCTTTGTCGCCGAACTCATCCAAAGCGTCGACAACGATGAAAACTTTCCGGTACTGTTTGATCTCAGCCCCTAAAAGGTCCAAGATTGCCTCTTTCGTTGGGCCTTCCCGGATTTGACGGTCCGCTTCGTGGTATGACTTTGATGAGTCAGAAACCGAAGACCGGAGACACATGGATTGCGTGCATATGCCTGCCAGCAGGTCTGTGGCTGTCTGGATGCTGTAGTCTTTGTAGTTGCAGTATACGCAGAATACAGCGACATCATCCTGATTCGAATACTTCTGGTGGAGGTAGTCAACGCTTGTTGCCGCGAGAATCGTCTTTCCAACGCCTGGGTCGCCAGGGCACCACAGAACTTTGTTGTCGCCAGCAACCCATTGCCTAAATTCGTTGCTCTCTAAGAACCATTGGCCGGTGCCCTCGGTGCGCCTGGCAAGGACGGCGGCTTGTGTGGCAAGAAAATTGACCTCGCTCAGCCAATTGATGATATTTTGGGCCTCTCGCTGCAGTTCACGGGATTGCTGGCTCTTCTGAACAAGTTTGATCTCAGAGATGCCATCAAGGACAGTCCGCAGGCTTTCTCCGAGATCGCCTCTGAGTTTGCGCAGCAGCTGGCTCTGGTCATTGCCCATGGCTAGTAGGAAGAGAATCTCGTACCGCTCAATGGCGGCGAGGATGTTCTGTCTCTCCTCGCTCTTCAATGGAAACGCCATCTTGGATGCCAATCGCTCAATCAAATTTGGAGGATCATTCCGGCCGACACCTAGCTTTTCATTCATGGCTCTGAGAAGCTGTTCGAACTGCTGTAACGGCCCTTCCTCACCTCCCAATGATTGGAGGGCTGAAGACGAGATGCCGCCGCCGGCATCTTTCGGGGTTTTGACTAGGTCTTTTATGTTCTTTAGGATGCCCGAGACGCTATATATCTCCCTTGCCAAACTCTTGATGTCCTTGGAAGCGTTTTTGACGCCGTCGATGTATAGGACAGCTGAACGGGCGAGTTCCAGGATGGCGATAATGCTCGTGGCGACGCCTATTGCTTCCGCCATGGTGGCAGCTCTGTAGAAAAGAGAAAGGAAGGATGGTGCGCGATCTTACTTTTTGTACCTACATGACGACAATGCCCCGCACTATAAGTTGGTGCAGGTGCGATCCTGCGAGACATGGCTAGCTGATGCGGCAGCCTATGAGCAACCTACGCAAGCCTCCAGGACGCGCAATGACACGAACAATAAAGTTTGTACTCTGTAAGGCCACCACTAGGTATCAGCTGGCTCCGCGATCGGTGGAGTGAGTAGTGGATGACTAGGTAGCTCCGGGCCGCGGGTTGTGGCGGGCAAGCGTTGATCCCGCTCGGCGGGCTGGGTACCTACGTAAATTTCTCAGAGCTCCCATCACTCACCACACCCATCACCACCACCACCAATCCAATTCCTCCCCCGACCCATTCTCCTCCACAATGCTGCAGCGCGCCCTCCTCAGGAACTCCCGCGCCTTCGGCGCTCGCGTGACCCCCGCCCCGTCCGCCTTCCGCGTCGCCGCACCCAGGATAGCCGTCGCCGCGGCGCCGCGCTGGTACTCGGCCGAGGCGACGGAGAAGAAGGAGAGCGAGGCTGAGGCGGCGCCCAAGGAGGGCGAGTCGGCCGAGATCGAGAAGCTCAAAAAGGACGCTGAGACCAAGAACAAGGAAGTCGTTGACCTGAAGGTTGGTGCCACCGCCGCCACGGAAGCTACGGAGAGAGCTCGTTGAGCTCTGCACTGCCGTGATCGACGCGTGCGGAGTGCGATGGAAGCCCTCTCCATCTGGCCCGCATAGTCGCAGAAGCAAAACAGCATCGCAGCATCGCCCGCCTAGTCAGCACAGCAGCTAACGCGTCTCACGCCTCCAGGACAAGTACCTGCGTTCCGTTGCTGAGTTCCGCAACCTGCAAGAACGTACCAAGCGCGACGTGCAATCCGCCAAAGACTTTGCGCTCCAGCGCTTCGCCAAGGATCTCGTCGAGTCTGTCGACAACCTCGACCGCGCGCTCCAGAACGTGCCCACCGAGAAGCTGACGCCCGAGAACCCGGACCTCGTGACGCTGCACGACGGGCTCAAGATGACGGATAAGATCCTCATGGCGACGCTCAAGAAGCATGGCCTCGAGCGCTTCGACCCCAGCCCCGAGCTCGAGCGTTTCGACCCCAACGTCCACGAGGCTGTCTTCCAGACCCCCATGCCCGACAAGGAGGATGGCGTCTGCTTCTTCACCCAGCAGAAGGGTTTCTTGCTCAACGGCCGCGTGCTTAGGGTTTGTTCTCTCCCACTTTCTTTCCTCCTAGCACTGGCTAACCTCGTTCCCTCTCTCCAGGCCGCCAAGGTTGGTGTTGTGAAGAACTCGTAAACATCTCACGCCCGCGCACCATCATGTAGAAAGGACCTGCCCGTTACATAATGACGTTCGCCACGCGGCGCTATGCGGCACACCCATATCAGGTCAGGGAAACAGGAAAAAAGAGCGACTGACGGCGTTTTCTTTTAATCTACAGTCTCCATGGTCAGTCAGTCTGGGTGCAGCTCGGCGAAAAGAACGCACGCCAGACGGACGACTCTCGAGACAATCTTCCCATTGTATATCCTCTCCTCTTCCACCACATCGAAGGTAGATGCAGCTCACGCGTGCGCTCTTCCTTCTGTATTTGTATGTATGTACGAAAAAAAAAAAAAAAAAAAACGAAAAAAATAGCAAAGAAACGACCGGAAATGACAACACCTAAAACACTTTCCATGGCACGACCACCGCGACTATATACTTTGAGCGAGCACGCCGCATCAACGACCAAACTACCCTCCGACTTGTATACGTCTACGTAGTATAACACAATACACAGTGCAACAACATGGAATGCATCGTGCACACGACTAATGTCTTCTCCACTTCCCCAGAAAAAATGCCCCCTCTTTTTAGGTATTGGTTCACTTCTTAGCCGCCTATCAGACCGCGTCTGCTATACCCACCGACTACTTCTTCGGCGGTTGTAGGAGTAAGAAGTGGGTTTAACTTCAAGCCTACGCCTAACGCATAGATACATACAGAGACGAGGTGGTATGTATATATGAAGACAAAAAGATGTGAGGAGTAAGAGCACTCTACAAGGGCACGTGGATACGGATGTTGAAGGGTAAGGAAGCAAGTCATCTAGGTATGCAGGTTTGGCACTTTGAAGGATGGGCAATTATCCGGCACCCCCTGAAAGCCACTGCTGCGGATACGTACACTAAGTGCACATACTTTTGCCGCGCGGATAGATAAATCACAAATCTTCACCAGCACGCCTCGGCGGCGTCCACGCCCAGCACGTCGCGTCCTTGGCGGCGGCTGCGCAAACAGGCGCGATGAGGCGGAGGCGTTGGGATGCTGTCGCGCGTAGCCGAGTCACTAGACGGAAGACGCAGCTGGAGAAATGGTTGAGGATAGGGGGAGGCGCAGATGAAGTTGGCACTCTACCTAGGTGGTGACGGTGATGGTGATGCGCGCATTGAAAGTTGTCGCCCGTCGTTGCGAGGTGACCGCGGCCAGCGCCACAGCCACAGCCTCAAGGTCTTGGCGGGCAGGCTTGTGGCTGAAACAGGCCCGAGCGGCCGGGAGGTTCATGCGTCGTGGCGTCGATGACACGGTTGACAACCTGGAAACCCCCACACGGAGTGCAGTGCTACTTGACTCTACAGTACATGTTCAGTCATGCTCTTTGTTGTCGCCGGCATGCTACGCGAGTGTCTCGGTGTCAGGATGTTTAAACGAACCACAGGCTCTTTGCCCTGGCTCCATGTACCGTTGTGCACGCTCTTACATCACAGCTTCAGCGCACGGTTGGCTACCTTAGCTCCGCTTTGAGTAATTCCCACCGATGCTTTGTAATTGGGAGCAGACTTTCCTGTAACTTCGCCCGTGACCGTGGTGAACCTCGACAGAGCCTTCGCATCGTCTACAACTCACTGCCACAGGTTGGTCTGACACGGATTCCTTCATCGCCAGCATCGCCTCAACCGCAGCAATGGCCGAGGTCAAGCAATGGGTCACGTCTCAGGACGGGTTAGACAAGCTCAGGCAGTCCACTGCCGCCATGCCCAAGCCCGGCAAGGGCGAGGTGCTGGTTGAGATCCGCGCCGTGGCGCTCAACTTCCGCGACACTGAAGGTAGCTACGCCTCGTCCCAAAAGAGCAATGCGCATAGACTAACCAGCCCCCCCTTCAGTTTCTATGGGCTTGTACAAACACCACAAGGCCGTCACCGCCGGCGATCCCGAACCCATCGTACCATGCTCCGACTCGTGTAGCATTGTCGTCGCCGTTGGCGAGGGAGATGTTCCATGGAAGGTTGGTGATCGTGTCCTCTCTACCTTCTGCCAGAGCCACGTGACGGGCCAGATCAAGGCCAAGGACATGACCACCGGCCTTGGCTTGCCTCTCCCCGGTGTCTTGCAAACGCACCGTGTCTTCCCTAGCCATGGTCTGGTTAAGGCGCCCGAGTACCTGAGTGATGAGGAGGCGGCCTGTCTGCCCATTGCGGCTGTGACTGCTTGGTCGTCCCTCAAAGGCATGAAGCCCCTCGGCCAGTCCGGCGCTCAGACCGAGACTGTCCTGCTTCAAGGCACGGGCGGTGTCGCCATCAGTGGTCTGCAGATTGCAAAGGCCAGCGGTGCCAAAGGTGAGTGTTGTAGCGCTTCTTGAACATGCGACGACGCTGACTGTGCTAAGCCATCGTGACCTCGTCGTCGGATGAGAAGCTCAAGAAGGCCAAGGAGTTGGGCGCAGACTTCCTGATCAACTACCGCAGCAACCCGGAGTGGCAGGACGAGGTGATGAGGCTCACCAACGACGAGGGGGCTGATATCATCCTAGAGTGCGGCGGAGCGCGCACATTGCGCAAGTCATTTGACTGCATTGCCTTCGGCGGATTGATCAACAGCATCGGCTACCTGTCAGGCAAGGAGGACGAGGCGGGCGACAGGATGAACACTAATCTCCTGGCGCTGAGGCGCAATGTGACGCTGAAGGGCATCATCAACGGCGCCCGCGACAAGTTCGAGGAGATGTGCGACTTCTACGCCAAGCACCAGATCCATCCCGTCGTGGATCGTGTGTTTGCATTCGACGAGTCAAAGGACGCGTTTCAGTATCTGTTCAGCGGGGGGCACTTTGGAAAGGTCGTCATCAGGGTCAAGGCGTGATTAAACGATACGACGGATAGTAGCGATATGGCTAGCGAATGGAAGAAATGCACTCAACACTCGACCTTAACCGCCGATCGTAAAGCCAAGCGCCTAAGCGCACCGGTGGGTGTTCGCTGGCATGCACGCCCAAGGTTGCGTAGCGTGCTCTAGCTGGGGGCGCAGCGCAGCGCGGCACGCCCTCAGCACTTGGGGACACGCATGTGCCGCTACGGCCGGGGCAACGGAGAGCGAAGAGCATCGCGAACGACGAAGAGGGCGACGACGACGGCTACGACGCAGGGGGGGGCGCGGGTGTGGGGAGGGATGTGGGCTTCCGACGGGCGCGTGCGAATACAGAGGGCTGTGTAGGTATGGTCAAAGGGCCAGACCAAGCGTTTGAGGCGCATGATTTGCTGCACCCCGGGCTCCCGAGAGCTGCGGCTCAGCCACTCCGCATGCATCCACCCATCCCAACGCCCTATTAGTCTCGCCGCCCTTATATACGTCGCCGCTGAGCCGTCCCAAAAGTCCTTCACACCCAATCCACCATTCCCTTACTTCTCTCACCACCTACCTACTTCGAACCAAACCATGGCTTCGCAATCGTCGCAGACCTCGCCGCCCCACTCCAGGGCTTCCTCCATTTCCTCCTCAAGAGGCCGCAGGTCGCAACTCTCGCTCGACCTGTCCGACTTGCCACCTCTGATCCAGCCGTCGCCGCCCTCCAACACGCTGCTCATCACCGTACGCCGCCCCTCCACACCGCCCCGACCCAACGCGCCGCAGCTAACACGCTCGAACAGAACCTCCAAGAACCCTCCATCTTCCATCCTTCGAACCTGGTCACAATCCGCGAGCTGATTTCGACGCACGCCCCGGTACACACATGGGCCCCGCTGCGCTCGTTCCGGCGCATCGTCGTGTCGTTCTTCGACGTTGAGGCGGCCATCGCCATCAGACAGCAGCTCGACGGCGAGACAATTATGGGTGACCGGGTGCGCGTTTACTTCGGCACCCACACACCGCTCAACCCGACCGACCAGCACCTGCCGCTGCCCAAGTCCGACAAGCTGTTCTTCATCTCGCCGCCGCCCAGCCCGCCGCACGGCTGGGAGCTGCGCAACGAGGACCCACCTAACAAGGAGGTCCACGCCGATGACCTTGCCGCTGCTCTCGCAAAGCTGCACGCTCGCTCCTCCTCGATCGACCAGACCGCTTCGCCCACGTCGCCCACGGCGTCGGATGCGGGGGATTGTCTCCCCAACCGCCAGCGCAGCGGCTCCGCTACGATCGTTTACCACCCCGAGGACCATGGCGACAGCCCCGACCTCCCCGCTATTGCGGTCGAAGACACAACTATTACGCCCGACATCCTCAGCCCCACCAGCCCCATCGACGACGACAAGATGCGCTTCGTGCACACGGCGCGCCCGCCCGTGGAGCTGATGCAGCATTAGGATGGGTCACGTGGCGGCTGGGCATGTGCGGAGCTAGGCTTTACTTGGTGTAGCTTAGCGCGCGTGCTTAGTCATCCTCGGGCCTTTGCACCTTCCGCTGCACCTTCAGCGTGTCGCAGCTCGTTGCTTTCTTACTCAGTCAACATCGCTTCACCCCATCACCACAATCTCGTACTCAGGAACCTCCGCAACTTAATCTCGCTGCAATGGCGACCACTCCCTCCGGCTCCCCGGTGGCCATCGTCTGCGTCGGCATGGCCGGCAGCGGAAAGACGACCTTCATGCAGCGCATCAACTCGCACCTTCATTCTAAGAAAACCCCGCCATACGTAATCAACCTGGATCCCGCCGTGCGCCACGTGCCGTTTGACAGCAACATCGATATCCGCGACTCGGTCAACTACAAGCAAGTCATGAAGCAATACAACCTAGGCCCCAACGGCGGCATCATCACCTCGCTCAACTTGTTTTCCACTAAAATCGACCAAATCCTCGGCCTTCTGGAAAAGCGGACTGCCCCTCCCCCACCCCCGGCAGAAGGAGAAGCCCCCAAGCCGCAGTCCAACCCCATCAGCCATATCCTTGTCGACACGCCTGGCCAGATTGAGGTTTTCGTTTGGAGCGCTAGTGGTGACATCTTGCTGGGCAGTCTCGCCAGCACCTTCCCCACTGTCATCGCCTACGTGATTGATACCCCGCGCACGGCCAGCACCAGCACCTTCATGAGCAACATGCTGTACGCATGCAGCATCCTTTACAAGACGAAACTCCCCATGATCCTCGTGTTCAACAAAACGGACGTCAAGGATGCCGAATTCGCCAAAGAATGGATGACCGATTTCGAGGCCTTCCAAGAAGCGCTGCGCGAAGAAGAAAACGGCGGGGGATTTGGCGGGCTCGAAGGCGGCGAGGGCCCCGTCGGCGGGGGCTCGGGCTACATGGGCAGCCTGCTCAACAGCATGAGCCTGATGCTCGACGAGTTCTACCGGCACCTGAGCGTCGTGGGTGTGAGCTCGATGACGGGCGCGGGCGTGGACGACTTCTTCACGGCGGTGCAGGACAAGGCGGCCGAGTTCGAGCGCGACTACAAGCCCGAGCTGGAGCGGCGCAAGGAGGAGCGCATCAAGGAGAAGGAGGTCAAGCGCGAAAAGGAGCTGAGTCGCCTGATGCGCGACATGAATGTTGGCGCCGACGCGGGGAAGCCCAAGCTGAAGGGCAAGGGGCGGCGGAAGGCGGAGCCCGAGACGGTGAGCGATGTCGAGGATGACGAGGAGGATGACGAGGAGGAGGACATCGAACCCGTGTACGACGACGACGAGTTCGACGACGAGAATAATACGGCCGACGAGGGCTTGACGGAGCGGTATAAGAAGGCTTTGAAGGAGGGGCAGTCGGCGCCTTCGGGCGAGGATATGAGCTTCGCGAGCTATATTGCTAGGGCTAGCATGGGCTAGCTTGCTTGCTAGCTGAGGGTTTTGACAAGGGGAAAAAGTCTGGGGTTTTGGAGTTGGTGGGTTTGGGGGGGGGGAGCTTTTTTCGTCATCATCATTGTCATCAATCATCATGGTTTTATGTACTACCTACCTATGTACTGGCGAGGAATAATAATACCGATTCGTCATGACTACCACTCTTTACTGCTGCTGCTGCTGCTGCTGCTGCTGCTATTTTACTAGGTTGTGTTCTACATCCTGTACCTATACCTAAGGTATGACTTATGTATATCCGATACCGCTCTTCTTCCTACAATGGATCAAACACCAAGCCTTACGGCTTCTGTTGCCGTATATACAGTACCAACGTGCATGCACTACCTATCCAGCAGCATACGCGCAGCATACGCGCAGCAACAGCAGCAAAGTAGACACAGCAGCCATACGCCACAAACTCCAACAACGACGCGTGCATGACCACCCTAGCCCACTCGGCCGATGCTCGTTGGCAGGGGGAAAGCAACCCGCAACCCGCTGTCCGCGGCTACATACGCTACCCCGCACCTACTGTGCATACGTGCTGCCGTACGGCCCACCCCACCACCCACCCCTCCCTGGACGCATACGTAGGTACCTACCACGTATGTACCTATGTACTGTACCGAGGTCCGTTACCCGTTGCCCGCCTGGGTTCCTCGTGATCCGCACACACCACGGTACACGCACGTATGTACGCTACACGTGGTAGGCGTGGCCGCGGATATGGGGACTGCTACGGGGACGGGGACCGAAGCGGAAGCAGAAGCAGAAGCACTCGACGCGCGCTGTCCATGCGCGCCGTGCCGTGCCGCGCTGTGCTGTGCTGGGATAGTGGGCGGGGTAACTAGGAGCTGCGCCTGCATACACACACACACGGTCTCAGCGCCATGCTGCCCGCCACGCGATTGGAGCTGTGCTGCAGACGCAGAACTACGTAACCACGGCCCCAGGCCGCCGGATCGAGATCAGTATTGCTACAGCTTGGTCGGCAATGCCTGCGCCACCGTTGGCTGCTACTGTGTGTCGAGCCAGGCGGTGGGTAGGCGAGGCAAGCAGTACCTTGCACTGGTGCGGGTGTGCCGTAAAGCAAATGGATGACAGGAGGCGCGAGCACCCATCCGCGAGTGCATAGACTCGTCAGTCAGAGGCTAGAGCTCGCTGGAGCCAAAAGGGAAGACGCCATAATCCTGCGCCATATCGATAGGCCAAGGCCAGTCCTCGAGGATCTCGGGCGGGAGCTGGAAATGATACGCTTCCGGGGGCACAGGGGCAGGGGCCGAGTGCAAGCCGTTTGGGGCAGCGGGAGCGGCGGCAGCAGCAGCAGTCATGAACGGGGTGACGTTTTGCTGCTGGTGATGATGGTGATGGTGCTGATGCTGGTGGTGGTGCTGCTGGACCGAAGCCGTGAGGTCCGCAATCGTGTTCTGGAACGACGGCGTCACCACCGCGTTGCGCTGCAGCCGCATGTACTCGTCGATGCGGTCGACCTGGGCGCGCAGCCCGCGCCCCGTGCCCTGCGTGCGGTACAGCCCGGACTCGAGGTTCTCGAGCAGGTCCGCCATCGAGAGCAGCATGTCGCGCAGCTTGAGGTACGACGCCTCGGACAGCGGGCTCTCCATCACGGAGCCCAGGATTGTGCCGATGCCCGCGAGGTGGTAGATCAGCGGCGTGCTGATGGCTTTTTGGTACGCGATGGGGACGGTTTGGAAGGTCGCGAGCAGCTCGGCGGCAATTTGGCATTTTTGGTCCACGTCGGCGTGCTCTTGGACTGAGAAAAGCACCATTCGCAGCAGCTGCAGCGTGGCTTGGATGTTAGCGGCCTGGAAGCCAAAGATGTCCTTTTCGGGGTCTCCGGTCACTTGGGGCAGGTTCTTGAAGCACATTGGAAGCACCGAGTACTTCTCAAACGTCGACTGCAGTACGGCTGGTCCGGAAAATGGCTCTTCGGGGAAGCAGGTGTGGACGGACCGTGACGATACGGGAGACACGCGGCGGGAACGCAACCGATTCACCGTATGTTCGAGCACACGATAGAGATCAGTAGTGAAATTCCAGCCATGAAGCCAGCACACGGGATCTATCAAGGCCGTTGGGGCAGCTTCCAATTGCTCATCATCGGCTTCTGATGGATAGTTCACAAAAGTGTGGCTTTCCCGTGAATGCAGCTGGCCATTCCACACGATAGACGAATAGATATCGAGGGTGTAGATGGACCAGAAGAGGCGTCTCCTCTCCTCGCGCTCTATCTGCGCGATGTTCTTTGGCCAATGCCCCTCGTCGGAGAAGCGTTGCATAGCCGAAAGCGTAAAGTAATGGCCTAGATATTCATGCATCTTGTCAATCTTGCCGAACTGGATGCTTGCGATTGACATCAACGCGCAAGCTCGCAAATAGTCCAGGCCATAGGCAGTCGTTAGCTCCTTGGGCAGCGCATCCTTGGCGGCGGCATAGAAGGTCTCCGAGGGGACGTCATCAGGCTGGGCGGGATTAATACACCAGGGCGCCAAAGCACCATCACGAGCACGCGCCGACACCAGGCTACAGGCAGCCATGATGGATGCGAAGAATCCCCGGTCATATAGATATTCCCGTCGGTTGAGCTTGAGCAGCAGCGTGCCGCGGTGGAACAGCGGGAAAATGGGATAGACAATCTGGTGGTATATCTCCATCAAAGATCGAATGGCGGGCCCGCTCGCGACAGCGAAAGCCTTCCACGCCTCGCCCATGCCATCATGAGTACTGCACGTCGACAACTGGCGCTCCAACGGCCTCGCGTATGCAGACTCTGGGGCCGCCCTCGAGTGCGAGGCGTGTTGCAGGACGCGAGTCCCATAGGTGGCGGGTTCGGGTTGTTCGGGGCTCAGCTGGGTGTCGGAGGGCGTAGGATGAGGGTTGTGTGAGGCGATGGAGCTGTTCCTTCGCTCGGCGTTGGCGACGGCCGAGTGCGACTTCACGCCGCCGCGAGCTCTCTTCCACGGACGCGTGTAGATGCAGGCGATGTCAAAATCCAAACAATTCTGGCAGCGGTCCTCGTCCGAGTCACTGCGACGGCAGCGGATGCTGCGCTTGTGGCAGAAGTCACCTACAGGAACGAGTCAGTCAGCAAGCAACATGGTGGGGGAAGGGAGCGACTGACAAGCCCTTGAGGCGCGCTGGAGCTTCTTGGGGCGAGCACTCTGGCCATCGGGCATCAGTGATGGGCTGGACTGCAAGCGGGGTGTTCAGCGCGCGTGGTGGAGGGAACGATGGGAACTTGGGTGGTACGTACGGAAGCCATGCCGGGCCAGTTAGCGACGACTCAGCAGCTCTTCTCATGATCGAGTTACTGGGCGGAAAAGAGCTGGTGGCCTTCGGAACTCCTCATCGCATCGCTACGCATGCCGCAACAAGACCTCTCTTTCGCCGCGCGTGCGCTAGCCGCCCCCCGGCAATAAAATCAAGCAGCTATTGACCTGTCACCCATCACATTGATAAGCCGACCATCTCCACTTGTGGCACCCTTGGCTTGGACTTCCTGCACTGAAAGCCCCCGTTCTGCAAGCACGTCGCCGTGCTCCTGGTACGCCTGCTCCATCCGCCAACTGAACGGGCTCGACGGCGCAAACAACGCGTCAATCGACTCGAGCGACCTGTCCGCCGTCTCTGGATAGACTATGACATGTCAGCCGGGTCCTGGCATCCAACATTCGCCAACTTACAGAGATACACAATCGGGACCCAGAACAAGTTTAGGCCAGCAAACAAGAAATACGTCCGGTTCTGCAGCGTGCCGAACATCACCGGGTTGACCAGGACGGTCCAGCCTACGCCAATGGCCCACCCTGTGATGCCGAAGCCGTTCCCCTGCGCTCGCATATCCGAGCTCCAGATCTCCGTAGGGATCAGAAATGCAACCGTACCCCATGTGGCCGCATAGATGAGGTTGAACAGAAAGAGCATTGTTACAGCGGCTGGCGCGTATTGCGTCACTTTGTCCGGCTGCGCGCGCGCCGCCTCGTACAGTGAGCCGGCAATCAAATTAACGGCAAACAGGCCCGCGGCTCCGCCCATCAAACAGACGCGACGGCCAAGGCGATCAACTATCTGCGCCGATATAATAGTGCCAACGATACCGATGGTGTTTAAGCCACCGGCCAGACCGTTCTGCTTGAGCGTCGTGTAACCGGCTTGAGAGAGCAGGACAGGGGAATATGCGGTCACAGCCTGCAACGAAAAGTCGTCAGCATCCCGCCGGAATGGTCGCGTTTGGCTAAAGTGCTTACGGTGATACCAGTCCAGGATGCCATTATCTGCAGCAACACACACAGCCAGGCGCGGCGGCCAAGATGGTGGCCGGGCTTACCACCACGCCCGATGAGAATCTTTGCGAATTGTATGGGTGAGCTCTGTTTGCTCTCCTTTGCTACAGCTACAATCTCCGTAAACTCAATTTCGACACTGCTGTCCTGGCTGCCACGGATACGTTCCAGCACTTCACGCGCGTCGTCAAAGCGGCCAGCCGCTGCGAGGTAACGCGGACTATCCGGAAGTGTCTTGATCCCGGCAAGGAGCAGTAGTGCAGGAATGCATTGGAACGCTAGAAGGAAGCGCCATCTGGTGTCGGAATAACCGTTGTCGATGAATGAGAGGCCAAAGGAGAGCCAGTAAGCAACTGAAATGCCGAGATCTAGAAGATTATCAGTAACGAGCAATTTCTTTTTATTTGGATCTACGTATCGGACTTACAGTTGGCGATGAAGACATAGCCAAGGAAGCCTCCGCGGTGGCTAGCTCGCGATGTTTCCGAAACCAGGACTGGAGTAATACCAGTCAGAGCGCCTGTACCGAGCCCAGTCACCACTCGAGCCACGAGGATGAAGTCGCTGGATTGAGTCGCGGCTTGCAGTGCACCTCCGAGAAGGGCAAAGAAGGCTCCAATAAAGAGGCTTTCCGCATGTCAATATATCGTATATGCAGATTCTCATTTAATGAGGAGCTCACCCATTGATGCGGCCAATTCTATCGGCAGCCCATCCGCCAGCAAAACACCCAACAATACAACCCAGGTAATATACCGAGACGATTCCTCCCTGGTGGACTTCGTTTGTGACAGTGCCATCTGGGAGGCCAATGCCAACCTCCTGGACGTACCTTGGGGAAGCGTTGGCGCCGCCCATGACACCCTGGTCATAGCCCTCGAAGAAAATGCTGACCAAGGAAAAAGTCTGGATGGCGACATTGAGTGCTCGCGGCGAGAACCGCTTCCAAACTGCCGCGTAGCCCATTATTGGCGCCAAGAATTACGCGACGGGAAGATTGAGGCGCGGAAGGGATCTGCCAGTACCCGCAAAGCCAACAGGATGGAGGGTCATTCACATCCACGAAGGGGGCACAGCTGCTCTTCTTATGTACCAGTGATTACTCTTTTCGGTTGGGCGTGTAGCCAGCAATGCGGCACAGGCTCAAGGCCGGGCGCTTAACCGCACTGACGAATGATTTTCTGCACGATCTGCCCACGCTATCTCCGCAGCCGCACTAACCTTCCCCGGACGCCCTGCCGCGCCCACACTGCCACTGTCTCGAACGCCGAACACCCGCTCTGCCGCTCTGCCTCTTCATATCATGGCATCGGCGCCTGTGGAGAGCTTACGCTTCATATTACGACCAAAAAGCCTCACGCGTATGTACCAATGGATGCGTTTTTGCAGCATCTCTGTCGACTGCTCTAGGCACAGAGTGTCATCCTCATTCTCCCATTGAGCCGAATAACACCGCTGAGTTATTTTTCGTCACGCAAACAAACACAACACCAGACGGGAACGGAGCCTGTCAGACGATGTCTGCTGTTAAACGCCTATGGGCGGTTACGTGCCCACTCCACAACGTTTGAACTTTATTCATGTACATCCGAATAATCAACGGAATGACAGCTGCCATGGGCCGATGATGCATGGCGGGACAACGCATCATTGGTTTAGGGGCCCATAGTTTGGGCTTCCGCGTGCTCTTGCCGTGATCGTCCCAGACCCACGGCTCTGGAAAGCTGAAGAATGGTTGTTGACAAAGAGTTATAAATCACAGAGGAGCCCGAGGCATGTCTCTCCTTTGCCAGAGCAGATTCTCGCAGACACAGGTCCAACACCAAAACCTCATTCTGAAGTCACAAACTGGATATTGGTTGCAGTGTCCGTACTTGAAAATCAATTATCACTATGCAGCCTAACGGAGTGAATGGCACTACAACAAATGGCGTGTCCGAAGGAAAGCCACTGGACCTTGTCGTTCTGGGCTTAAACAGTGGGACATCGATGGTAACGTCTTTTGACATTGCTAACCGCGAATTACTTCTGACACCAAAGAATAGGATGGCATAGACTGTACCCTTTGTCATTTTTTCCAGGAGTACCCAGACGCTCCAATGCATTTCGAGCTTCTCAAGTACGATGAGATACCACTCGAGCCGAAGATAAAGAAGCGTGTTATGGAAGTCATCCTGCACGATCAGACCTCTGCGTCAAACCTATCCGAGATCAACATCCTACTCGGCGAAACCTTCGCCCAAGCCGCTGAGCAGTTTTGCCGCGAACAGAACATTGATCAGAAATGCATCGACGTAATCGGCTCACATGGTCAGACCATCTGGCTGCTCTCGATGCCGGAGGCCGGGCAGGTGAAGAGCGCACTCACCATGGCCGAGGGCGCCTTTCTGGCCTCCAGAACCGGCATTACGTCCGTCACCGACTTCCGCGTCTCGGACCAAGCAGCTGGGCGGCAGGGCGCGCCTCTGATTGCTTTCTTCGACGCGCTGCTCCTGCATCACCCGACCAAGCTGCGAGCGTGCCAGAACATCGGCGGCATCGCCAACGTGTGCTTCATCCCGCCGGACAACGCGGGAGGGGTCAGCGAGACGTACGACTTCGACACGGGGCCAGGCAACGTCTTCATCGACGCCGTGGTGCGGTACTACACGCAGGGGGAGCGCGAGTACGACAAAGACGGCGAGATGGGCAAGCGCGGCACAGTCAACCAGCAGCTGGTCGACGAGTTCCTGCAGCACGCGTACTTCAAGCTGGACCCGCCCAAGACGACGGGGCGCGAGGTGTTCCGCGACACGCTGGCGCTGGAGCTCATTGCAAAGGCCGAGGCCGCGGGCATGACGCCTGATGATGTCGTTGCGACGGTGACGCGCATCTCCGCCCAGGCCATTGTGGATCACTACCGGCGGTACGCGCCCAAGGGCATGGAAATTGCAGAGATCTTCATGTGCGGCGGCGGCGCCTACAACCCCAACATCATGGATTATATTCAAAGGCACTACCCGCGCACGCGCATCATGATACTCGACGAGGCGGGCATCCCGGCCGGCGCCAAGGAGTCCATCACGTTCGCGTGGCAGGCTATGGAGGCCATTGTCGGGCGCAGCATCCCCGTGCCGACGCGGGTCGAGACGCGGCGGGAATACGTGCTGGGGAAGGTGCGTGAACGATGTCCACTCCACTCCACTCGAGCCCGGCCCGGGACGCAGTCTTGTTTCGCCATGCTGCTTTTTGTACTGACGCGAGCGTGTAGGTGTCGCCCGGTGAGAACTATCGCGAGGTCATGCGGAAGGGCATGCTCTTCGGCGGCCCCGCGACCCACCTGCGCCCGGTCAAACATATGATCAACTACGTCAACGGGAAGCCGTTCGACAATAAGTGGTAAGTGGTCTCTGATGGCGAGCGGCGCCAAGCCAGGCCAACAGGTTTTTGCAAGCCGTGAGAGCATGGCTGGTTCGGTGCCTGGGTGTTGGAAAGCGGTGGTGTTGGGTCTTGGGTGGGTTGGGGCAGCTTAGATTTTTTTTTTTTTTTTCCTCTCGTGAGTTGTCTTGGTTCTATAAAAGCTTTCGCTAAGACAGAGTCGCAAATTTCTTTCTCTCTTGGTATCGTCCTATGTCTCGCCACTCAAGATAATTTCCTACAGAACACATCTCCAATTCAAAATCTAAAAAAGAAGACAAACAATAACCACCAGCCGAAAAACCTCTCGACCAAAACTTAGAGAAATCTCAACCATAACCCCAAAACTCCCCATCCATCGCCATCAGAGCACCCACAACCGCAAGAGCACAACCGACGAGCCCACAACCAAGCCACGCCACAGTTAACAAAGACCGCAGCGACGTGTCTAGCATCTCGGCCACAAAACCGTGCTTAGCTCCGAGCAAAGACAGGAGAAAGCACGCACCGCGGAGTATTTCCACATGTCGTACCCTCAGCTCCTGAGCCGTGCAAAGGCCGCGTGGAATACGGCGTGTAGCATGTGGCATCTATGCACACCTCACCCCGAAACCGAAAAGCAACCAACCTGCTGGCCCTGCTGGCGCGGTTGGCGTAGCTGATGCTACGATCGAGAGAGACGTATGTGCAGTCTCACGCCGTGTCTCGCGCCAACAGGGCCGTGTCACGGCTTTTGTTGTTGTAGTTGTGTGTGCGCTGCTGAGGCTGAGGGAAGAGACATGTGACTCTGGTGCTGGTGCTGGTGTATAAACTCCACGGTAACGAACGGCCTGATAGCTTCTTCGCTCATGCCAACTCGGGCACTGCAGATCCATCCATCCTCTCTTCTTCACTTTTCACTAAATTCGCCCCTTCGAAATAGCAAGCACCTGAAAACCAATACCGAAAACAAAGCTAGCTAGCTAGACCCCAACTACAACAACCAGCACAAGCACATTTACCTGCCGCCCCCAACCCAACACAACACCGCAACCGCAAACCTTCCCACCAACCCACGCTTCAGGTTCTCAACCCCCACCCCACACCACGCAAAACCATGCTCCCCACGCCCCTCCTCTTCGCCGCCCTCATCGGCAGCAGCTTCCTGCTCTTCGTGCTCTCGCTCCTTCTCGACTGCCGGTGCAGGCGCAGGCGTAACCACAACACCAACCACACTTTCACACCGGCCATACCGCGCACGATCGACGGCAAGCTCGCGCAGCCGCCCGCGCCCGCACCCGTCGTGCTTTCGGACGCAGAGCTGCGGCTCGCGCTCCCTAGGCCGCTTGGCGGCGCGAGAGCGCCGTTTTGGGGACTGGGGCAGGGGCTGGGGAGGGAGAAGGAGGGGGAGGGGAAGGTGCCGGTGGGGCAGACGCGCATGCAGGCGCGTGGGTGTAGCGCCTACGCCCGCGCCCACCTGTGTGGATGAGGGTGGAGGGTGGGAGGGTGAAGATGCAAGTTCCGCTACCCCGCGCCCGCCGAATTAGCGGCATTGACTCTGCGCCAGATGTCCTGGGCGCCGAGGAAGGAGCTGGCGATGCTGGTGGCTGCGACGACGGAGGGTGCAGCTGGGATCCAGCCGACGATGGCGCCGGGGGTGAGGAGGTCGAGGGCGCTGATTAGGAGGGTGCGGAGGGCGTGGGTGTGCCGGGCGCGGAGGTGGGCTTGTGTGAGGTGGGAGGGGGGTGCGGCTGCGGCGGTGGTGGTGGGTGAGGGTTTGGGCTCCTGGGTTGCTTTGTTGTGGGATTTGGTCTTGGTCTTTTTCTTTGGAGGGGCGGCGGCGGCGGTGATGGTCGTGGTGCCGTTGCATGTGGCGTTGGTGCTTGCTTTGGAGCTCGTGTGGAGCTCGTGGACAGAGAGGACGATGGAGCAGCAGAGCGAGTAGAACCAGAAGCGCATGCCCTCGACATGGAAAGTCGGTGCCCAAGAGGACTTATGAACGCCCATGACATGGAGCTACAAATCCACACACAACTAGTCAGACACCAACACGCGAACAACAACAGAAAAAGAAGACAAAAAACCCACAATAGTGCACGCCTCGAGCAGCAAATACATGCCGAGAAACGACGCCCTCGCCGCAATCAAAAGCGTTTCGACGCCCTCTTTCCCACCAACCTCACTCTCGCTCCCTCGGCCAGGCATCGCGTCCGCCGCCGCAAGCGCGCAGTCGAGCCACTTGAAATAGCGGAAGTAGCGGCGACCCAGGGCAAAGTGCTTGCGCAGCGCGCCGGCCACGAGCACGAGGTGGTGGTCCGCGGCGAGCACGCTTGCCGCTAGCTGCGCAAGCCCCTGCAGCAGGCGCAGCGTCTTTTCGAGCGCGGCGGCATCGTTCATGAAACGTGTGAAGTCCATGGTGGCGGTCGGCTGGGCTAAGGTCAGGCCGGCTCTTCATCGCACCCGATCACGTGGAGCTCACTAGGATATGGAGACAAGGAAATGGGTTGCAGATTACACCGCTAGGAAAAACAAAAACAACCTCGACAGCCTCAGCGCCTCCCTTCTTTCTTCAGGAACTCGCTCAGCACCTCCGGCAGCGTCTCCTTCACCCTCGGCCCCGTGGGCACCCAGCCCAGCAGCTTCCGCGCCCGAGCCGCTCGGCACCGCATATTCACGCCAAACATGTCGGCGATAGACGCAGTCCAGGCCGACGTTTCGTCGCCCGACATGGCCGAGACGGCCTCGGCCGCCTTCTTCGAATCAATGACCTTGATCTCGTCGGACGCAATGACGCCCTTGGCCTTGAGAATGGGCATGACGGCCTGCATGTACTCCCTGAACGTGAGCTCCTCATTGCCGGCACCAAAGTAGTAAGCCTGCGGGCCCCAAAGCGCGGGATCCGAGTCGGCGCCCTTGAGCGCGTCCTCGAGCAGCGCGTAGTAGATGTTTGCAAGGTCGTCGACGTGCACAAACGACTGCTTGTTCCCGCCCACGCCGATGGTATAGCCGGCCGAGACGGCCTTGGCCGTCGTGACGAGTTCCGGCACCGTGATGGGCGTCGGGTAGTGCGCGGCGGGGCTGAGGCCGTAGACGAACGTCGGCGACACAATGGCGACGTTCATGTGCGGCGCGCTCGCGAAGACCGCCCGGTCGATCGAGCGGTGGATCGCGCTGTCCGGCATGCTGGTGAGCTGCTCGATGTCGGCTACGTCGTCCCAGATCTTGTCCGAGTAGGTGCCGTCCGGCGCGCTCCAGATCAGCCCGGCCCCCGACGTGTGCATGTACCAGCCTTTTCTGGGCAGCGAGGAGAGGCCGCGCTTGATGGCGGCTATGGTGCCTTCATGGCCTACGTCCGGCGCCGTGTCTTACAGTATAGGTGGTGAGTATGGAGGCTTCTGTACTCAGAATAACGTCAGAGCAACCACTCACTTATCACTATGTTGGCGTCCCTGGATGCGAATTCAATGACATCCGTACTCTCCAAGTCGCCTATCAACGGATCGACAGATGGAAAGCGCTCTTTCAGCCGGCGGCCCTTTTCTTCATTGCGCACCAGCGTGGTAATCTCAATATCCGGGCGGCGCGTGGTGATGGCCTGCAAAATCGCACCGCCAATATGGCCGGTGGTCCCAATGCTGCCACAAGTCAATCACAATCCCGGTTTGTGATAGTGCGGATGGATGAAAGCCCTACAGGAATACTTTCGCCATAGCTAAATTGGTTCTGAGGTCTGAGTTGTGGGCTAAACGTTAAGTGTGTTTTTTGCTTGAGGGGGCATTTGGTTTTTATAGAGGAACAGACGTCAGAGGAAAAGGCCAAACCATTTTCATACTGGCTCTCTCCACACACAAAGCGGAGATGGTGCTGCTTTGGCGCGGTCAAAGTCAGGCAACGTGGGGGTCTAAAAAACGGCCGAGCGACCGAGCACCTCAGCTTCCTACCTATCAACCATCGACTCCATCACCCTGTACCAACAAGCAACGCGTGAACGTCTACGCGGCCAGAGAATCAGCAGCGAATAGCAGTAGCCAGCGCGCATTCGTCATCGTCACAGCTGGCGCGACGCCGGGATCAGCCAGGCCAAGATCTGCGAGCTGCGAACCGGGGGCCTGGAAATCTTTAACCACCGCTATCTGACGCCGCACCACCAGAACAGGCAACGTCGATCTGGGGTGCTGGGCCCTCCCTCCACGGGTTGCTTAGGATCTGGTTCAGGCGTGGCTGTGGTCGCTGTGGTTGGTGCTCACGCTTGCCCCGCTTGAACGCATCTGCCGAGTGAGGGGTCGCTGACGAACACCCAGAACCCCGCACGAAGAGGATGGATGCATTACAGTTGTAGCCTGCCTTGATGGACCGTTGAAGAGGCAGTATCTATTGAGAATTCATTTATCTACATAAGCGATGCTTACCATGCTCTTGGAACTTAAGGCCGCATTTCTTTATAAGGAATACCTAAACCTTCGGTTCTGCAAGGCAATATCAGCTCCCTGCACTATAATCGTTTGATGGCCGTTATACATACCTCGAAGTCGGTCTGATCCAACAACGGCTCCTCTTGCACGCCTTCTTCCGAGCCCCGTTCGGCAGCCGCCTGATCACGTAGCTTATTCCGCCTTGTAAGCCAGAAGCGCAGGAAGACAGCCAGAGCGAACTGGCTGCAAGCACAGCCCAAGATCATCTTGACGCCCGTCTGATAAATAGGGGCTTCCGAGGCAAGAAAAGCATGCGGCCCGATTATATTTCCCACGCAGTATGCAAGGAAAACGAAAGCCGTGGCCGTCACACGCTTAGTGTATCCGCCGAGGTTGCTGGCAGGCATTTGCAGAGCAAGCGTCAAGGATGCAACGTATGATCCCACCTTGGAGTAAAAGATTCGTCAGCGATGGAACGATAGTGCAAGTGCAACTTACAATGTAGTAGCCAAACAGACACCCGATCTCGTTTGTTCTTGGTATCTTCCACATCATCGAAGCGCCGACTATGGTTGGAAGGACATAGACCGCCATGATGATTGTCCGGGAGTTCTTAAAAAGCGTTGCTAATAGTCCACCGGTAAAGACGTACAGGACTTGAAATGCACCTTGTGGGATGCCCAAAGCAGTTGTTTTCAACGGGTCATCAACTAAGCCTTTGATGATGAGTTTACCAAACTAGCAGGTGTGTTAGGTTTGTACCTTATTGGAAGATCTGACGCTTGGAGTCCCACTTACATTGGCAATGCCACCGTTCATTAGCTCATTGAGCAGCGTAAAGAAAAACAACACCCAAACCTGTATATCCATAAAAGCCTCCTTGATTTGGTATGGCTTAATGGTCCGGTTCAACATGCCCTAGCAAGAGTTAGCTTTTGTCTTTATTGCCATTTCATTTCAGAGGCAGAAAGGCATACAGTCTGGTTCTTCCTTCCAACACCCAACAACGCAGCCTTTTCTTCCAAGGTGAAACCCTTGGCCAGGATTGGGCTGTCTGGCATGCGCCATAGGAAAACCAGACCAAAGAGTAAAGTCGCACCGCCACAAATCAGGAAGATGCTCTTGTAAACAGGGAAGCTGTCTATCTGGCCGATACCATAGCACAGAATGCCGCCAATCTGGACAAGTCAGTAAAAGGCTACTGGACCATAACAGTCTCCTTACCATTGAGCCGACTCCATTGCAACAGTAGAAGCACCCGGCTCGGAAAGGCTGCTGGTCGCGCGCATACCACATCGACACGACGAGCATAAAGGCCGGCGTGATGGGCGCTTCAAAGCACCCCAGAAAGAAGCGACACACAGCCAAGCCACCAAAGTTCTCGCAAGCAGCCGTTATCATCAACATCGAGGCCCAAGCAATGATCGTTATCGAAATGACTTTGCCGGTCCGGTAATGCTGGGCGAGGTAAGAGGCCGGGTATTCCCAGAACAGATAGCCTAGGTACAACCCGAGAACTATTAGCAAGAGCCCGGGACCGGGTGTCGGAAGCAGCGTTTTCTTACCAAGGTAAAAAATACTTGCCGTCCATGAGTACTCGTCGCCGCTCATGTTCGTTTCCTTGAGCAGGTCGAAGACGGCTCCGTACGACGTGGTGCTCTTGTCGATGTACTGCAATACGTACGTCCCCATGAGCAGTGGCAGCAGTAGCTTGTCGATTTTTCGAACCAATGCTTTCATCTTCTGCTTGTCTTCGAGGAGCTCGTCTACCTGCTGCCAGTCATAGCCGCTGTCCCGTAGGAAGACTTCCGCTTGGTCGAGCTCGACGACTTCGCCTTCTGCGACGGACTTGTCGTCGCTTAACGTAGGGACCTTCTCTAGGTCTGGCTTCTCGGGGTCTTTGACCTCGGGTTTGGTCTCCTGGTTTGCTTCAGAGGCCATTGTTGGATGACAGGGCAGTGTTGGTGTCCTAAACCAACAAAAATACGACCGACACCGAGAATTATTGAATGAGAGTTGCCAGGCCAGAAGTAGACCCCGAGAGAATTGAAATCGATCAACTACCTGGTGGCTATATACCAATGTTTTCGTTGCTAATGCACGGCAAGATAAGGTGGCTGATTGCCCAGATACCAACCATGCCGTTGTTTACCAGGGCACGACGTACCCCGCAGTCTCATCTGGGAAATATGGAGTAGCGCTGTATCTCACTCCAAGGTGTCTCAACACCGGTTAAACCATCTTGACATGAAAAGATCGGATCGGATATGAACAAGCCGAACAGGGTCTCTGGAGCAACGAACTTGACTTTCTCATACTTTGAGTAGCAAAAACGTCCGGGGTCTGGCTTCTCATGCGTTGATTTGATAAAGGGACCCGGCGATTTATGCACGGGTGTTTTGTTGTTTTTCCCGTCGGATGTGATGAGGCGTTGCCGAGCTGCTTCTCAAACGCGCGTCATATCTCCACAAGCTCATTCCGTGATCGAGCACGTATGTGGGATCGGCAAGCGGATGTTTAGACCTTATAAAATGAGATGGGTTCCTTGAGTGCGATGATTCGAGGGTTACGGCCGTGGGGTTGATAAGTGTTCGTTCCATCTAGCCACCATACCCTAATGGCTTCCTTGCGCTTATCCGCTTTAGCACTGGTCTCAGCCATCGTTGCTGTCCTTGCCAGCCTCTTCGACGTCCAACAGGCTCAACACGTCCTTGAGCCATATCTCCCGTCTGTTCTCAAAAGCAGTCCACCGACGGTTGTGCTTCCACAAGGAAAAATCGTGGGCAAGACCCTCACTGGAGAATGGCCGCAGAAGATCGAGGCTTTTCGCGGATTTCCCTACTCCCTCCCGCCCACTGGACCTAGGAGATTCAGGCCATTAGAGCCTCTTTTCACCTCCAACAGAACTTTCGATGCCACCGACTATGGCTTTGTGTGTCCGCAGAAATCTTTCCGCGGTCCTACTATCAAGCCCTACAATGAGGACTGCTTGACTGTCAACGTCTTTCGCCCTGCGGGCACCAATAGCTCAGCTAATCTTCCGGTACGTCTTAGTTCGATTTCATTCGCGTGGTATACGCCCTCTATATCATGCTGATCATGAACAGGTCGCACTCTATGTCCATGGCGGCGCTTTTAACCGTGGATTTGCAGCCATGGAGGATCTTCCATCTATGGTTGGCTGGTCAGACGCTCCCTTCATCGGCGTGAGCTTCGCCTACCGCGTCGGAGCCTTGGGGTTCCTGCCATCAGGGCTCACAGAGAAAGAAGGACTGCTAAACCTGGGCCTCCGTGATATGTTTTTCTTCTTCAACTGGTTCAGGGAGAACATCGCCGAATTCGGTGGCAACCCCGACGACGTCACTGTTTTCGGCCTCAGTGCTGGTGCGCACGCTATAGGTCACATGGTCATGGACACTGATGAGCCGTTCTTCCAGCGCGTCATCATGGAGTCTGGGGGTCATACTGCTCGCGCTGTCCATAAGCCAACGGCCCCGTTGCATGAAGCTCAGTTCATGGAATATCTTGAAGCGGCTGGCTGCAGCGATGTCCCGGATCATGCTGTCTTTGACTGTTTGCGAGAGACGCCGGCTGATGCGCTCTTCAAAGCTTCTTTCGATGTCTTTGACGCTTATAACCCGTCTCTTCGATGGGCTTTCCAGCCTGTGATTGATGGCGACATCATCAAACGCAGGCCAACAGAATCGTGGCAGACGGGCAACTGGCACAAGATTCCGATCCTCACTGGGTTCACGACCAACGAGGCGGCTTCCTACGTCCCGAGTTCACTGGATTCCCCTGAGGATTTCCCCGACTATTTCAAAACCTTACACCCGGACCTGACAAATTCCGACATCAAAGAGCTGTCCAAGCTCTATCCCGACCCTTCTAAAGACGCCGCGTCACCTTACCTCGATACTCGGCCTGTTTCAGTTGGGAAGCAATTCAAGCGCGCCGAAGCCGCTTACGCTCACTACGCCTACGTTTGCCCAGTTCACTCCACCGCCTACCACGCCTCATCCGGGCAAGATGCACCGGTGTACATGTACCACTGGGCCGTCAACCGCACCGTCCTTCAAGGCGCCAATCACGGTGACCAGAAGTGGTACGAGACGTACGAAGACTCCGAGCGCCGCAGGTTTTCGTCCTTCCAAGAGAGGCTGGCTGGCGAGGTCCATGCTTATTGGACGAGCTTCATCACCCAGAAAGGTGATCCGAATGCGCTTGGGGGAAGGTTTGCTGATAGACCCAGGTGGGAGGCTTTTAAGAAGGGTGAGAATGAGAAGCTCATGGTCTTTGGTGAAGGCAATGATGAGATGGCTGGTGGTACGGGTGTTGGGGTTACTTCGAAGATGATCGATGATACCTGGGCTTTGAAGGAGTGCGAGTGGTGGTGGTCAAAGGGCAAAAAGCTTCATCAATAATCTTGAGCTCCGGGTCGGTTGTCGGCTGAATCTTGATCGCACATTTTAAATAGAAAATTCGACAGACGATGAAGGCATGATTGAACGCAAGGGGTTAAGAGAGGGTAGATAAAAAGCTTTCAGGGGGTTTCGACATGAGCTGTACATCGATAGCGGTGTAGAATATCTGAATCCAGACATCTCGGACTTAAACTTGGAGACCGAGATGCCCCGGTAAAAATCTGAACCGGAAGATGCTGATAAGCCGACTTACCCGATGTCGCAACCATCACACGTGTCGATCAACAGGCTAGTCTGCTCCATCAACACCGCAAAACATATATCTCGAGTGCCGCCTCCATAAGCCAGCATGATTCAGAGGATTAGAGATACGCCAGTTTATAGGATACCGACAATTCGAGACAGAAAGAGCTAGGAAAGCACAAACAGGCATAGCCGACAGCGACAATTCGAGTGGCAGAAGAGCCGCCCACAACACCACCACGCACAGAAGCCATGGGAGCAGAAACAAAGACAGAAGGGCCACGGCCATCGAAGCTCAAAGTCGCGCTCGCCTTCCTTCTCCACCAATGGCTGCTCATCGGCATCGGCGTCGCCTGCGTCCTAGCCTACTTCTTCCCCTCCGTCGCCGCGCACGGCGGCATCATCCGCTCACAGTACTCGATCCTGTACGGCGCGGTAGCGCTCATCTTCCTGGTGTCGGGGCTCAGCATCGCGGGCAAGAAGCTGCTGGTGCACGCGCTGAACTGGCGCTTGCATCTGATCGTGCAAGGGGCGAGCTTCCTGCTCGCGCCCGTGACTATGTACGCGCTGGTGCAGGCGGTGCGGGCGGGCGACCCGCTCGAGAACATCGACAGGAGCGTGCTCGTTGGTTACGTGCTCACGGCGTGCATTCCGACCACGATTGCGAGCAACGTCGTCATGACGAGGAGTGCGGGGGGCGACGACGCCGCCGCGCTGGTCGAGGTCTTGATTGGGAATGTTTTTGGGCCGATTGTTAGCCCTGCGTGGACTGTCGCGCTGATTCCTAAAGATAACAGCTTTAGGCTGTGGGAGAATGTCAGTGGCGATCTTACTGATATGTACCGCAGCGTCTTCAAGCTCCTGGGGTTGAGTGTCTATGTGCCGCTTGCTGTGGGCCAGTTGGTGCGGTGGAAGTGGAGTGAGCAGACGGCTTGGGTGATGCAGACGTTTTACTTGAATAAGGTGGGCACGTTTATGCTGTTGCTGCTTATATGGTAAGTATTTTTTGCACTTCTCTAGATTCGAAACGGCAGCCATTGACCATATCAGGACATCCTTCTCGACCTGCTTCGCTACAAACGCCCTGCAAACACTCTCCACAGAGACAATCATCTTCATCGTCTTCTTCAACATCGCCATCTACCTTTTCTGGACGCTCATCTGCTTCGGCTTCGCGCGAATCTGGCCCCAGCCCATCACCGACTCAACCAAGGGACTTGTACGCCGTTTTCCAAAGACAGAGACGATTGCGATTTGTTTCTGCGGCCCCGCGAAGACGGCTGCTCTGGGTATTCCGCTGCTCTACGCCATGTGGGAGCACTTCGACACCGAGGTCAAGGCCAAGATGTCGGTGCCTATTATTTTGTATACTACGGAGCAGATATTCTGCGCTCATTTTCTTGTTTCGCTTTTTAAAAGATGGCTGGGGAAGGATAATATACGCGAGGCAGAAATTGCTGCGGAGCCAGAGATGGCAGTTGTCGAAAGACCTTCTGTGGATCCAAAGTAGTCTTTTTTGTCATTAGGAGGATTTCTAAATCCGCCTAGAGAGTCTTGGGAATTTGCAGTCGGCATTTTTGACTAAGAGTTCTCTGTATATCTTCATGGTGAAAGCCGCAGCGGTTTGCCTGATAAGCTTCTCTAAGGGTGATCCCTATACGTCAACAACCTGTAGTATTAATGTAAGAACTGGTCTTCATTAGGACCAGTGATTGAATGGCCACATACAAGCCTCACTTTTAAGCTTCTATATATTTTGTAACATCAATTTAAACCTCAACAAGTCGGGTTGGTGTAGTTGGTTATCACGTCAGTCTAACAAGATCGCATCTTGTGAGCACTGAAGGTCGCGCGTTCAAGTCGCGCATCCGATATTTTGCTTTTTGACTTATTTTTTTGCGCTAGAGGACGTGGGAGCACCGCGGCTCCAGTGCGCTGTGGGGATGGAAGCTCGGTTGCCGAGGCCGAATGAGGAAATCAGCTCGGTTGGATGATGAAAACCATCTCTTGAGTCGCTGAGCGAAATTGTTTTGGCAGCCGATGCTGTGCTGGCCAACAGTCGTATATAACACCTGCCTCATTCGTCTTTGATAGTCAGCCGAGGTACGTATGCTTCTCGATAGCGGTGATTGGGCGATGGATGCTACACGTAGGAGTACGGCCGTAGTCGGTAGTCCCGAACCACCAGTTGAAGGCGATGCTGTTTTGCACGAAGCAAACAAACATAGAAAGGAAAATGAATGCATTTAGGCTGTAAGCAATCAGATTCTCCAGGACCCCTGCTCCGGCAAGGCCGTTTGTTCCAAAGCCGTCCGGAGCAGAAGGCACTGGAGCATCCGCGCAATGGATAGGTACATAAGGTGACCGGGATCATCGGCATGTGATGGCCGTGGTCGCCTGCATAAACCGCCACACCCATCATGTCCCTCTACCATTGAGGTCTCGACAAGAACACCGTCTGCGAAAATGCCCGGCTCTTCCAGGCTCCCCGTCAGCCTGCGCGACACATTCCAAGCCCGGCGGGCGACACCGCGCGGCCAGCTCCTTGCGCTGAACCTCGACATGTACGTGCCATTTGCCCCGCTCTCTCATGACTCCCGCAGCAGCAGCAACAGCAGCAGCAGTAGCAGCAGCGTAGTCTGAAACCACCACATTCTTCGACTAACGACGGCCCAATACCCACAGCATCCGCAATGTCATCTTCATCCTCTTCCTCCTGCGCTGGACGCGCCGCGCATTCTACACGCTCAAGGGCCGCGGGCTCGTCGGCTCCACCGTCGACGCCTACGTCGCCGTGCGCCGCGCCCTGTACGGCTACTTTCTGCGCATGCCGGGCGTGCGCACAAAAGTGCAGTCGCAGGTGTCCGAGGCGATTCTGAAGCTCGAGCAGAAACTCGTTCCTACCGGCCCTGATGTCGACCGCTACATCACGCTGCCCGCCGACGGCTGGGACGAGGACAAGGTCAGGCAGGAGTTGGAGAAACTGAGCGACATGAAACATACCCGCTGGGAGGATGGGAGGGTCAGTGGCGCCGTGTATCATGGTGGCGATGAGCTCGTTAGGCTGCAAACGGAAGCTTTTGGCAAGTTTACCGTCTCTAACCCTATTCATCCCGATGTCTTCCCGGGTGTTAGGAAGATGGAGGCTGAGGTTGTCGCTATGGTATGTTTGCCCTTGGATGCGGGTGAAAGCAGACGCTTATGTGAATTTATAGGTTCTATCTCTGTTCAGTGCCCCCGAGGGTGCCGCTGGTGTTTCTACCAGCGGGGGCACTGAGTCCATTCTTATGGCTTGCCTGAGTGCCAGGAACAAGGCCTATGCGGAGCGTGGTGTGACTGAACCAGAAATGTAAGATGTCGCCCTTCAAATCCTCTATTTCAATGGTTAATCTGTCTATAGGATTCTCCCTGAGACCGCGCACACTGCTTTCCGCAAGGCCGGCGAGTATTTCAAGATCAAGGTCCACCTTGTCTCTTGCCCTGCGCCCTCCTACAAGGTTAACCTGCGCGGTGTCTCTCGTCTCATTAACCCCAACACCGTCCTCCTTGTTGGTTCCGCTCCAAACTTCCCCCACGGCATCGTCGATGACATCAGTGGCTTGTCGCGCATTGCCGCTAGGAAGAACATTCCCCTGCACGTCGACTGCTGTCTTGGCTCGTTCCTGATGCCCCTTCTTGAGAAGGCCGGCTTTGAGAGCGAACCCTTTGACTTCAGACTCAGGGGCGTCACGAGCATCAGCTGCGACACGCACAAGTACGGCTTTGCGCCCAAGGGCAACAGCACGGTTCTGTACCGCACCGAAGCCCTGCGCTCGTACCAGTACTTCATCAGCCCGGACTGGTCAGGCGGCGTGTACGCCAGCCCGTCGATTGCTGGCTCGCGTCCCGGTGCCCTGATCGCCGGGTGCTGGGCGTCGCTGATGTCATGTGGCCAGGCCGGCTACGTCGACGCGTGCCACAAGATTGTCGGCGCGGCCAAGACTGTCGAGAAGGAGATCCGCATGCACCCCACGCTCGCCGCCGAGCTCAAGGTCATCGGCAAGCCGCTCGTCAGCGTCGTCGCCTTCACCAGCAACTCTCTCGACATCTACGATGTCGCTGACGCCATGGGCGCCCGCGGCTGGCACCTCAATGCCCTGCAGAACCCGCCCGCCATCCACGTCGCCGTCACCCTGCCCATCGTCGCCGCGACGGACAAGCTGGTCTCCGATTTGGTTGAGTGTGTTGAGGAGGTCAAGGAGGCGGAGCGCAAGCGCATTGCTGAAGGTAAGGGCGCCAAGGGTGCTGTCAAGGGTGATGCGGCGGCGCTGTATGGTGTTGCGGGTAGCTTGCCAAACAAGAGTGTTGTGGTCGAGTTGGCGAGGGGATTCTTGGATACTCTGTACAAGGCGTAGGGTTGAGATTGATGGGGATGATGGCGTGGGGAGTCGTTGTAACTAGAAGTTGTATAGCCCTGCATGGTCATAGCATAAGTAGCGTATTTTTGAATTCGAAATGCGTTTAACCATATTGGCTCGCTTAATTCCGCTGAGCGCAGGGTTATGACGGTGGTTTCCAGAGCATCAAATAAAGCAGGTTCCTGCGTCGTTCATACATCACGTTGGACCTGTTTTCGAGGTAACTGTTTATAGGAATTCGGATGAAAGGAGGCACGGTCACCGTCGTGAGCAGGGCATAGAAGTAGAATGCGCAATTCGAACCCGCCATGATTGAGCTGAGGATCATCCGCAGGCCATTGAACGTTTGAATGCACAGCGGGGAGTGCCGGGCGAGAGGCAGAATCGCGACGTTGGTATGATACAAGGTTATAGCCGCATTCTAAAGCTCTTGGTCCATCGCCAACATCAACCCGGAATCCACCGTCTATTGGTCGAGACGGACGGGGAAAGTGCCGTTGTCTACACACCGTGAGTTTTCGAGTCGCCAAAATCAGATACAGCCAGGACCTACCGCGCTGCTCGTCCCAACGCTCGCACCAGTTGCTGGGGCAGAGGGACCTGTAGGCCAGAAGGAACTGCACAGCGTGGTCAGCGATATGAGTCGCGAAATGAGGATGTGGACAGCGGCGCGAACCTGGCGGCAGGGAGCGAAATCCTCACCCTTGGCGAGAATGCACTTGTGGTAGTCGACATAGTTCTGCCAGCAGTGCTTGGTCCTGCGAAAAAGAAAAACGGTCAGAGATGGGTTGCGAGCTTTGCGATCGCATGCGCGAGGGAAGCTCACTGGTTCTGGTTCGGGAAGCGGGCGTCAAAGCCTGGTGGACGCGACAAATGTAAGCACGGGCGGATGGGCGTCGAGCTACCATCATTACAATCCGACAACCCTCTCGCGACCCAATTGGCATCGCGACGGGTGCGGCTCTCGAGCGACGGGTATGGGGGAGCTCATATGGGAGCTACGTACCAGCTGCATGGGCGTGTCAGTCAGCATTTACCTACACCAAAGCTTGACGGGAAGCAGCGGCAGCGGGCGGGGGGTGAGGGAAAAGGGCGACTCACCAGTGACGAACTTGAAGGGCTTGGTCTCGCGCTCGTCGGAGTCAGACATGGTGGCAGCAGATGGGATGTGCAGCGGTGGTGATACTAGCGTGGACTGGGGATATGGAGGAGGGTGGTGCGATGAAGCAAGCAAGCAACTGAGGTTGGCAACGGGCGCCCGCACGAGCGGCAAGTGCCGGGCGGTCCCGCGTCAAGGCCCCAAGGGAGCGATTCTCCGAGCACAACCTCAAGCCAAAGCTCCCCCCCCAGCTGCACCAACGCCGCACTCACCACCCCCCCGGATCACACCACCCCTCTCCACTCGATCAGCCCGGACAACAACCATGTTCGCTCCCACCCGCAGCGTCGGCCTCCAGGCCCTGCGCGCGGTCAAGCCCATCCGCTTTGCCGCCCCCGTGCGCCAGGCTCGCTTCCTGAACCTCCGCGCCACGCCGCGCATGAGGACGCCTGTGCCTGTAAGTACCGTCTTCACCTCTTGGGCAATTCATCCGTTGTCATGCGCTGACCAATCGTTACAGAAGGAGGAACAGAGCGGTATGCGGAGCCCCGCGTTTGCCCATGCATCGCATGCAACGCGAAAAACAACACACAAACAAAGCTGATCTTATCCCTCGTAGCTCACACCATCTCCCAGCGTCTGCGCACGCTCAAGAAGATTCCCCCAGAGTTGATCCCCCTCGGTATGTATTGCTTGTTTCCCTCATCGATCCAATTGGTGCCCTTGCTGACGTTTCCCGTCCTACTGCAGGCATTGTCCTTGTGTATGTTCTCCCACGTTCCCGCGTAACACTAGTTGCATCATCTGACAGCGAGCCCCAGCATTGCCGTTGGAGCCGCCATCTTCTCCATCACCAGGAAGCTCTACGTGGACAAGACGCTCCGTCTGTCCAGGCAGAGGGGCCACGACCAATAGACGACTGCAGCACGGTCGCGGTCGTAGCGATGATGCCAAGCGCGAGAAAAACCGCCCGGTGGATATCTTTGTCTGTACAAATGAACAGTATCAAAATTGATGATAGAGTGCCTTTTCCTCCGACTTGCGCCCTGACTCCATGCCCTATGCCGTGCTTGCATAAACTCAATCGATCGTGCCTGCTTCCTCATTCGGGCTTGGGCCCAGCGACATCCAATCCCTCTAAACCTTGCATCGGGTCCAGCGGCGCATGATCAGCGGCCGTCTTTGCCTGCTCCGCAGCAAAACGATCTTCCTCGCTGACCGCATGCTTGGCCAACCAACCCTCCTAGAAATAACAATTAGTAAAAGAGAAACACAAGCCAACGACAAGGAAATGTCGAAACAAAGCGACCAAAGGTGCGGGGAAATATAATAAAGAATAATAAGAAATAAACAAAAGAACTCACCTGCTCCCAAACAGCCGTTTTGCTCCCCAAACCCTCGTTCTGCTCCTTCTGCGGCTTGGCCTGCGCGACCTTGATGACGCGACCGAACAGCTCGCTCTGGTCCATATTGTCGATGGCCTCGCGGGCGTCGGCCGCATGCTCGAACTCGACGTAGCCGAAGCCGCGGTGCGGATCCGTTGCCGACGGCGCCTCGGGCTTGGGCAAGCTGATGTCGACGATTTCGCCAAACGGCACGAACGCGGCGTGCAGTGTTTGGCTAGACACGGCTGCGTCGAGGCCGCCGACGTAGACGGTCGACTTCAGACGGCTGTTGTCGGCCATGCTTAGGGGGCGGGGGTTGAAGAGCGAGTGGAAAGGGTGGGAGAGAGTGGAGCGGAGTCGGTGCTGGGTAGGTACGGGCTTGGAGATTGCTTGTTGCTGAAGGAGAAGGAATTGTGATGTCACGTGTAGAGAGCCCGCGTTTGGTGGTTGTGTTTGCTTGAGTGCTTATCGATAGGGAGGTCGGGCTTCCTCGGTGCCTGAAGTCGTGGCCGACACAACTCCGCATCACCACCTCTTGAAGCAACCCTGAGGTTCCTGCATTTTATAGCAGGGTATGGCCATTAAGACTTCCATCTTGCATAATCGACATTGGGAGAACCCGTAAAAATGTATTTGGCATCCGTATGAATATGGAAGTGACAATTTATGAAGACATATGAAGCTGCTGGTACTCCTACCGTCCTAAATAGGTCAGCACTGCCAATCTATGAGCATTTCAAGCAAAGATCTTCAGCATCACCAATCCAAGCAAGCAAGCTCCATTGGTTGTGCCTGAGTTTCATGTCTTTGGCTCGCTGGTCTCTAGCCCGGGTCGCCGGTCTGTGCACCCGCTATCGATAGGCGCGACAACGCCCCGAAACTTTTTTACCTCGATGCGACTCGCCAGCCAAGCACCACCCAGGAAAGGCTGCCCAATATGTCTTCTCTGAATGAGAGACTGGACAAGATCCGCTCGCAGCCTAAGCTGCAGAACCAGCAGCAAGTGAGTACAACGTGCGCCTCCACACGTTCATGTGCTTCGGCTAACTGAGCAGACTGCTGTCGTTCTCTCCGCCGTCGAAGATACCCTCCGAGACCAGAAGTCGGATTTCACCCCCACCGCCTACTTCGCCGCTCTCCTCTCCCTTCTTGCTCAGTACATCTCGGCACAGAAGGGCATTGTAAACAAGGAAGTTGCCACCGCTGTCGTCTACCTGCTCGACCTCGTCACGCCTCACGTCCCCGCACCGCTACTTCGCGCCAAGTTCTCCCAAATCCTTACCAACCTCGCACCCGCCCTCACACACCCGGAAGCCGAAGCGCCGATTCTGCGATCTTCTATCGGATGCCTGGAAGGATTGTTGCTTGTCCAGGACGGGCAAGCATGGGCACTGCCTCAGTCGCAAGTCAGTCCGAGGAGAGCCGTTGCCGGTCTCCTCACCATAGCCGTAGACCACAGGCCGAAGGTGCGCAAGCGGGCGCAGGATGCATTGGCCAAGGTCCTCCAGACAAAGCCCCCAGGACCCTCTCTGGACCACCCAGCCGCGGACATGTGCGCTGAGACGGCTCTTCGCTCGTTGAAGGAAATTGCCGAGGCGGCGCAAAAGAACAAAAAACACAGGTCGCAAAGAGATGGCCAGCACGCTGAACCGGCTCTTATACATAACTTGCAGCTCATCAAGACCATTGCGTCCGCGTCCGGAGGCTGGCCTAGCCGCAAGATCGACGCCCTTTGCGAGCTCCTTCTGCACATTTCCAAGTCAAGCAATGAGTTCCTGACCATGTCTGCTTTTGAAGTTTTCGAGGTCATCTTTGCTGGTATGGTCGACGAGGTTTCTTCCGCCAAGCTGCCACGCCTCTTGGAGGTCATCGGAGAGCTTCAGCCTTCGCAGAACGATTCGCAACTACTGCCACCATGGATCGCGGTCCTCTCAAGAGGTTACGATGTCGCTGCCCAAGTTGAGCCCGAGGAAACTTTCCAAAAACTCCCGGATCTGTTTATCATGATGTCCAACTTCCTTGCCTCGCCATCCCACAACATTCGCATTTCTGCCTCCGAGTGTATGATCTCTTTCCTTGCCAACTGTATACCCGATAGCATTCTGCTGGATCTGTCAATCTACGATGAGAAGGTTTTGGAGAAGCTGGCCAAGGTTGCCGTCGATATGCTTAGCGTCAAGTACCAGGCAGCCTGGATGGAGGTATTCAACGTCATGGGCGCCATGTTTGACTCACTGCGATGGCAAGCTGCCCCTCGGATGAACAGCATCGTCAGGGTTGTCGGTGAACTGAGGAGCAACGAGTCTTTTGCTGGCAAGAAGGAAGCCGATGCTGTTCTTTCTAAGGCCATTCGTGCCATGGGTCCGGATAACGTGTTGGAAATCCTTCCTCTCAATCTTGTAAAGCCGATTCCGGGCCAGCCCGGACGTGCTTGGCTTTTGCCAATTATGCGCGACTCTGTTTCTAACACCAAGCTGGCGCACTTCAGATCTGAGCTTGTTCCTCTGAGCGAGATTATGTTCCAGAGAGTCCTTAACCACGGAAATGCGGAGAAGACCATGGAGATCAAGATTTTTGAGACCTTGGTCCACCAAACTTGGGCTATTCTTCCCGGATACTGCGATCTGCCGCTGGATCTGACGGAGGTAAGCAGCTTCTAAACCTTAATGAAGACGTGCGCTGACATAGTTTCTAGGCGTTTGATCAGAGCTTCGCTGAGCTTGTCTCCAACCTTCTTTATCAGCAGACGGATCTACGGACAGACCTGTGTCGCGCTCTCCAGAATCTAGTCGAGACTAACAAGGCGATCGTAGAAGTTGAGGGCGAAGATGATTTGGTGGCTCAGTCGAGGGTTTCCAAGGCGGGTGCGCAAAAGAACATTGAGCACCTGGCTGGTTTCGCTAGCAACATTCTCGCTGTCTTGTTCAACGTCTACAGCCAGACCCTGCCGCAAAACCGTGGCAACATCTTGAGGTGCATTAATGCATTCTTGAGCATCACGCCTTCCTCGGAACTTATGGAAACTTTCACTCGTGTCGCGACTATGCTGGAATCTTCCTTGGCCGAAACTGGTTCGCAGACGCAAGCTGACAAACAGAAGGAAAAGAAACCTGCTGACAAGATGCCTCCTGCAAGCCACACCCTTATGGATTTGGTCATCACGATCTCAATCTACCTTCCCAGGGACAGCTACGTCACGCTCTTCAACATTGCGGGTCTCATGATCAACAAGGACGATGACCCGCAACTGCAAAAGAAGGCCTACAAGCTTATCCCTCGTCTTGGAGAGTCTGAGATTGGCCGGGCCGCTCTGCAGGACCGCAATGCTCAGTTGCAACAGCTTCTTCTTGAAAGCGCAGCCAAGGCCACGGCGCCAGCTCGTAGGGACCGTCTGGCCGCCATTTCTCAGGTTATGGAGTACACGCCTTCCACTGACCTGCATTTCATTCCCTCCATCCTCTCTGAAGTTGTTATCTCTGCCAAGGAAGTCAACGAGAAGGCACGTACGGCAGCCTTTGACCTCATTGTGCTCATGGGTAAGAAGATGGAGCAAGGCGGCACCGTCGTTCAGTCCAAGATCCCTCTTATGGACGAAAGTGCACCTACTGTTTCTGCCACTCTTGAGGAATACTTCACCATGATGTCTGCTGGTCTTGCTGGATCCACTCCGCACATGATTAGCGCATCTATCACTGCACTGACGCGCGCCCTCTACGAATTCCGCACCTCCCTTCCCGAAGCCACCATTACCGACCTCGTCCAGACCATGGACCTTTTCCTTACTTCCTCTAACCGCGAGATCGTCCGGTCTGTGCTTGGTTTCGTCAAGGTCTCGGTCATCTCCCTGCCCCTGGGTTTGATGCTGCCTCGCCTTCAGTCCCTCATTCCTAATCTGATGGTATGGTCGCATGAGCACAAGGCGCACTTCAAGGCCAAGGTCAAGCACATCCTGGAGCGCATGATCAGGCGCTTTGGTGTCGAGGTTGTCGAGCGCAACTGTCCCGAGGCTGACAAGAAACTCATCACGAATATCAGGAAGACTCGCGATCGTCGTAAGAGGAGAAAGGAGGAAGGCGAGGAGGGCGAGGACCAGGCCGCGCGCCCAGAGCGCAAGGGCAAGTTCGAGTCAGAGTACGACGAGGCCGTTTACGGCTCAGAAGGGGAGTCCGACTCGGGCTCCGACGTGTCGGACGACGAGGCCATGGGCCGGAACCGCCGCGGCAAGAACCAAAAGGGAGGCAAAGCGTACATTGTGGAGGACGAAGACGAGCCGCTGGACCTGCTGGACCGCCGCGCGCTGGGCAACGTCAGCTCGACGAAGCCGCTCAAGGCGCGCCAAGTCCCGGCGCAGAAGACGAAGGCCAAGGTGGACCTGGACGGCAAGCTGGTGCTCGGCGACGAGAGCGAGGACGAGGACATGGACGTGCTGAACGGCGACCCGGGCGACGGCACGCTGGAAGGCGGCATCAACGCGTACGTCGACGCCATTCGCGGCCGCGACGTCGCGAGGCGCGGCCGTGCTGGCAAGCTCAAGTTCACGAACAAGCGGGGCGGCAAGGACGACGATGGCGACGACGACATGGACGTCGATGAGGAGGAGGTGGCGTCGAAGCTGAAGGGGCAGCAACAGCAGCAGGGTCGGGGTCGCGGAGGGGGACGTGGCGGGCCTGGCCGCGGCCGTGGTGGTGGCGGTGGTGGTTTTGGCGGCCGCGGCGGTAGGGGCGGCGGTGGCCAGTCCCAGCGGAGGGGCCTGGGTTCGGATAAGACGAGGGGTGGACGCGTGGGCAAGAGCCCGAGGGGCAAGTTTGGCGGCAGGAGATAGATGGATGGTTGATGCGGTTTAAGCTGAGTTGATGAGTGTTAGTCTTTGTTGATAGGAGTTCTGTGGCGGGGAGTACCACAAAAATGTCATTTTATGGTGTTTATCGCTATGCCGTCCCTTTCTGCTATGCGTATACTGCTGGTTGCGTAGCAGTGTCATGTAATGTGTTTCTATCACGGGGTCCACATGGCTGGATGCAGACGAATACATACGCACGGCAGGTTTTACAGCCGCATTCATGCAGACAAGAACAAGACAAGAACGAAACATAACAGCATGATCATCGATCCACGGACAGGGGGGGGGGGGGGGGGGGGGGGGGGGGGGGGGGGGGGGACTAGAAAATCTATAAACACCAAACCAACAGATCTAAACAGACAAACAAACAGAGAGCGCCGCACCATTACTACAACACCACATACCTCCATGCCCACGCACACCCAGACCCAGAAATACACCCACACAGAGGTACTTTCGCAAAGTACCTACCTCCTAGGAACACAAACAAGTACAAGCAAACACACATACGACTAAACAAGCACAAGCACAACCCCACCCACGAAACCTGCCTGCACGCGCCTAACAACTAACTCCATACCCCATACCAAACCAGACAAATACCGGCAAGGAAGCCTGCCTAACAACAGAATAAGATAAAACAAACACACACACAAACACACAAACAAAGAGATTGGCTTGAAGCACACACGCGCGCGCGCGCGTTCTTTCGTCCGCAGTGCTGGCTGGCTGAGACGACTCAACGCGCGAGCGGCGTTGATGTGATAATATGCCTGCGAGAGGGGTGGTGGGGCTGAGGAGGAGATGGTGAGGGAGATAGGTAGGTAGGTGGGCTGCCCTGCCTGCCCTGTCCGTCTGTCCTATCCGTTGTGCTGTGCTGTGCTGTGCTGTGGAGCGCCCTTGACCAACTTGCTTGTCTGCGCCGTCGTTGTAGTTGTTGTATGCCGTCGCGCGTGTGTATGTGTAGAGTAATGCGAGATGCGAGAGAGCAGTAGTCGAGTAGAGTACCGAGGCAAGTCGGTTGATAGGTGTGTAAGTAGGTAAACAGGTAGGTCGATAGGTAGGTCTGTAGAAGCAAGCAAGAAAAAGAGCCGCAAACGCCCAGGCGTAGGGGTGCGCCGCCGCTGTGGATGCTGCTGCTGTTGCTGCTGGAGGTGCTGGAGGTAGGTATGGTGTATGGTGTATACTGCTGCTGTTGCTGTTTGCTGTTGCTGTACTGTATGTAGACTTAACAAGCTGGCTAGCTGGTGCCGGACGCGCTGCGCGGAAAAAGCAAGCATGTAAGCATGTAGGCGTCTTTCTTTTCTTTCCCTTCCCTTCCCTTCCCTTCCCTTCCCTTCCCTTCCAATCCACTCTACTACAGCCATGGCGATGGTCATCGCCATCGTGTCGAGTGTCGAGGGATGGCTAGGTGCGTGGCATGTGTGGATGCGCCCTGCTTGCCTGTCTGTGTGTCTGCTTCCTTGTTCGTATGTCTGTATGTCGGTCCGCCTGCTTCCAGCCCACGGCCCACGGCCCATGATCGAGCGAGCAGCGTCACGCGCGCCCAAAGGACAGAAGAAGCCCACACCAACCCCGAGACGCAGACACCTTAGCAACACAGCCGTCGCCATCGCCGCCGCCGTCGCCCCAGCAGCCCTCCTCTCCGGCAGCAGCCACCCCAGCCCCCCACGCAGCCGGCGGCACAGCGCAAGCGGCCAAGCAGCAGCAGCAGCAGCAGCGTTGCTCACTTAACCTTACTCATAATAGTCTCCGGGCCGCGTTCAACCTCCACCATGCCCGCTCTCGTCTTGACATCGCGCACCGTGCTGCGGTCCGAGTCGTCGCGCGCGCGCAGCACCGCCTCGACCCACCCGACATTGAGGTCCCAGTACTCGAGCTTAAACTGCTCAAACACGCTCGCGACGCCGTGTTTCTCCGCCTCGAGCAGCTGCACAAAGCGCTCGACCACGCGCCACTTCTGCTTGATGTCGCCGCCGGCCGGGAACTGGCTAAAGAACTCAAACACCGTGATCACGTCGTCGCGGATCTTTTCGACGTAGGGGTCTGAGCGCCGGATCTTGGCGCCCTTGTTGTGCACCGCGCTGAGGTAGCGCACGAGCAGCTCGTCGGCGAGTTCTTCGACGAGCACGTCCCGCAGTGACGGGTGCAGCACTGGGTCGTAGTCGTTGAGGTAGTCTTGGAATGTGCTGACGATTTGCCCCATGCGCTTGTTCGAGTACCATGCCGGCGTGAAGAATTCGGGCAGGATGGTGCGGAAGTCGACGGTGAAGATCAGCCGCACAAAGACAGTGATGCAGTGCGTGCCGAGGTCGACGTAGCCGTCGCGCAGGCTCTCAATCTGCGCCGATGCGCTCGTCGCGTATTGTGGCGATGTGAGCGGCGTGATATCGCGACTGAAGCGCTCGAGGTAGCTGCCTCCTGCTGCGGTGGCAGCCTCGTCGTCGCCATCGTCAATACACGCAATCTGATCGTTGGCGATGGCGACCAGCCAGTCTTGCAGTGGCTGCAGGCCATCTTGATCTGCTGTCGGGAGGCTGTACTTGTCGAGTTCGGTGTCGACGAGCTCTTCCCAGAGTCTTTGTCTCGAAGAGAGCGCCTTGAACATGGCGTCAATGACGCCCTCTGCAACGTCGTGGCGCGAGCTGTTGCCGGCCACGGCGAGCTGCTCGCGCAACATGCTCCACATGTCGCCGAGCGTCTTGGTGCGGAAGAAGCCGTTGATGTCTGTGTCGAGGCTGTTTTCTGAGCGGTCGAAGAAAGCCTGCTTGTCCACATCGGACATACGCGCCATCCATTCTTCGACAGCCCTGATGATGAGCTGGCGATACTCGCGCACGAGCTCCGTGGCGCGGTTGTCGAGCAGATTGGGCACCAGGTCTTCTTCTGGCACGCCCAACTTCTGCATCTTTTTGTAGTACTTCTCCTCCCAGTGGATGATGGCCAGCATGTGCATGGGCGTCGAGTCCGGGTCGTCGATGCGTGAAACCAGCCAGTCGTGCATGAGCTTGTGGTATATGTTGACATACGTGCGAAATATCTTCCACTTCCGCGGCATAAGGCTGACCATGCCGAGCTTGACGGTGTTCAAGTCGTTGAAATACCATCTCACGCCCTTCTCTAGCTTGTCCGGGTCGTCCAGGAACGCTTCGTTCGACATATCGATCTGTGACTGCGCCGAGAGCTCGACGGCTTTGAGTAATTTCTCCTTGTAACCCCTCAACTCCTTGGGACCAGTCGCGATGCTCTTGAAGCGGCTTGCCAGCTCCTTGTACTCGCGCTGCGCATCCTGCAGCGCCTGCACCTTCTTGTCGATCTTCTCTTCTTCCTCAATAATCAAAGCCAACCTGACCACCATGCCATTATTCCCGGACTGTACCAGCGGTATCAAGTTCATGCACGCCAAGCCCACATGCTCGTCAAACAAGTCTATCACGCCGTCCAACCTCTCAAAGTAATCTTGCAGCGTAGCATCATTCCCGAGACTCAGGTTGTGCACCAACTCCATGCTCAGCGTTTCGTCCTCCGAGTTCTTGATCTGGTCCATGGCGGCATCCCTGATATTCCGCAGCTTGCTCAGGCCAAAATGCACAGCCAGCAGGTTGGGCTGGTTCTCCGGGTCCTGCTCGTCCTCGTCCAGCAGCGCCTCCAGCTCCGCCAGGCGGCTATCAAACGCGTCGATATCGGCCTTCATCTTCTCCACGGCCTCAAAGTTGCGGTGCGTCTGCGCGACGAGGTTGATGTGCGGGAAGTCGCGGATCATGTTCTGGGCCTCGGCGCACAGCTTGTCGATGGTCATCATCTCGTCCTTGATCAGGTTGACGGTGCGCTGCCCCTCGGTGATGCTGCCCATGCCGTACTGGGTGATTTCGAGCTGCTCGCGCAGCCCATGGCGCAGCTGCGAGTCGACGGCCGCCTTTTTGCGCGTGAACTCGGCTTTCAGCGACCCGATCTTGTCCAGGTCCTCCGGGTGTCGCAGCAGCTCGGCCAGCTTGGACAGGCTGGCGGACTCGGCGTCGTTCATGTTGGGCGCGGCGCGGATGGTTTGGCGCGGCAGTGGTGCATTGGCGCCTGGTCAGGCTGCTCGGTCGGTCTGGCGGTCGGGCGGTCGGGCGTGGTATGCGAGGAGGGGAGCGACGGGGCCTTGGAGGGGGAGTGTCTCGGGGGGCTTTCGTTGTTGATGATGCGGAAGCTGGCCCGATGCGGCGAAAGTGCTGGCCGCTCACCAATGCACGTGCAAGGGGAACGGGGCGGTGCGTTCGAACGAAGACTGCTGTCTCCTGCTATACGTCTCTCCGCGACCTGTTGTCAGAGCTATACATGTTCTCAAAATACCACATTCGCCATCTGACTGGGTAAAACGCCCTCGTATGGGCGTGGTCGCGACGGCCACGACAAACGCCTCGCGCCCACGCTCGAGTCAAGCTGTCGTCGGGCGTGGGCAGGTCAGCATCGGCGCTTCGGCCTCGCGCGTCCTCTTCTACCTCGACATCGCCCAGCACCACCGCGCACACGGCAGCTCGCGCCTCGCAGACCACCGCGTACGTCTCTGCGCCAGCCAAGAAAGCCTTCCCACCTGACTCGCCCCCAGTTTCCAAAGCAAACCCGCCCATCACCACCACAACCGCCGTCGCCATGGCCTACTTCCGCATAACCCTGCTCCGCAGCGCCATTGGCCTGCCCGAAAAGACCCGCGGCGTGCTCGCTGCCCTCGGCCTGCGCAAGCGCATGCGCACCGTCTTCCACCCCGTCAGCCAGTCCGTCGCCGGCCAGATCTTCCGCGTCAAGGAGCTCGTCGACGTCCAGGAAGTCGAGCACGCCCTCACCAGGAAGGAGCAACACGAACTGCGGAAGCCGGACCCGGGCTTTTTCGTCGAGAAGCGCGTGAACCAGCAGAAATAAGCGGCGTATTGGGATGCCGGCGAGGGATTGGAAGGGCTAGAAAAGAGGACAAAGTTTCGTGGGCTCGCTGAAGATGAGAGAGCAGTGCATTGTGGTGGTGGTGGCGGCGAGCAAGGCTCTGTGGCAGCTTCAGGAAACCTTGTATGAGCGGAACATGGAAGGCGTTATCGGGTTCGAGGCATTTGAAAACGTCGAGGTTAAATGTTGCAATTGGACGAAAGCATTGCGGAGTACCAAGCAAAAAATAGTCGATGGCGGGGGAAGGGCTGACTGCCTACTTCCCTGCGCCAAAAAAGTGAAAAACAATCAAGTTGCTTAGCTTCATACCAAGACGTCCCAACATATAATTAAATCCTATATCAATATCTTCATACTCTTGTTGTCAGTAAGCACCATAATTACCTTTGTCTACCTACGATTTTGCGAGCTGCTTGTGTATCTTTTATGCACACACGACATATAGCGTGCGATGCATGTCTAAATGTACGGGTCAAGTCGGCAATGACACGAGAACAAGGGCATCGAAAAGGAAACAGTCAATCCATTAGCGTTTTTCCCGCTCATGTTCGTAGTTCTACACGCCGGACAGCAACAAGCAAACAAATAGTCATGCCTGGATGGTCCATATCTAACAACTCCTGGCAAACAATCTCCATAGCCATCTCTCGTAACTCAATTCGCTGAAGCAAACTCATGGCTCCGTAAAAGAGTTTAAGCTGGGGTAGCTCTGCTCATCTGGATCAGACGCTTAACACCGACCTGATGAATGCCTTGTTAGTATTCCGAAAGATCTATCATATGGGGACGGATTGCTTACCATCCAGTTGCTTCCTTCATCGTTCTTGTTCTTCATCAGATCCGTGAACAAAGCCTGCGCTTCCTCATAGCTTCTGTTCTGGAGGTGCTGCGAGAGCCCAACCATTGCAACAACTGTATCCGGCTTCAGCAGGTCTTCGTTGTTCAAGTGATCGAACAATATGTTGAGGCGCTTCTCTGTATCGAGAACCTGAGGCATGAAGTTCTGCGGAGCCTTGGACTTCACGCGAGCCATGTCTGACGAGAGAATCTCGAAGATAGGCTTGGCATCTTCAGGGATGTGTGTCCGGTCACCGGCAGGATACTTGACCGGTGCTGGCGTCGCACGCTGAGACTGCGCCGTGCTAGGCCTGGACTCAGTCATGGGCACTACCGGGGATGCTGTGGTCCGTGGCGGGCCAACGGGTGGAGGACCAGCCCTCGGTGGACCTTGCGGAGGTGGCTTGGCAAAGGTCTGCGGAGGGCCTTGGGGCGGAGCCTGCGGCGTTGGCATGGGAGATGGCTGGCCAAACTGCTGCGGAGCATACGGGTTGGGAGCAACCTGCCTTGGAGGTGCAGCCATGGCCGGAGGAGGCGTCGGTTGCGCGCCAGGGGCTGGTGCATACCTGTTCGACGGAGGAGCTGCCGACGGGGGAGGGTTGTATGGAGATGGGCCTCTTGGAATAGTAGCCTGGGGAGGTCCAAACTGTTGAGGCTGTGGGGGTGGGGCATACGCGTTGGCAGCCGCTGATGAAGGGGAGCTTGCGACTGCTGGCGAAGCGATACGTGGAGGTCCTTGAGGCGGGCCCTTCGGCGGAGGAGGGGGCGGCGTCGCCCTAGCCTGCTGCACGTATGGGGAACCACCAACAGGTGGTGACATGACACTCGGCGCGCCAGGGAAAGGGGATGTGATAGCGCCCGCACCGCGTGGGGTACCAGTAGCGGTGCGCGGCGGAGCCTTTTTGCCGAACTCTTCCGGAAGATCGTTCCACGCAGACAATCCGGAGGACTGTGAAGCCGGAGCGACTGCCGGGGAGGAACTAAATCCCCTAGGCGGAGGAGGCAAGGGCTGCGCCTGCGGGGGCTGGTAGCCGCCGTAGCCGTATGGCTGGCCAGGCTTGGGAACATTGGCTTGCGGCTGCTGGTATCCAACAGGGGTATAGCCCTTCGCAGCATTTGAAGGAGCGTACGGCGAGGCGGTTGGTTGCACTGGAGCAGCCGCAACCGGGGGAACATACGCGCTGGTTGCTGCTGGGGAAACAGTCGTAGCAGCAGGCGTAGGAACGACAGGTTGGTATGCTGGGACGACCCGCTGCGGCCTCTGGCCAATAGTAGCGGCGGTACTTTGCCGCTGCTGGGTTTGGGGAGCAGGCTTCTTTGTCGCCTGCTTCACTCTGTTACGTGCGACCTCGGCAGCAGGATACTGGTCAGGAAGAAGATCCAGATACTTCTCCGCGATCCTCAGCTGGCCATGGGCGGCCACGACATCAGCATACTCGGTGTACTTGGCGTAAAGAGGTGCGAGTTTCCAGTCCTCCGCCTTTTGACGCTCGGTGTCTTGGAACTTGGTAACCTCCCGGAAGATGGTGACTTTCTCGATGAAGTTCTGCAGTGACCGAGCGTGGATCGAGAAGGTGGTGTCACCCTCGTTCTTCTCGATGCCCGCATCCTCGCTTTCCTTGAGTTCCTCGGCCCAGTTGCCAACCACCTTCTCCAGCTTGGAACCTGCCAGGTAGCAGAAAGAAGCATCCTTCCTCAAAGTTCCAGCTTCCGATGATTCGTTGATAGATTCCTCCAAACGATCACCGAGGGCCTCGCAAAGGTCCGGGAAGTCAGACTCGTCCGCGTATGTGCACAAGGTCGCCATGACTTCCCTCCAATCCTTGAGGTCAGCGTTGTAAACAACATCCCACAAGTTCTTGCCAACGACGGAAGCAAGAAGGCGGAGATAGTTGGGGCCATCTGACTTCCTCTTGAAGTAGGCAGACTGGGCCTTGTCAATGCACTTCTGCCCACCGCAGATAGCAATCATGAAGGCATCGGACAGGCGCTCCTCCTTCAGGCAAATGTCAAGGGCCTTTTCGAATGATCCAAGCATCAGAGCCTTGGTGATATCCTTGTCAGCATCCGACTCCTCCCCGGTGAAGATCTTGAAGGGGTTGTTCGTCTTGGCGCCCTTGGTAGCCGCCAGGTCCGAAAGGAAGTTGTCGCCATCACCCGACTCGTCAAAGAATGCGGCATCATCCTTATCCGCGGTGCCATTAGCCTGTGCCGAGTCGCTCTTGTCCTCGCCTTCTGCTTTCTCGGCCTCAGGAGCACTTGAGAAGCCGAGATATTCGACCAGCTTTGTGCGAGCCTTGCCCGAGATCAGTGTCTCAATGACCGTCCAGTCCGCCTTCTCCTCTTCCGTCTTGGCTTCCGCGACCTTGGTTTCACATATGCTCGCAAGGTCACCTTTCTGGAGCGCTTCTTCGAACTTCTCCGTCGCCTCGCCAATAGCGGAGTCGACAGCGAAGGTGGAGATGCTGATTTTCGATTTCTTGGTGGCAGCATCGGGTGAAAACTTGACGAGTTTGCCTCCGAAGCCAAAGGACACACCTACAGGCTTGCGAAGCCACTTGGGTGTTTGAGGAAGGGAGAATGTCGCAGCTTGAGGCTGAGTCTGAGCTCTCGCGAAAAAGTCCTCCCCGTCAAGTGCCTGTGCCGCTGGCTCGGTAGTCGCATCGACCTCGTTCTTAGCATTTTGCAAAGTCTGGACAGCGATCTTTCCGTCGAACGAAGCAGTTGCAAGGAGGTTGGGGTTGTGCGGGTTGAACTTTGTCTGGAAAGTCCAGTTAGTGACGACCGGGAACTCGCCCAAAGCAGAGCCCGTGTGCGGGTTCCAACAGATAGTTCTGTTGTCCTTGCCGCAGGAAAGAAGAATGTCGCTATCCTGCGCACACCAGGAGAGAGACAGAACGCCCTGGTCGTGAGCATGAAGGATGCGCTCCGGGGCGTTGGAATTCCTCAAGTCCCACATGAGAATCAGCGGATCCTGGTCGTTCGGAACGGCCGTCATGAGCTTTGTCGGGACGTCCGGGTCCCATGCAACCGCGCTGACGGCCTTCCTTCCATAGTTGTTGAGCGTGAGATTCTCCTTCTTCGTCTTCAGGTCCCAGACAGTGACAAATCCTCCACTGCTACCGGTAGCCAGAATGTACGGCACCTTCTTGTTCCAGTCCAGAGCTTCAAAGTCATCTGCGCGGGCGGCCGAGGTTCCCAAGCGGAAGGGGTTGATGTTGTTGACGTCGGTTATGTACAATTCGCCCTTGGCGCCGGCGGTTGCGAGAAGTTCGGGCTTGAATGGGTTGAACTGGAGCGCCTTAATTGCACCGCTGTGCTTTGACGTCCGCGACAGGAAAGAGTCGCTAAATCATGTCAGATATGCAGATTTCAGTGATGATGAAATGCCATACCTGGCGCCGCTAAGCAGCTTCTCAGCGTCCCAAAGGTCCAGGTTTCCGCTCTCAAGTGCGCCTGCTATTATGCCCCTCGGGCGATCGTCACTAGGCTGGCTCCAGGCGATATCATGGAATCTGCATTGTCAATCTCGTCAGCAATAGTCCGTTGTAATTTCGCCCGCCAAATGTTCAGCAGAATGTTTTCCCACCTTGAGTCGCAGCTCACGCTGGCGGCGGGGGTAAGCTCGACAGCCTGCTCAGAGGAGTTCAGGGCCAGATCCCATAGCTCGAGCTGTGTCTCATTGGAAAAGTCAGCGTCCACTGCTCCCGCCCTGGTACCGGTAGCAATCAATGGCGGCGCTGAGCCGGCGGACCAGGCGAAGGTGGCCGTCCGGGGAATCTCCCGCAGTCGGACCATGGTCGAGAGCGTGCGGACGGCGGAGGAAGAGGTGTTGAGAGAGACAGAAGCAGAAGGGTATCAAGAATAAGGGAACGGAGCCTTGGGGCTCTGTCTCTTGAAAAGAGTGAAACGTGGCGTCGTGAAATTATCGGTCTGCTTGAGAAGTCGTCATTTGCTCATGTCCGCAACCCAAAGGTGTCCTCGCGACGCCTGCCAAGACTGGGGGGTCGACATCACGCACGGGCCAAAATTCACCACCACCACGCCCACACCGCCCTACATGACCACTTGCGTCGACCAAGGAACAAGGAAAAACACCCGCTCGCCCATTCAGTCCGTGTGGAGAAGAGGAAACAGCTGGGGCCATCATCAAGGCCTCGCCATTGGATACCCTCGAAGGCTTTCTTGACGGTCTATATGTTATGCTGACCTCTCCGGTTTGGGATCGACCAAACGGGCATCCTGAAGACCCAATGAGCGAGCACCCAGTTATTGGTAAAAAGAACGGTCCAGAGGTACCGAGAAAGGCCCGTACGGATGCTGTGGCTAGTGAAAGATATCCCAGATTCGGCCTTGTCCACATGCAACAGCGACACTTCTGAAGGACAAGAGACACTTCGTACCCACCGGGCATCGTTTGACGGCCAGAACGCCAATCCGTTATTCGGTCCAGACGAGGGAAAAGAAACTTGTGACTTGCCAATTACCCTTAGGTCGATGAATGCCATCTCTCCAACATCTCGGCGTTTGTCAGCTGTGATGGAAGTGGATGGACAGTACCGTCCAACAAGGCGAGGAGTTGTAAGCAGTGCATACTTTGGATGGGTAAAACGTAATAACAATGGGTTAAGTGGCCAAGTTGTGCAGCATAATTGATCTCTCGAATCAACAATTCAAGATCAATGAATGGGAGGTCGAGGAAGAGGGCGAACGCAAGATGAACTTATAGCGTACGTCTGAGACACACCTTCGCCAAGCGTAAACGCAACCTCTCGGAATGTCTGGCCAACATACACGATCCAGGATGCATGTTGCCATCAGCAGTAAATGAACTGCCCGTAGCTACCTTTCCATGAATATGAGAATATATCAGCAGGTACAGTCTGTCTTTCCTCTAGAGGCATTTGACCGCACATTAGACCAGGCACCCACAGTAGAGGAAAAAACATATGGTCTCCCTGCTACTACTGATACAGTGGCCATACATACTGCCGCCGATGCTACTGCGCCCGCGTCTATAAAGATACCAAGACAAAAAGAGCCGAGATTCTCGTCCATTCCAAACGATCACGTCTGCGGTGGACTGTTCCTCATGTGCCTCGTCGAAGAACTTACCTGTCCTCGACAGGCTGAATCCCTCCGTTAACATGCAGTGATCAGGACTGTTGTCGGAAACGCGAGCTGTGAGTAGCTCTGGCACTGCCGTTTGTATGTGCTGCTATATACTAAATTGGTGGTAGCAGAGTGAGAGAACAAAAGTTGAGGTGGTAGTGGGATTGTCCAGTACATTAAGAGCTTCTAAAAGTAAGTATATTCCCGTATCAGCGTGGAATTTTCTAAAATATGCTTGCTGTACATGAAATTTCGCTTTATAAGAAAATAATGGACAGTGCCGTAGGATCACGCGGGGGCAGTAAAAAGGGTCAGAACATTTGAAAAAAGCAACATTCAAAAGCAAAAACTGCTATGCGAGGCACCGGGTAGATTTACCGCATCGCGACCCGGAACCGAAACGACCTATGGACACGACTAAGTTAGGGGGTTTCGAAGCTGCAAACGAGAACTCGACAACGCACGATACGGGGAGAGAAAGAAGCAAATATTTAACAGGAGACTATCACCCAATCCCACAACAGCTGATCAGACAGACCATCAGTTCATCAGTTCATCAGGCAGCCAGACCGCAAGCCCATCATCATCAGTGAGTCAGTCCATCAGTTCATCACGTAGTCAGTCTGCAGTCAGTCCATGACAGTCCCGACAATCGATCCATCAGAATACAACTCCGTTCATTAGACAATCTGACGATCACACTTACTTTTTCCCACCTATTGCCCTCTCCACCTCGGCTCACGCCTTCTTCTTCATGTACAGCGCCTGCGTGTTGCAAAACTGCTTCAGCCCGCCCAGGCCAAACTCAAAGCCGACCCCACTCTCCTTGTGCCCCCCAAACGGCGCCATCGGATCAACCTCCAAATGCGTATTCACCCACACGGAGCCCGCCTCCAACTGGCGTGCAATACGGGCGGCCTGATCCAGATCCTTGGACCAGACACTAGCGCCCAAGCCCATCTGGGTATCGTTCGCGCGGGCAATAACGTCCTCCTCACTATCCCACTTCATCATGGGCACGATGGGCCCAAACGGCTCCTCCATGGCAATGCGCGAGTTGTCAGGCGGAGCGTCAATGATCGTCGGCTTGATGTAGTAGCCGCCCTGCTTGGCGGGGTCGGCCGGGGGCGCCTCGCCGCCCGCCACGATCTTCATCTTGCGCGCCTCCACGTCCGAGAAGAACTCCGACACCTTCTCGTACTGCATCTTGTTCTGGACGGGGCCCATGAAGACGCCGGCGGCCTCGCCGTTGCCGAGCACGAGCTTGCGCGTGTGCGCGGCCACGGCGTCGCGGAACTCGTCGTAGATGGCGGCGTGGACGTAGATGCGCTTGATGGCGAGGCAGACCTGGCCGGAGTTGAGGAAGGCCATGGTTGCGATCTGGGGCGCCACGCTTGCGATATCGACGTCCGAGCAGATGATGGCGGGGTCCTTGCCGCCCAGCTCGAGCGTCACCCGCTTCAGCGTCTTGGCCGCGCTCTCCATGACTTTCTTGCCCGTCGCCGACGAGCCGGTGAAGCTGATTTTGGCCGGCGCCGGGTGCGCTGTTAGCCATGGCCCCAGCTCGTCGTCCCCTGATAGGATTTGCAGCACGCCCGCGGGGAAGAAGCGCTGCCCCAGCTCCACGAGCTTCATGTCGCAGTAGGGCGTGAAGGGCGAGGGCTTGATGACGATCGAGTTGCCGGTCAACAGCGCGGGCGCGAGCTTGCCGCATGCGAGCATGATGGGGAAATTCCATGGCACGATTCCCACGACAATGCCGAGCGGTGTGTACCGCACAATCGTCTGCTTCTTGTCGTCTTCGGCCATGACTTCCTCTTGCAACTGCAAGCTTGCGAACGTCGTCAGGAAAGTGTAGGCAGTGTCAACTTCGTTCTCTGCCATGGGAATCTTCCCGCGGTTTCATGTTAGCTGAGCTCGGAAGTAGAGCGTGAAGCGAGCAACGTGCTTACCGGCTTGCCCTGCTCCTTGGTAAGCAATTTGGCAAACTCGGCTTTGTGCTCTAGCAGTGCTTCGGCAAAGGCATTGACGGCCTTGCTGCGTTCGTTCCATGGCGTGTTCCTCCATAGTTTGAACGCCGCTTTGCCAGCGTCCATTGCCGCGTCGACATCTTCAGGCGTGGAGACTGGGACCTCAGGGAGGGCCTCAAGCGTGGCAGGGTTTATGCCATGTCTCGTCTTCTTGGTGGGCACGAGCTTGCCATTGATGACATTGTGGAAGGTGGTGAAGTCGAGCTTGGACGGAGGGTCCTTGGCACCCTTCATGCTGTGCACTGCCGTTGGAGACATGTTTTTCAAATCTATATGGTAGCTAAAGTTTCAGCTTGAGGAGTTGGTGCTTGTGTTCCGGAATCAAGCAAGCCGGCAGAGGGGTAGATATACCCCACAGCCACACCCTAGTCCACGGATGCCGCGGACGGCAGCGGGACAGCTACCTTTGCGCAACGCCAGCGCTCAAATCAGATTGGAGTATAATAACTTCGTTAGCCATTCGGTTATCGTCTCTATTGCGGGGTATTGCGGGGTCCCGCCTTGACGCTAAGAGGGATGCGGTAGCTGCAATCAACGCCAAGCTGGGCAATTGACCAATCACCAGTCGTGTTACAACGTCGCTCGGCACGGCTCCCGCTACATTCCGGCTCTTAATCCATCATTGATGCTTCCGTGTAGGTTTGCGTTGTTGCTAGTGTCAAGGGTGGTACTTGAGATGCGGAGAGGTCAGAATAAAAATAACCCCTATGCTGGATTGGATCTAGGTTGAGCGATTAACCGCCGCGCCGATGGAACTCTAGATCAGAAGGTTGATCACTATGCTGACAGATGTTGTGTTAGCTTCGGCAAGTCGTGACAAAAGATTGGTGAGAGACCAACAAGGGGCCGCAGCTGTGAGATTTGCACACTCAAACTCAAATACTGGAGTTGTGGAGGCTTATTTCGAGACACTCGCCCAGAAAGACGCGTTGTTTGCTCAAGATAAAGACAAAAGGAAAGTATAAAACAACATTGGACGACTCTTGAGCGATAACGCATGTGATATTACACCAGAATCCGTAGAACGGTCACCACCCGGGAGGCTGCATCCCCCCTCACTCAATCTCTGCACGAGACGCGTCTCTCCCCTTTCGAAAATCGAACGAGATCTGACACCCAGTCTCCGTTCCAGGAGAGCTTAGGAAACAGATGACAAAGATTCTGACTTGGATTAATTCCGGGTCCTTGGTCTTCCTCCTTTGCAGCAATCCAGGTCGTACCTCATTCCGCGGAGAAGCGTTTTCCAAAGCAAGGAGACAGCTGACGTCGCGCAGGGTCCCGGGACATTGCGGGGGCTTTGCGTCCTTGCACCAAAGCGGACCGCTTGCGGCACTAGATCTCACAGTCTCAGGACTTCTCCACATAGCACTCTTAACGTCAAACCGCAACCCCAGCAGCGCGTAGGGGTTCGCTCAGACGGTGGGCAATGGCGTCGGACTCATCGAGGGGATGAAGTCGGCAAAGTTGACGCTGGACTCGACGAATTCGCGCCAGTGCACGACCTGGCGGCCGGCATCGTCAAACTTGAAGCTCCACACCATCTCCCAGCGGAAAGGGCCGGCGACCGTGTTGGCCTCGGCCGTGAGCCACAGGCAGACCTTGCGCGCGGGCCCGTCCTCGAGCATGTCGTTCACCACCAGGCTAAAGCTGTGGAACACGGCGCGCGACATGTTCAGCGAGCGCTGGAAGCCCGCCGAGTCCTGCACCGGCACGCCCAGCGACGAGGGCAGGATTTCGCGGGTGAAGTTTGGGGCGCGGAAGGCCAGGACCGACAGCGTGTCCATGCGATTGAAGCCATCGATGATGGCCATCGTGTTGCGCCGCATGTTGCTCGGAGCCATCAGGTTGCGGTCGATGAAGCTGAAGGGCCGGCGCGACGGGGCCATGCAATTTCGTTATGGGCTCGGCTGGGAGGGTTGTCTACGCGCGCAGTGCGGTTTGCGGCAAAGCGAGCCGGGACGCGGGAGAGAGGGTTTCTGGCGGGACGGGAAGCGGAGCGGGAACAATGGGTGACGAAACCAGGGCCGCGGGCCGGTGTAGTATATGGGCAGGTAAGAAAGCATCGCGACCCGGCGGCACGGCCGCGGTATGACAGTGTATATATACTACTACTACGTATACGGGCACAGGCGGACCACGATGCATTATTATTATCAAAAGAGGTAGAAACAGGCGGGCGTCGAGAGCGCAACGGCGATTGATAAGGCTGGCGGCGCGCAGAAAGGCGAATGCGTGCGCCGGGATCGTCACCGTCACGGTGTTGGGACCAGGGCGGCCACGTGCGTTTCACCTGGCCGGGGGCCTTGATTCTGTCCACTGCTTCACCGCATCACGTTGCAGCCCTTGATTGGGTTTTTTCCTCACAAACACCTCTCGCTTCTCGCTGCTCCACCAGTCCACCGCGCCTTCTTGACTCTTGTACTTGTACCCCGTACGCCCGTATCCCCCTTTCCCCCACACCCGGTCCTGTTGACAAATCCCCAATGTCCGCTACATGGCTGCCACTGTTTCATTTGCGCTCTGCCGTCCGTACGCCACAAACGGTGCGTGAGTGAAGTACGGCTGCAGTACCCGCTCGCCGTACGCGGCGTCGTCAACGCACATTCCTCCCCCCGAGGGACCAATGTGCGCACAGTGCACGGCGGGCCGCATCGGCACCATGCCCTCGTGTACCATCCGACATAACAGCGTGTCCCGTCCGAGGCCGTACGCCGTGCCGAACGCCACTTGCCGCGTCAGATGCGTCAGGCACGCCTTGAAGGATTCATATTGCCGATTCGCCCCGGTGCAGTGTTTTTGCGCCGTCTTGCAAATGCCCGTCGCCAGTTTCTTTGCCAGTCGCGTCGTGGCTTCGGCTGTCGTCTTGACTCCCATGGCCGCAGAGGCCGCCGCCAGGGTCGTGTCGAGGAGATAATCAAACCATCGGAATGTGGCGTCGTACTGCCAGATCTGGCCCGCACCGTTGAACATGGTCCAGGTGTCGATTTCCATGGGAAACTCCCCCAAAATGGCACTCCTGAACGTCACAATGGTTGCGGCGCTTGCAATGTCCTGGTTGCCTACGAAGTGTACAATTTCATATGATAACGGAAAGCCGAGCAAGTTGACTGCTTGTTTCGTCTCGATATCGGTAAAGAGTCCAAAGAGGTATTCGGTGTTGAGTTCCTGGCCATCAAATGTCCGAGTAGCGTCCACGCGGCCCAGAATGTCCGGTGCGAGCAAAGTCGAGTTGATGCTCTTAGCCTGTATAGCGTTGTTCGGGCTTATGAAATTGTCCCAGAACCGAGACTGAAGGTCGTAGAGCTCATCAAAGGTGAAGTTGGCTCTTCCGGTCGAGTTTCCGGGCAAACACGTGGGTTGAGTTGGGGCATAGCGCGGTGGAGATCCGCCCACTGCCTTGCAGAGAAAAGTAACAGCGATAGCGAGCGAGAAGAACCAACTGAGAGTCATGGTTTAACGTGTGAGTAGAAGTCTGTGAGAAAGACGAGTTATAACTTTAGGGAAATCCCGATCAAAGTTGAATCTCGACTGAATTCGTTGAATATAAGAAGAAAGATTTCAAAGGATGTCCGAACCTGGTGTCGGTGCTATCCCTAGGAATGTCCAAAAATGGCAAGTCTAGGTGGTCAATGGCACAAAAGGGTATGAAACAAAGTGTGTCACGAAGGTCGGTGGAAGACTGTCCAAACTTGGTGCATGATTGCAAATACCGGGACGAACTGATCGAATCAATGCAGGTCGGGCCATATATATCCTACGTTTGTCCATTGGAGGCAGTGCAGGATGCTGCAACTGTTGGCCAGAGTCCAAAAAGAGCTGGGCGATGCAACCGTCCAAGACTTCTTCGTGCCTGCGCCGAAGGGAGTTTGCCCGACATTGTATCGTAAGTCTATGGGACGGTTGCATGTATCTTGGCAATGCCGTAGGACCAGCTCCAAACAAGATTGTGGTACAATAGAACAGGAGGGCTAATAGGCGGTTAGCAATGATGGCGCAAAGGAAATGGACGACGTGAAGGATTGGCCTGATGGACAGATATTTCTTGTATGGGCGCGCGCTATAGACAGGGGCGATATTGAGCTTGAAGGGCCGTCAGAGGCCACGCGGTCCTTCGGGGTTCCCGTCATGACGCCCAGGCCCCGTTGTTGTTGACGTTCGTCGGTGATCATACTCCGGAGTATGGAACAAAACATTCCGATTCGACTTGTCGTTGGAAAGAAGGGGCTTGGTGGTAAATAGCGGACCCCGATTGACACATCGTGACAAAGCGAGGAAACCCTTGGACAGGCACGCAACATGGACTGGCTCGTCCGCCAAACACTGTAGATTGTGCGGGGTCAGCAATAATGGGAATGAAGCTGTTTCTCTGCTTGCGTTTGGCGTGGCAGCCGGGCCGACGGTGGTCGAGAAAGGCCCGAGAAGGGCTCGGTTGCACAGGCCGTGGCGTTTGCTTACGCAAGGACAGCTGCTGCTTTGGTCCTGGGCTGCTTTGAAGGCATCGACGCATCTCCAAATAGGGAGACGCCCCCCTTATCCGCAAAAAACCAGGGGGAGCCAGTTTTTAGCCGAGAAACACGATGGGTGGATGTCATCAGCAACGCATGGAGCAGGTGCTGCGAGAAGTCGATGCAAGTAAGCCTCGGGAATACGGATCGATAGCGGTGGTGGTGGCGACATCTGGGGATGGTACGCGGAAGTGAGAGATGATCTGCTAGGTGTTGAGGTTTGCCACCACCTCGTCGTGGTGGCTGCGATCCTTGGGCGAGTTCCCTCGCGTGCGGCGGGAGCTTAGGAGGGAAGATGAAGCCAGAGGTCGGCCTGGGCGACGGAGATGATGGTGGGGAGGAGCTGGAGGGCGTCACGGCGTCTGTTTCGGGCCGGGGGCTGGCCGGTCATGGCCAGACGATCAGTCCACCCAGCATTCCTTCGTCTTCACATTTTTGTGCAAAGCTCCATGCGAAACCTGCCCGCCCGTAGGGCTGAACCCGCATCCGCCGGGACCGTGGCACTGCAATATTACCCTTCTTCTCCGGCTGTCTGCCTGCGACATGCCTCCGCTTTCTTTTTTATTTTGACACGAGCCGAACGCGCGCCGTGAGACATTGCTTTCCTAGATACCTATAGCCCCCCCCCCAGCCCGCCTCTGCTGCACCCCGCCCGCCTCTCAGATGCTCCCACGTCTGTATGCCCGCCTGGCTCTCTGACACGTCCACTGCAAGCGCCTGAAACAGGGCTTCCCCGGGCAGTGCAACAAGAGCGAAACTCTCACGACCCACTTCGTCTTTCTTTCCTCAGTTTCATTATTATTTTACTCCGCATCATGAATAATTCCGCCGTCTCCTTCAGCCTGTTCCCCCCGCCATCGCCGCCCCAGCAGCAGCGTGGGGATCGCCTAGTCCCACTTCACCCCGCCCCATCCGTCTCTACGCTTGGCCATTTGGGGCTGGTCAAGGGCCAGCGCGACGGTTACCGATCCGAACTCAAACTCCACGAGTCCGCCGCCGTCCAGACCAAGCAGCATGTCAGCGCGTTACGGAAGCTGGCCTTCAGGCTCGCCGTCAACATCTCGCTCAAGGAAACAAAGATAGCCCAGTCGGCTCGCACCCTCGCACAGTCGAGGAACAACAGCTATATCCACAGCCGGAAACACGAGTCTCGGATTGCCGAGCTGCAGAAGACCCTTGCTCTGCACGAGCAGCGGAACAAGGACCTCTTGAAGAACCTTGAGCAGGCCGCTCAACTGACCATCCATGGTATGCCATGCCAAACTTGTATTTTGTCCATTTCTATCTACTTTTGCTGATTGTCACGCTTCTCTTTATAGCAAAAGCAAACCGCCTGTCCCAATTCGGTCCGTCTCTTCCAACACCCACTGGTCGCCCGCTCTCTCCACCTCTATCTCCCCCACCATCCCCACCCCGGCGGATCTCCAGCATAACCCCGCAAACCCACGCAAGGAGACCCTCGCAAGACGTAATAGCGGACCTGGTTGAAGTGCGAACAGCCAATGAGCACCTCATCAAAGCAAAGAAGGAGTCGGACCATGCGCTGCTCCTCTGCCGAACACGCATAACGGCTCTGCAGGAAGACTGCCAGCAAAGTGAAGACAATTTCCGCGCTCTGTCCAAAGATAAGACCTCGCTCCAGGATTTATTAGAAGAATATAAGGCCAGAGTGGAAGGCCTGGAGGCCGAAAAGACGCGACTCGAAGGGGAGTTGAAGATCACTCAAGAAAAGCTCGCCGCATCAACCAAATCCGAAGGGAGTCTTTTGGCAGAACTGAAAGTGCACAAGGAAAGGATAGCTGCTTTGGAGAACGAATGTCAACAAAGCAGAGGCCGGATCAGCGAGCTCGAGGAGTCTTGGTCTTCTGTTGAGGAAGACCTTTCTGAGTGCAAGCAGGAACTCAAGTCGTTGGAGAAAGAGCGCATCGCTTTGCAGGTCGAGCTCCAATCTGCACGCAAGGATTTGGCCATTTCCGAGAGATCTCAATCACAGCTGCAATCTAGCATCGCCTCCAAAGAAGCCACTATCACAGAGCTCCGCAAAGAGCTTGAAACCAGCCAAACGAATGTCGACGCTCTCAACAAGACGATCACACATTTCGAAGATGCGACCCGCGAACTCTCGTCCATTATATCCGATGCTGGCGGCTCCATGGCCATCCTTGAGAAGCAGCTCGATGCCGCTGTGGCGACGAAAACCGCCATGGAGAAAGACATCCGCGACGTGACCAAATCAAAGGAAACGATCGAAGAAAGTCTCAAATCTGCAATCGAAGCAAAAACTTCCCAGAACTGGGAGTTTCAGGAGATGGAAAACTCCAAAAACCGCATGCAACAGGAACTGCAAAGGACACGGTCAAAGCTTGAGCAGTCGACTAACTCGGAAAAGTCACTCAAGGAACAGATTCAAGGCCTGGTCAAGTCCCGACGCGAGCTCCAAGACCAGCTCCGGGAAGCACTCCGGACGCTCGACGAAGAAGAACGCAAGAACCCTCAGGCTGCCCAAGAGCTAGAGAAGCTCAGAACATCCAGGAACGATCTTGAGTACAGCTTACGTGAGCTCAAACACCAGACTGGAGACCTGCGCGATGAACTTCGAACGACTCAGTCACAGCTCGCTTCGGCTGAAAAATCAAAGGCCGACCTTATGGCTAGTTTCGAGGCTTCGAGGGGCGACATTCGCAAGCTGAGACTGTCCAGAGCCCGCGCGGAATCCAACCTGAGCACGGCGCTGAAATCTAGAGCAAGCCTCGAGGCCAGCGCCATTGCTAACAGGACCAGGATTCTCGTTGCAGAAACCAACGAGGTCAACCTGCAGGCCAAGCTTTCCGCAGCCGAAGACGAAGTCGAACTGCTCCGCCGGACGGTGCAGGACGCCAAGCATTCGGAGGTGAAACTGGAGGCTCGTATTGCTGTGGCTGAAGAGGAGCTCGAGGCTGTCAAGAGTGCGAACGCTCATCTCGAATCCTTCCTGGGCGATGCTGCAGCTGGCATGGGCGAGTCCAATGCCAAGTTGGATGCCGCTGAGAAGAGCAAGGCTCAATACCAGAAGAAACTCTCCGCGACCGAAGAGCAAATCCGCCAACTCCAAGAAACAAACACCAGCCTTTTCTCCGAGATTGAGCAAAAGGACCACGACATCAAGGAACTTCGCACCCAAGGATCAACCCTCAGCGCCGAGATCCGTTCAAAAGACAAGTGGATCAACGACCTGCAACGGACAAACTCCAACTTTGCGGAGGGCGTCGAGGCCGTCGAGTACGAGCTGCGCATTCTGCGTGACACTAAGGCTGCTTTCGAGTATGTGGTGAGGACCCTTAAGGACAAGGTGCCTGACCTTGAGATTCTGGACGAGTGGTGCCTGCCCCCTGGCCCCGAAAAGCCTCTCCCATCCCGACCGCGCCTAGGCCGCAAGTCGACCAGTGAGTCCGTCGAGCGGCCGCCAACGGCCGCCTCGTATCGCTCCAACGATGAAGAACTCGAGACGTGGGCCCACGAAGTCGAACGTGTACGCATGCTTAGGGAGGAAACAGTGTTTCAGCTCAAGGATCTTCACAAATCGGAAGCGGCACTGAGAAGGAACCTCAAGGCCAGCGAGGCTGAGCTTCAACGATTGGGTCACCACTCGGCACAAGCAACGCCGCCACCGTAAGTTTTCACCACTCACACGCCGTTCCTTAGTCACATTTGTCTCTTTCCCAAACTACAACAAAACGAACAAAAACATTACAACTCACTAACCCTACTTCTCAGACCCAAACGGTCTTTCGTCCAAAAAGCCTTCCGCATCTTCCAATGGAGCCCTTCTCACAAGTCCAAGTCCTGGGCCGAGCGCAGACGCCCCAATCTCGCGCCACGCGCGTACACAGAGCCACCTCTCCCCGCAATTCCGCCACCCTCCCCTCAACCCGCCAGCGCGACGAGCCTACAAGATACCAACAATGCCGTCGATGACGGCGTTGGCGTATGGGACATGGAGACACGCACATGGACCACGCCCGGCGGGGTCGCATCCCGCTCACAGCAACACACCCCCGCGCGCACGCCATTACCCTCCTCTCCGACAGGCTCGCAGCGCTCGCAACGCTCCGGGCGGCCCTCGTTCGGGTCTCGCGACTCACAGAGCCCAAACCACAGCCTTGGCAAGCCACCGGGCACATCGCCGGGACCCACGGACCGCAAAAACAGCCACGCCTTCCATTTTGGCTTTCGGCCCGCGACGGCACGCAGCGCGAGCGTCACGAGCGGGATGACGGGGCTGTCGTCGGGGAACAACTCGACGGGCGTGCCAGCGGTGCCGCCCGTGCCGCCCGTGCACCACGTGTCCGGGCCCGGGTCGTTTGACGCGGAGAAGAAGACGTGGGGGAGCCGGTTCAAAAAGGGCATGGGGCTTTGACGTCTAGCCTGGTCTGGCCGGCCCATGAAGTGGAGTGGTCCCGAGCGCGCGAGTCGCGCCACTTGATGCGGAGTTGGGAGAGATGATACCATACCTGCCTGCCATACCTTTGAAGATATCCCTGCAGCACAGCACAGCACATTTATTCGCTCGTTTTTTCATCGTCATATACGACATCTATTTCCTTTGTTACCATATATACACACACATACGCGCATGCACATACGCAGACCAAGGTCTGGTCGGTAGGCACATCATAGCGTTAGCACACGTAGTCAGACTTTCTTTGCAAATGAAAGCATTGGAGTTGGCTGAGGCGAAGCCACGTATTTCGTCGTTTTCAGACAGTTGTCCTATGCTGAGTGGTTGTTGATCAATTAACGGGCGGCCAATGCCAGGAGTAGCGGAAGTGCAGCAAACTGACCACCGCAGCGACGTGGGCAAAAAACCAAACCACTCACTCACTCCTCTGACAATTGTCTGCACCGGGAAACAAGCAGCAGACGGTTATGCATGTCTACGTTGATACTCAATCCCTACCCAACCTGAAACACTAACGCTAGACGCCCGATTTTCCCATCGCATCCATTCCTCCTTCCCTACACCAATCACCTTCACTAGCCCCTTTTCTCTTTCACGTTGCCAGCCATAAAACCCCCGCCCCCACGTCATCGAATCCCCCTCCATCCCTCCCTTCAAAAGCCCAACCCCAGCCCACCTACGCCGGCCCATCGCCAAACAAACTCGCCGGAATAGGCGGGAGCATGTACGCCGAGACGTCCATTGCATTCGCTGCATCCGCGAGGGGGCGTGGCGATGATGGCTGTAGCTGCTGTTGCTGCTGCCGTGGAGTCTGTTGCGTTTCACGCGCAGGGGATGCAGGCCGTGCTGGTCGGGAGGCGTGGTCGATGTGCATAGCTTCTAGATCCGCGGACCACTGCGCCTCGGGCTGTGGCTCTATTGCCCCGTTAGTCCATGGTGTTTCTGCTTCTGCCATCGCCGCAGTGCCGTCCTCGGCCTGCAGTGCCGTCTTCTGTCGTTTTGGCGCTTGCTCCCCGCCCAAGGAAGTGCTGCTGGTGCTGGCTTCGGCGTATCCCTCCTCCCCATCCGTCCGTTGCCTCTTTGCTTGCCCTTTCTCGGTCGGAGAGGCGTTGCTAGTGCTCGTCTCAGCCTGCCTCCCCTTTCTGCCAAAGAGCTGCTGTGGGATCGCCAGCGGAGCCATCTGGCGCTTGCCGACCGCCTCTTCCGGATCGATTGGCAGCAGGCGCGCCGCCTTAACGATATCCGTGATTTTCTGGTCGTCTTCAAACGTCTTGGCTTCCAGGTGCTCGGTCCGCGTCATCGTTTTCGAGCGCTCGAACATGGCTTCCTCGATTGTGCCGCGCAGGAGCAGCGTCTCGACGTGCACGGGTCTGGTCTGGCCGATGCGGTGCGCGCGCTTGATTGCTTGGGCTTCTATGCTTGGCCGGCAGACGGGGTTGATGAAGTAGACTCGCGAGGCCTGGTTGACGTTGAGCCCTAGTGCTCCGAGCCGGACGTCCATGAGCAAGACCCGGATCGTGGGGTCTGTATCGAAGCTGACGACGTAGCGCGAACGTCGCTCGTTGGTGAGCCCTTTGGCGTAGATCTCATGTTTGATGTCCAGCAGCTCGAGACACTGCGCGAGGTACCAGGCTGCATTGTCTCCGTCGTAAAAGATCAGAATCTTTTCTTGTTCATAGTACTTGATGACTTGGTCCAGCAAGTAACTGAGCTTCGCCGAGACCGTGCCAATTACTTTCGTCTTGCGGAGATTGGAACCTTTTGGTAACTCGGGGTGATGTTCCTTTTGGTTGTTCTCCTTCTTCGTCACTGCGTTTTTATGAGATGTTTCGGCGTGTACGCACGATGAAGGTAAGCCTTTCATCTCTAAGCCTTCTGCCCCTTGACCTCTTCTATCCCCGCCGGTATTTTCCGTATAATAAGCTTTGACAATGGCTGAGCGACCTGCAGCCTCAAGGCCGTCTGTCGGGTTTTCGTTGGATAGTCTGCTATTAACGTAGGCTTGAGCTTCCAGCAACTGAGTTACTCCGTAGAGCTCCGGTGATTTTCTATTCAAAGCCCAAGTCGGCGAGTTGTGCGAAGGCCAAGTCGAGACAAACAGACCAATTTCATGAGTTGCCGACAAAGCCTTCCATCTCTCGGACGGCAAGACAAACTTCTCTGCAAATTCTATGCAGTCCATCAACGTCCGATAATCTTCTGCCGAACAACTTTTGTCCTTGTTTTCAAGATATCTGCGGCCATTCTCGACTGCACCAGTGACATCGGTGATGCGAAATCCCGTCCAGAAAAAGTTGCTTTGCCGGAGGTTGGTAAGCAGCTGATTTTTCGGCTTCTGACTCTTTGGATGGAACAGGTAGTCTGCGTCTTTTCTTTCCGACGTAACGGCGTTCCCAGTAAGCACAAGGATGAATAGATTTGCCGAAAGCTTGTCAAAGTGGGAAGGCTCTAGACGAACAACGCGATGAGTTAGCGGAGGCAAAGGGAGATCTCTTTCAACATCTGATATCTGTGTCTTAATCATTAGTCGTTCAAGGACTCTACGCATGCAGGTAGAAAATCCGCTGAATGTTTGTTTCCCAAAAGCTTCATGTCTGTAAACGTGTTCGATCCATCCGGCTCTTTCAGTATGGTCTTTCTCAGCCCATGGTCTCATCTGGAGAAAATTCGTTGCTAAAGCTCCGAGATTTTTTACTGCACGGCTGGAGTCTTGCGCGCCAAAATCTTTGCGCTGCAAAAGAGCAAGCTCTCGTGCCAGTTGAGCATCTTCTTGCAAAGATCCTTGGCCTTCTGTATGATCGGAGGCAAGGTTAATCTCGATTCCGAGCATCTCGTCCTTTGCCGGAGTGCCAGAAATGACCCAGCGACGCTCAGCTTTAACCAGTTCTTGTGCAACCAGGACGGCATTTGAAGTCGAGGATGAGAAGTTGTGACCCTCATCTATCATGAGACGGAGCCAATGCAGCTCCTTGAGAGGCGAAACATAGACACCATCCTCTCTGAAGCAAGTGCAGTTTCTTGTTCGAGTCGCTCCAATATATGGGCAGCTGCAGATAAGAGAGCTGCCTTGATTTGCACGGCGGCCTTGATCATCTGCATCGCTGCGTATTTCGCGTTCAAAACGGGTTCGACTAAAAAGAACAACGTCGTAAGTGGCTAGTTCATGGGACTGTGGGAGCTCGTTGCGTGGATCATCCATGACCAAGACCTTAAGGCTTCCTTCGTGCGTGTGCCTGAAAATCTCAGACTGCCATTGTTTCAACAAATTGCGTGGGACGACAACTATAGTGCCGCTGCACACGGTCAGCTTGCGCGGCGGTGGCATAGTCGTCCTTCGGCTACGTCGAATAGGTGGTGCGGGGATCTCATAGCTTGAAGACCTGTTAAGCTCTTTGGCGCATTGAATCAGCGATTCCCCAGTTATCTCTTCGTGACGTGCAAAAATGGCCTTCCATGGAATAGCATAGCGAGCAGTAGCCTCGGCTGCCATATCAACAAGAGATCCTATGCGGTCTCGGACTTTTGCGCCAGGCTGATACTGAGGAGGAATCTTAGGCAGATGGTTTTTTGTTGCCAAAATAACGCTAATTGAGATGATCGTTTTGCCTAGACCCATGCTCTCCGAAAGTATACCACCTTTGTTTGGCTCATATAAACGAGGACGGCGGAAGAATTGAGCATCCCATGGGCTATAGTAGAACGTGTTCGAGTCGGGCGACTTTCTGGCCTCCAAACGAGGGTCTAGCATAAGCTCTTGTGATGTTTCGTGCTGCAACATCAAAGCTGCGGACCGTGCCTGGAAAGGATATAGCTGAACTTTTAGGCCAGGGAGTGACCCGTTAAGCAGCTTCTCCATGGACACCTTGGCAAGGTAGTCCTCAACATTTTCTGGAGAAGGGGATGGCGACTGCAGTGTATTGAACAAGTAAAAGAGTGAAGCGTCTTCTGCAGTAGCCCAAGGATCGAAATACTGGAGCTTGTCGTCGTCCAATAGTTTCCCGTTCCATACTTGAGGTGAGACTATGACGTTCTGAACAAGGTGCTCCAACGCTGACTGGAGCTTCCTAGTGGTCCGATTCACAGGGCGCTCACCGATATCGTGTGGGAGAACATGTAGCCTAAGGATCATTGACAACTCTGAAGAATGCTCCGCGCCAGAAGGAGTGATGGCTTGCAACCGAATCCATCCTGCCTTGACCAGGTGAAGAAGACAGTTTTGTAATGTGGGAGGAAGATGGAGGCCGTTGTTCTCGAGAAGGATAAGAGGATTTGATGCAGTTGCAGGAGATTCGGGCTTGGTGATCAGACATCCTAGCGGAACGTAGTTGTCGTCATTTGAAGATTTTTGGTCGAAAGGCATCCTGGACCCTTCGCTATGGCAGGGGTGATGGTTGACAACACCTACCTCCCGTCGCAGGCCGTCGTCTCCATGCGGTTCTTTAGGCAGCGACGTGGGAATCACCCTAGCACGCAGGACAGTGGTTGCCTGGTGATCGCGCTACCACGTAGGTAGGTACTGTATGAGTAATCGGGATCGGCGTCCGTCGGCGAAGAGTAATCCCGCCACCGAGGTGCTTACCTATGAGTGCGAAGACGTTTGTGCTGCTTTGTCGGATTCATCCGACCTGATCTCAATTGATGACCAAAATACCACCTGGTCCCGGGAGTCTGCTCATGGTTCAGACGCCAGAAGTGTGGTAGCCTGCTCCACCGGCATTTCCTCGGAGAGATAGTTCAACAACCTCAGAGCCCATTCCGCATTCCCCTCGCTGGAGAATCAACAAAAGGAAAACGATAGAGTGCATTGCCGCAAGTCGATTGGGCGATTGCATAGCCAATAACCGGTGTCTAACAGTGCCCTTACTCAATAGGCGACATCAATCTCATTGCTGAAATCTTACGTTCAGGCAACTGAGATACCGGCAACGACAATTATAGCGCCGATTCATCTCTGGCTATTTTGCACGCACTACGTTCGTTTCTTCAAAGTCCAAACCAGACGCAAAATTGCTTGCCGAAAATGGCCTCGGTCTCATCATCCACTCGCACGCCTGCCATGCTGTTGGCGACGGGCCCAATATCGTTGTTGACTTTAATGGCAGATGTTATTCGAGTGTGAGTTCGGGATACTGACTTATAAGATAATCCCTGTCTGGTACTTTTTGTTTTTCTCATCTTTACTGACTTTGTTCAGTCCTGAGGAATGCCTTGCTATGTCTTTCTTATATCTCAACAGGTACATCAAGTTCTATCGTAGCCAAGGCCTTGAGATTCCTCTCGACCAAAATGTATGTTTTAAGTCTTTTTCTCATCCACCAATTCAATAAAACTGATTGGTTCTTAGATGCTCGCTCTGGCATCACTGTCTTTAGCATCGAAAGCAACAGAAGCTTCGCGCCGTCTACGTGACATTCTGCTTCCAGCCTGGCGCCTAATGCAACAGAACAAACCAGATGCCAAACCACTTATTGTCCCCTCGGAGACCTATGATGCCCTCCGCGCAGCTTTGGTGCAGACTGAACTCATCTTGCTGCGAGTTCTCAAATTCGAGCTTCGCATACTCTTGGCGTTTGAGTTTATTCCGAGTTATCTTAAACGTACCGTTGGTGTATTGAACTCTGGTGAAGGCGGTTGGGGTGGTACAGATGATTACGACCATTGCACCCAAGAAATCAAAGAATCCGGTCAGATTGCAAGTTTCATGGAGACTGGGGTCGCGAAAGCTTGCACAGCGAGCATTGTCGAAGCGTAAGTTTTCGAAGTTTCAAGCAGTTTCGAGGGAATCGGCTGATAGGATTGGGCAGATACAAAGATTACCAGCTAGCAAACTTCTTCACGGCAAGGACTATCGCTGCAGCTTGTCTCTATGTTACTCTCCGAAAGCGTGGGCTTTTTATCCAAGCAGACATAGCGTCGTGGCTTAGGAGCAGTATTAGCAGGTCGATCGACGTGGAGGACTTTGAGGACGCTGTGTCGGGGCTGCAAAAATTAGAATGATATGGTCGTATACGATCTGCAGAAATTCACGGGTGCCCATTCAGCTCCAGTCTCTCTTTGGAAGTTGCGCTCGCTGATTGCAAGCCTCAGTCTAATACGACGCGATTGACGAAGCTTGTGCCCTATTCAGGACCAATGCTGACTCCAAGAGCCACGCCAAACCCAATTCGGTTAGCGTTCACCGTTGGCTTCATTGCTACTTCGATTCCAACCCTCCGAAACAGCAAGCACTTTCTCCCACTACCTCCTTGGTCGCGTCTACATCCGCCGACTTTGCCAACCATTTGCCAACTTGCAGTGCCAGTCGGCGCAGAGCTTGTGCTGGCAGCTCTGCTTGAAAGCCCTCGGTGAGCAGAGTCTTAGCTTTGACGTCGCTCCTGATTCAGGCGACAAAGCCCTGGGCGCAACAACAAAAGCGAAACTCTACCAAACACACGACACCCCGCAAAATTAGGTGCTTCAGACACTTTTGAAGAGACTCTATTCTTTCCGGAGCACGCTGCAGTTCGTTTTCTAGATATATTCACGATGCCCCCAAAACGTAAGCCGACGAAGCGTCAAAAAGCTGGCAACACGCAAAAGCCATCATCCGATGCGGCCTCATCAAAGCCCGCTCAGCAGGTCCAGCAGCCTCAGCAGTCGAATACTGTGAATAGTGAACATGAGAACATTCATGGCACGAATGGTTCGGTCACGGGATCCCCTAACCGCGTCAACAATGATGTAAGTAATAATGCAAGTATAAGATGATTGTGAATTCGATCTGACAAAAATCCAGAACGCGTCCAAGGACGTTGATTCAACTGCTCAAGATGGTATCGGTCAAGGATCCACTAGACAGACTCCGGTGGCGACAACTTCACGCCGGTCGACGCGCTCAAGCGCGAGATTCCAACAGACGCCGGGCCAGGAGAGCCCGCGCAGTGAAACTGGCCGCCGCCGTAAGGTAGCTGAACCAAGTGGACCAAATGTCTCTCAGCTCGAAGCGCCACCGCAGAACAGGGCGGCACCGCAGGTCAACGCAGTGCCTCAGGTCCAAGCAGCTCTGGCAAGTCAAGCTTCCAGTCCTCCAGAACCCTTGAGCACTGCAAACAGTTTGCCTACAAATGGACACATGGTCCAAGGCATTAATGAATCTGCAATGGCCCCTCCTACCCCTGCGCCGTCTACGGGTCCAATGCCGACATCTATCCCGCAAACTGGCTTTCAGCCGTCTATCGCACAGCCGGGATTCCAACCGCATCTACAAGGACCTGCTCCGAGAACGCAACAGCCCCTACCTCCCCCACCCGGTATGCCAGTATTCCCTCACCCCACGAAAGGTCTTCCCGGCGGTCCAATTTTCCACCTGACTATGTATCAAGGCCCTCAAAGCCAACTGCCTAACCGCTCCGTGCTACAAAGCACCCAACCATCTAACCTGACCCCGCAACGCCAATTTTCGCAACAAGTCTATGGTCAGCCACAAGCTCTTATGCCATACAGAGGCCCATATGCACCGATGCAACAACCTTCAACGATCACAGGCGGCGCTGACCACAGAGGCCCGGTAAGCTTACCATCTTTGAAGAGTAAAACGAGAAACAATCGACAGTATAGTAACAGTGCATTACAGGCCCTGCCAGCGCAGAATGCTGCACTCCCACCTCATTTCCCTCCATCACAATTCCAGCCCTATCCACCTAATCCGTACTCTAACCCGTACTTTGGAGGACTGAATCCCGAACAGCAACGTGCCGCCTTCCTTGAGAACCAGCACCGCGAACACGTCAACAGAGAGGAATTCGAAAGGCGGACCGCTCCGATCAGAAACCGCACCACGAAACTAGTCACGGACGAAGAGCGCGAGGAGCTTTTACGCCTGGCCCGCGCCGGCGGCGCAATCATCGAGTCCATCCATCCCATCGTGAACATGAACGCGCCTCCCAGCCTGCCCTGGGTCCCGCCGCCCCAGCCCCAGCAGATGCTGCCGCCACCAGCACGTGCCCCTCCTTCCGGCAGCGCGAGCCTCCTAGCAACGCCAATGGCGACTCCGCAGCTGGCAGTCGCGTCTGCGAGCGCAACTCCCGCTGCCCAGACGCCGCCGACGACGACGACGCTTATTTCGGCGATCCCCACCCCGCCAGGCCCGTCGCCGGCTGTTCAACCTGAGCTTCCTGCTCCTGCTGCTGCTGTTCCTGCTGCTTCTGCTGCTGCAGGCAGACGCGCGAGTACCGCGAGCACCACCAGTGGCAGGCGCATGAGCGCCAGGGTCCAGAGCCGGCAGGCTACGCAAGAGCCCCAGCCCCAGCCCCAGCACGAGCCTGAGACCGCGACTGAAACCCCGGAGCCGGCTGCCAAGTCCCGCGGCAGAAAGACGCGAGGCCAGGCCCAGAAGAAGGATAAGGGCAAGCAGCGCGCTAGCTTGGCCAAGGAGGCGGACTCGAAGCTGCAGAATGGAGATGATGCGGAGATGGGAGGAACGCCTAACTAGGAGTGTTGGTTGGAGCTATTTGTGCGTGGGTCAGTGGATGGACTTAGGTTACTTGAGTTGTGTTGCGTGGAGTGGAGAGGGAGAGAAAGGTCGAGCAAGAAGAAGTCGAAACGGGAGCTAAGACGACATTGAATGAAATGAAAGGAGAGCGGTGCCTTATGGTAAGGTGGTGGTGGAAAAGAGAAAAAAGTCAGAAAAACAAGAGAAAGAATGTACGATACTGTATACGTTTGTCCGCCACTTCTAGACGTACTTCGTGCTTGCCCTGTCTTGTCTTGTCTTGCTTGCCACCCTTGTGGAGGTAAATAGTACCTAGATAGTAGTGTGTTCTAGGTCGTACCCTCTCTGCCACAATGGAAGAACCCACTTCCACGGACATGCGGCTATAGTAAAGCCGCATCAACTCTTTGAACTCACACAACTTTCACGTCTGCGAAATCTACTCTGTCGCTACCACCACAGCCACAACCACATCTCTCACTCACCTCCCTCTTTATTCCACACATCACCTCAATATAGCAAACATATTCAGAGACAACGATATACACTTCACTGCATTCTTGTGTCAATTAGAAGCTGTCTCCAACCCTTGCTCTTGGGTACTAATGGCAGCTTGGGACTTGTTGTCTATTTTGCTCCTGGGCGCTTTACGCTTCTGCTAGTATTGCTTGCTGCTTGCCGTTGATTCAATTGATGTGAAAATGAGCGTATGAATGTAGACGCGCCTTTACTGATGAGGTAGTAGGCGCCGGCCGGCTGCCTGGAATGCAGTACGCAGGTCGGTCGTGCCCGCTCTGTTTGAGCATCAACGACTGGCATCACTTCGGCGGTGTCAGATGACTGCTTCCAAAGCTATGAAAACACACTGAAAGCGGTGCGGTTCAGATCGGTACTGGTTGTATTTCTTTCATTCAGTGGACTTCAGTCGCTCATATATATCTCGCACAAAGCAAGCCCACCAAAAACCCATGTCCCGCCATCTCGCATTCTCAAACAAACCTACCCACTCATACACACACACAAGCGTTCCCTAAAACTCCATCGTTTGATGCATAAACCATGTCCTCACCCTATGCTCCAGCCAGCAACAGCAGCCGCCGCTCACGAGACGTTATCCTCGACGTCGGCGTCGATGCCGAGCTCGATGCCGAGCTCCTTGCGCAGCAGCTGCGTCAGCGAGCTGCCGTCGCGCAGGTAGATCCAGTCGGCGACGCCGCCGTCGGCCTTTTGCGTCATCGACTCGCCGAAGACGACCCAGTCGAAGCGCTTGGGGCCCGTGATGGGCGAGCTGAGCCAGATCTGCTTGTTTGGTGGCTGCTTGTTCAGCACGTAGGTGCCTTGGCCTGCCTTTTCGATTGTGAGGACGCCGGCCTGAGAGAGTGCTGTTAGCGAGGCGTGATGCGTGTGTTGCTCTGGAGAGTTACGTCGTGGCGACGATGGTGGAAGTGAACGCCACCAATCGTGCCTGTGTGATTGAGTGCGATGGCGGGCACGACTTACCGCGTACTCGAGCTCCATGCCCTCGCCCGCGTCCTGCTTCTCCTCGACCTTCTGCTGCAGCAGCTCCAGGTATTTGTCGGCCTGCTCGTGGTACTCCTCGAGGCTGATAGCCGAGGGCTCGTTAGCCGTCGTCTGCTGGGGCTCGCTCTGCTTGGGCTCGGGGTTCTCCTGGTCGGGAAGGATGCCCCTGGAGCCGGGCGAGTGGTGGAAGGAGCGGGGAAGGCCGCCGTTGTTGAAGGGCCTCGGAGCAACTGCAGTGAGTAGGGCGGCGGCGGGAGCGCGTGGGCGCAGGGCAGCGCGGGTGGCCGAGGCGCGCAGAGCGCAGAAGGATGAGCGGGATAGCGTCTTGGACAGCATCGTGGCTATGTGGTGTTAGATGGAGAGGCAGTCAATGGGCGGGAGAACGGATGGGAAGCTCTCGCTGCAGCTGCGGTGACGACAGAGGTCCGATTTCAAACGCAAGCTCGCGCCGTGGACCGGCCAGCCCACTGCCTTTCCCCACCGCTGCTGCTGCAGGTCCCGCCAAACCGCCGCTCCATCTCCGCATGTCGAAACATCAACAATAAATTATTATTTTCTTCTCTCTCTCTGTCTCTCGCAGCAGCAGCAGTAGCCATGATCAACGCCGTCCTCGTCTTCAACAACAACGGCCAGCCGCGCCTGACCAAGTTTTACACGCAGCTGGTGCGAAACCAACACCCGCCAGCGCACGCACACGCACACACAGGCAGCGAGCTGACCCCTCCCAGGACACGAGCGTGCAGCAGCGCCTGATATCCGAGATCTTCACGCTGGTGTCGAACCGGCCCAACTCGTCCTGCAACTTCCTACCGTACGTGTGTCCGCGCGCGCGCCGCCCAACACCACACCCCAACAACACCCGCACTAACGCCCCCCACCAACCCCCAGGCTGCCGCCCCTCCTCGCCGCAAACTCCAAGTCCACCACCCCGAGCGAGCCCCACAACGACACCCCCAGCATCGTCACCTACCGCCACTACGCGACGCTGTACTTCATCGTCATCAGCACGTCGACCGAGTCGCCGCTGGCCCTGCTCGACCTGATCCAGGTCTTTGTCGAGGCGCTGGACCGCCTGTTCGAGAACGTGTGCGAGCTGGACCTCATCTTCAACTTCGAGACGCTGCACGCCACCCTGTCCGAGATGATTGTCGGCGGCGTCGTCGTCGAGACCGGCCTCGAGCGCGTCGTGCAGGGCGTGCGCGCGCAGGGCAGGGTCGCGAAGAGGCCGGAGGGCGGCGGCCTGGCTGGCTTTGGTAGGGCTGATGGCTTGTGGGCGGGGCGATGAGCGGTGCTGTAACTGCGGGGAATGGGTTTTGTGCGGATCGGTTCTCTCACGCCGTGGTGCGTGGTTTGCTGGAAGAGGCGGGCGGAACATGCATGGCTTGGGAGCCTGGCGACAAGGACTGTGCGCTGGACACGCTGCTTATGCGTGCCAGCATCTGCAGGGACATACGAGGCTAACAAGCAGCCCAAGCGCCGGGTCAAGATGCTCCGGCAGAGCATATCTGTAGAGAGAGAGAGAGAGCAAGAGTGGAGCCAGGAGAGAAGAAGAGGGCGACGAAACACCAAGGGCATACGAAGAGCCAAGCAAGTCTCCTAAATTCCCTTGGCTGTTTGATACGAGCACTAGGAGCAGAACGCTGCTTGGATATGACGATGAGAATCTGCAGCACTACTACGAATAATGAACCACTGACGACACAAAATCCTCGAGCACGGAAGCGATATTTTAGGCACAAGAAGAACCAACTAGGTATTCTTTTGACTATCTGCATGGAACCTCTCTATCCCATTCTCCAAAACAACACCCCACTGCTCGCACATGCACTCGCATGCAAACGTAAACCAGAACAGCGGCGCTTGCCCTATCCCCTGGGTAGAGTAGTATCTACGGTGCCGAGAATCCCCGCTCTAGCATTCGCAGCGCCACAGAAGAAATGCCACCCGTGCCAGCAGCCCACTCCCCATTTCCCATTCCCCAAATCCGCGTCTCGGCGCTTCGGCACCACCGTTCATGGCTTCCCATCCCATCCCAGCTCTCCAACCCTCGAGCCGTTCCATTCGTTTCGCATAGCCAACAGCACGCGTAATATCCCATGCCAGACGCAGCATCGGCCCGCCGCATATCGCCGTCGACAGTGCAAGGCGGCCGTAACGAATTCCGTATGATCATGATGGTGCTGAAATTATGGCGTAAAGCGCGCGCGGGGGCGTCCCTATCGCGCAGCGCAGCGCATCTCTCAAATCCCGCAGCAGGTAGGTAGGTACAAGTATGCAGTGCGCGCTCACGCCGCGACCTCGGCCGGCAGCTTCGACGCCGCAGCCGCATCATCGTTATTGTCGTCTTTGGGCAAGTCCTCCTGTAAAGCAAGAGCATTAGCAACCACGCAACCACAAAAAATCCCCTTCCAGCCCAGCCCAGCCCAGCCGTAACACACGACAACGCACCTGGTCGAAAATAACCCTAATCATAAGGCTGCAGCTCGGACACACGCCGACGTCTTCTCCATCCCGCAGATCGCCGAGCGAGATCTCGAACCTATCGCCGCACGGGCAGGGGTAGTGGTACAGCTGCAGCGTTGCGTCGTACGTCATGTCTTCGATTTCGATCTCGTCGTAGAAGGACTCGGCCATTTTGGGTGGGGTGTGGCGCTTGCGGCGCAGTGATGTTGGTTGTGGTGTGGTTTGGTTTGGTTTGGTGCGAGAGGTTTTGGGGGCGGGAGTGCTGAGGTGGTTCGTGGCGTGGAGGTTTGCGGTCGGTCGCTCGTGCGGTTGTGGTTGCGGAGCGTGGGTGCGGAGGAGCTAAGTTTTTTGGAGTCAGCGAGGGTGGCGATTGCGGTCTGCCGGGCGGTGTGCGAAGTGGTGGGCGCTCGGATCAGCTGTTCGGCTTCTTCGGGGGAGGGGGCCGAGGCGTCGCGGGGGCTTCCGGGCCTCCGAACTCCGAGCCCCGTCCGGGCTGGTTTAGTCGTGGCCGGTTGGGTGGGGTTGTGACTTGCGGCTGCTGGAGCTGTTGGACTGGTGTTTGCAGCTGGAGTTTCTGATGTTGACTTGTTGGTTTTCGTGTGCCTCGCTGTTTGAGCTTCGGTTTGGCTTTTGAGTTCTCTGGCTGACTGTTGTCTGGGGTTTGCTTGACGGACAACTCTGTCCCGAGCAGGCATTCTTGGGGCGGGTTATGCAGATAGGAGCTCTAGTCCTGACGACTATGTCGTCTTCTTTTCACGTTGGATTTATAGCTTTAGGTTTGCAAGAGACACAAGGGACAGATCGTGCTTTATCAAGCACTGATTGAACCTTGGAACTATTCGAATTTGGATTGACTTTATCACTCAGAAAAACATCAGCCCCTTGGTAAATGAACCATAATGGCAAAGATCTTATCTCTTCTCTTAACAATGGCGGGGATCGAAAAAGCAATATAGATCTACAAGGAACAAGCTTGCTTTTTCTTTGCTTATTGTTAGGTATCACTAGTATAAAAAGACCAGATGCTTGGTAATGATGATGCAGTGGCGCATAGAAGACGGATAGACCAACGAGCTCAACCATGAAGTGGTCGCCAGTTCTCGAGACTTTCGGTGCCTGGCGGTCAACCAGACACGTTGTGGACAGCAATGAAAATGAACCCCTTGCCACAATACTCAAGTATTCCATTCTCTTGATTGCAACATGCATATGGTCGACCACTGTCCACGGTCCCATCGTCTTGCTCCGTCGTCCAGTGGCGGGTGGGAAAAAAAAAAAAAAGTTCGTCAGAGGTTCTAGGCGTCCAGCGCCACCAGCAACTTCGCAACACCTCTTTCACGCAGGACCTTGCAAGTCCGTGTACATTCCTTCGTTCGAAGCCTTACGTTATAAGACCGGGAACGCCGACGTTGGCCAACGCCGAGGCGATTCAGAGAAGCTTCCAAGTCCACGTAAGTAGTAAAAAACGCGTATTGAACGGGGCCCCATACCAAGCGGTAACGCGGCGTCGCCTTTCGAAACAAGCGGATGCCAATATCCGCAGGGCGCTCATCGCAGCACCCGTGCCTGTGCACGGCCACGGAGCCAATAAAGGATCGGAAAAATTTAAGCTGTCATGCTGGGTTCAGCGCGCCGTGGACAAGTGCCTAAGGCGTCCGAGCGGCTTGAGCTTCCCGGCCGTAGAGTAGACAGGCTGATGAGGCTGATGAAAGCGGTCGAGCCAGCTGCCGCTCGCTGCTCTGGCCGATCTCGCCCTAATATGCTTACAGGGAGGAGCTCTCCAGACCTTGACACGGCGTGAGGGAGCATGCCTGCCGTCGTCGACAACGTCCTGCCGGCAATTAATGAAGGCTTCCTCCTCGCTGCAAAATTAGGGATGCCGCTGCCTGTCTCGCCGTCGTGACTTGTTCTTGGCTCAAACGTCGACGTGCATGGAGATCAAACAGTAGTAGACGGCACCCAGCCAGCGAAGTACACCGTCAATCACCGAGTTGTGGAGGTGGAAGGATCACTTGCTGTGAGATGTTGAACATCAAATGCCTCACCGCCTAACACAAATGGTCGGATTCCGGAAAAATCATTCCTCCGACGCCAACATCGCGTCTTGCCTTGCCTGCCGTTGCCGTTGGCCGTCGTCCGCATCCACTTTATTTCAGACGCTCAACGCACGTGCAGCCACGAACCCCCGATCGTAGCTTGACCAGCGATGGTCTCTCAATCGACGCTAAGTATTGAATGTGGGGCCGGATGCTTCCGCCGACTAGTTACCCGTCGACGGTCACAAGGTCAGCTCGACCCTCAACGGTTGCAATATGTTTATGATTTGCCGGCTTCACGGTGCTTTTGCTGCCAGTGCGGGCGTCTCACCACCGGCCCCGTTCAGGAAAAGTTCAAGATCTAACACTTGTTGAAGACTGACAGCAGGGTCCCATGCTTTTCGCGCTACGGAAGCTAGCAGAAAAAAATATCTCTCTATGAGCAACGCCTACCAGGCCCACCGCATCAATCAAAAAACCAGCACGCCAAGAGAAAGCACTTCAGAGGGTATCGCAGTAAAAATTAAAGAAACAATGAAGACAAACTCCGCCTACTGGCTATCTTGGTCGTTACGAAGACAAGGAAAAACTCAGCTCTGCTGATGACGTGACAAATGTGCAATAGAGAAAAGAAGGAACAGAGAATGGTACTAAAATTATAAGGAGCGTGTTGGTGTCTGGGAAACAGGCACGAGGCATGAACATTGTGCGTTGCTGCTTATTCGGCATGCTCGCACATCCTTCCAATGGCTTGCTCGATGTCCGAAAACAGGCTCAGGACGTCGCCATCGGCATAAATTTTAATCGACTCGACATCTTTACGTTCGATGCGGGGTGGTGGGCTGTCAGCTTTCTCGTCCTTTACAGGGCTACGAGGAGGCGTGGCCTCGGCAGCTCCGCCGGGATATGGAACCTGCGGCAGCGTCACAGCAGCTGCCACGTGCTCCAGCAGCTTGTGACGAATGCGGTGTCTCCGGTTCTCCGCTTGCTCGATCTTGACCGTCCAGTCGTCGATAGAGAGGTCCAGCTCGATGAGGGCTTCCTCTTGCTTCAGCAAGTTCTCCCGTGAGAAGACCACAGCGTCGCTCCGCTTCAGATATGAGATCATCCGCGTGTGGAGCTTCTGCCGGCCCTCGCGGAGCGACTTGTAAGTTCTACGCAGATACTCGCATCTCTCGTCCAGCGCCTCGAGTTCCTTCGTGAGGGAGTTGACATCCCTCGAGGTGAGAACTTCGAACTTCTCCGCCTGGGATGACGCCTTGGTCCGCAGCCGTTCCCTGTCCTTGGTCGGGTATTTTGTCGCTGCTTCCGTGGTTGGGAGGCCCCTCGGCAGTTTCCACGTGTCTCCATTGTCCTTTTCCGACGAGCTGGTCGACGAGCCCTTGCGACTATGAGGCAGGCGCTGAGACCTCGCGACAGGCCGTCCCCGGTCAATGAGCGATTGATCAGACCACATCTTCCTGAGGCCCTTGTGCTTGTCTTCGGTGGGCTTTGGCCTTTCCTCCGAGCACTTCCTGCTGTGAATCCTCCGGATCTCACCCTTTTGCAATGCTTCCGGAGAAGAGCAGTCGGCATTTCCGGTGACCGGTTTCGTCGGCATTGGTGGCACCTCGTTGATCGGAGCACAAGCGACACCAGAATCGTTCCGAGCTTGCTGGCGGAAAATCGGAGATTTCTTGAAAAGCGAGGGGGATTTCGGAGGAACCGCGGGAGGAATATCACCGTCGTCGTCGGCGGCAGGAACATTTGTGTTGGCTTGCAGCTTGGGCTTTTCGGTCGTCGTCGGGCTCAAGATGGGCGACAAGGGCCTAAGGAGGGGTAAGTTGAGCTCAACCTCTTGAGTCGGCTCGGTGCCCTGCGACAAGGGCGACAAAGGCTTTTTCGCAGCAACAGGCGCCGGTCCAGTAATGCAAGAGGTCATCGCATCGCCAAAGGGGTTTGCCCTCCAACCAGCGCCCGGCTGTACAGGTGCGCTAGGAGATCTCTCGTGGGTCGTTTCGTAAACTGGCCTTGCGATTGGAGGCCTTCCCGGAATCGTGGCTGCTAGTTGTCAGCCTGAATTCGATTGTTAGAGGACATAACACCTACGAGAATCCATGCAGTTCTCCCGCAGAGTGGTCATTGGAGGAGGCGGCTGCAATTCCGGAACGCTGACTTTGCGCCTCCTCGAAATCGAACCATGTCTGTTGCGAGAGCCCGAGGCATCGGCGGTAACAATGGCGTCGCCCATTGCGGTCGCGGAACGTTTTACGGAAAGAGCCATTGCCTTTTCCTGGGCGAAGGTGGGTCGGGTTTGGTAGGTCGGGCTCTTGCTGGAGCTGGAAGGCCAAAGCTGGTATTTCGGGGCGCCCTTGCGCGTCGAGGTGCTTCGAGTGATGGATGCTTCTCTCCGGCTGGCTCTGCTATCCGGTCTCTCGAGTCTGCTGTCGGATCTCTCAAGCCTGCTCTCAGATCGGCCAAGCCTGCTCTCAGATCGGCCAAGCCTGCTTTCGGACCTTTCAGGCCTGTTTTCGGACCTCTCAAGCCTACTGTCGGATCTTCCAAGTCTGCTCTCAGATCTTCCAAGCCTGCTCTCAGATCTTTCGAGTCTGCTGTCAGGTCTTTCGGGTTCCACCTGGGGAGGGTCGGATCAGCAAAGTCCGGCGAGGTAGCAATTGACAGACAAACCAGCGAATCGAGGCCTAGACTCACAGTTATGGCACCGGAGGACATCTCGTCAGATAAATAGACCTGGCCTTTACCCATGGCGCTGGCCCGCATGCAGTTGGCAATGTGTGTCATGTTGGACGTAAGAGGCGCTGCTATTCCTTGGGGTATGGAGAGGATGCGACTTCACACGTCGGAGGTGGACCCTTCTATGCGAGGTGATGTATGGAGTACTTTATGTTCGGAGTGCTAATTACAAGGGATGGCGAGAAAAGATCCCTAGCTATCACAGGAACCACGGTGGACGATCCTTGCCCTCTGGAGATTTTCCTGTATAGGGAGCGCTACCGAGGGAGGTGAAACACGGCGCCGACCCGAAGGTGCGATTCGTGGGGTATACGGCAGAGGCAAGCGACGCTAACGCAAGAATTTCGCTCGACATGACGGAGACTAAGGGAGAATCAGACTCGCGCCGCCTCGCCTCGTCGGGCACGCGCAGCGGCGTGTGAGCGACGGGCGAAACGGGCAGAGCACGAGAGCAGTGCGTCGCGCAGCAATCTCGAACTGTCTCAGGATGATCGGCCTCAGGCTGCTATGGCGACACTCCCGCTGCTTCGGCCTTTTGTCTCGTGCGAAGCGGCCCCTGCAGCAGCCCGTCTACTGAGAGCTGGCCCGGTTTGGCGCTAGCTCGAGCTATCGATAAGAGTGCAACAGAGAGGCACTGCACCGGCTTGATTCGCGCAAGGTCGACCTGTAGTCCGCCTCGGATAGAGTGGCGCGCCTGTTACAGCATTGCGTGTATCGTAAGGTAAGCAAGCTTGGCGCCTCCGAAACGGGATACGGGCGATAGATAGAGAACGCACGCAAGGCGGCCTGAGAGAGTGATTTGTGTAGGTGGTGGGAAACGAGAAAGAGCGTTGTGCGGCTGACCGGGCTGCCACGCGAAAGTGACGGATGGCAGCGACCGTCAATGCAGAGGCGCCGTTGATCTACTCGAGCCTCGCTTAGCAGGTTCCTGGCGCTAGGCAGCTTTGGGGTGGTGCATTAATAGGGGATCCCTGCACATAGGCTCGCCCTTAACGGCTTTTGGGGGAGAGAGCCGCTGGGCCTTTCTGCGACAGTTCTGCCCACACAACAACGCAGACAAGGGCCCTCTGGCACTTGCATCTCTCCGGGCCTTGAGCCGCGTGTGGTGACGCAAGTAGAGCGTGCAGTCCCGCCAATCCATCCACAGACCCGGGCAGGCCTGAGGTTCCGCGGCGCCTCAGGCCACACCCACCTACCTACCTACCTAGGTGCTTGATGTGAGCCCCACCGGGCTTTGCTCATCGACTATCGCGCAAGCTTGCGTACGCGCTAAGCCGCTTCGGCGCCGTCTTCTCGCTTGAGTCAACGCCAGGCCATGCAAGCAGCTTCCATAAAGGGGAAGCCAGCCACCGCAACCTCGTCCATGACTCGGCCCTTTCAACACCAACCACATGGGGGAGGAGGGGGACGAGGGCGCGGACGGGGCGGCCCCCTCCGCACGTATCGTATCCGCGCCTCCATCCATCCATCCATGATCCATCCTTTCCTAAGCGGCCGGACGGACGGGCATAAGTTATTTTATTTTTTCGTCCCGTTCGTTTCTCGCACCCTAAGCCCGCAAGCCACAATCGCCCCGGTAGGTGGGTGGTGGACGCCTCAACAGCGTCCGCGCGCGCCATGCATGCTGAGGCTGGCTACCTATGGCTGGCTAAATAAAGCCCCCAGCTCGTGACTCGTGAACTACCTACCTACCTCCCTACCTACCTACCTACGTGCGCATCCGGAAATGGCCTGCCCACTTCTGGCTCGATGATTGATTCCTGATAGCCCACCCGTCTGTCTGCTGCAACCCGGGCACCCACCAATGCATGCATGCTAATAACCCAGTGGACCTCGCTCCGCTCCGCGCCGCCTCGACTTTCCGCTCCAGCCTCCAACCTCGCTCATCACTCGGAGAGACGGGCGATCGGCCCCTCTGCCTCGGCCCCTCCCCCTGATCCCCGCATATTGGCTTGCTGCTGCGTGCTGCGTCCTGGGTCCTGGGTCTTGGTGCAGCAGCAGCCCCAAAATTCCATCGAGGTGGCGAGGGATTGGCACACCCACTCGTAACCCGTTCATTGTACCACGTACCTAGCGTACCTAGTGTACCTATAGATCCGCCACAGCGGACCGGACGCGAACGGCCGTTGATGGTGCCTGCCAGGAATCCCACCACCTTACCTAGGTAGGTGCTCGCTCGATCTTGATCCTGCCGCTAGGTACCTACCTACCTACCTATGCAATGGAACGCCCTTTTCGGCCCGCCTGGCTTCCCGGTGCCACGACTGCGGATCGTGGCGCTAGGCTCCCAGTCTCCCAGTCCCAGGCTACCCAGGCTCCCCAGGCGCCCAGCCAGCCTTACGTGCGTGATTGGGATTGCAATCTTTCGTGCTTTGTATTTCGCATTTTGCATTTCGCATTTTGCATTTCGCATTTTGCACTTCGCACTTTGCGCTTTGCATTTCGCGCTTTGCAATTGCACTTCGCGCTTTGCACTCATTGGGGCACATGGTAGTATGCGCACATGCACACGCACACACGGACACACACACGGACGCGTAGAATGTTCCTTCGTATCAGCGTGCTCTCGGCACTACTATCTATGCAATATGTATGTACCTAGGCAGCAGCCACCTAGGCGGGCAGTGGATAGTTCTTTCTCGGGCCGACGCCTCACTCCGTCCCCGCCTTCCCGGCCCTCCATAGGTAGGTCCTCTCGGGCAATTCTTTTCTACGGTTTCGCAAACGTAGCGGCGACGATGAGGGGAAAGACGACGGTAGCCTCAGCATAGACCTTGACGCTATCGCCATCCAGCTTGATTTTGCCCCAGCTGACCGCCTCGTCCGGGCGGGCGCCGGCGTCGCTGCCGTCAAACTCCTGCGCCGTGTTGATGTAGACGGCGCTCTCGGCGCCGTTGCGCATGAGGTTCGCGTTGGCAATGTGGTGCTTGACGATGCCGCCGCCGAGGATGATCATGCCGGAGCGCTTGGCGCGCACGGCAATCGTGTTGATCTTGCGGATGTCCTCGACAATGTCGATGCGCAGCATGGCGGGCGAGGCGCGGAACGTGTGGAAGTAGAGCATGTCGCCCAGCGAGCCGTCGGTCAGGGCCGGGCAGAAGACGGGGATGTCGTTTTTCCACGCCCAGTAGTAGACGGAGCGCTCGTCGTTGATCTCCTTGCCCAGGCGGTGGATGACCTTGCTCGGTGTCCAGTGGATCTCGTCGTCGCTGCCTTTGCTGGCTTCTTGCTCGGCCAGCATCGCGTCCAGGATCGGCACGACCCAGTCTTCAAAGGCGCAGTAGTTCGAGTTCGGCACCACCAGGTTGCCGATCCGGTTCATGCCTTTTTTGCGCAGCGATTGCCCTGACGTGTGGAAGGAGCCTAGGTACGTTGGTGCCAGGCACTTGATGAAGTCCTCTTCGACGCCGCCGGCCGTCGTCACGATCGCTGACACGTGCTTGTGCTCGACCAGGTAGCGCAGCGTCTCGCGCAGGCCCGACGAGATCAGGTTGGACGTGTAGCCCAGGAAGACGGTGGTCTTGTCGCCGGTTTCGGGGTCACGCCATGAGCGCTGCAAGAAAAAAGGCAGAGCGTTAGTAGGTGGTGCTGTTGGACTAAAACAACATCGAGAGAACGTTGGTGATGGTGGTGGTGGTGGCGCACCATGCCGTCAATGACGCGGACGGCCTCGCCCACGGCCGTCGCCTGGAAGCCCATATTGCTCATGCCGGCGACCAGCTCGTCGACGGTGACTTGCTTGCCGGCATGGTCGTTGAACTCGAAGCCCTTGACCTCGAGGGCGCCTTCGGGCACAGGGTCCGAGGGCTTGAGCACAGCATCGGTGGCGCCGGACGGGGCGGCGGGGTTGTCTTGTTGGGGCGCACTCATTTTCTTTGTTTTTTCGCCTTGCGATTGTCTATCTGCTGTCAAGTCATGCCATGCTCAAGCCGTGGTCGGTGGTGCTAGGCGGGCGGTCAGAAATTATTTCGCGCGCGCGGCGTCATTGGCCAATTGCGGTGACTAAGCCTGGACCCTGAATCAGGCCTGTCTTCCCTGCATTCCGAGCGCCCGGTCCGCTGCTACAGGACCTACCACTCTCCTGGGCAAGCATGCAATTGCACACCTTACCTAGGCAGGTCCCTAGCCATCTACATATCATTGTTCCTCACGCACACACGCACTACTTCCGCCGTATAGATTAACCACGCCCTACAATGCTCGTGTCAGCTGCAGGTGTAAGGGGGGCGGTCGCGTGGGATATATTTGTACGAGGGCCCGCATTGCGGCCACTGATCAGAGAGGCGTCAGCACACGAGGGGGGGTTTGTTATGCGCGGCCCTTGCTCGCTGCTCCCCCTCCCTTCTCGCCCTCTTTTCATAACTGACGCAAGCTGGTCGTGTGGTGTGCGTGCTGCGTCATCTTGCCGGCCTGCGCACACCCTGCCAGAACATGTTTCGCCAAGATGACGGGGTTGGCACTGCCCTGCGGTTTGGTTTTGCGCAGAGGCCGATTGCTTGTCCGGCTTGTGCTGCGCTGCGCTGGGCTGAGTGCGTTGGAGATGGGAGGAGTGTGTCGGTGTTGGCTGGCTATGCGCTTGTGTTGTCGGCGTGCCCGAGGGGCTGTGTGTGTGTGGTGATCTTGCCTGGGGGAGTGTGGGATTGAACACCTACTACCTTAGGTACGTATTCGTACTGTGTACGTGGAAGGTCTCGGAGCGCTTTTATTTTTGTTTTTATTTTTATTTTTTATTTTTGCTTTTTGTTTGCTACCTAGGCGGCCATGCAATCGCGTATTCTAGCCAACCCGCAGAGCTGGAAACGGGATCATGGCCTCGAGAGATAGGTAGTAGAGGAAGACATGCATGGCAGGCAGCCACTCCCCCCTCAGAGAGGCACTGCACTCCTCCGTAGGAGTAGCACCCAACAACCACAGTAAACCCCCTCTCCACCCCACGCCACACGTCCTCCCCCGCACAGCCACACCGCACAGACCCCTTTGCCTCACAATCGGAATCGCGATCCCACCTCCCACAACGAGAGGTCTCGACACCAACCCAGTCCAGCGGACGACTCTCGGAGGAGGCCCACCAGCCCACAAGCAGCAGACAATCTCCCGCCCCCGCGGGAAGCTTAACACGCCCTACCATAAAATTAGCGGAAGGGGCGCGGTCCACCGCTCCAGCGCGCCGGTCAAGCGTGATAAGCATATATACCTATATATACGTGGGGCCCTTGGGAGAGGGGGAACTGACTGATTTAGCACGCTTATGGAAGTGCCCACACACACGATAGGCGCGTGTGTGGGATTGGGATTGTGATTGCACCCGAGCGGCAGGGAGGCGATGCGCGGTGCTGGTGGAGAAGGACGGTGGGACGCTAGGAGATGCATGGATGGGAGAGAGAGTTTCCTTGTTGTTGGTGCTGGGCTTGCTCGTGCTTGCTCGTGCTTGCTCGTGCTCGCTGGTGCTTGCACTGGTGCTTACTCGTGCTCACGCTGGTGCTCGCTCGTGCTCGCTGATGCCGCGCATACCCAGGCGAGGTGAGAGGAGCGCGCCGTGGGTGCGGGACACGCGTTGGGAGGGCGAGCACCTGCCTTGCTGGGCATGTATGGGGGACGGAGATGCGGGAGATGCGCTCGGCGGGCGCCCTCCTGGCGGATTGATTATGGGGTGTGTGGGTAGGGAGGCCTGCTGTGATTGCGCCTATAGCGGGGGCGCGTGTGCGCTGCTATTGCTGTTGCCTATCTGTTGCTGTTGTTGTTGCTGCTGTGTAGGTATACACTTGCACCCACCACCACTACCACCACTGCCGTCATGCTTGCACTGCCCCAGCCTGGTGATGAGTGAGCACGCCATTGGGGGATTGTAGCTTGCGCGCCACTGCAATTACTCCGCTGATTGTTGCGCCTCACTTTCTCTGTCTCCTTGCCTGCCTGCCTGCCTGCCTGCCTGCCTCCCCACCCCTCCTCCACTCTCCCTATCGTACACTTGCCCTCCTACCTACCCCTCCTAGCCCACTGCCCACCTACCGCAGCTCCACGCCCAGGCGCTCCACCAGCCGCGCCCGAATCTGCTCATGCAGCGCATTGACCTCCTCGCTGGTGAGCGTGCGCTCCAGGCTGCGGTAGACGACGCGATAGCAGCGCGAGGAGCGGCCAGAGCGCGGATGCGTAAACGCGTCGATGCAGCGCGCGTCCTCGACCACGTCGCCCGCCTCCTGGCGCACTATCTCCATGACGTCGTTGTCGTGGAAGGGCGCGGCGACGCGGCCGCCCGCCGCCGAGCTGCTCGCTGTCGCCCCGCTGCTGCCCGGCAGCCAGAACGCCACGTCGCGCGGCGCGGCCGGGTGCTTGGAGAAGGGCGCGAAGCGCGCAATGTGCCAGTCGCCGTTGGCGGCGGCCGCGTCCGACGGCGCCTGGAACTGCGACAGGAACCGCGAGTCTACGGACCAGAACAGTCGGATGTCGGGGATCCCGAAGAGGAGCATCGCAATGCGCTCGAGGCCCAGCCCGAAGGCCCAGCCTAGGCGCGTCGGCACACCTGCTGCATTCAGGATCGGCTGCGACACGACGCCGCAACCGAGCACCTCGAGCCAGTCGCCTTGCCAGAAGACCTCGAGCTCCCAGGACGGCGACGTGAAGGGGAAGTAGGCCTCGACCCAGCGGACGCGGAGGGGCTCGTCGGCGGCCGTAGCAGCGCCCGTGGCCTTCTTGGCCTGGGCGAAGATCTCGACGACGACGTTCTCGAGCGAACGCTTCAAGTGCGTGGCGATGGCCTCAACCTCGTCCGCGGCGTGGCCGTGCTGGGTTTGCAGCGGGTTGCGCTCGGCGTGGAAGGTGGGGTTGGGGTCCTCGACCTTGATGTCGTGGCGCGGCAGTTTCTCGACATCGCTCCAGACCAGGCTGGCCAGGCTGGAGTGGCCATCCAGCGCGTTGCGGTCCCAGGTACGCGCACCCTCCATCTGGTGGAAGACGGGGTAGTGGCTGCGGTCGACGGCGTCGCGGCGGTACACGTCGGCGCTGATGAGGTAGCCGGGCGCCGTGTCGGCACGGAACGTGTCGGCCTGGTGCGCCGACGTGTGCGTGCGCAGCACCGTGTTTTTGTTCAGGTAGTACGTGTCAGTGCGGCTGCGGCCGGGGTGGTCGGCCGGGAAGCCCAGCGAGTCGAAGTTCTGCTGCACGCTGACGACGGGGAACAGGTCGTTGTGGAACTGGAAGCCCGGGAAGCGCGACTCGATCAGCTGGCGCGTGATGGAAATGGGGTGGTTGGACTGCAGGTGCAGGCGCCGCGAGACGGCGTCGGTGATGGTCGAGGGCGTGTTCATCCATTCGTCGGTCTGGTAGGTCCGGCCGTCAATGGTGACGGGTTTGGCGGGGGCTGTGCATTTGTCAGAGGGATTTTACGGGTTGAAGTTGATATAAGTTCTTGACGCGAAGGACTAGCATTGATGTATACTGGTGGATAGTGGATTGAGAAATGAAAAGGAAGAAATAGCACCGGCATCATCACATATTCACCTAGAAACAAAAAGAAAGAAAAGAATCAACTTTGTGCAAGCCTGTAAAGATCAATTGAAGCTGAAAGGAATGACGAAAGAAAGTCAATGGTTTGACATGACGTTGAGAGAAGACGCGACGCGACGTGACAGGGAAGAGAGAAAAAAAAAACGCGACTCGTACCTGGCGTAGTTGAGCTGCTGTAACGGCACACACACAGCACCGACGACGCGCTGCTCTGGCGCACCCGTAGGCGGCCCAGGCTACTGGCAAGGTGACGGAGCTGTAGCATATTATTAGATAGCTAGACACTACACTGATGGAGTCGCGTGGGCAGGCGGTGAAGGGCGAAAAACGGACGCGGGCTAGTTTGGCGGCTCCACATATTTCCCCTTCTCCCCCATATCTGGCCACCCCAGACCCGACGCACGCGGCAGGCTGGGACTTGGGACTTTTTGTAGTAGAAAAGGTCAAAATCATGTCGGCCACTGCGACTGAGCTCCGGAAGGACAAGGGCATCCAGAACGGGCCCATCCACTATCCCTTCTGGTTCGGAGGCTCGGCCAGCTGCTTCGCCGCCTGCGTCACGCATCCGCTGGATCTGGGTCAGTCTTCTTTTCCTCGTCAGCCCACCCGCAATGAGGCCGTCTGCTAACCATCATTGCTACCCGCAGTCAAGGTATTTTCCTTCTTCGTCTCCGCCTCCACCGTTGCTATCGCCTGACGTTTTTTTTCTCCTTCCAGGTCCGACTGCAGACGCAGCACCATGGCAACCGTCTCAACATGATGCAGATGTTCGTGCACGTCGCCAAGCACGACGGCATCACTGGACTCTACCGCGGGGTACGACCACCTTAGTTAAACATGGCGCAGCGAGCGCGCAGAGGGAGCGAGGGAGAGGGAGGTTGAGAGGCTGGCATTGATCCTCAGGTCAGGCATCACGTCACTTGCACACACGCGCTCTCTCCCCCTCTCTCTGCTCCGCGCCTCGCTCACCTCCCCCAACTGCACACATATCCACACACAGAACGCGTCATGCTGACCATTGGCCTCGCTGCTTCTAGCTCTCTGCCTCGCTACTCCGCCAGATCACATACAGCACGACGCGCTTCGGCGTGTACGAGAAGCTCAAGACATCGCTCACAACCGACAACAGCGCGCCAGGCATGGGCACGCTCGTCGCACTCAGCAGCGCGTCTGGGTTCCTGGGCGGCCTCGTGGGCAACCCGGCAGACGTGCTCAACGTGCGCATGCAGCACGACGCATCACTGCCACCCGCACAGCGGCGCAACTACAAAAACGCCGTGGACGGCCTGATCCGCATGAGCCGTGCGGAAGGCCTAGGCAGTCTGTTCCGGGGCGTGTGGCCGAACAGCACGCGAGCAGTGCTGATGACAGCGTCGCAGCTAGCGTCGTACGACGGGTTCAAGCGCGCGCTGCTGACGCACACGTCGCTCGAGGACGGCCTGACGGTGCATTTCTCGGCCAGCTTCCTGGCAGGCTTCGTCGCGACGACGGCGTGCAGCCCCGTCGACGTGGTCAAGACCCGCGTCATGAGCGCCACGACGCCCCACGCCAGCATCATCAAGCTCATCATGGAGATCAACCGCACCGAGGGCGTGGCCTGGATGTTCCGTGGCTGGGTCCCGAGCTTTATTCGCCTCGGGCCCCACACTATCGCCACGTTCCTCTTCCTCGAGCAGCACAAGAAGCTGTATCGCCGCTGGCGCGAACTCGACGTTTAGACGGGCGGGCGCTTGGCGCAGCGGAGTGGCGGAGGAAGAGGAAGAGAGATGTCGACATCTAGACATAGGCGTGTAGACGTCGATGGAGAAGGGAGAGACAATGGCCGAGCATGAACTTGCGTGGAGGTATATCGCCCAATACCAGAAAAGGCACGAGCACGAGCTACAACTTACGAACCCGAAACGCACGAATCCCCCGCACCCCCACTCCCTCCACCCCACATGGATCCTCTCTACCCGCCGCTTGTACCATCACACTCATCTCCATCACTAGCAGCTAGAAGCAGTCCGCTTTAGATCTTTCTTGTTTCCTTCGTTTGCTTCTGCTCGACTAGACAGAGAGACGTTGTATAGATGCTGGGCGTACCTGCTTGTACTGCTTGCTTGTATTGCTTGCTTGTTTGGTTTGCTTCGGGGGCTAGAGGTTAGACGGGGGCGAGGAGAGGTTGCTTGGTTGGTTGGTGTGCGTGCGTGTATGGATGCGTGTCGGGAGCGAGAGGGCTGTACTCCTATGTAGATTTGGCTGGGTGGCTCGATGCTGGAGAGTGGAATTGACGTGTTTGTGTTGATGTCAGTTTGCGGGCGTTGTGTTCGATTGGTCAATTGGCCAATTGGTATCGGGCGTGTTTATGGGCAGAGTTCAAATTGCTCAATTGGCTCGAGACGCATCTGGGTAGGTATGGTATGGTATATACATGGACATATTGAGCCAGCAGGGTACACGCGCATTTACGCGTCGTCGGTATTCCATACTGGTCCGCGCACATTGTCCGTCACTCCAACCCGGGGAAAATCACAAGCGAGGTCATATATAGGTATAACCGTGTAGGTGCAACACATGAAATTGCGCGACGCGTGCGGGCAAGTCCGGCTGAACTTCCAAGGTTGATATGCATTGGTGTGTTGTATCATTCCATGATCGCGTACGCCCTGCATTCAACCGATTGATCTTGATCCACGAAATGCCCATGCCTTCATCCGAACCCAATGTGATACATCTGCTTAATCTTTTTGAGCCAACCGTCGGCAAGCTGACGGCTATTCTCCATTCCCGGCCTTGACGCCCACACTCTACTTCCTCATGGAAGAAGCCCTCCTCTTGCGGGCCTCGACGGTGGCCGACTTGGCCTCGACGACGCGCTGGTGGAGGAGCTTGGCGTACTCGGTCTGCGGTCTGCGTTAGCAAGAGCATTCTCCCAAGCCGATTCTTCTTCGGCGCGTTCGAGTGTCTACGTACGGCGGCGTCCTTCTGGGCCTCGGCGTTGCGGCGCTTGAGCGCGATCCTGTGGCGCTTGTGCTGGAGGCGCTGAGGAGTGACCAGGCGCTGGATCTTGGGAGCCTTGGTGTAGGGCTTCTTGCCCTCGCCCTTGGGCTGGACCTCGCGGCGGATGACGAACTTGCGGACCTATATATACGAAAAAATCGCGGTACATCAGACTCGATCCATACAAATAATGATGAACCGGCGAGGAGCGAAGGGGTTACCCACATCGTCCTCCTTGCTGAGACCGAACATGCGGCGGATCTTGGTGGCGCGCTTGGGGCCAAGGCGCTTGGGGTGGACGGTGTCGGTCAGGCCGGGAATGTCGGCCTCGCCCTGCTTGATGATGGAGAGAGCGAGGACGGACAAGTCGGCGGCGACGATGCAGCCACGGACCGACTTCCTCTTGCGCTCGCCGGTGCGGCGGGGACGGTAGCAGGAGTGGCCGTCAGCGAGGAGCAGCCTGACACGGGTCGGGTGCATGACACCCTGCTTCATGGGGAAGCCCTGCTTGTCGTTGCCGCCGGTGATCTTGAAGACGTAGCCCTTGAACTCGTCACCGACGCTGTCGCCGGGAACCTCCTGGCCCATACGGCGGTCCATGAAGATGCGCAACTTGCGCTCATCGTCGATCTCAATCAGCTTCTGCGAGCCGTTGGCCGGGTAGGAAATGTTGAGCTTCATCTTGACGGCGGTCGGGGGTCAAGACTTCGGGGGATGGGCTCGTTGTCGTTGTCGCGGTCGTCGACTTGAAAATGTCTGGCGGAGCAGGCAGTTTTTGCGAGTGTGCTTCGCTAACGGCGGCGGCGAAACGTGCGGCCGGTCAATGCTCGAGTCAGGATGGTGGTTGGTGCGCACGGTGAATGACACGAAGCTCGAGAAAAGCGCACCAGGGCACTCCTCGGCCCTGGCGACACAGCTCGTTTCCATTCAACCATGTTCACCAATTCCAACTCCATCAAGCTGCTTACGGGCAACATTCAACGTGTACCCCAAGCTGGTCAATCTGGTCGCCGCCAATGCAGACATGGTAATGGTCTTACTGTCTGGAATAGAATATACCTTACGGCATACCAGACACCAAAAAACTCATGCTCACATTGTCATACGTTTCAAACTGACACTTTCGCGTCAAGAGAAATTCACCGTCCAGCAAGATAGCGAAGATTACGAGCATTTCCTGTGGAATACTCTTTGTCCAACCACAAAACTCAACCCTGCATATAAATGAGGAGGTCCTGGAATGCACACATACTACAAATACCCTAGTTGGATATTGTTTCCACTCCGTACAAGCATCATTATCTTGTTAGGCGGTGGATCTCGCTTGACGAGGTCGGACTTTACAATAACTGGTACATTGACTACAAGCAGTAGACGAACTAAACACCGAACCACGACTCCATATGACACAGAATAACGACCAAAACCCGCTCAGACCTTCTCGTCGTGCAAATGCGTAACGCCAACCTTTTCTACCTTCTCGACCCTGCGCGCCAGGTCGTGCGTCTCGATGACCGACCGGTCCATTGTGGGCACGAAAAGCGGTGCATTGGTGAAGAGGAAGTTCATTTCCTCGAGAGGGCGTTGCTTAGTCTCGGGCAAGATGCACCAGAAGTAGAGAGCGTTGGTGAAGTTGCACACCTGGATGGCAGGCCGTGTCAGTTCCGCGTTCTGCAATTACTGACAAGAAGGGGATTTTCAAGATGTTACTTACGACGAACAGGATATAATACTTGTAGCCAATGTCGTTCAGCGCGATTGGTGTAACTTGGGCGATCATAGTGTTGAATGCGAAGCTCGTCATTGTGGCTATCGAGACACCTTTGGAGCGAGTTCTGGTGTCGAATATCTGGGGAATTTGTCAGTGCCTTGTCCGGACAGGCCATGTCAAACTCTTCAGTACGTACCTCTGCCGGGATGATCCAAGACAGTGGACCACACGTACAGCTGAAACTGAAATTGTACAGCCAGGTCATGACGATGAAGCCCCAGTGGGCGGAGTCGTTACCGGATGAACCGGGCGGGAAGAGGGCCAGCAATATGGTGGCAATGATAAAAGTCACACAGTTGCCCAGATTTCCGAAAATGAGTGGCCAACGTCTTCCGGTGCGGTCAATAAGTATGATGGTGAAGAATTGAGCAACGAGGGCGATGACGCTGTTGATGGCCTGGTACTTCAACGTGTCATCGTTTGCAATACCAATCTGCTTGTAAATATCCACCGAGTAGTATTGGATTGCTGACACGCCCGTCATCTGGACCGAAGCCTGCAACGAAATCGCGAGAAAGAGCCTACGGAAGCACGACTTGTTGGTGAATAGCTCCATGTACGACTTGGCTTCGTGCTCGTGCTCGACGGTGATGGCCTCCTGGATCTGTTCGTACTCGGCCCGCACCCACGCGTCATTGACATTGCCGTGCGCATGCAGCTTCGCTAGCGTCTGGAGGCCCTTTTCTGCATGGCCGTGATCGATGAGCCAACGAGGAGACTCAGGGAAGAGGAGGATGAGGAGGGCGAGGAGGCCTGCTGGGACCATCTGGATACCCAAAGAGACACGCCATTGGCGGTTATCAGAGTCAGAGAACCCGATGTACGTGCCTTAAAGACGCCGTTAGCACGGCGATGCCGCAGGGAGGCTCCTGATACAAGAAGAACATACCGTACGAGATCCAGGCGGCCGCCAGAGACCCAATGCCCAGCATAAACTGTTGCAGCGAAGTCACGGCACCGCGGATGCTGGGATGCGCCAGCTCAGCTTGGTACAACGGGACGATCATGACGAGGAAGCCGACGCCGACGCCAGCCAAACAACGTCCGGCATAGAGGTAGTCGATTGTCTGTGCGCCAGTCTGAAGGCCGCCGCCCAGCAAGAAGATTATGGCTCCGATGAAAATGGTCCATTTACGGCCGAGGCGGTCACCAGCTGGACCTGCGAACATGGCACCGAAAAAGGCACCGCCAGTGAAGACTGAGACAACAGCGCCGCTGGGATAGACGGATAGTCAGCTCGTAGGACATGAAAAAGTCGCTTTCAAAGTAGACCTACGTTTCATTGTCGTCTGCCTTGAACATGGCTTTAAAAGATCCGCTGGCAATGACCTCTGCGATAACACCGAGATCATATCCGTACAGGACGGATCCCAGCGACGCGAAGACGCAGACGAGAAACTGGCAACGTTCAGGACCTAGAACTACGGTAGACGAAAGATTATCGACGTACCTGATACCACTTAGGTGGGAGAGCCATATTGTTTCGAAAAGGGCTGAATCAAGCTATGTACACGGCGCACGCGTCGTTGCAAGGCGCGGCAGGGGGATCTTATTATACGCGGCCACGGTACCTTCAGCATGCTGCTTGGCTTGCGACTTTCCCCGGGCTCAAGACACGCGATCTCACGCGGAGAGACGAGGACCGCCTCCGTGGGGTAAACGGGCACTTGGCCGAAGGCGGGCATGGGCTCAGCAGCCGCAACAAGGAAAGACGAGCTAAACAACGCCACTTGCGGCGCAAGATGGAGAGCAAGTCTCATGATACGAGCATCCTGGCGGGCCGAGGCCGGAGGCAAAAATGCCGAAGGCTGGGGAAGCGAGCTTCCCCGCGTTCTCCCACCCGCATCGCCGGTTTCTCCACCAATGGCGCCGACTCGCATCACGACGCTTGCTCCCTCACAGACAATGCTCCGGTGGGATGATATTGGATCTTGGCCACGCCGGCCGTACTGCACCCCGTCAATGTCACTCTGGCCCACACTCACGACCTCATCATGTGCTGCGTAGAGGCAGCCTTTAGGCGGCGCAGCTGCCACCAGAGCCGCAACAGCAGCATCATCCATCGCTCCACCCCATCATGACCACTTTCACCAACATCTCCGACACCGACACGCCCGTCATCTCCATCAACCCGGCTCACCGAGTCGCCAAGATCAACGACAATGTCTACGGCGGCTTTGCCGAGTAAGCAAGCACCCCGGCACGTGTCGTCGTGTCCAATGCCCAACCGCCCCATTGACTGACTGATGCCCGCCCTCCAGGCACATGGGCCGCTGCATTTACGGCGGCATCTACGACCCCGGCAACCCGTTGTCGGATGAAAACGGCTTCCGCAAGGACGTGATCGAGGCGTTCAAGGAGCTCAACTGCCCCGTCGTCCGCTATCCCGGCGGCAATTTTGTCGCCACCTATCACTGGCTGGACGGTGTTGGTCCCAAGGACCAGCGCCCGCCTAGGTGAGTCAAGCTTTTCATATATTTTCCGTCGCCTTGTGGGTGGTGGTGGTGGTGGTGGCTGCCCTGCCGCGTTCTGCGTCTTACCCACGCGGCGCTTGCGTCTCGGTCTGCTGCTCCCGGATCTGCTACATGCAGCTGCCCTTGCGATGGTCGCCTTCCCTGCGCTCTAGGTCCGTCGCGCTGGGTCTGGATGCCTTTTATGCATTCCCCGGAAACGCCCCGGGCTGCTGGATTCGTCAGGTGTGTGCAGGGCGCTCTCCGTCCCTGGTAACAGGGGCTCGTGATCGTCGGTGCTGATGGCTCACATCTTTATCGGTTGATTATTTGCTGTTTCTGAGATCGGCTCTGGTTTTATCCAATGCTTCTAATAGCATTGTCCTACAGCAAGCGATCTGTAATTCACTTTGATAATTTGATAGGTGCTGACCTGTGATTCGTAGACCAGAACTGGCCTGGATTGGCGTGGAGAGCAACGAATTCGGCACCGACGAGTTCCTGAAGTGGTGCGAAGTCGTGGGCACCGAGCCCTACTTCGCCCTGAACTTCGGCACTGGCACGCTCGACGAAGCTCTCGCGTGGGTCGAGTACTGCAACTCGTCCAAGAACACGTACTACGCGAACCTGCGGCGCAAGAACGGCCGCGAGGAGCCCTACAATGTGCGTACTCATTGAGCCTCTTCACCTACTTTCCATCACCCTCTAACGCAACACAGGTCAAGTACTGGGCCCTGGGCAACGAGATGTGGGGCCCCTGGCAAGTCGGGCAAATGACCAAAGAAGACTACGCCAAAAAGGCGTACCAGTGGGCCAAGGCGCTGAAGCTGCTCGACCCAAGCATCCAGCTGATCCTGTGCGGCCAAGACGGCACCAGCAGCTGGGACGCGTACGTGCTGAAAGAGTGCGTCAAGTGGGACGTGCACGGGCTCGGGGGCAGCACGACGGCGAGCCTGATCGCCATGCACAGCATCCACATCTACACGGCCAGCGCGGCGCACCTAGCCAACGCGACGGCGCCGCGCAGCGCCGAGCGCGCCATCGAAGTCACGGCCGCGCTCATCGACCTCGCCCGCATCGAGAACAATGTCCCGCCGTCGGTGCCCGCGCCCTCCATCTGCTTCGACGAGTGGAACGTCTGGGACCCGGTGCGCGCGCCCGGCGAGGCCGGCGCAGAGGAAAAGTACACGCTGTCGGACGCGCTGGCGGTGGCGGCGTGGCTGAATGTGTTTGTGCGGCAGGCGCGGCGCGTGGGCATGGCCAACGTCGCGCAGAGCGTCAACGTCATCTCGCCGCTCATGACGACCAAGACGGGCCTCGTCAAGCAGACGACCTGGTGGCCGCTGCTGCTGTTCAGCCGGTTCATGCGCGGCCACACCGTCGCGGCGCATGTGGCGTGCGGCGAGTACGAGGGCGAGACGGCGCCCAGGTGGATGCGCGGCACGGTTGCTACGCCCTGGCTGGATGTCAGTGCGGCGGTGGGCGAGGATGGCTGGGTCACCCTGGCTGTGGTGAACGTGCATGCGGAGAGGGCGTTTGAGACGGATGTGCAGGGCGTTAAGGAGGGCGTGGTTAAGGTATACACGGTTGAGGGGCCGGGCGTGGATGCTGTGAATGTGGAGGGGAAGGAGGAGGTTGGTGTTAGGGAGAGCGAGTGGGATGGGCGGGGCAAGTTTACGTTCCCCAAGGCTAGTGTGACGTTGTTGAGGTGGAAGGCTTGACGGGGGTGTTGCTATTGCTGCACAGGTGGTGGGCGATTCGATTGGATGGATGTGTAGAGGTTGTGTAGAATTGACTAGAATTCACTTATGACTTGGGTGTGCTGAGATTGTTTACATGTCGATTGCACAGTGAGGAAAGTTAAGAAGTGAAGTAGACCGACCGTAGAAGGCAGCACGGGATAAACAGGCAATCAAAAAGTATAAAAAGTACAGAATAAAACAAAAAGATAAGCTATCAGAGACCGTCCAACCCGGATAATACTTACTTATAGAAGATCAAAGTCTCTAACTTGTATGGTATAACGTAGTATGGGAATCCAACCACTAGTAGCCGAGTCTTTTAGTTGTATTTAATTTGTTGAAGAGGTCATTCGCTATAAGTAACGTTGAATCTGTGAGATTAATGGTGAACTTTATAAAGGTGTCTTATGATTGGGGACGGGAGGAACATCTAACGCCGTTCTTTATTGTACTAGCATTTCAATTCGAACATGAAAGCAAGCCTAAAGTGCGAGGTTGGTTAGTCAGGGATTCGAACTTGGGAGCTGGACTATTTGGGTTAGTGAACGGTCTCTGATAGCTTAAAGGTAGCAAGCAGTCCGAGCGACGAGTACGCCACCCAGCTATTGTGATAGTGAGAGAGACTGGCTGAACGGATCATATACTGCAGGCTCTGAAGCCGGTTTCAGTTAGCACGATGTCGTGCGTGACTCTATACTGCCTATAGACACTTTCCAGGCCAGCCAGCTGTGCCGATTATGTCTACCTAGTGGACGTTCCGCCAGCGGAGTCCCAGCCCAACGCCAACTCCGCACACATCCATCATCCGCCCACTGCGCTGCGCTAGCACACTGCTTGCCTACCTACCTACTACCTAATGACGAGCTGGCCCTCCTTCTCGCAGCCATGCAGCTCCTCGAGAATGTCGCTCCCGCCCAAGCCACCAAGCCCACACCCCCTCCTGCGCTCCTCGCTCCACACCTCATGGAACTTGATGCTAGCGTCGCTCGTGGCAACGACGACGCAGCCCTCGACTTGCGTGCGGCTCCACCACGCGCCGCCCTCGCCCTTTGTGCGCCCGTTGTTCGGCCCGCCGGGGTACGGCACGGCGTAGAGGGCGCGGTGCTCGTCGGGCCAGGGGATGGCGACGAGTTGCTCGCAGGCCGGCCAGCTGAACACCGCGATGCGGAACGCGTGCTCGGGCTGGGCGAAGCCAAACGTCGCGCAGATCTCGCGCCGTGTCGTTGACCAGATCAGCGATGTGACTTGCGCGCTGCAGTCGATCGTCGCGAGACATGCCCCTGATATCGTGTGGTAGAAGTGGATGCAGCGGTCGTTGGAGCCGCCGCCGATGGCGAGGAGGCCGCGCTGCCACGGGCAGAAGGCAATGGCCTTTACGGCAGCGTTGAGCGTGAAGCGGTGTTTTGCGTTAGTGACGTCGAGGGAGGGGATTGGACCTTGGCCTGGCGTTACCGTGTAGCCATAGGAGCCGTCCGGGTTCTGATGTGTGGTAATAGGGTATTGCTGCGGGAGAAGCGATATCACGCGTTTGGTTTCGAAGAGACAACAGTGATTGTCGTTTCCTCCGGTAGCAAAGAACTCGCTCTGCAGAGACCAGACTATGCCGCAGATCTGCTGGGTGTGCACTGAAAGCTTGCAAAGGATTGTCATAGCACCCTGCCAATCAAAGAGGTCCCGAGTGGTCGCATCCGGCCATTCGACAGAATAGAAGTATATATGTCCAAGCTCGTCGCCGATTAGCAATTGTTCAGTGTTTACCATGATGGAAGAGTCTCTTATCGAAGGTCTCTTGGCAGTATTGGGACTGAAGGACAAACACGAGACGGGGCTAGGTTGGCTTGAGTTGAATCGAGGTTCTTGCTCAAAGACGCTCCATAGCGCGACACCTCCGTCTGCGCGACCAATGGCTAATATGGCCTGGCCGCCTTGCGTCGAAGAGAAGGATACAGACGTCACGTGTGCTGCGTATGGGATGTTGAGACTCTCCGGCGTCCCAACTCCTTGCGTCTCTGACCAGAGATAGACGTTACCTGCGAGACCTACAGCTAGGCATTTTGCTGTGTACGAGTAAGCGAGAAGCGAACAGTAGTAGTCATCTCTGAGCGCAGGTGCATCAAGGACTGTGCAAGGCATTAGCATAGAGCATTGACCCGAAGAAGCAAACATATCTGAAAGGAATAGTAGGGACAGGCCTCTTCTCTCGAAGCGATTTCCGGGGCCCTGACGTTGCATTAGCAAGCCGTATAGCAAAACGCTTCGTAGAGAAAATCCACTTGTTGTTGTATCATCCTTGACCCACTCATTGTCTATCCAAGTAGGACCTGTGGGACTGCTTTTCTCATGTCTTCCACTGACTGATGCTCTCGGAGGAGAGGACCAATCTCCAAAGGAACCAAGAACTCGATTAGATGGATCGATATTCATAGCAAAAGCCAAGCGGTTTTCATGAGCCACTTGCTCGCTGGTGGCATCTGACTGCGTCAAGAACATTGAGGTGTACAATGGTGCATTTGTACCACTGCTGAGCATACTACCTCGGCCATTGGGGACACCAGGGACACTGTCAGCAACAATTGCGGAGCCCCCTACATTCCAGACAGCCCCATTACTGACTTGGCGCGCAGCATGCCGCAGTGCTAATGGACTATCATTCGACTGTTGACCCGTTGTGTTGTTTGAGTCTGTGTGTGAGCTTCGGAGAGTTTGCAGCGATTCGTGAACTCTATTGTGATTGCGGGGGACACGACGGCTGAAAGGATCCGAAGCAGGATGACGACGGCGAGTCATTCTCTCCATAGGGGTCAGAGTACCCGGATGTGCACTCAGGCGGAGGCTCTCTCTAGAGCTCGTGGGGGATTTTCGTGGCAGAACGAACCTGTCGAACTTTTTACTTGCGATACGTGAGCGAGCGAGAGCGCCTGTGCTGACTGGTCTTTGGCTAGGTCTCAAACGCAAGTCACGGCGTCTGAGGCTAAGCGGTGGAAGTGCGCTGAGATTGCGCCGTTGTTCGGGGAAAGGAAAAGGGTCTATAGCAGGACATGCCGGAACGAGAGGAGTTGGCGTGCCAAAATCTAGTTTTTGGGGACTAGGGAATGTCGAGTTTGATGGCATTGTAAGATCCACGGACATCGCGTCCGGAGATGAACAGTTGCGCGGTTCACTGTCTATGTCCATAGCTTCATCTGGGAGTGACATGCCTGCTCTTCCTTTGGATGATTCTGCATCACTCAGACGCAGTTTTGCAAGTCTTCTGGCCAAAGACGAACGTGAGGAAGTTGGCGAGCGATCAGCTCCCGATTCCTCGTCCACACCGTCGATCTGCATGGGTGAGGGGGGTGGAGTAACCTCATTGTGTCTCCCAAATGACAAGCAAGGTCCATTAGGGATTGGAAATGTTTGACGTCTTAGTGGAGATCTCTTCTGAATGTTTGGCCGAGAGGCCGGAGCGGGTGGAATACCGAGAGAACCTGGAGAATAAGGACTTAAAGTTGCCGCAAGGGGTGTTCCCGGTGGCGTCAAGACCAATGGCTTCCGAGGTTCTAAATCAACAGGAGGGTAGATATCTGGACTCTCTGAATCTTCTTGGTGGGGTTGAAGGCTGGGCTCGACCTCTGCATCATGACGCAGTGGTTTATCCCACTTCTGGGGTGATCCATGGGCTCTTATGAACCAGCCGCCAAGACGACCCAGCGCTGCACGAAAAGAATGATGAGATTTTCGGGAAGCATCCAAAGGGCATAGTAGCGGAATCTTGTCGAGTCGCCGGACAGGTGTGACGACAGGGAATGATCCTTGAGTGGTCGGGCGACTTCTCAGGTCACTGAGAAGCTGCGGAGGCAAAGACTTCGAAGGATCCATGTCGATTGGATTGGCTAAACTTTGTTTGTAAAGAGAAATTGAGTATAGGCGATTTGTGTAGATGGCGGAAAGAAAGTCAAGACGTCCTGGTGCCTTGATGCCTTGAACAAACAGACAGCCGGGTAGAATAACGATAAAGGAGCCGGAATGAACCGGTGGCTGGTAGTACAGCATGCACAGTAGAAATTGGGGAGTGGCGGTGCTTGAGGGCGAAGAAGACGTTGCAAGGTGGAGGGGTGCGTAGGTGTGGAGGAGCTGCAGCGGCCGCGATTCGTCGGCGAGGGATGTGCTTGACATGGAAGCCGCAACCAACGTGCATCGCGTTCAACTGTTCTGACGGAAACGGCCTACAGAAGCATAGGCATCGAGCCATCCCGATGACCAAATATTGCAGGTACATGAAACCCAAAACGCACTCCCTACGGCTCACTCCATAGATATATCTACTGTATATATCCCGCGCATATGTAGTCATCATATACCTCACAAGAACGCGTGAGTCATAACCCCATCTACCCATCCCCTCCCTCAGACCCATCCTATCCTACTCCGACTCCGCCCCCACCCCTACTCCCCAAAAACGAAAAATAACAGCTCCAACTCCAACCCCCTCCCCCCTCAAAAATCACGGCGTACCAGGCCCATACTCAACATCAGGATCGCGCATCAACGCCCCCGTCAGCCCCCTCATCCGCCGCCCCACCAAATCGTCCTCACTAGCCAAACTAACCAGGCTACGTCGCCGGCCGCGCGCGTCCCTGTCGCCCCTGCGCCCTCCACCGCCATATCCACCACCACCATTCGCATGCGCGTACAAGCCCTTGCTCCGTCCGCGCACACCCTCGAGCTCCGGACCCCGCGCCCGCGCTGCGCCGCGCCGCGACCCCGCCAGCGTCATCTCCAGCGGACGGTCCTCGTCGCCGGAGCTCTCGAGCGTGCGCGTGCGGCGATGGTGGCGCGAGGAGCGCTTCGCCGCGAACGCGGCGGCGTAGCCATTGGCGTCGGCGCTGGTGGGGCCGCTGCCGCCGTCTGTTGATGCTGCTGTAGTGGTGGTGATGATAGGGAAGGGGGATGACGAGAAGGCAGCAGCGTCTGCGTCGGCCTGCTCGAAAATATCGCGCATCCAGCGCGCGCACTTGGCGATGTAGTCCCAGCCCTCGGGGAAGACACTGACGAACTGCAGGAAGCCGTGCGAGATGCCCGGCACGAGGACAACGTCGACGTGGTCGGCGGCGCGGAAGGCGCGCGCGTCAGCTTTGGCTAGCAGGCCCAGCTCGCGGCGCTCGCGCCAGGCTGCCATCTTGGCTTGTCGTATGCGCCCGGCGAAGATGACCGTGTCGTCGACGAGCGGATCGCGTTCGCCTGTCAGGAAGTGCGTTTTTGGGAACTGCGCGAGCAGGGACTCCGGAGCTAGTAGGGGCGAGAGGAGGAAGTCGGTGCTGAAGTCTGGGCGGTTGTGCGGGCCGATGTAGAGGATGATCATGGCGCGCATGAGTTCGGGTGTGAGGATGCGGTCGTTGAAGTAGGATATCATGGAAGACATGGCGAGTCGTGTCTTGAGGGTTGTGGGCTTGGTGGTCGTGGGAAGGCCACTCTCTGGGTTTGCGGATTGGAGAGAATCGTGGTTGACGCCCGTGTGGGCAGCGGAGAGGTGGATGGCAGTGGAGGGAGATTTGACGAAATGTTCATCAGTGATGGTGCTGGCGGAAGCAGTGTCAAGGCGAGGACGAGGCGTGTCCTCGTCCGTGACTGCTTCTTCGTCCCCTTCGTCGTCGGACTGTATCGGCGTGTTAGGGGCAAGATGCCTATAATCATCGCTCTTTCGCCGCAATATCCCTTCGTTAGTCTTGCGCGTTTTCCGGTCCCGAATGAGCGCCATCTGCTCGTCCGTCATCCAATTGCCAATGTTCATATCGAGCGCTGGATATATCAAGACCATGCCTTCGGGAGGAGGCAAGTGTTGCTCGCCGTGCCAGCGACGCGAATCGGTACTGCCGCTCTGAAGTACCATAAGAACCATGCCGACTGCAAGGTTGCCGCCAGCACTGTCTCCGGATACTACCACCTTGGGGACTTCCTCGCCCGAAAGACCAACACAACGGCCTCGACTGGCCATGATCATGTGATAGACGTCATAACACTCATTGAGTGCGTACGGGTAGGGATACTCGGGCGCTTTCTTGTAATCAAGGCTCAGCACCGGCAATCCTGTCTTTCCAGCCCAGCCCAGCAGTTTATCATCATGGTTCCGCGGGTTCATGGCGACAAAGCCGCCTCCTGGAATGTCGAGGACCAGATTATTGTACTTTTTCAGAGCAGACAGCGGCCCGTCAAAGTACAGCCACGCCTCCACTGGCTCCTTGTATGAGGACTCCGGTGGTCTCGGTATGCGTATGGCCCGCGGAGGGTAGCGGGTAAGCCGAGGACGCATAAGATTCGTCACCAACGCGATGTACGGCGAGGTTCCCTTATCCCAGCTGACCCTCAGGTGGTCCACCGTCACCGTCGATCTGACCTTGCGCACCTTCTCATCGGCTTGCTCAGCGCATATGAGGTAGTATACGGTAAAAATGATGGAGCACAAATCCCGGGCCCATTTCCTCTTGATTGGCATGGCCGACCAGAAGCCTGCATCCAGCGCCGTTGTGACCCATGTTGCGCGGAAATATGATCGCGTGTATAGATTTGCCAGCGGCTCAGGGCACTCGAGCCCAACGAGCTTGCCGAAGTTGCGCGAGAGGTAGAGCCATAGCAGGGTGATGACGAGGGTTTGCCAGGCAGTCAGGCGTTTCGAGAGTAGTGCTGAGATGCGTCGTAAGATGGGCGGGCCGTGTCGGTTACCTCTTCGAAAGCGTTAGCACAGCATGCGACCTTTTCCGACCGAATGAAGTCCACACGCACCTGTACAGGTATGCCGACCAGAAGCAGACGACAGCAAGGACCTGGATCTTGCGGAACTTGACCGAGGGTCGTCCTAGGACGTGATCTATGGGTGCCATTAGTCTAGAGAAAACAATGCAGTTTTTCCAGCCAGTGAATTCATACCAATCATGATGAGAGTCTCACGACGCTCGCATGTGAAGGAGTAAGCTGCGAATGAAGGTCAAGGAGGATGGAGAAGGAGCGGGTGAAGTGGGAAAACAAGGGGGAGGAGTGAGAAGAAGCAAAAGAGTCGGTCAGACTTGTCGGCCATGGTGTAATAATGGTGAAGCTGGGGCGTTCGTTCGTACGGAGGTCAAAGGGCTCGTGAGCATGTTGTCTGGCATGTGAAAGACGCCGCGGCTCCGCAATTCGTTAGCGCCGCCCCGTCAACCCCCGCTGACGTTCCCCGTGGGGCCACGCGCCAACAGCCAACACCGACAACCGACCGCTTTCATCTGATCAACAACATATTACAAAATATCTACCTACCTCCTAATAGTTATCATACGTATGTACCTACCACTGGAAGAATATCTCCCTAGCCTCACTCTCACAACGTCAGCCAGCCATAGATAGACCATACTCACCCCCTCATCCCTGCTTCACCCCCGCATCATCAGCCGCACCCTGCCTCTGCTTCTCCCCACGGGCCTCGTCCCGTACAAGCACGCCCTCGCCAGCCACAACGCCCTCCGTCTCCACAAGCGGCCCGGTATACCACTTTCGTCCACCAGCATACCAATACGCCGCCGCGGCCGCGAAGATGCCCACAAGATAAACAACCGCCCAGTTCATATTCTGGGGCGTGACTGGGCGCTCCGTCGGGCAGAGGAAGATGACCGAGACGAACAGCGTCCACAGGCATGCCCACACGTTGACCCACCACGACAGCTTGCCCATGTGCCACGGCCCGGGCCGGAACTGCCCAAACACCAGCTTGCACGCGATCGGGATGATGTAGGACCAGTCGAGCGCAATGGCGCAGACGTTGAAGACACCCAAAATCGCCGTGTACGAGCCCAGTCCGATCAGGTTGATGGCGATGCACCAGAAGACGGAGAACCAGACAGCGTATATCGGCGTGCCAGACCTGGCGTGTCGGATTAGCTTGTGTTCGAGCTGATTTATGGTCGAAATAGCTGCTCACCTTTTATCAATCCTAGTCCAAAGATTGGAGCCGGGGACGAGGCGGTCGCGCGAGAAGGCGAAGACGGTGCGCGCGAGGGCCTGGGTCGCCGTAAAGCAGACGAACTGCAGGATGATGAATGCGCAGATGGTGTAGAACACTCCACCACTCTTTCCAAGCGAGTTGTAGAAGATCTGGGCAACGGGCTGTTCAATGGGAGAGTTGAGAATATTTGAAACGTCTCCCATACAGAAAGCCAGGACGATATTATAGAGAAATCCGCCCAGGTAGGTGAAGAGCATGGCACCAGAAATAGCCCAAGGAGCTTTGACCTCGGGCTCGTTTATTCTGCAAACTCGGTCAGCATGGGGTTCTACAAATACATAGTAAAGGGACTTACTCCTCCGTGATGTGTGCCGTAGCGTCGTAGTCGGTCATAGTCCAAGAAACCGACAGGAAACCGAACATCCATGACCATCCAATCGGGGTCCATCCGGATGAGTTTTGGACGTCAGTGAAGACGTAATCCGCATCGTGACGAAGAGAGGGTTTAGTCTTTGCAAGGAGCGCAATACAGCAGGAGACCAATATCAATATATGGAAGATCACATATGTCTTAGTCATTCGCTCCAACCAGTGAGTCGAGAGAGAGTTGACAAGGCCGCAAAGGACAGTTAGAGCAGCCATAACGCCGACAGTATCGCCGGTCGAAGCGGTCCATTTGAAATCGGTGGCCATACTGACTGCTGCTAGGAGCAACTGAGCGGAGCCATACTCTGAGGAAGCAACTCCGGCGACTTGGCCGAGCAAGTTGACCCAGCCGTCCACCCAGGAGATGGAGGCGATCCATTCCTTAGGAGCGAGGCGGGAGACGGTGTAGTAGAGGCCACCGCAGGTTGGATAGGCGGAAACCAGTTCGGCAACCGAGCAGGCGATGCACATACACCCAGCGCCGGAAATTAGCCAGCACCATACGGCGGCGGAAGAACCTCCGGCGGTAATGGGGAAGGAAAAAGTGGTTGCGACTGTCGCAAACAAGCCGCTAATACTGACGGCGAAAGAAAAGGTCGAAAGATAACCAAATTCTCGTTTGAAGACCTGCGCAAATGATTAGTTGCCATGCATGCAAAGTTACACAAGGACGAGAAATGGTCTGACAGGCTTGTAGCCAAACTGCTCAGCCAGAGCTTTGTCAGCTTCGTTCAGTTCATCAATAGTGATGATAGATCTTTTGCGGCCATGAGAGTTTGCAGGAGATTCAACGTCGGCAATGTTGCGCGCGCGTAGATTGGCGGCTCTTTCGCTAGCCATCGCGGCTATCTCGTTGAATCGGTTGTCGCTTTGGGCTCGGGCGGGTTTGGTGCGTTTGGGATTTCGGTGCTTTGGCTGTTATCGAATTTACCTCCACTTGCGCAGACGGACAACCCGCTTGAAGCAGGAGTAGTAGATGTGGTCCTGGTCACACTTCACCACAGGCTGCATGTGAGCTTTGTCGGAAAGAATATTTTCGGAGCCGATTTGAACCTGTTGCTTAACGATGGAAAAATTGAAGTAGTAGAAAAGTTTCCAGGAGTGCGCAACCGGGCTTCTTTAAGTAGATTGGACTGGCGTGCGCCCATGGTAAGCATAGAAGCCACGCTTGACGGTACCTGATTACTATGGCATTGGTCCTTGGCTCAACTTAGCCGGAGTGGATACTTTTTCTGTGCTTTTTACCTAGCACGATTTGCGGCTGACCAGAGTGCTTATCGGCCTAGTACAAAACGCCCTCGCGTCAAGCGGGCGATCAGTTTTGCTCATCGTCCAACCATGATCTGAGGGTTCGTGTGGGCTTGACTTGCTCATCCCTGACTGTCAGTGCATAGTGATGAGCCGCGACGCCGTCCAGACCTATCGTGCCACTGCCTGCAGAAAACACTGCACCGAATACTGCACCTTACAGGACAAATCTGGGTGTCGCAAGAGTGAAGCCGTCCGAGTGGTTAGGCCCCACGTGCAAGAGAGGGCCAGTAGGCGCATAGAGTCTTGGCCGCCGATAAGCCTTAGCTAAAGCGGTGATGGCCCAGGATTCCTGTTCGGCAAACGGCGGATAAGTTTTCCTAATTCCAGGGTTATCGATCTCGCGTTAACCCGGGTATTGAGTCCAGACTCTAGCTGCCGAAGTCTTAATATTGAAACTGGAAATTAGGCCCACCAACGAGCCGTCCTACTACGGTGGCGATTGACTGAATGTCATCCGGTTCACGTAAAGGGGATTTTAGCACGTGGGGCTCCGCCTGCGGGCTTGTACGCCGTGAGGACGCTCCGGGGCTGGCTGAATCGTTTTTTGCGCGTTTCCAGGTCATACAAGCCTTGAACCTGTTTAGAGGCGCATCCCAGTTCTGAGATTCCTTAGCCCATTCCAATCAACAAAGATAACTGGTGATATCCTGCAGATTCTTGTACGAGATGACTAGTGATGGGAAACCTACTCGTCTGCATCCGTTGTAGCATATGTGGTCTCTTCGCGCTAGCGGAGCACTACCGGTGCACGGTCTATCCTTCACTTTCAGCGTGCTGTAGCGAATAGAGAGCGCAGAATATCGCATGCCTCGGGTAATGCATGCCTGGAGGATGCTGTCATTATAGCTCCATCGCGTCGGTATTCACCGTCCAAGGATCGCAATGGATGTCGTCAAATTGTTGGCTGATGTTGAGACAGGACCAGAACTTTCGAGAAACATGAGGCAATACGTCGGATGAAGCTCACTGACTTCGAAGAAGAACTCGAGTTGTGTGTTGTTTCGCTCTGCAATAAGTTTGTTTTCGACTTGACCCGTTTGTCTTGGTTGATTGCCTTCGCTGTTCTGCCTGGCTGGGAAGGAAGACGATATGCCATGTTGACAAGTAACATGTTCCATAAGAGTGCCTCTAAATGAGACAAAAACGGCCATGAGAAGGATTCAGACCATTGTCTTCTAATTCCATCTTTTCTGTGGTTTTCCGCCGAATCTTTGACAAGCCGAGGGATCCGAAGCATCCGTTTCTCGTCAGTTTTGGCAATTGGAAGGCATTCGACTGAACTGGGAGCAGTTGACGAGGCAATTCCTCGGATGCCGTCATTGGAGCGAAAGGAGATTGGACTTTGGGGTTTGAAAGCTGGAGACCCGGTTCGGCTCGGCTCGTGTGGGGAAGGGCTCTGTGCTTGCCCGAAAACACTCACAAACTGTTCCTTAAAGGGCTGTCAATGCCGTATAATGAACCTGTCAACATCCGCTTAATGACGTTGCTAACGTGCAATTGAATTTCATCTATTCTAATCTTTGACCTCAGCTTCTGAGTCAATGTTTTGATAGGTGTCCAATTATCAGCGAAAAAGAAAGGAACGCTTAGCCCAATCGGATCGCACGAGATTCTTATGAGGTAACAACTTGAACCCTGCTCACGCTGTCCCGAGTGACAGGTACCAGGATGCAGAGCCCCCAGTCGGCTTCGGCATACCCTCGAGCCCGCCGTCGGCGTCCCGTGGACCCCCGCCGATCATGCGACGACCTGCAACAACAACATCTCGCCTCAGATCTGCCACTGATCGCGTGTATTCTCGCAAAAACACCCGGACTCGTGAAAGCGCTCTTACGAAAACAGACATGTCTCTGGCTGCGGGGAGGTTCTACTCGGCCACTCGCCGTCAGGCATGCGGAACCTGGCTCAGGCCATATTCAGCGGCTCTTACCAGCAAGCCGATTCTACAGTCAGCTTTGCGCAGGAGCTTCGTTTACTCGGCGAGATGCAACTCGCACACGCTGGATATGTCCGACAAGGACTTGGCCAAATTGAAGGTCAATCAGGCTCGCCTGATGGAGGACCTTCACCACACTTGCTCTTTCGGAACCGGAGAGCGTTGGGGAAAGTAAGCTACATTTACGTTCATATCAATCGTTAGCTCGGATCTTTACTTTCTAGGAGCGAACTTTCAAGATAAATTTTGTGGATGTTTACTATCACACCAATGAGGTCTAAGCTTGTTTATCGTATATCCCTCTATCAAATACTGATATCCCCTCTGCAGACAGTCCACAGAAACAGGCATGCACCGTCTGTCCCTCACAGACGACGATAAGCAAGCCCGAGACTGGTTTGTCGCCACAACGAAAGCCCTAGGCTGTCACGTAACCGTAGACGCCGTAGGCAACATCTTCGCCGTGCGCCCAGGACGCCGCGAAGGCCCACCAACGTTCACCGGTTCACACTTAGACACACAACCCACAGGCGGCCGATACGATGGGATCCTCGGCATTATTTCCGGAGTTGAGATGCTCAAGGTGCTCAGTGACAGTTGGGTAGAGACGGAGTTCCCAGTAGGAGTGGTAAACTGGACGAACGAGGAAGGCGCCCGCTTCCCCAACTCCATGATGGCGTCGGGCGTGTGGGCCGGCACAATCCCACTCGACAGCGCCCACAACCTGCAGGAAGTGGGCGGGGGCACCGCAACCGTGAAGTCTGAGCTCGAGCGCATCGGCTACCTGGGCCAGACGCCAGCGAGCTATGAAGCGACGCCCATGGCCGCGCACTTCGAGCTGCACATTGAGCAAGGCCCGGTTCTCGAGGCCGAGAAGACGCGAATCGGGGTGGTCGAGGGCGTGCAAGCATATAGATGGTTTACCGTCGACGTGGGGGGAAGAGGTAAGCCAACGCGCTCCCATCCCATGCACATTTCCCATACTGAACACCCACACCAGACTGCCACACAGGCACCACGCCCTTCAAAGCGCGTTCCGACGCCCTCCTCACAGCCAGCAAGCTCATTCTGCACTCCCACCGCCTTGCAACCGCACACTCCGCTCTCGCTAGCACCGGCATTCTGACTCTGACCCCGGGCAGCACAAACACAGTGCCGAACCACGTGCGCTTCAGCTTGGACATTCGTTCTCCGTCTGACGACACGCTCGACGCGCTCGAAGCTGCGCTGAAAGCCGACTTCGCAGCCATCGCGGAGGGGCGCCCCACGCCACTGCGCAAGGGCGTCAAAGGCGTCAAGGAGGGCCTCGGCAGCGTCCTCGACGTCAACGACGGCTGCACGAAAGGCAAACCTTGTGATGTTACTTGGCGCACCGATAGTGTTTCCCCCGCTATTCGCTTCCATGAGGACACTATCCAGTGCGTGCGCGATGCTGCTGCCGCCGCTGGCCTCGCTACCCGTGACTTGACGTCTGGCGCTGGCCATGATAGCGTGTATACGTCGCGGCGCTGCCCTACGAGCATGATTTTCATCCCTTGCCGTGAGGGTATCAGTCACAATCCGACTGAGTACGCGACCCCGGAGGATTGCGCTGCCGGTGCGCAGGTCCTACTAAGCAGTGTTTTGGCTTATGACCGGTTGAGGTCCAAGAGACGGGTTACGTGGGCCCAAGAAGAGAGACACGTTTGACGGGATGTTGGTGTGTAAGGGGGTTATCTCCGAAAGACCGGTCCCTTCCCTTCCATGTAGGATTGGCGATCCTGCACGAATCCTTAGTCGAACCACGGGAGAACGCGGATTGGTTCCTCGGGCGGGCATCCCAGGAGCAGATCTGTGGGCTTCCCCTGGCTAATGAGCAACAATTGTCCGCGGTTCAAAGTGGTTGCAGCCAGAACATGGGGTAATCTTAATGAGAGCAGACACATTGACGAATATGAAATTGTCGAAGCAGTAGACGTGTCAATTATTTTGCAGTTTGCCGTGAAGTTTTCGGGTACAATCGATCCAATCCAGGTTTCCTCCCAATGCCGATAGCACCTGTGCTTTCCCTTTGCGCCGTACCGGTGAACAAATGAAAAAGATAACTACAAACCTCAGTATTGTCTTAGTTTACGACTGCAGCTAGGACCGGCTCATCGTCGTCATCGTCGTCGCTCGTATCCCAGTCAAATAATGCCTTTCGAACAGTAGCAGGTTTCGATGTGCTTGGAACCGATTTTGTTGCATCTTGCACGTTGTCGCTACGCTTCAAAGAAGAAGCCGGCATGTCGCTCTATTTCATCGAGGTCGTCATGGTAAGGTGATGGAATGAAAGCGTGAAGGTGAGGTCGTTTGGGGAGGCATGCCGGTTGAACGTCGGCCGGCGTCGCTTGCAGTTTTTCCGACGCCCACTCTGATTTCGGCGCCCGAGGAATTCGAGATACTCTTGCTGACCGACGACGAGCCCACCGACACGACAAACCCTCCGGAAGACTAACACACACAGTCGCCATCATGTACGAGCCCCTGATGCGCCCGATGCAGGAAATGCAAATGCTGACTCCGCCACAGGCTTATCCCCAAGGCCGACCGCAAGAAGATCCACGAGTACCTCTTCCGTGAGGGTGTCCTCGTCGCGAAGAAGGACTTCAACCTCCCCAAGCACGGTGACATTGACACCAAGAACCTCTACGTACGTTAGCACCCGACGCTCGCCGCGTAAGATCGCTCCGAGAAATGCGCTCGATGGACTTTTGCGAAAGAAACGAGCGAGAAAGAGGGGTTTTTGTATGAATGCGCCGCTTACACGCCGCTCCACAGGTCGTCAAGGCTTGCCAGTCCCTCACCTCCCGCGGCTACCTCAAGACCCAGTTCTCGTGGCAGTACTACTACTACACGCTGACCCCCGAGGGTCTCGACTACCTGCGCGAGTGGCTGCACCTGCCCGCTGAGATTGTGCCCCAGACGCACATCAAGCAGCAGCGCTCGCACGCTCCCCCCCGCGGCATGCTCGACGGCGAGCGCCGTGGCGGTGGCCGTGGTGGCCCCCGCGGCGACCGCGACTCCTACCGCCGCCGCGATGCCGGCGAGAAGGAGGGCGGCGCCCCCGGCGAGTTCCAGCCCCAGTTCCGCGGCGGCTTCGGCCGTGGCCGCGCCCCCGTTGCCGGCAACGCCCCCCAGTAAATGCGTCGCTAGCTGCCGGGCTGCTGGCTTGAGAGGGCTGGTTTGTTGGTTGCAGCGTCGTTTCCGTCGTGGGCGTCTCGGGTCGGATCTTCAAGGCTTGGGATGTATTTCGAAGACAATTCTTCTTGCATGATAAACACAAAATGGATGGGTTGGGTCGGACGGTAGCGTGTCTCGATCGAGTGACAGAAATTGCCGGGGTCGCATAGGTCGAAGGGGGCAGATGACACTGCAAACTAAGTCACATCTGTGAAATAGCGAATACAGATGTCTGGCATCTCCTGAGTACTTTGGGCTTGCGGGCTGTGTGAAGATGCCTCCCTCGCCATGCGTCACATGCTCGCTTTCATGCTAATAGGAGCAGCAATACCCACTTATTGATCATTCTCCAATACTACTGCGGCTGTGTGAGTAGAAGTGTTATTTATACCCCATGATGAATGATGCAGCTCCCTAAGTACAGGTTAATACCCAAATAGACCCAGAGCACACACTCCCAGCCAAACAAGCAACAATGAAGTCACCACCCTTAAACCCACAATCCCAATCAATCAATCAAAACAATTCATTCATTCCCTAAAGTCATAACAGTCATGCAACCCCCAACTTCCTAACCCCCTCACAAACCACCTAAGCACCCACATCCCTCGCCATCTCATTCTGGCTATCATAGCCCTGCTCCCGTCGACTCTGCTTCGCCTCCGCCGAGTGCGGCGTATCCGCGCCGGGCCCGCCCTCATTGTGGCCCGGCCCCGTCTGCCCGCCCATCCCGTCCTCCGACATCGCCTGCCCGTAGCGGATCTTGTCGGCGGGCGTCAGGTTCGTCGTCGTCGTCTTGTTGGCGCCGGCGGGCTGCGCGAAGGGCGACGCTGTTTTGTCGGCGCCTGGTGGTGCGGTTAGCTTGCTTGCGCTGCGTGTGTGTGTGTGTGTGTGCTGGGAGGGAGACGTACTGCCGCCGAAGAGTCCGGCTTGCTTTGCGGGCGGGTCCACGAACGTGTGCACGGATTCGTATCTGTGGTGGAAGTGTTAGTGTCTGTGTCTGGGTGGTTCGTCTTGGTGGTGGCGGTGTCGTCAATTGAGCTCTTGTACTGCCCGTTTGCAGAGAGAGCGCGGAGCTTGGTAAGAAGGAGACTTACTGCGTGTTCTCTCCGCCAGGCTCGGTGTTCATGAGACCGGTGTTGTTGTTGTCTGAAGACATGGTGGTTTTGAAGAAATCAGTGATGTTGAAGGTTCAAGGCAGTTACTTGGAATGCAAGTTTTGGTCGGTGAGGTGTAATTGCTTTTGTTCGTGTAGTAGGAATGTGTATGAGAAGGCAGAGACGCATGCGCGGGGGCGGGGGTTGAAGAGCACATGTCGATTCTGCTTCCGCGGCAATGACGTATGACGTCGACATGGGCGGGTCCCACTTCGATCATCACGACTCCCGCGAATCCTGTCGTCCACGCGTGTCAGACCCTAGCTAATCCCGCTAAAAACTCCATTGGAACGCCAATTTAGCCCCGTTGCTGTCTTTCAGCTCCTACGCCGCTAACGTAATCCGGCCTGCCAGGAAACTTAGAAATCGATGCCCATGAGATGGCTATTGTTGTGAGTTAGCAGAATTCCAGAGTAGATCAAACACTTGGATGAGCGGCATACCTTTCGTAGAGGCGCATGTACTTCGCTACAAAGGCTTCAAGGTGGAAAATCACCTTGCTTCCCATCTTTATCCTGTGCTCATAGAAGGCGCTCCACTTGATAACGTCTGCCTTCAGTTCATCATCAGATAGCGGTATCAGCTTGAACGTGAGGGTCTGCAAGTAAATCAGCGATCCGAACCTAGTCGCTTATACATAGCTCTCTCCCTACCTTGAGGATAGTCGTAGGCGGAATACAGTGCGTGAGCAGATCGTAGAGCTTTGCGCGCACCTGCATGATGCGTGCGGGTGATCTCTCCTCCACGATCTCCTTTGCGATCTGCGCAATCAGCGCCTCCCAGTCGGGAGGTGGTATAGGGGTGTTCTCGGTGACGTTCTCGCTGCTTGCTGTTAGCAAAAGCCCATCATGCCGCAATATTCGTAGTAAACACCAACTTTTGTGCATGTACCGCCTCGAACATCAACAATGCCCTCCTCAAGTTCCTCCTGCTATCCCTAGCGATCTTCTTGTTCAAGCCCTCAATCTCCTTCCATCCCTCCTTTTTGCATACACTCCTCAATGCCTTGCAAATGTCCTCTTCCGTCGGCGCTGCAACGCGCACCAGCAACGTACGACTCCGAATCGGAGCGATGATGTTACTCGTGCTCTCCGCCAACAAGATCAGCCTCAGATTCGGGCTGTATTTCTCCATTGTCCTGCGCAGTGCCGCCTGGGCATCGCGCGTCAAGTGGTCCGCCTCATTGATGACGACGACCTTGAAGCGCTGCTTGGCGCCGACGTCAACCTGTTGTGTCTGCGCTACCTCTTTCAGCAGGTCTTGCACCACTACCCGGTCATAGTTGCCAACATCGCTCGGTGTGATTTCCAGGTGGTAGTTCGAGGCCACGATGTTGAATTCGAGCTTGCGGTTCGATGTCGTTTGGAAGACGCGCGAGTCGATCTTGATTTTCTCCACACCAGGTCCGTACAGCTCTTTCAGCGTCGCGACGATGCGGGTTTTCTTGCCTGCTCCGGAGGGCCCGTATACTAGGAGATGCGGGAAGTCACCGCTTTGTGCCTGGTGTATTTCGTGTCAGCTGCTAGCTCTGAATGACGCTCGGGGGCTCTAGGCTGCAGATTCGGAGCACTTACGAGAGAGCGCAGGCGTGCTGAGAGGTCCTCATGGTAGCTCAGAGCATCAAGAGAGCGAGGCCGGTGCTTGTCTACGAGCAATGCCATGTTGTGAGTTGTGGCGTCGGTGTAGCTGCCTGCACGGTTCGATGATCGTGGTAGAAGACGCGACGCGCGCAGAGTCGCGTAAATTGGCTTGGCGTCTGCCCAAGGCAATTTGGCTCGCTTCAAGACCGAGTGAAACGTTGACATAAATACGGGTACTTCGTGAGCTATCAAACGCACCTAGAATGCAAAACCGTAGCTAGATGGAAAAGTCATCTATAAGTAGTATCTATTATGGGGGGTATTAGGCATATTGTGATACTATTAAATCTTCGAGCTCAGGAAGTTTTATGAACTTTTTGCTCCTATGGAATAAAATCACAAGTTTGTCCAACGAGAGAATTAGGTGTACAGCAAAGGATTATCGCTCCATTCATCCGTGTTTGAAAACAACCCTCGTAGCCAGCCACCGTTATAGAAGACATACAAACGTGAAAGAGGGTGAAAAAAAAGTCAAAAGCGGCCTGCTGGATATAGTACATTAGTAGAAACAGGAATTTCAGAGGGCCGTGTGAAATGGAAAGTAGTAGTAGAAGCAAAGGCGCGACAGAGAAGGGCGCAAATAAAAAGCAAGGGGCGCGCGCGTTCCCGTAAACTTGGTCGCTAACAGCAATGTATCCTCCAGACCCAGCTTCATCCTTCCATAAATTCGTTCGGCCATTCTGACCAGCACGTGCCTTGATTGACAGCTGCCATCTGTTCGTAGCTTCGCGGCCACACTCATTAATCCGCACTCCATCTGCTTTTCTCAAGTCTTGACGTTGACGACGAAGTCGGTGCTCAGCAACTCCTCTGCCGTCGGGCGCTTCTCATGATCGATTTCAAAAGTCCTTCCAAGGAAGTCTGATGCCTCCTTGCTTGCGTTGTCGGGAATTGTAGGACTGGCATTTCCGCCTGCAGCACCGATCCTGAAAATGGCTTGCAGCTGCGTGCAATCCGCGTGCGGGTGCACACCTGTCAGCATCTCCACGATCAAGCAACCGAGTGACCAGATGTCCGCCTTGCGCGTGTAGGCCGTTTGCTTGACAACCTCGGGTGCCATCCAGAAAACGGAACCTTGCAGCGAGACACGGTTCTTGTTCTTTCCGCCTGTTCCCGAAAGAAGCGTAGAAGCTTCAACGCGTTTGGAGATACCAAAATCAGAAATCTTCACTTGACCCTTGTTGTCAACAAGGATATTGGCGCCTTTGATATCGCGGTGGATGATGTCCATGCTGTGCAGGTACGCAAGACCCACTAGAATTTGGCGGGTGAAGTTTGCCGCCAAAGTCTCCATAAGCGGGCCGTAGTTGACGAGCATCGTCGCCACCGATCCACCAGGGACGTATTCGAGGAAAATGTTGAGGTGCGTTTCGTCGGAGTTGGAGCCGAGATATTGTACAATGTTAGGGTGTTTGAGTTCGCGCAGCAAGCCGATTTCGCGCTTCAGCGCATCAAGCATGCTGGTCTTTCTCGAGTCAGCAACCCCGCCAGTGGGCAGTCCGACTTGCTTTACTGCCATCAGTTCACCAGTGATGGCGTGCAGCGCAAGATACACGCTTCCGAAGGAACCTTGTCCAATAAGAGCACCTTTCATGTATTTGACGTTCTCCCAGGAGTCGGTCTCGAGGTATTGCTCCAATTCTTCGTCATACTCTTCACCGTCGTCGGCCATGGCTTGACTGAGACGTTTGTTGAACGAATCACCGTTTTCTGTGCCTTGGCTGCTTCCTGCGAAGCTGCTACCACCATCATCGAAATAACTTTGAAGTGTGGTGTTACCTTCTGGATCGGTAACCGCCAAGGTGTCGGAGCCGCTATCGGGACCGAATGAGACGTAGGATTTGCGGATAGAGGACGAGTCGGTCGGAGACTCTTCTTCCAAAGGCTCCAATACTGAAGAGGTGACAGAGTCGCGATACGCCGTTGGAGCAAGCCCGCCGGACGGAAGACCCAGTCGCATAACGGAAAGTGGCCGCAGGGGCTTGGCTTGACTACCGTTGCCAAGCCACTGGTCAGCTATTGATGGCAAAGGTGGCGCGTCCTTCAGGCTGGATGCGACACTGAAACTGCTGAGGGTACTGAGGCGGCTTGCAGCCTTGCTTATCCTGCGCGATCGCCGAATCGACATTCTCATCGTCTTGTCAATCTCTCCCTTTTCGACGTCAGGGAAGTAGGATGCCAGATCCGAGGCAATCAGGTTGCTTGGTGGACGACCTCCGTAGTACTGTTTCATCCGCCTCGCAGGTGTGCTTCCGGTGGATACTTCGCTGTCGGTGCGCTCCAGGTCTTTGGCCGTGGAATTGATGTGACGTTCGCGTTCCTTCTGGGAGGCCGGAGAAAGCGGATAGCTGACAGCTGCCAATGATTCCCCGGTAAGTTTTTCGATTTTCAGTTGACTCCGGTTATTGCTCGGCAGGATGACATTGTGCTGATACGATTGTTGCTGCGTCGAAATGTTTGCAGCAGCTTTCAGTTGGTCGTCCTCTGGTTCACCTGCGTGGACCTTGCGCAGAATGAGCCTCGCCCTTTCCATCCTAGTGCGATCATTGCACACCCTTAACAGCTCGACGTCGCTCAAGCGACGACACAGGGCCGGATTGGGATCGGTACCATCCAGGACGTAAAAGCAGTAATTTTTGACGTGTGCTTCGTTCAATGCACCCTTCCTCAAGGTCTTGAGCATAATGTCTTCTGCTGTTCTACAGCCTTCAATTCCAATAACCGAGGACCTGCCATTATCGAAGATGACCCGGATGAGAGGCTTGTCGGCTGGCAAAATGCTGCTGTTGGTTGTATTATCCACGCTTGGACTTGCCCGTACATGGTTCACAAAACGAGCAGTTTGTGGTGTCTCGACCGGTGTGGTTGCGCTCCTTGCTCCACGGCTGCTAGAAGAGGTGGCGCTAAGAGGTTGGGTAAAGTAAGATTCCTGATCTTTCTTCCCGGGATGCTTAGGGCTGTAGGCTGGGTGAAGGTTGCGGTTGTCTTGAGGCACAAGTGGTGACCCCGGCCTAGAGGGTTTCTTATTAGATTCGGCCGGGTTGTAAGTCCAGTCGCCGAGCGTAGTTTGCCTCGATATCCTTTTATCCGGGCGTGAGGTCGTAGCAGCTCGAGTTGGATGCAGAGGCCTTGGGGAACCAGAAGACGGAGGTGTGAACTGTGCGCTATCGAGCAGTGCAAGAGAATCCTACTCGAAAGTTTAATAGGAGTAAAGCAACTTCAAATGAAGGAATACTCACCCTATTCGTATTACGTTTCGAGGTCCTCTTGTATTCCCTGTTTCGGAACAGCTTTGCCTGGGAGCTGATTCGTATGCGATCGCCAATTTTCCTTATTCCCATCTCCTTGAGGTGGTTCGAGTCCATCTCCATGAGGACCTCGCCCGTGATGTTGTTGGCTGCGAATGCCGCATGTTAGTCATTTACAACTTCTCATACATGGCAGATGATCCCCTGAACCAACCTTTAAAAAGTTCCTCATATTGCGGCAGGTTGATGCTCTTCAGCCAGTCTCCCACCCTTTCCTCGTCCCAGCTCCTGCATGAGGTGGTCAGCATTTTTGGTTTCCTTTGTGTTCCGCTGTCTTGTGCGCCATACTTGACTGAATCAGGACCGACATGGATATCCGAGAATTCCGACTCAGTGGGGCTAGCAAAGTTCGTGTGATGAGGATTTGAGGTCGGAGGCTGGTGCCGCCGACTCGAGACGCTCGCCGGGTAATGGGAAGAGGGCGGGCCGGAGTTCGCCATGGGCGCGACATACTGCGATTTCGACGCGAGCATGGCCATAGTTGTGGTGGTGGTTTGGGTCGAGTCGGGAGGCGGGCGGCGGGCGGCGAATATGCGAGTCCTAGCTTATCACTAATAACCAAGATACGGCAGTATGGTCATTGCTGCATAGCAGCAGCTAGCGACAGGGGCCAGTGGCGTTATCCGCGGGGAGAGCGAGAGGCGCGCGGGTGAGGGGTTGAAACGGTCGGCGACAAAGAGAGGTAGGGCGAGAATAGGAGGCCGACGATGGTTTTGGCCGAGGGACGATTTGACACAGGCCTCGAGGTGTCGCAGTCTCCGGGGACTGGGGTCGCGCTGGGGTCACTCCGCGGATGCCTGCACGGGAATCGCGAGTCGGCCACGATTCAGGCAGGAATGGTGTTGGTGAGACAGGGACCTGCCGTAGGGTCTCACAGAGGTTGAATGGAGGGGCGTTGGGCGTGAAGGTGGCGGGGAAGTGATGGCGCCGGGGACAAAGAGAGCTGTCGGGCGGCTAGCGAATTCACGAGCGAGAATGGCGTTCTCTTTGAGGGTCGTCGTGAGGGCTGAGTATTTGCCGTCCGTACTTCGGTGAGGGTCCTACAACATGAAACAGCCCTAAAACACTAGCTTCTCCAACAACCACTCACGCCGTGCGCGACTTCAGCAGTGCTGGCCTGGCTGGCTCCCCTCTCTCTTGGCGGGAGGGGGGGCACTGGGGGGGTTTGCTGACTGCGCGCGAAGCGAGGCAGTTGGACGAGGGTCTCAGACGGCGTGGCCAGCCTCTCACGGCGAGAGACGTGGCTCTCCCCATCACAGCCGCCGTTTGCTCTCGTTCCGGCGTTCCCGTGTTTCAGCAAACACCACGGTCAAACATGACGTCTGCCCCCAGGCCCCTGATGCTCCGGCGTCGTGACTATACTACGTACAAGGAGATTGGGGGATGGTCCGGGGTCTGGAGAGCGTGCCGATGGTTTGGTTCAGCGCGCGGCGATCACAATGATGTGCAGTGCTGATTGCAAGCAGCTGATGCCCGGCAAGGCGCACGCCATCCTGATTTGCGCCTGCTTGGTTACCTCGTTCGCCCTCGCGCCTGTTTCCCGTTCAGATGACGCACGGCTTGATCTCCCCCACCCATCCACTGACCATCGCCGCCTTTGCCTTTCCGGCTACCATCTCTGACCGGTCTATCAGCACTGCTTCCCAATCCTCCCACCGGTCGAGCTGCCCAACCGCCCAACCACAAGACCGGGACTCTTTCTTAAACTCGCCCGCATCCCGCTTGAGCCCATCGCTGCCTACTTCGTTCATAGTCCAGCCTCGCGCGCATACCCGACGCGCGCAACGTGATGTGAAAGCAGCCAGCTGGCTCAGACACCGCTGACCAACCAAACCACCCGACTCTCTCCTTACCTATTGCACCACCGCCAAAAAGGTCATGGCCTACAACGAGGGCTACCGCAGCCCTGACCAGGCGCCCTACTCTTACGATACCCATCCAGACTCCCAGCTCCATCCCTCTTCAGCCTCATCGCACCACCAGAGACCCGCAGTTCCCTACTATCAAGAGCGGTCGCGCGCCTCATCCGACGCCCGGTCCGACAGTCCCCAGGCAGGCCAACCTGTCTATGATGCCGTGAACAATGCTTTCGACCAGTCCGATGCCGCCAGCCATCTTGACCCGAGCCTCGTCGCGCAGATTACAGAACAAGTTCGGAGGCAAGTCATTGATACACTGAAGTCGAGTGGTCAACTTCCTCCAAAGAGCTATACAACGTCAAGTCAGGCGTACGCTCAGCCTTCTCCAGGAAGTTCTGTTGAAGCCTCGCTGCCACCACGCGACATATACACGCCTCCCTCCCCCAGCCGACATGAGAGCATACGTTCGACCGGCGGGTCCAACTCGCCGAACAACGCCGGGCAGGACACATACTACTACAAAGCTGGTCGTGAAAGGGAAGGATCAAACCCTAGATATGCTGGCAAACGAACTGGATCGCCGACGGTAGTGGACTACAGCTCAACGTCACAATATACTACGCAATCTCCGCCGCCTCAAACCCGGCCAAGTGTAGAGAGAAAGTTGACAGAGGTCGAGGAAACAGCAATCGAGAAGACATGGCAAGCCCTCTTCGACGCAAACGGACAACCTACGCCCAGACTGGGTCAGTTTTTGCGTGGATTGGCTCTTCATCTGGTGAGACACTGCTCTAGGCTTTTCCTTGTCCTCTTACTGAGTTGCTGATGCTCTCTCAAGATCAGTGATTATGAACCGAAGCGTAGCCTTGTAGTCACTCCCGTGAAGATGCGAAAGTTCTACGAGGAAGTCTTGTGTGAAGATGAGACAATTCCCTGGGATAGTGAGTTATTACCTACTGCATCACAAGCACTGAGCCGTGATGGATTGACAATGAATGCTAGCAATTTTCGGGACTCTGTCCAACGAATCCATCTCAAAGATGTATAGGGACTTATGCTGCCAACACCATTTCGTACAGGACGATGTCAACAAGATACCGGACATCCCTTCTCTGACACCAGATGGCTTCCAGACCTGGATGACGCTTATGATCCAGGCTGACCCTGACTTGGAGTTCAAGCGGCTCAGCAAGGCCGTCAAGTCGATGCCCATCAGCAATGCTGATGATCTTAAGGAGCGCTTCCCAAAAGAACTTTCACGGCGACTCTTCCCTAAGGCAGGGAACACTCAAGCCCATCAGCATTGTGTCACGGCGCTTTCCGCTGATGGCAAGATCCAAATTCGCTCCAACGCCTTTTCACCACCCCCTTCGAATCAAACAGGCCATTCATACTCAGCAGAGCCGTGTGCGGTTATCTCGGATGATTCGGAAAACGAACCAGCAACCAGTATTCCGATCGAGCGCGAACGAAAGCCATATTCGGCTCGCGAGGGTGGTGGAAAAATTTACGAAGATTTATCCGCCAACAAAGGAAGCATCGGCGGCGGCTCTGCCGATATTGCAAGCGGTGCGCGTCAGCCCCGCAGCCAGTCCAATGCTTCCGCGACTGTGAACCCATACCGGCCTTCTGGGAGCACCACGGGCAGTGAATATCCGCCCAATACAGCACAAACGCGGCAGCATCATCGCATGGCCTCTAACGTAAATCCTTCTTCCCGTCGCCGTAGCCCGAGCTTCGGCAGCGGAAATGACCGATACGGAAGCCGCTCAGAGCCCAATGTCTTAGACATTCCGTCGAGTTACTACGCCAGCAACATCTACAATGATCCGGTGGAAGATGACCCCAATGGCGCGAGAGCACGCTTCGCCAAGGATGCTGAGGCGAGGCGCAACGAATGGGCGAGAAAGCAAGCAGAAGAGGATGCTGGCGGGAGCGCTCGATCATACACTTCCAGCAGCCAGGGAAGGCATGGGACTATCTATGACGACGAGTATTACCGTGGCCGTGCGGAATACGATAGCCATGGATACGGAGGTTATCCGCCACCTCCTCCCAGATACTGAGACGACGAAGGTTTGATGACTGCCTTTGGTCTGATCCGAGCTGATCACTCTTCTTTTATGCTTGCATGTGTTTCTTTTCGATTTTCAATGGTCTCTTTGCAAAAACACTAACTCATTATACCCGCTCCAAGAAACAGGCTTTTCCTCCACCGTCACATAAGTTCTCTCAATTCATTTTATCGGATTGGAAGTCGGAGTATGCTTCTTGGCTTATGTTTTTTCAGCAGTTTTCATTTTAGTACAGTGCTCCAGCAAATGCAAATAGTTCTGATGGAAGCCAGCGCTTCGCCTCAGTCATTTCTTTTACTGTTTATGCTTTCAGCAACGCGATCAATATTTGTATGATATGATCGAAGCAAACAAGAAAGCAAATGTTTGTCTCTATGATGGCTGCAGGAGCAGAGCAGACAAACTGATGCTAGACGAACTGATGCTAAAACAGGGAACAAACCAGAACATACGTAGTAGACGGTGACATGTGTTGTGGGTACAAAGCGAACACTTGCACTGCCCACATTTACGTCAATGACAAGCTGAAGGCGCCGATCTCCGCCTTATCTTAAAAAGAGTACAGAGGTGGCGAAGCCGTTGGGGATCCGGGTCGTTGCTTAGTGCCTATGCCTGAATTTGAAAGCGACAGCTAAATCACCGAAAGCAGAAAATCCGCGAAGCTTCGAGACTCTAAACTATGACCCAAATTGGCAGGACACAGCATTTGGAGCTGAAAGTCAGCCCTGAAGTTTTAGTTAGGATGAAAGATGGCGAAAGGGACTAGACCGCGCCGGAGCCAAGCCACCACCGCCACCAAAGCACGCGAGCAATTCTCCGCACACCGCTCGCCATGGACACACCTTGACGCGTCGCCTTAATGATTTCACCATCGCCTTCTAAAATCCTTCGGGCGCTCCCGAGCACCAACTACAACTGGATCGCTGTGGCCCAGAAGGTGGGTATAGCTGCCGTCTTGGCGGCCTTAAACATCGATTTGGTGAGCTGAACGTTAGGGGGAAAATCGCCCACTAACGGCGCCTTCCTCTAATCTATCAACCGCTAATCGAATGAATTGGGTAATGCGGCTGAGGTCTGACTGAATGAGGATAAGGAGTGGGGTCCGGCCAAACCCAGCTGAATGGTGAACGGTTTCTTTGGGTCGCGTGCGCAGCTACTTGAATGGTCCAAGGGGACTCGGGCCATCGGCTGTTACGAATCACCCCCGAAAGATGGCCAGGGAGCCCGTGATAAGATACTGGTCAATGCCATGGTGGCGTATGTCAGATCTAGTCTGGCTCTACCACGTACCATAGGTACGCAAATCCCCCATCGATCAAGATCTGATACAGCTTGTCAGATATAGACTCTAGGGACATAACTCCGGCATCGGCTCCGTTTAAGACCCACCTCCTCGATGTGAATTTCCGATTATCCTGTGTTTGCTCTGGAATGCTATTGCATACGTAGTAGATGTTGTCGATCTAAAACTGCTAGCGCAGGGGCCCCTGGATTGCCAGGTCATTCCTTGATCGAGTGCACGAGCTCAAGGTGGAGGAGATGAGTGGAGTGAAGCTTGTCATGAAGCCACCGGAAGCCGCGCCTCTTGTACAGTCTGGCTAAGGCTAGCTGTTAAGCACATCTTACCTCGAGTCAATGCTCACCAGAATGCTCTTGCGGAGTTTGACCGGGACAGACTACATAAACATGGGGATCACCCTCCCTTGGCTCCCAGATTTTCTGCCTTTCGGTTCTGTCAGCGTTCACTGCCTAGTCCTTGTCATCCTTAACAATGGCCAAGGATGAGTCAGCCCCTGCTGCGGAGCTGTTCCCCTCGACGGAGACAGCGTCCAAGGCAGAAACTGCTACCCCTGATGATGGAAGCGCCAGCGAGAAACGCGACTCCGATGTGGAGTCGGGGAAGTATGAAACCAGTGGAATGGATTCGGAGACAGAGAAGTCCAATCTGGTATGTTTTTCCATTTCGAGTTCGATGAACTGTACTAACCTATCTCAAGGTGACTTGGGAAGGCCCAGATGATCCCGCGAACCCCAAGAATTGGAGTAATTCAAGGAAATGGACGGTAAGTCAGTACCATACCCTGTCGGAAACTTTCATGTGCTAATAACACTAGTCTGCTATCCTCATCTCGTGTTTTGCTTTCATATGCCCCTTATCATCGTCGATGGCCGCACCAGCTCTGAACAAAATTGGAGACGATCTCGGTATCCCTGAAAACTCGCTGGAACTGCAGTTGGTGCTCTCGATTTTCGTCCTGGCATATTCCTTTGGCCCACTTGTACTGTCTCCCTGTTCTGAGGTCTGGGGGCGTACGCGCATCATCAAGTTCGGCAACCTGTTGTTCATCGTGTTCAACACAGCATGTGGCTTTGCTAAGACCGAAGCACAAATCACAGCATTTCGCTTGATTGCAGGCTTTGGCGGAAGTGCAACTCTCGGAGTATGTCTTAACATCTAATAAATTCAGATTTCAGAGTGGCTAATTAAACATAGATGGGAGCGGGCGTCATCTCTGACTGCTGGAATGCCGAAGAACGCGGAAGAGGCATGAGTATCTATCAGCTTGCCCCGGTCTTAGGTCCGGCTGTCGGACCTATAGCCGGCGGACTTATCGTCTCTCACACGACCTGGCGGTGGACTTTCTGGACCATCACCATCTTCAACGTTGCCATCCAAATAGGTGCAGCAATCTTCCTGAAAGAGACCTACGCGCCTAGGCTCCTGCTCCTCAAAGCCAGGAAACTCCGCGCGGAGACAGGCAACAACCAACTCCAAACCAAGTGGGAGAAAGATGGACGCACATTGACTAAGCTCGTCGGCAAGGCACTCACGAGGCCATGGCGCTTCCTAGCCACGCAGCCAATCATTCAACTGCTAGCGCTGTATCAAGCGATGAATTATGGACTGCTTTACCTCATGATCGCATCCTTTCCCTCCCTCTGGGAGGGCCGCTATGGGATGTCCACCAGCATCGCCAGTCTGAACTACATTTCCCTGGCACTGGGCTCCCTCATTGGCGCGCAGGTCTGCGGCCCCCTCATCGACGCCACGCACCGCCGCTTGAAGAAGCGCCACGGCCTTGGTCCCGACGAGCCTGGCTTGCCAGAATTCCGCATCCCGATTATGATTCCCGCGGCTATTATCACGCCCTGCGGCATCTTCCTCTATGCCTGGTCCGCGGAGTACAAGGTCCACTGGATCGTCCCTAACGTGAGTACCATTACTAAGAAACCCCCTTTTCCCCTTGCAGGAACATGTTCTAACCATTATAACGACAGATCGGAGCAGTGCTCTTTGCAGGTGGCAGCATGGTCTCGTACCAGTGCATCCAAACCTACGTCGTCGACTGCTACACCACTCACGCGGCATCCGCATCCGCAGCCTCGGCGTTCCTGCGCTCGCTCGCTGCTTTCAGCTTCCCGCTCTTTGCGCCGTACCTGGTGCACAACCTCGGCTATGGCTGGGGCGGCAGCGTCTTGGGCTTTGTGGCGGTTGTGCTGGGCATTCCGGCGCCGTTGCTGTTTTGGAAGTACGGCAAGGCGATTCGGGAGTTCAGCTTCAAATACATTGGTAATGATGGTTGAGGGGGAAAACTTGACGTTGTGATGTTTGCGGCTCGGCGCCGTTTTTTTTTTTCGATGGATTTGGCTTTTTTTGCCTGTTGAATTGCGTATCGCATAGCGTGGTGTTGGGGCTGGCGCCGTTTTGGCCTTCTGTGTAAAATGGTTCTGGGGTGGAATTCGCCATGATACCACGCGTAGCTTCTTGAAGTGCGCATCCAAAGATTGCTTGTTGGGGGATTTATCGCTGCTGGTTTTTGATAATATTGATTATTGCGTTTGATGCAATTGATGCGCTTGATAGCCTGAGTGAATACCTACCATATTGCACTTAAGTATGGAAAAAATATGGGTATTGTGCAGTGGAAAGAAGATTTCGGCGACATTCTTATCTGAGGTTGCCAAAATTGTAGGTGTTTTCAACCAGGGGTTCTGGAAATATATATCACTGACGCACTATGAAAGGATTATTTAGAACTTGGGACTAAGGAGTCATATGCATGACAGTTATTAGGCTTACGCCACTATTAGCGTTCGTCATGATTTGTATGTCTGTTGCATTGTTCCTCGGATCATTCTGTCCTGATTGATAGGGAAGCTGTTTCGTGTTCACCCTTGGTAGACCCAAGATGTCTCGATCGTGATGGATTGGCAAACTTGGTACGCGAGCAGGTAACCACGGAAGCCGCTTAAACTTCTTTTGGTACACTGACCAGTCATATCAGCAATTGTGAAAATCTGTCAAGATTAAAAGGGCGGCATCCGCTAGATTCTTCGAACTCCCCATCCATCCATGAACATCACAATCAACACCGAAAATGCCGACACTTGACGGTTCCCACGCCAGCATGCCTAACAACAATACACAAGACCAGAAGAAGGGACACATGGGAGGCCTCCCGTCTGAACTTCAGTGCCAGATCATCGGCTACCTCGACATCCCATCCGTGCTGCAGATGCAATGCGTATCCACGCACTGGAGGACAATGATAACCTCCTGCATGAACCTTGACAGTGTCATGGATCCAGACCGTCGGACGTTCCTCAAGATCTTTAACAAGGCCCAAGCAAGTAAAGCCTTTATACCACACGCCTCCAAGGACGAGTCCCACCGATTTCAAAGAAGACTCCAGAACAACTTGTTCGAGATTTCCGAACAGAAGCCTCATCAAAACTCGGATGAAGGCTACCTACCCCTAAGTGGCACGAGGACACACCCACTTATTTTCGAAAACCTACCTGTTGTACTTGAGGAGGAAACCAAATCCCCTTCGCTCCACACCTGGCTGAGTGAATGGCCGAGGCAGGCTGTCATGGACGGCATGTGGGGCGAATATAGAAATATAGATCGTTACTTCCCAAACCCTTGGGGGGAGGGAGTTCCTTATGCGAAATTTCCAATCACAATCTACGACCTGGGAACAGGAGCAGACCTGGGAACAACAGCAGTAGTCATCGCAGTTCTACTGCGTGATAGACCGAATCTTTTTCCTGTATCGCCTAAATATTCGCCCGGGAATGAATTTACCCTGTTGGTTATTAGCGGTGGAGGCGAACTGAATGGACACATCATAAAGGCTGGCCATTTTGGAGGGTACGGGTTCTATACTTACTCAGTGGACTGTATTAAGTTCGAGGACTGGCTCTCGATATACGTCGATGCTCTGGAGATCATAAAACGCGAAGGAAGTTTTGCGTTTTGCGGACCTATTAATGCCTTGGGGAATAGCTTGAGGATTTAGGTATATGTAGTTTACACGCTGCAGAATGGAACCAGGAGAGAATGTTATAGTCATTCTATATATCTACTACGACAGGTCGAGCACGACGCGTCCTTGTAGCTTACCTTCATTCATTTCTTTGAAGACCTAGACAGAGGAGAAGTTTGTTAGCGTCCACAAATTCCAAACATACACGAAGACTTACCTCTGTAAGCTTATCCATCTTCTCCGTTCGATAATGCGTCTTCACAAGGCCTCTTGCCTAAACCCAATCAGTACTCAGTCCCATGCCGCAGATCCTTGATACTCACAGCAAGATCCAGCGTCTCGATCGCCTCCTTCCTATCCCCCACCGCAACACCGACAATCTTCGTCGACTTCGCAACCATGTACTGTGGCAGTGCGCCCGCAATCGCCTTTGGCTCGCCCTCCGGAATACCAACAACCACCATCGTGCCACCGAACCGCAGCAAGTCCATAGACTGTGCATAGGCCGCATTCGCACCAGTCAGCACCACGACGGCATGGGCTCCCAGGCCGCCTGTTAGCTCCTTGACCTTGTCCAGGATGGCGTTGCCCGCTGACAGAGGGATGAAGTGCTCGGCGCCGGACTCCAGGACCAGATCCTTCTTTGAGTCTGCGTCGATTCCGATGACGCGGAAGGCCATGCCGCGCGACGCTATCTGTGCTGCGATGTGGCCAAGCCCACCGCCTGCGCCAAGCAGCACGACCCACTCGCCGCTTTTGGCGTTGCTTTTGCGGAGCGCGGAGTAGCTGGTCACTCCGGCGCAGAGCATTGGCGCGGCGTCGGCGCTGTCCAAGCCGTCGGGGATCTGCAGCAGTTGTGAGACTTTGGAAGAGGCATATGAATGGTTGAAACGCTTACGGGGCTGACGTAGTTTGCCGGTGCAAGGACATATTGCTGTAGATATATCAGTCTGGAAGTGCAACTTTCTCCGTGATCAAAGGCCATACCTGAAATGTTCCGGGTGTGTAGTACCCGCTGATTTTCTGATTGAAACACACACCGTCGTGTCCAGCAAGGCAAGCAGCTGGATTGCAAGCAGTCAGTTTCGTGAATTCTGTACTTCTGAAAGTTGTGGTGTCGTACAGCATGAGCCGCAGATGGCGCTGACCCATTTAATACCGACTCTGTCGCCAACCTTTACCGTAGACATGTCGGTCCCAGGGCCCATCTTAACAACCTTACCAGCACCTGCAATGAAGTTAGCACATGATTTGCCTGATTTGTAGATGATTTTCTACCTTCGTGGCCGCCAACTTGGCCAGCCATCGTGGGGAAAGGAAGCTGGGCCCAACTAGCGGGACGGGGATGGTAAGCAACTTGTCATTGTCGTAGAACCTGATATGAGCGAGACGGTACCTGTTCAGCATGATTCCATAGTCGGAATGGCAGACGCCGGAGTGTGTTCTGTAAATGCGTTAAATTAAGCCACTCGACACTGAAAGAACACGCTCTTACAGGTTGACGAGGACCTCCCCATTGCCTGGCTCTGGCATGTCCAACTCCACGACTTTCGTGGAGATGGTGCCAGGCTTGTCATAAATGACAGCCTTGTATTTCTGGGGAAGATCGACGGAGCTCATGATGCTAGAGGCGGGAAGACGGCAAGGTGGCAGGTGAATGGAAAGAAAGATGAAGAGCGATTTGGGAGGGCGATAGGACAATATAAAAAGGACTGGAAAGCCCCTGAAGAGTGGCTATCCATTCCACAACCGGCCTCTATTTTCCTTATCCTCGGTGCTTAATCGCGGGGTAGAATGGTGGGGCGCCCACACGACAGCTGTTTAGGGTGACGCCAAGCGTGGCTTTGACCGGCGCACATCTTGCGGGGGCGCAAATGGGATGGCTGGCCGAGGTTTCTGGTGCCTGTGGTGCGGCGTTAGACGGGATTTTATTGGTCGTGTGATGGAGGAGTTGACGTCGGGTTGTGGGGAGGGCGTTGCCGATTAGATGCCCGTGCTGCCCCGCATTGTACATCGCTGCAGCAAAGACCTCTAGCCTCCTTCATCATCGTCACCATCATCACTTTTCATCAGCTCACATCTAATCCATCATGTGCAGACAAGTCTGGTTACGACGTGTGGACTGGTCAGCATCTTGCGACCATTGAAAAGGCGTATCTCGCTGTACCCGGTTAGGTTTTGTGAAGCTATCTGCACGAATCATCACCAAAATTCAACGTTAGATGATGATTGGATCAAACTGTACTGTAACAGACTTTGAGGCTCTTTCCTGGCCCTTTTTTTGAGGCATAATGATGTTTTGCTGGATGATATGGAACGAGTGTCGCGGCAACAATTCCCGACGACCTCGCCAGCAAACGCAGACAGACAGAGGAGAGGAGCGGTGTGTGCCTACCCGCTCATGGCCCATTTCTCTTCGCGTTTGCTTACAGGCGTATGATATTGAGTGAGCTACCGAAACCGACATGGGTTATCCTTCGAGCCGGCAGCCATTTCAGTAGGTACCTTCACAGTAACTGTGACAAACGGTCACCGCCTCACGGAGAGCCGCGACTGCCTCATTGCACCTGCCCGTTACGGCTCTCCTCTCCCCCAAAACTTCCAGGCATCACTCCCATTTAAAAACTTTCCTCTCACGACTTGCAAACTTCAACCACCCACTGCTGCACTGTCTGGGGTCCTGCTTGAGGCCCGTTCAATTCAAGCTACATACTTTTCTTCTTCCGACAAGATATTCCATCTCTAACTCCCCACTGTGTTGACTGAACACGCGGTCGCCATCATGGCTCGTGGTTACTCGTACAACTCCTACAGCAACTTCAGTGCGTCTGATCTGAAGAACATTCAGCTTCCTGACAAGTAAGGCTGCTCAACACCCACTTAATCACGGCGCTCTAACATTCTGTTCATTTAGGATCCGCTGCGACCGTTGTAACCGCTGGAAGAACCCGACTAACTTCGCCAACAAGCGCCTCAACGATCTCAGATACAAGATCAAGTACCAGGGTAGGAACAAGACCAACAGCCAGGGCGGGCTCACTGCTACCTGCAGCGCGTGCACTGGTCAGCAGGTCCAGGAGCTTGAATGTCACATGTGCAAGACCTGGAAGGGCCTTGAGGACTTCGCAAAGGCTCAGCGCAAGAACCCAGACCATGCGGTATATTCTCTTTCCTCTCCATGATACATGAAGACCCAACTGACATACTATTGTAGAAATGCAATGAATGCATGAGGGAGCAGCTCGACACCCAGCCTGTAGAAGATGACAACCAGGTTGACACCAACTCTTCGTCTTCGGGCGACGAAGATGATGATGACAACTGGAACGACAACACTAGTTCGTTCTCTGATGAGTACACGAGCTTGAAGCCGAAATCGGTAAACGGCGCAATCCTAAACCTCATTGTAGGGTACTGACAGAGATACAGTACGCGACTTCCACTGACGGAACGTCCAACACCGGCATCTTGGTTCCCGATCTGGACGGTCTTTCTTCGTCTGCCAACGAATCCTCTACGGGCGAATTCTACACTCCGATAAACCAGAACACACCCGCTGCTAGTGAAGCCAGCGGCCGTGCCAACACTCCGAGCTCGGCCTGGGGCGCTTCGTCGTCTTCCACTGGATTCAACCCTTTTCAGTACGGCCATCCCCGCGGCAAATCCTCCGCTGCTTCTGTTGCCGACTCGACCAGGACCACCGGCACTGTAACCACAGGCTCCAGGTGGGCAAAGGTCAAGGCTTACGTGAGTGGTTCTTATGTCTGTCGTTGATGAAAACGACTAACCGTATAATAGAAGCCGGAACCCAAGGGCAAGCAGGCGGCCATGGAAGAGGACGCTTGGGATGTGACCCATGACTCTGACACTGACAGCGACGATGACGACGAAGACGATGACGACGAAGACCACAAGGGCTTTTGCCTCTAACCTTGCGGGTTGCAACTCTACTAACGGCCGATTGCTTTTCATTTTGATTCAGATTGCTAGCTGGACGGGCGGAATTGAAAGGGATCTCCTTCGCTAGTGCATAGGCTTACTTATCAAAGATTGAAACAAGTGGTCTACGATAGGCAGAGTGAGCAGCATATGGGTAGCTAACTCTACATCAATGGGACAAGTCGGAACCTATCCTACAGTGTGTATGTGATGCATCTTATTTGCCATTGCGTGATTGGCCCAGTAGTTGGTAGTGCACGGACCAAGACTTGATTTGCCACATGACTTCGTGATTGAGCTAGCGATGTGGCGCGTCGCGGCGCCGCTTCTCGTCTCGCCGCCTGCACCTTCAAGCTTTCTTCTGCGACACACTCTTTGTCAACTCACTCTCACTTTCTTTTGCCAAAAAGCTACGACACCACCGCTGTCATGTAAGCCCCGTCCGCTCCCCGCCACTCAATATCGCTAACCTTCTTTAGGTCGTCAAGAAGACAGGGCGGAAACCGCATTCGCGGGCCCAACTCAGCTTTGACGGACTTCCTGGCGGCCAACAATATTTCCGCCCAGCAGATCCGAGATGACTACGAGCAACGCCGTGCCCAAGCAGCCCAGCAGCAAGCCACCGATGCCACTCAACCACAAGAAGAGTCGGCGTCGACATCCGGCTCGACCCCCAGTGGGCGCAACGCGCCGGAGGTTGAGGCGGGTCCATCAGATTCGAAAAAGAGAAAGGCTACCTCGACTCTCGCGGAGAAGAAGGCTTTAGCCAAGATCAAGAAAAGCAAGGAATTCCAAAGGCGTAAGTCCATAGGCAAAGGTTTCGACAGCGACAGCGATTCAGAGTATGACGATTTTCTGGCCCGGGACATCTACAAGAAGAAGCAGCCACCACCTGGACAACTGGAGAACTGCGAGATTTGTAACAAGCGCTTCACAGTCACCGCATACAGCAAGACCGGCCCGGATGGTGGACTGCTCTGCACCCCTTGTGGCAAGGAGTTGGCGGCTGATGCTGGACCGTCGAAGAAGGCGAAGAAGGCAACCGCGACGAAGCGGCGTCGCAAGATTGAGAGCGATCGCATGGATGCATCCTACAAGCCACAAGGAGCGAAGACGTTGCAGCAGCTCTGCATCGAAAAGGTTGCGGCACACGCTAACGACGTTGACGAATTTGGTGATCTCCCTGAGCAAGTGCTTGACAGACTTGGTGAAATCTTCTCCAAGAAGCGAGTGCTTGATCCTCGGACGCTCAAGCTCTTCCTGCGATCAGACTTGGACGGTCTTGCAGTTCATGATTCAGCTTACTTAGAGACGGATGACTACACGCAGATTTTCATGGAGGTCCCGCACGTCCAGAAGGTGGTCCTCAGGAACGCCGGTCAGTACAAGGACGAGAACATGAAATACATGCTGGAGAAGGCGAAGAACATCCGTTCTCTGCAGCTGTACGCTTCCAATCTCGTCTCGAACGACATGTGGAAGCAGCTGTTTCTTCAGCGGGCGGATAAGTTAGAGGAGCTCAAGCTTCAGTGGCTCGACGCCTCGTTCGACGATGACTGCGTTGAGACTATGGCTCAACACTGCCCCAACCTAAGGCGCCTCAAGCTGAAGCGTTGTCGTCAGATTACTGTTGCTGCCATCAACTCCATATCACGCCTCCAGAACCTGCACCACCTCTCTCTACAAACCAATGCCGAAGTAGAGAGCGACCGTGTCGTCAACCTCATCGGTTGCGTAGGTGCTAACCTCGAGACGCTCTCGCTCGAGACAATGATCGATTCTAACGACGATGTCCTCTCCGCTATTCATGATCAGTGCCGCAATCTCCGCAAGCTCCGCTTCACTGACAACGACCTCTGTACCGATGCCGGCTTCGTAGCCTTGTTCACTGAGTGGGCCAACCCGCCACTGCGTTTCATCGATGTCAACAGCACTCGCGACGTAGACAATCAGCACCCCGATGGTCCAGCGGAGCCCAATGGTCTGGCATCCGAGGGTTTCAAGGTCCTCATGAAGCATTCCGGCCCGAAGCTGGAGACGCTGAACATTGCATCCTGCAGACACATCTCGCACGCGGCCTTTTGCGACGTCTTCGACGGCCAGAAGCAGTACCCGCACCTCAGCAAGATTGATATTTCGTTCTGCAACGCGGTGGATACGACGGTTGTTGCGGGTATCTTCAAGAGCTGCCCCAAGCTGGAGCGCCTGGTGTCGTTTGGCAACTTCGGCGTCGAGGACGTCGTGGTGCCACGCGATGTTGTGCTGATTGGCGTGCCCAAGGCGCAAGACACGATCGAGCAAATCGGCGAAGCATGGATGGGCCTGGATCAGGCGATGGAACAGATGGCGGGGGTTGTGGGTGTGGGCGCTTAAAAAGGGCTGCAGCTTGCAGCGGGCGTGGGGTGGGGACCAACGAATAGGCGCGCGCGAAGCACGCAGGGTGCGTCATGGATGAAACGGGGTTGCAGGCTTTTTCTGGACTTGCCGCTGGGGCTTTTCGGGCGTATCTACATGGGCGATTCGGTGGATGGCTTCTTTCGGACATGAAACGGAACTGGACGGGACGGGGTGGGACAGGAATGGGATATCTCCATGGAAGGCGAGCTCGTGTCGGTAAGGCAAGTGCTGCCGCAATGGCTGGCTTATGGCGCATCTTGATTTTTCTTTTCTTTTCTTTTCTTTTCTTTTCCGTGTCTTTCTCTCTTCATCCTCTCTCTCCCCCCAAAAACACGAGGTCAATCTCGATCTCGATCATCAAGCAGAAATAAGAAACCATGCGATGTAAAACATAGCTCGTACTGCTGCAGGGCCTCCGCCGCCACAGACAGCTCACTCCTGCATAGCTTTATCGCTGGCGCGCGCATGCTCTTTTGCTCTTTTTTCTCTCTCAAACATTGCCATTCATGCTCACTTATCCGTAACTTGCCAGCCAGCCAGCTAGCGCTCCTCGCGTACCTACCTACCCGCCACACTCACGCTTGCTTACACCCATACACAGGCATGCTGCATGCATGCTCACGCTCACTCGCCCGCTCGCTCACCACCAATTCTTACACGCGCGCAGCCGCATAATCAGTAATTTCCTTCTCATCTCCGCGCGCGCGCGAAAGAGCACCGCGCTGCGCGTACAGATGACATGACTGAATGCATTTACGAACGCCGCGTCTAAGCTATACTTACACACATACACACGCACACATATGCATTGCTTTTGCCCCCATCGGCATCCTTCGTACATGTACACTCGTACGTACGTACGTACAGTCTGTATGTACATGCGTGCTCGCGGTACTCGCCGCCGCCGCCCGTGGCCTAGGTCCCTCCTCCCTAGGTCCATAGGTAGGTACGTCGCAGCCAGCCAGCCAGCCGCGTGTACCCCCGCGCGCGCCCGTCAGCCCGCCCGACCCCGTCCCTAGGTCGTAGCCTCGTACTTCACGCCCTCTAATCCGTACCTACCTAGGTAGCGGGCACCAGGCACGGCGTTGGCGTCGGCGTCGGCGTCTCGCCCGCTGCCGCCGTCGCCGTAGTCGTCGCCACTGGCTGACGGGCGCCGGGCCAGAAAACACCTTACGTGCCGCCGGCGGGCTTCCTGATGGGCGGCTTTTGGGCGCGCGCGCGCGCGCGTGTGCGAGATTGCGCTGCGCGACCGGCCGACTGGCTGGCTGGCTGGCTTGCTGGCTGGTTGGCTGGTTGGCTGGCTGGTCGGCTCACGGCTGGTTGCCGGAAAGACGGGCTGCGCACAGCAGGGGCAATGGCGTAGTGTGCGCTTGTGCGCTTGTGCACCTACCTGGGTATCGTCCTCCTCGTCTGCCAGTTGGCTGGGTGGGTGGGCGCGTTTGCTGCTGTGCTTGCTTGCCTGGTATGCGGTGCTAGGTTTGGTGGGCGCGTTGCGCTGCACTGCACTTGTGCATTGCGTGCATGTGGGTATGTGTATGCGCGCGCGAGCTCGCGGTGCTGGATGCTGCGGTGCCGTGTGTACGGTGCTGGCGCTGTCAGGTACGCGATCGAGGCCCTGAGGCTGGCTGGCACACACACACACACTTGCAAGCGCCTACGCCTACGCCTAGCGCTGGTAGGTAAGTATCTAGGGGAGGGAGGCAGCGGTGGGTTGCAGTAGCAGTGGCAAGGCAGAGCCCAAGGCAGGCATGAGACACCACACCCACCCACTACACTACCCACTACCCAGGCACGGCACGGCACACTTGCCCGGCGCCCTACCAGCCTTGCAGACTGTCTGTCTGTGGGTGTAGATATATGCGGGCGGGCTCTAACCACCCAGGTAGCCGGCCGGGATCCGGTCCACGCGCGCGCGCGATAATATCAGAGGCGATGGAGTGAGGGTGAGACATCAAGTAGGCTGGGCACGAGACGGAGACGGAGACGGAGTCTACTCCCTATTCCCTGTTGCCTGGGTAGGTACGAACGAATGAACGTGCCTGACCTTAGCTTCCTTGCCTTCTATCCTAGACAGGAAACCAGGAAAACGGTCCTCCGTCCGTCTTGTATGGCTGGCTGACTATGCCGTCAGTCATCCGCCTATGGAGGACGGATCGGGCGTGCGGATTGCGGGTTAGCGCGCAAGGATGTGTGTGCATGTATGTGTGCATGTGTGTATGTGGGCCGTAAGGCTGGCTGATGGCCGGGCCCGTCCGATTAGTTATCAACTTCTCTCCAGCTTAGGTAGGTAGGCGTACCGTACCTACTTAGTGCCGGTACGACGTGTGGTGGTGGACGTGGTAGTGGGTGGTTATGCTGGATGTACATACATATGCGGGTAAGCACCGCTGTGCCTAATCGAATGGGACTGCAGGACACCTAGGGTGTGCCACCGTCACTGGCACTGCTTGGTGCGGCCGAGCCGGCTACTGGGTACGTACGTGTGTATGTACGTTTGGGTCTGTGTATGCACTGGTGGCCTGGTACCTGAGTCTGAGCCTGCAGGCAAGTGCAGCTAACCAAAGAAAAGCAAAGTAAAGCAAACGAGCATGGCGCGCTGCAGAATACCTTACCTACCCACTGCCAGGCTAAGCAAGCGAGCAGTTGCGCATACACGCAAGTACGCAAGCACCCAACTCCAGCCCACTGCACCGCGCTTATTCCTTCCTTTCTTCCCTTCCCCTCTCTTCCTCACGCACCTCGGCTCGCAGCCACCAGCATGTATGTACGGTACCCAGGTCCTTACCTAGTACCTACCTACCTACCTACTGTACTATACATACCGGCCGTAGCCGCACAGTACAAAAAATAGCCATATCCACATCCACTACCCCGCCTAGATACACTCTCCATAACGCATAAATAAGCACGCAAACGCTCCTCCTCTCCAAATCCTTCCTGCCTACCCGCAGTCCCGCACGGCCACTCCGTCGGCGATGCCGAGCGAGCAGACGGCCGTTGTCGATCGCGTTGGTAGATCAGTCAGTCCGTCAGTCAGTCGGTTAGTTGGTTGGTTGGGCCCGCCTAGCAACGGCATGGCATGACATAGCATAGCATAGCATAGCAAGGGATTATTACCCCGAGCGATCGGGCGGGCGGGCGGCCGTGCTTTCCGCCCTGTCCGGTCCGGGGCAGGGCAGGGCAAGGCTTGTTGGTTAGTAGGTAGGTAGGCACAGTAGGCAGCTAACCAGCTCAAAAGGAAAGACGACACGAAGCGGAATAAAATAGAAGAAAAGAGAATGGAACAGAACAGATCAACCGCACTTGGGCCTTGGCGGCTGGCACCACCTGCCCGAACGATCGTGAGTGTGCGTACGTGAAGCGTCATGTGTGACGGACTACCGCCCGCTAGGTGTGGCTGTGGGTGTGGGTGGGTAGGACAGGGCCGGCCAGACGTTAGGTTTACGCGACCACCTACTCTATTTGCTTTGAATTTATCCTATGCTATGCTATCCTATCCTATCTATCCATCCATAGGTATCGTACATACTTACGCATAACATCATCATGCATGCACACTACACACTACACACTACACACTACACACTACACACAGCCTCAGACCTTATTCCCGCACAACCTACCTAGCAGCCGCCAAACGCGGGAGTGCCCAAGGTAGGTATGCTTGCAAACCATCAGCGGCAGCATCGCTCGGTCGTGCGTACGCACGTACAAGCCCAAGCCCACCCACCGCCTCGGCACCGGGTGCCGGGCGCCGGCTCCGTCCGTGGGGGCGGGAGGGGGTGCGCTGGCGCCGATGGATCGATGAGCCGAACTAACGGGGGGCCGGGGGCTGTTGGTTGCGTTGGTTGGTTTGGGCTGGGTTGGATTAATTTCGAGAGTGGAGGGGAGGGGATTGACTGACTGAGGCGAGGGTGCTGGGGATGTGAGATGTGAGATGCGAGATGGGATGGGAAAGGCTTTGTGGAAAAGAACGGAGTGGCTATAGACACAGGCAAGCAAGACTGTCATCGTGGCAAGTGCGTACGTGGTAGATAGTATATATAGATACCCATTATATATGTATATATATACTCTTTCTCGTGTGGCGGCGTAGTAGCTAGGTAGTTCGCCACTGCGCCGCGCACACCATCGTGGCGTCGTCGCTGTCGTCTTCTCGTCGACGTCGTTGTTCAGATGCCCCTCGCATAACAAAAACCCCGCCTACCCACCCTCTGCGCCACCGTCGCAAGCACTCGACGTACCCGCCCCCAGCCTTGCTCGTGTACTCTTTTGTGCCGAGACGGAAGGGGGCCGTGCGCGCCGAAGCCGTCGGACGGATTTGGGGGAAAAAATCAAAAAACCAAACTAAAAAAAGCCAAATAGGAAATTTGAGACAGCGATCGCGGCGGTGAAAAAGGAAAAAAATGGTGTGAAATGATGGCTCTCTTCGCGTCCCCTTCTTCTCTCCGATTTCTCCTTCTGTTGCTGTCTTTTCCTGCTGCCGTTTGCAAACGGCGCCGATTTCCTGCTCTATTGGGGGGGGGGAAGGGGGACGCGAGCCGTGGTATCATATGAAAACGTGCGCGGGATACGTAAATAGGAACAGAGAAAGGGAACAAGGAGACAGTAATAAAACAAAGGACGGGCTTCGCCGAGCCCCTAAAAAAAAAAAAAGCAAAGCAAAATGGCGACAACAAAACTCCGGATTAGATGCAAAAAAGACAAAAAAAAGGGGTGTGCATGCAAAATGAAATCGTGAATAGTGGTTGGTCGGTAGTGTGATTTGGTGACGAGTGAGGTGTAGACCGCCTCTGTTGGTTGGTTGGTTGGCTCGTGTGCTGCGGCCGAGGGCAACATCATGCGCCCGTGTCGATGCCGGTTCGTGGCCACCACCACCCATGCAGCGCTAAACGGCCGACAAAAATAGACATGCAGTCGCCGCCTCCACCACCACCCGGCTCTTCCTCTATGCTCTACGCGAAGACGAACAAAGAAGTCATGAGGAGGATAGTCGTAGGCCGGTCGGTGCGCAATGTTACCTCGCGCTGCCACAGAGGTCCCTGCTACTCGCGTTGCTGCTGGCAACGCTGCCCTCGTCGCTCACGTCCGACGTCGGCGACAAGGCTGCCGCTGGTGTTTCTGATGACGCAGCTCCGGCGGCGGCGCTCTTCTGGCCAGGCACGGGGCCGAGCGTCCAGACCCACTCGCGTCTGCGCTTGCGCCGGCCCGCGACTGGCGTTTGCGGGCACGAGTCGCTGTCTGACTCGCTGCTGTCCGAGGGCGAGTCGCGCTTCTCGCCGCGTCGCAGCTGTGGCTGTGGCTGAGGAGTGGTGCGCTTGGGGGTCGTCGTCTTCGTTGTCGTGGCGCGTGCGAGCGAATGCGACGTCGAGTGCAGCACGGGTAGGGTTGTGGCGGTGGCGGTGGTCGTGATGTCTTCAATGTGGCTGGCGCCCGAGCCGGCAGGGGTCGAGGTGGAGTCGTCGTTCAGGTCAAGGGTGGAGATGGTGCTCGATGACGAAGCGAGGTCCGAGTGCGCGAGCGTGTACTTGGTCGTCTTGATTTCCTCGGCTAAAGGGTTGCGGAAGCTGACGCGCTTGGTGGCGGGGAACATGGGTCGCGACGGAGTGGCCATGTTGCTGCGCTTCTGGTGCAGGCGCGGCAGCGGGCTGTTGGACAGGATGGATTGCACGTTGTGCGGCAGCTTGTACGGGACGCGGCCGCTGTCGCAGGTAGACGACGACGACGAGACGGTCGAGATGGCGCTAACGGTCGAGGCCGACGTGGGTGTTTCGGATGACGACGACGACGACGACGAGGAAGAGGAAGAGAAGGTGTTTGTGATTGGCTCATAGCCGTTGCTGAAGGTGTTGCGCGCAGTGGGCGAGACGGCGCTTAGAGTGTCGAGACGAAGACTGGAGCCCTTGCCAAAGGTGCGGATCTGGGCCTGGGCAGTGTTGAGCGACAGCTTGGGCCGACGGGTCGCAGCGGCAGCCTGGGAGGAGGAGGACGACGGCGTAGGCGCCGGTAATAATGCCAGAGAAGTGGTCATGCTGGAAGGGAGAAGGGCGATCATGAGACTGGGGGGAGGGGGGGTGTGGTGACGTTTTTGTCTGAGGTGGTTCCTGGGTAGGTGGCCCTTATAATAGTAGATAGATAAAAAAGGCGAGGGCCGGGTAGATATCGCAAAGAAAAAAAGTCAGAAGGAAAGGCGGGCTTCGAGGCAATAATGAATAATGGAGATAGCTGTGACGCGGCGTTTAATGGGCGCTTGGGGCAAGGCGAGCCGGACGGGCATTTCTATTAATAGGGCCTCGCTCTCGGCGATCACGCCGTGTCCATTGGCTCCCGTTTTTGGAACGCAAACGTGCCCCTCTCTACCCAAAGCACCCTCGCACCGCCCACCCCAACCAACTCTCTCCACTTCCTTCCCAAAATCCCAAATGCGGGCTCTATCCGCCACGCGCGTCGTGATGCACTTTGTGCGTCCCCACTGCCCGCCCCAAAAAATCATCGCTACCACTAACACTTACCAGGATTACGACGCCTTCTACTGCTCGTGTCTTGAGGCTGACGAGCCCCAGCTGCGCTTCCTGCCGTTGGCTGTGCAGCGCAAGTGCCCACATCTTCTCTCCCCCTCTCCGTCTGACCAACTGACCCCGGCTCTCACAGAGAAGCAGATCGTCGTCACGTGAGCCTGACCCGTCGGCAACCGCAGCAGCAGCCTGTGCTGACTTAACGCCGCAGTTGCAACTACGAGGCCCGAAGACGGGTGCGTGGCCCTCCGACACGGCGCAGCAACTAGGTAGCTTCTCCGGCTGATGCTTTCGCCAGGGCCTGCACAAGCTCCAGCCGGTCAAAGAAGCAAAGCGCCTCTGCCCCGACCTGGTGAGTTGCGTGCGCGCCATGTCTCGTCAACCCCGGCTCACGCATTCCCCTCTCAGGTCATTGTCCTCGGAGAAGACCTGACTCGCTTCCGCGACTATTCCAAGGCCCTGTACCGTTTCCTGCGACATTTTTCATGGAACCGCAAGGTCGAGAGTAAGCATACGTCAAATGACGGGACGCGTAACGGCCAAGGCTGACGGCCACAGGACTCGGCTTTGACGAGGTCAGCAGCTCCCCATGATGATGAGGCCTGTCGCCTCCTCTGCCAGGCTTCCCGCTTGCGTCACAGGCTTACACTCTGGCTTCTTTGCTGCTTTGCTTTGTAGGTGTGGATGGATGTCACTGACCAGCTCGACTACAACGTCTCGCTGCTAAACCCCAACGACCTGACCAAGTGCTTCTTCCACCTCTCGCGCGATGACCCCACGAGCGGCTTTGACTTTGATGCGACCGTGTTCGCCGGCAACACCTGGCCCGCCTCTGAAGACTCGCGTCCAAACGGCCATGACATACGTGAGGACCCGCTGCGCCTCCGCCTCCTGTTGGCTTCGAATTTGGCGCACTATATTCGTCGTGAGCTTGAGCATCACAAGGGTTTCACCGCCACAGCAGGAGTCTCGACGTCAAAGCTGCTTTCCAAGCTCGTCGGTAGCGTCAAAAAGCCAAACAGCCAGACCACGCTGCTGCCGCCGTGCTCGGCGAGATCCGGCGATGAGGATGCATGTAACACGATTGCCTTCATCGACACGCATGATATCGGCAAGATTCCCGGCATAGGTTTCAAGATTGCGGAAAAGCTCCGAGAACACGTGCTTCGGCCGCCACCGGACTTTGACCCGGTGCCGGGCCAGACTGATATGAATCAGGTTGTTCGAGCAAGAGACGTTCGCTTGCATCCCGGCACTAACGCCGAGGCCCTCGAAAGGCTCCTCGGCGGCTCCGGATCGCCACGCGGGATCGGCGTGAAGGTTTGGAATCTGATCCATGGCTTCGACGATCAAGATGTTGGACAAGCCAAAGACGTGCCCAGCCAGATCAGCATTGAAGACAGCTATATCCGGCTAGACAGCTATAATGACGTGGTTAAAGAGCTTCGCGCCCTGACGACGAGTCTGTTAAAACGCATGCGCCTCGACCTCCTCGAGGAGGAAAGCGAGAACAGCAGTGGTGAAAAGGGCCAATCGGCCCAATCCTCAACCGCCCAGAAAAACAAAAGAAGATGGCTTGCCTACCCTCGCACCATCCGCCTCTCCACTCGTCCGCGCCTCCCCGCAGATGCAGCCAGCACGAACCAGCACTCGCGCCCTCCGCAGCGCATCTCCCGCTCCGCGCCACTGCCCTCGTTCGCCTTCAATCAGAGTGAGGACGTTGACGCTCTGGCCCAACGGCTTGTGACTGAAGCGCTGATCCCTCTGTTCCGCCGCCTACATCCCGATAAGCGCGGTTGGAATCTCAGCCTCATCAATGTTGCAGTGACGAACATGGCCGGTGCGGCGGCCGAGGGTAAGGATATCGGCGGCATGTTCAAGAGGTTGGAGCGGGAAGACGCAGGAACGGGAGCGGGAGCCGGTGCGTCATACAGCCGAGACAGGGCGTTAGAGACGGCGCACAAAGAGCAAGCCAAGGCAACGCGAGAGGACGAAGAGGCCTCCGACGTCGGCATAGACAGCATAACATCGACGACGCTCTGTGATGCAGCTGCTGAAGAAGCGCACGCCTGGCCACGCTCTCTTACTCACCTTACGTCAGACGTGTGTCTCCCTGGCAGCGCCGGCTCGGAAGACGTCTTCACCGCTTCGCAAGCCAGCAACGCCTTTGGCCGTTGGGAAGAAGATGATGACGGCAGCAGCGCGGACGGCGGCGGCGACGCGCGCGAGGGCGCGGCAGTCTGCGAGCTGTGCGGCGCGGTCATGCCGGCATTTGCGGTGGCGGCGCATGGGCGGTTCCATGAGCTTGGGGACTGAGGGGCGGGTGGGGAGGGACCTGTTCGTGCTGTTGTTAGTTATGTGGCCGGATTTATGGTCGTTGAAACGTCCGCGGCTCGGGTCGATGGCATAGTTACCCGCAGCTCTAAATGTAGCTGCAACGAGCTGTTCGCGGTCGAGTTGGCATACTCCGTACTTTATTAGGATTTGGTTTGATTGCCGTTTGATTGACAATTGGGCATCTACTATAGGCCTGAGTATGTCCATATTATTGCGCGACAGAAATTGACAGGTCTAAATTCCACCGCGCTTTGCTGTGCTGGCGAAAATGGAGAGGAGGTGGTGCTTGTAGACGATGACAGGGACCACCGTACACTGCCATCTGCCATCTGTCTATCCGTCCACATCAAGGGTCCTGCAAAGCGGCATCAATCGGCCGCCAGGCCCGCCAACTAGCTAGCGGACGGCCCTGCACCAAGCACCAAGCTAGCGCCGCATCCAGATATCCGTGAGGCTGTCACAGAACTAGTGTCGCATAGCACCGAGAGCACCTAGTGGTGGGGTATGTGGGATCGTGTCGTGTTGGTGCCCGCAAACTCGAGACGGTAAGCTTAATCCGTAAGGCAATCCGTACAAGCAGCCAGACAGCACGTAGAAAGCATAAAGAGAGAGAGAGAGAAAGATACGTGGTCGTTGCATACGAGATAAGAGGGCGATACGGTTTCAGCGAGAGTAGGGTGCCCGTGTTTGTTGCGGTAGGTAGGTAGGTGCGGGATCGGGACCACGCCAGCCCGCGCGCCGCGCGCTACCTACCTAGTAGGTTGTTGGGTGTGGTGATGTCATGTATCGCGGCGGACCGCAACTTCGTGCTTTGCCCCCCGCCCGCCCGCCCGCACGCACGCACGCACGCGCTTCGTATTCGTGTGCCTGCCTGATCCGCATCGCATCGCATCGCCTCCCCACCTGTTCAAAACAGGACAGGAACAAGACAGGAACGGGCAGCTATTCCTATCATCGCACGCCGCCATGGCGGAGGAGCGCGAAAGCTCTGCCGACAGCTTCACGAGCGCAAACGAGGGCACGCCGCTGATTTGGCGGGCGGTGGGCAAGCCGTCGTTGCCCTCGCCCGCGTCGTCGTCGCCATCGCCATCGTCGCCGAGCTTCCTGGCCAAGCTCAACGCGCTCGTCCTGCGCGCTATCGACGCATGCAACCCCTGCGTCTCGCGCCGCCCGTGGCGGCTTTTTGAGATTTGCGATCTGTGGCTGTGCGTGTGCTCCCTCCCTCTCACGCACATACCGCCTGGCAGAATGCTGTAGTCGGTAGGTAGTGGTTGATGTGCTGATGTGCTAATGTGTTTTGATTGTGCAGGTTTCCCCCGTTCTTGAGACGCCGCTGCCAGGCGATGCTTACGGCTGAGTGGACGCATCGTTTGCCCCTACTGCAGAGCGCTTCGCCGGCTGAGTTGGCGGCGGAGGTTATTTTGGGGGCGTTGGATGAGATTGATGGTGCTGATGCTGATGGAGATGGGGAGGGGCTCACGGTTGTAGATTTTTGCTCGGGGGGTGGAGGTGCGTGGTGTGATGTCTTTTTCTTTTCCTTCTTCTCCATCCTCCTCTTCCGCCCCTTTTCCTTCTCTTCGCACGCAAGAAAAAGAAGGCCTTGCAAGCCTGATAACCAACACGCACACACCGCAGGCCCCGTCCCCGTAATCGAGCGCCTCGTCAACCAAAAGCGCGCCCAGCGCAAGCAGCAGCCCATCCCCTTCCGCCTCACGGACATCAGCCCGCACATTGATGCCTGGATGGCCGCAGCGGCGCAGAGCTCGCACCTGAGCTTCGTGCCGCAAAGCGTTGACGCGACGGACCCGCCGCCGGCTGTCATCAGCACAACTAACAACAGCCCCAGCGACCCCGAGTACACGTCCGGCACCCGCGTCTTCCGCCTCTACTGCCTCGCCTTCCACCATTTCCCGGACGACCTGGCGCGGCGCACCCTCGTCAGCACGCTCGGCACCGCCGACGGCTTCGCCATCCTCGAGCTGCAGGACCGCCGCCTGCTAAGCCTCCTCATGATGGCGCTGGACTTTGGGCTCGTGCTGCTGGTGACGCCGTTCTGGTTCTGGAATGACCCGCTACAGCTACTGTTTACGTACCTCTTGCCGGTGCTGCCGGCTGTGCTGAGCTTTGATGGCGCGGTGAGCGCGCTGCGGACGAGGACTTTTGGGGAGGTGGTGAGGTTGGTGGAGGCGGGGAGGGAGGGCGAGGCGGGGGTCGTGCCAGGGGAAGGGGTGGGAGGAGAGAGGGAGGCGGTTGCAGGGGTGGGGAGGGAGGTAGGGGAGGTGGGGACGCTGGAGAGGTGGGGGTGGCGGTTTAGGGGCGGCCGGGAGCTGCATACGTGGCCGATTGGGTATTTTAACTACGTGGTTGGGACGAGGGTGCAGGGTGGTGGTGGTGGTGGACTGTGACTGTGAGGATTGTCTGGGCGTTGATGGGCGGGGGTGAATGCGGGAGCATTGTAAACATTTAGTAGGTTTTTGGGTGCTCGCTTAAATGCATGCTTCCCTATTCGGGGTGGATACATAAATTCGGGGTGCAATGGTCGTGGGTAGCGAAGGGCTCTCCGGTCGCAAATGGTGGTTTTTGGGCAACTTTCGGCGAAAGCACACTACTTTTTCTTCTAGTAAATAGGCAAAATCAGGCTTCAATCGAACCGGTGGTCAGTATTGTCTCTAGTTTTTAGGTGTTCGTGGTGGCGTTGTAGTAATGGTTCAGTATGCGGAGCATGTTGTGAACTCCGAAGTGCAAAGCGCAAAGTGCAAAGCGCAAAGTGCAAAGCGCAAAGTGCAGCTGCCCTCGAGCGATTATATTAGAGCTTACTCCCATCGGCTTCTCGAGGTTATAACCGGCTTTGCCTCGTACTCGTTAAATATTCTGTATTTTAACATGTGTTTGGTGGTGGTGCTCTGGTCAGACCGTCGCGGGTCCCTTTTCAACACCACGGACCTCTCAACACTCAAAACTAAGCATATAGTCCTCACAGGCCAGCACTGGAGGCTTGTGCAAAGCACGATACCAAGCACCTCTTGGAACACCGTGACTTAGCGGCGCGCAATTGGTGTTTCTCGGCCAGAAATCCGGGTTCTTCGCACCAGTCGCTGTCAGGACCTCACCTTCACAGTTGTTAACTCCCTTCCCCCAGCCACCCCAAAGCGGAACAATAGCTAGCCTATTCAATCACCACCACCCCCACCTCCTTTCTATTGTAACAATAGAACAATAGGAACTTTGTCAGCGGGGGTTGGGCAAGTGGCTGGCTCGCTTCCTTCGCGAGCATGTAAACCTCCCTCCGCCGCCATTGTCTTCTCTTCTCTTCAACTTCGCCCCGGACTGCAACTTCAGTACTTGTCTTATGCAAATTTTCGCTCCACCGCCATACTGAACGTACCGCAGTCTCTGCTTCGCTTCAATCGCATTGCAGCTCGCTCTTCACTGTCCATCAAGACTCTCTTGAAGACACATACGCGCGCTCCGTCCCGCCCTTCTCCCTCCCTTTCACAGTGTGAGCATCATGAAAAGCCTTGGTCCCTCGAAATCCATGGAGCCCATACTACTGATGCGGCATCATGGCCATAGACCTCAGGCACCCGCTCCGCCTCAGCAATCATGGGCTGCATCCGTAACCCGACGCATGTGCACGCGTGGCCGTTGCCCGCGGCCGAGGAGGTCTTACTCGTCATCAACATCTGCGAGCGCTTCTGCAACTACTGCAACGACGGCAAGGAATTCAACCAGTGCTCACACCTGCGCGCGCACGTCAAGTCCAAGCACACGAGAGACTTTCCGAACGGCCTCAAGGTTGCCGACGGCATCATGGGCGCCAAAGGCACTTAGTACGCTTTGTTTTCCTGGGTTACCTTTTCCCGTCTTTTTCCCGAAGCCATTTAACACGCTGCCCACTTTCCAATTTCAAAACCATCCTTCCTTTCCTTTTCCCTCTCCGCTCAACCACTATCTCCGAGCCTCAATTTTCCTCGCCTTCCTTTCTTTCTTTTTGTTTTTTTCCGAGATAACATTTCTGACGTTCCCTTAAAGCGAGTACCAGCACGGCTTGCCTCTCCCCACCCCCACGCGTCATCAAAACAAGGACGTGAAGCGCGCCGCCTCTCCCGCGCTTGCGCCTCGCACCAACGCCACGCCCACGCCCTTTTACGCGAAGCCCAGCAACGTCGTCCCATCCAACCACAACCTTCTTCCTGCTAACATGCCTTTCGGTTCAATGTCTTCTCCCACTCTATCCTTCGGCTCGCCGGGCAGTAACTCGGCTGCTTTCGTTAACCGTGCCGCCGATGTTGGATTTAACCCTGCTGCTGCTGCTGCTGCTGCTGCTGTTACTCACGCTAACAACAACACCACTAACCATGGCAATGGCGTTTACATGAGCCAGCTCAACGGTAACGCCGGTGTCAACAACACTGTCTTGACGAACCAGCTCAACGCCGCCGCTAACAACAACGTCAACAACGTCTCGCCTAACCATATCAACGCCCCGAGCAACAACAACAACAACAACAACAACAACAACAACAACAACGTCGCGATGAACCAGTCCAACAACGTCGGTAACAATGGCATCACCATGGAGCAGCTTCACGGTGTTCTCAACAACCACAACTTCATAGCCAACATCGTCCGCGCTGCTCTTGCGAACCAGCGGAGCTTGCCTGATTACAGCCTCGGTAATGGCAACTTCAACGCTAACGGTGTTGGCTTGCAGCAGTCTGCCGTTGCCAACCAGCTCAATGTCAACCAGCACGATATTAACCAGCACAATGCTGCGAACCAGTTCACTGCTACGAACCAGTTCAATGTCCCGGCTAACAACAATGGCGTCGGCATGCCTCAGTCCAATGCCATGAACCAGTCCAACATCCCCATCAACGATAGCCGCGCCATCATGAATCAGCCCAGCTTTTCGGGTCAGTTCCATGCTATCGACCAGCTCAATGCTGCTGCCAACAACAATGGTGTTGGTATGAACCAGCTCTCCACCATGAACCAGTTCGCTGCCGCTGCCAACAACAATGGCAATGGCATGAACCAGGTCAACGCCGCCAGCCGGGCCAACCCTTCGAGTCTACCCACTGCCGAAAACCATGTCAACGCCGCGCACCAGGTCAACACTGCGGACCATGTCAATGCTACGAGCCACGTCAACGCTCCGCTCCAGATCAACACTGCCGCCGCCCAGTACAATGCCAATGACAACCAGCAGGTGTTCAGCCCTGCCAACAACTTCGGCTTCAACTACGACCTGCTGAGCCCCAATGCGGATCTTTCCCTGACTAGCAGCGATATGCAGGGGTTCCTGAGCACCGCCGCCAGTGCCGCTAGCACCCCCACTGTCGCGAGCTTCCAGATCACCAGCGTCAGCGGTGGGAGCGCAGCTTCTCCTGTGGTTGTCCAGAGCTCCAACTCTGGGTTGGGCTCGGGCGTCGATGATTCGGCTATGGACCCTAGCCTCGGCGGCCAGGAGGCCGCTACCAGTGTTGACAATGCTACTGCTGAGAATGTCGAGGAGTCCATCGCTGATGCTGACGACGGCACGTCTCAAACCGTCACTGCCGATGATGAAGATGCCGACATGGAGGAGACCACGAGCTTCTTCGCCGATGCTTTCGGAGTCACTGAGACTCAGGAAGCTCGCGTTACTGACAACGCGTCCACTGCTCCCATGGCTGACGCCCCGATGGCTGGCTCCCCGATGACTGGAACCCCGATGACTGCCACGACTGCGACGGCTACGTCTCCTGTCTTCTCTGACGCTGAAACGTCTGCTACCCGCGCCTCCAGCGTTACGATTGGCACCCCGGACATGGCGTCCAACATGGCTTTGCCCGATGCTGCCGCCGAGTGTACCGACGTTACCATGGCTGACCACGCGTCCACGTCTGCGGCCAACATCAATGACGCCAGCAACGCCTACAACCACGACCCCGCCACCCTGAGGCTCATCTGCCATCTCCGCTCCGCGATTGCCAGGCTCGACGCGATGGAGGCAGAGAGGAAGAGGGCCGCCGAGGCCGCCAACAACACCGCCTCTTCTGGAGCCCTCCAGGGTCACTGTCCCCCTGGTTACGCCCCTGCTGTCGACGCGCGCGTGCCGGACTACCACAACCACCACGCCTACGCCACGCAGGCCTCTTCTGCCCCTCAGACCGAGTCGGAGCGCCAGGTCGCTCATACGCGCGCCCAGTTCCAAGACAGCATCAACCACATGCACCATGCGGCTGCGGCGGCGCTGCAGGTGGGCGCTGTCAGCAAGGAGGAAGTCAGTGAGATGTTCGGCGCCGTCATGCTGAGCTTGAACATCGGCGATTACGTTATGGGCCCCTAGGCTGGCTTGCGAGCTGGGTGGGTTCTTGACAGACTGCCTTCCTCTTCTTTTTCTTCTCTCCTTCAAGAGTCGTCGATTCTCGTCGTTGCGATTCCCTCGTTTTGCTCGCCTTGTTTGCCGTGCTTTGACGGACGGTTTGGCTTGCTCTGGCTCAAAGCCTCAAAGCTTGGATCACATCCACGGGTGCATACGGGTTTCTGCAGCTTGCTGCTTTTCTGTTCTCTTCTCTTCTCTTTCTTTTGGTTTCTGGTCCTAATATCTGGCTTTTTGGCTTTTTGACTTTTGGGTTCATGGCTTTTGAATCACAAGTCTGCAGTTTACACAGCGACGGAGCTGGGGTGGATAAATGGGTTGGACTGCTTTCACTTTCACTGATACCTTGCTTTGCTTTGCTGGCGGCTGGCTCTGCATCTGGCCTTGCCATGCCTTGCCATGCCTTGCTTTACTTTGCCTTGCTTTACCTTGTCTTGTCGCGCCATGTGAACAGTGGGCTAGCCTTTGGCTCTGCTCTGCTCTTGGCTTTTGGCACAAGGTTACATACATACATACTTGCAGCGAGGCTTTTCCTTTGTAGCTACGTAGATAAGAGGGAGCAGACTATCGCCAACAAGAAGGCAGCTCAGTCTACTCTGGCCGGCCAGTCTGTCCAAGTTCAGACCGAGGCTTTGCCTTTGTAGCTACGTAGCGCTGAGAATATCAGACGATGTCAATTTCAAACTTCAAGAAATGAGTTGAGTGGCTCGGAAGGTGTGAGTGTGAGCGTGACTTTGCATTTCTGCACCTGGACTCTGAAGGGACGGAGAGGTGCTTGGCTTCGTAAGTTTGTCTTAAGTCAAAGACTCTCCAGGAGAACATCTGAGTTTGCGCACGCGGCTCGTCGCAGCACTTCTACTCGACTTGTACAAGCAGTGCAGCAGAATTGGCAAATAAGACTTCCGGGCCAAACTCGTCCTTGTCATTGCCCACCCACTCGGCCTTCTACTTACAGCATCACCTCCCTCCACACCGCACCTGCCCAAGCCAGACACAGAAACAGACACAGACACAGACGCAGACGGCCCTACGATGACA